ACCGGGACGCCGTTGACCGAGCCCGGATCTGTCAGAGAGAGAGAGAGAAAGAGAGATGACGAGAAACCTTTGCCCCGGTTGCCAGCACGAAGTTTCCAAGGTGATGAGGAAAAAGAAGATGCAGAAGCTGAACCTCAAAACCAAAAGAGAAGTCGAAGTGCGTTGCCATTCTCATTGAGGAGATGAATTTTTTACCAAATCAATCGATAAAAGTTAATTGCTTACGAATCGACACGCGGGTGTAGCCGACGCTGTGGTTGACCCCCTGCCCCACATTCAACGCCGCAAACGCGGCTTGCAGGTCGTTGTTGATGCGGTTGCTGACGCTGTTATCTGACATTTTCGCTTTCTTCTTCTTGTCGTATAGAGATAGCTATTACTCTACTGGTATAAAACCAAGCAAGGAGTAGAAATAGAAACGGGAAGATATGCCTTTTATTTTGTCTAAGCCTAAGCCTAAACGCAGTGCTGGTGGTTGAGATGGTGATGGTGTTTGATGTAGCAGTAGAACCAGCAGGAGAAGAAAGAGTGAGACAAGATGAAAAACAGCTATGCTATCTTTTTTACTGTTGTGCCGATGCTCGGACTTAGATGATCGAATAACTGTGAAAGTGAAACTCGTTTACTTTTGCATCATAATACCCAGTGAGATCTTCTCTCGAAAAGATGCTGCTGCCCCTTCTCGACTGCAGACTAAGATTACTCCATCACCCTCACCACTTTCAATCGAAGAATCTGAGTCAGTAGATTTTCTTTTTCAGCCGTGAAACCAAAAGACAAAAATAGTAAGAATCTCAATAACCACCAGGATTTGACCCATTCGATTCCCAAAGCTCCATGCTCTCACTTTCTTAGCAACATTCGCAAAAGCAGAAGATCAGAGAGAAACCCTTCAACAAGATAAATTCTTCACCGCGATCAGTTTCCGATTCAATTTCTTTGGCAGTGGCAAGTTTTCAGCTGAATTCGATGGAACTCGAAAGTCGATGTCGGACTCGAATGATTGAAAATGGGTATAGGTATAGATATAAGGATACAGATATCCGCAACTTTTGTCAGGCTGAGTGTGAGTGGTCTCCAATTTCAAATGCCACGAACACATCCACGTCCTGTCTCATCCCATTCCAGTTCCACGACCAGACTACCACAATACTAATACGACGTCAGTAAGAGCACCAGAAACAGGATATAGAGGGCCGCTGCTGCTCTAAAGCCAAGGACTTGCCTTTTCTTTCATTTTCTGACTTGTATTTTTTTCAATTCAAGTCTCATCCTAAAATGTGAAGTCCAACTGGGAGGCATTGAGAAACGCAATCGAAGTGGTTTCGGGGGCGAGGACGGGGAATGAAAAAATCATAAAGATGCGTCAACTTCAGCACATGCCAAAGCCAATCAGAATCACACTCATATCAGAGTAAGTAACAATCTAAGATATCAAGCCCACGTGCCTACTTGTGAAGGAGAATGCCTGACGTTCAAGGCCAACCTCCTCTTTCACTCGGTCTTCATCTTCGTCTCCACTCCATCCCCATCTTCTAGCACATCCACTGCCAGCCTCTGGAAAATAAATCTCCAAGAACCGCCGACGCAAAACCCCTACCATTTTGCCCCCGCCAATCAACCTACGAATGCGGGACGCTGCCACTTGTTCCCACATTTGTACTTAGCTTCATGGCTACTAGAGCTACCATCTTCCCAAAAGGAGATGTGGTCTGTTGAAGCGGTACTAGCAGACCTCTCCTTAAGTTAGCAACTGGAACCGTGGCGACGCGGACGCTGTCTTCCCCCACGCCTTTCCCATAGCAATAAGAACACTTACACTGTCACCCGATACAATTCTAGTGGCCGTCCCACTCCCCCCCCCTCCTTAATGCGAACACTTAGTAAAGATATCCGTGCTATGGCCACGATGTCGCTATCTAGATCTAATTCCAAACAGTTTCGACGTGAACGATCAATGACTAACCAGCACGAAAATGACCCAGCTGCACGCTGGCTTTACGTTCCTCATCCTGCCCGTCAAGTATCCTCTTGTCTAGTTTGGCTATCAGTAGCCTGTCACCTCTTAAAATAAACCCCAGCTCCTTTCGAAGAAACCGAAGAACACTACCAAAACATACTAAACCGTGCGCAAACTGCCTCCACACCTCGGCAAATCACCATCGGCCACAGCTGCTATAGGAGTCTTTGGGAAATTGATGAATCAGTAAGTTTTTTGTAAACCTATCTTTTCAACGTAAAAGAAAGGGATTCTAGTGCATCAAGAAGAAAAAGATAGACCAAAAGATAGACCAAAGGAAAGCATGTGTTCTTTTCACCTAAAATCAAAGTACCACTGATCAGGTGGTCACGACAACAATTTATTAAGTATGCGAAAGCTCACTGCAAGTGAAATTACAGAAAATCGAATGAAAAGTTTTTCAATGAGGGACTCGTACTCGACGAGAAATTGAAATAGCGGATGAAATTATACTAGTTGATGTAGGTCGTGTAAGATACAGGGACTGAGACGTCAGCGATTTCGATGATCATCTCCAGCGCTCCAAAGCCAGACGATTACTGCATGCATGACATTTTCATTGACCCCAGACAGTGAACGCTAGGAGCAACATCTTGCCAAGATCGTTTCTCATTCTGCACAGCGGCAACAGGACGGATAGGTGATCGCCTGATAGATCGAGCATAAAGTGAACACATTCTCTGTGGATAGAAGATTCCTCGGAAGTCTTGAACACGACCACATTGATGGCAAAGTAAAGGTAAAGCCTAATTCACGATTTTGGCTCCGATTTTTCGGCGGTCTCAATAACTCATACTCAGCATCAGCATACTTGAGCAGTCGCTGGGATGCAGCAAGAGACCATAAAACGGCGTTGGTGGTGTCAATGTGTGGGTATAACAATGAATGAATGAATGAATGAATGTACCCACTCCAGGGGTGAAAGGGAAGACTACTCTACTTCGATCTACAACGCGCTTCATGGTTGCGCATGATCTCCACCCTTTTGGCCTTTTGCATGAGTGTCATTTCTTCGTTGTATTCCAGACACCATTTTTTGCATTTTCTGCATCGAATTTCTAGCCTATTTGCATCTTTCCACAAGGAGTACACAACGATCATCTTCAGGTTCTGAGAAGTACACAAGCCTCGTAGTCCTCATCAAAGATGTGCGACTTCTCGGAAAAAGGACCATGACTGTCCACTATTGCTCGTCGAGATGAAGGAGATGGCTTCATCCTCATCACCCGACGCCTTCATCGAGTCCCCCTGCTTTGTTTGTCTTTGCAATGGCAATCTTCGCAATGTTCTTGGTTGTGTCACATTTTCATTTTTTTTCATTCTCTTAAGCCTATCCCTTGAATCTCGCATGACAGTGATTAGCATGTGTGCCCTTTGTGCTGTCCTCGACGCTGAGATTAGGGGATCGCGCCAAGTCATATCTTTCTCTGCGACTGCTGCTTCTGCGTAATTATCTCCAACCTCCTCAGCTTGTGCTGGTCTACTTCCTCTAGTCGACCGCAAATCCGCATCCCAGTGTTCTTGTCGTCCCAGTGCATCCGACAATTTGTTTAACACGTCTCGAAAGATAGCGCCAGCTTTTTCTCCTCCTTCTCCAGCTCCAGCAGGGTGGTTACCGTCAACAGCATCACTCGTCAGGCCCTCAGCAGGTACAGGAGGCGCAATCTTTAATCGTTGAAGAGCATCGCTTGACTTTTCTACCCAGCTTTCAGTCTCGTCAGGCTCTAAAAACTTCATACTCAAACTTTCAAGTCGTGACACACTTCTACTTGATATTTCACCGTTCCCATACTTGTTCTGCAGCCATATTCCGTCGTTCCCATACTTGTTCTGCAGCCCCATCACTTTTCCACAATCATGCTTCCTCCTCATCATATTTCCTCCATCACCCTTTCGTCCATCACCCTCCAACTCCATCAGCTGCTTTATACATCCTTCGCAAGTTCGGACACAGTGCTTGTATCGATTCTGACGAAGCATCGGTTCTACGAGATGCAGGATGCCATCTAAGAGGGGTAGGAGAGTGTCTATCGTGTTTGCGCGTCGAATGGTTGAAGATGCAGCTTGGTTCGTTACTGCTCTTGCTCGATCACGCGGTAGCCCACGTGACAAGAACGGGCGAGGGCAAGAGGCAGGAAGAATCTCCATCTTTTTAACTTTGTTTTTGGAACAATTTGCGACAAAAGTATATACAAGCATCAAGGAAATAATTGTATCCGGGGTGGGGCGGCCCAATATCTTAACGGTTGAGGTTACCAGCTACTCGAAAAACTGAAATAACCGAGTAACTACTTGAAATAAGCACACTTGAGCCTGAATAAGGAAGAGTAGCCCTGTCAAACCTACTTACCTCCCTTATTTCAGTCACTTACTCGGTTATTTTCAGTTTTCGAGTACAACAAGCGGAAAACAGACGTCTACGAGCAGAGCATACAGCAACATTGCGAGATGAATCTTCTCACTCGAGGAAAGATCTTCCCTGCAGTTCTTGTATAAAACAGCAACATCAGTAGAGATCGTCTTCTACATTACCACGTCGTTCCATCATGATCCGCGGCGACTCGGATTCCATCACCTCATAACACCTCCCAGACAGAGGCATCTTCTAACGCTCACCACAGACTTCAGTAAGAGACTTTGAAAGCACTCTGCCAGCACACCATTCTAACTCAACCCGAAGGACAACTCACAAAGAGAATACAAGTCTACTCTTTCAACAGAATACGGATATCTGCATTCCTTTGGTTCATTCTTCTTTTTTCGACAATCCGCCGACAGACCACAGAGCGATAGACCTGTCTTCCCAGTTTTCCTCTCTGCATACGAAATAAATTCTCGTCAAAGACACGCACTGGCACTGATTAAATAATAGGGATCTCACCGATGAGCGGTCAGAGACTCCTACAATGGCCGCGAAGGTCTATGTATCAACAAGAATAGAACAACAAATTATAGGAAACAAGAGCAACTCAGTCGAGTGATTGATTACTCTGTTGCAAGTTCGCGTCGTGAGTCTTGTGGTGGCCGTGAACCAACTGTCCATCATTTAGAATTCCTGACTGTACAAATTTTCAAGCAAACGAAAACACAGCAATGAAAGGGTCTGATAAGAGAACGCCATAAAAATCTGCAACTTCACATCCGACCATGGGAAATCAACTAACCCTCGTAGGATGTGGAACAAGTTGTTATATGAACATGACGATCGCGCAAAAAGAAAAACCCAGGGCCCAGGCGCAAACATGATACAACGTAAACGCGCAAAAAAAGATAGTGCGTGTATTTTAATACTAGAACGCGTCGCAAGCGGGCTAGCACTCCAGCTGCCGAGCTCTATTTCCGTCTACGTTGTCGAGGGTAGTATCGTAGCTCCCACTATAATGTTTGCTTTCACGCGACTAGGAGGAATGCCTTGTGCTTGACTCATAGTCTTTGCTGCCTGGCACCCCAAACTTCTCCAGGGATGCGGATGTCCTCTGTAGCCGGAATCGGAGGCGCCCTCAGCCCTCTCTCGTCCAGTACGCGCAAAAATCCCTCGTAGCTACCGGCGCGATGCTCCAGCGGATCGAGGCGGTCTAAAATATCGCTGAGCGTCGTCTCTTCCGACACAAACATGATAGGACCGCACACGTGATGCACGTAAAGACGATCAACTTCCTTTAGTAGCGGGTCCTTCTGCAAATCGAAATCTATTAAATTCTTAACAGACGCGGGTAGATTTTTAATCCGATATCCTCGCTCTAGTGCCATATGGGCGAGATTGAATGCTTCTTGTGCCGCGAGCTCATTCCAACCAGTGAAAAACTTTAAAAATCTCGTTTCGAGCGCTATTTGATAGAAAGTCTGCTCTTTAATATTCTCCGGTGAGTGGCAGCTTGACCAGTGATCCTGCCGAAGGCAGCAGCCCTCCCGAAGAAGCCGATACACAACTCTAACGTCCTTTCGCATCTCACTCGACGAAAACTTTTGATACGCTTTTCCAGTGATGTCTTCCTTAGTTGCTGCGACAAGTGCCTCTACATCGTCCTGAAATTCATGCGGAAGAAACTGCATGCAAAATGCTGCTTTTCCCCCTCGAATGCACGCTTTCAGGAATTCCTCTCGGAGGGCTGAACACACTTCGCTGCCTCGGTGCCGTACTAACCACGACGTCTCCCTATGAGCAATCCCAACAGTGGGGCCGTCCAAATTAGCGTTTGTGTCCCGACGAAGTAAAAACTGCCGTAGTACAGCAGGCGGCCCGCTTGGGCAGTCATGCATCCACTGACGAAAAGCGTCGGGCCTGCGCTTCGCTACACAGTAGAGATGGCTCCACAGCCCGCCTTGGGTCTCTCCCATCCTTTCACCCACCCGAGGTTCGGCACCTATAGCTCTCTCACAGAAGCCTACAATGGCATCTTCGTCAGAAGAACTCAGTAGCCCAGGGGGTCGGGTGAAGCCGAGGGCATCGACCACTAGCGTGTAGAGATCTGGATTCTTTTTGAGCACAGCCAATGCGACAGTTTCTTCGCGCAAGAACCCATATCTTGTCTCGTGATAGAAGATGTCAGCAGCTATGCTGCCGTTAGCAGCACCTGTCGCAGCGAGCACGACCGCGCGAATGGGTTCGATCACATAGGACAGCATACGCGGGTCCCGTGAAACAGCTAGCATCGCAAGACTTTGGTCACCCCGCAACGCTTTCGAAAGGATTTCAAAGACAGTTGCGTTTTGCTTTACAGCTTTTTCTACTATTGCGCGATCAGCGCGTAACTCTCGCGAGCAGTACCGCAACGCGGGCCCTGATATTTCCATCAGCTGCTCAACAAAAACCTTATCGTGTCGAAAGCGTGGGTTTGCAAATAGAAGAGCCCTACCGTTATTGTGGCAACAGGCCGCGCGCACGACGTCGGGATCCCCCCTTAGCCTTTCAGAAGCCGTCGCCAGCACTCCAGGGTATGTCTTCGCTGCTAGAACAACCAGCTCCTTGTCGTCGCGCAAGATCACGGGCGGAAAAGCGCCATTTTGGCACTCCAATATGCGACCATTTTCTGCAACCATTTCTCGCAGAAACTCGCGACTGTGACAGGGCCAGGAACCGTCACTGAAAGCATTCAGTATCAAAGCAGTAAAATCTGCTATTGGTCCCTCTCTTCTGCTCGCCAGATAGTATGAACCCACCAGAATAGCACGCACAAAGGCACAGTTCCCTGCATGCTCTTTAAATGCCCGTCTATAGTCTCGCTTGCAGAGTTTATAGGCACAAAACTCGAAGGCTTTCCCTCTTGCACTTGTCCGTTGCACTGTCATCAGAAACTCGGGATCCCACAGTAGCGATTCTAAAACAGACCAAAATATTTCTTCGCGAGCTTCAGACAACGCCATGAAAGGTGACAGTCGCACCGCCGCAACCATTATTGGCAGATCTCCGAGAATTTCCCTCGGCACAAGGCCAACGAAGCGGCTACATACGCGGACTTGCAGACGACAAGACGACCCATCGGGAAGATTGAAGTGGCGAAACGCCAACTCGTTGTCGCTAAACAAACGCGTGTTCTTGTGGTCTCCGCGGTGAGCGGCACCCGCACGGGACACGATATCCATCCTCGAGCGGTATGTATGAGGTGACAAAAGTCCATCCCCGCCGTACCCATCATATTCCCACTCAAAAGTTGAGAGTTGTATCTTCATCTCTGAGTCGCGGCTATGAAAGTATTTCTCTAAACCTTGCAATGCTTTCAGCCACTTTGCTTTCTGGTGATCAACACCAGCATGCAACTCGTCATCAGCAACTAGCGCACGCGGCAGAGCGTCAGCGAAGGTAACGTTTTCTGAATCAAAGAACAGCAGCACATGCTGCCATGGAACGCCAAGAAATTCAGCTGCCTTCTGGCGCAAAGTATTTCTGGTTTCTGCTGTGAATTCCAACTCGTTTTCCGTCGTTTCAGCCACAGTTTCCGTGATCAGCTCGCCACTTATGTTAAGTAGCCGTATCAGGGGCCCAATCGGCCCACCACTGTCGTCGGTCGACACATCATCTACAGCAGGTTCGATCCTGCTCTCAACATTTTCGGGCACCTTAGTGTCGCCCTCGGAAAATATCATTTTTCTAGAGGTCGCTGTAGTGCAAATTCATCTTATTTAAGACTGTGCGAGTGAGTGAATGAATGTGCCTAGCGCGAGGTGGTGCAAGTTGTGTTTTGTGTCGCAGCGAGGTGTGCAAGTTGTGTATAACGACGATCAAGGAAGTGTAAGGATTCAGAACAGCACTGCTCTACTAGTCCACAAACGCTGCTGCGGTCGGGAGGAACCATCCTTTTCAGTGAAAACGTAGCTAGGACACGATCAAGGAAAAAAAACGCGAATCCTTTTCAAGTGAGCGAAGAAAAAGGGCCTAAAAATAACACGCGAACCGCTACTATCACAGGGACCCGAATGAAACCGCTTGGAAATACTCAAAACAGACAATATACATGAATTGGTCAAGTACTTCCTAATGAAAAGTCCGCCTGGATAGGAAGATGCAGAAAAGGATGACAACTCTGAGTGTTACCTCGTTGTGCGGGTGGGTTCTCTAGTGGCCACGACTAACAATAACGTCGCGCTTTTTGTGGACTCGTTTTCGAACGATGGGCTTCTTTTTGTTTTCATATAATATTATTATTTTTCACCGTCTTGGCAAAAAAACAACATATCACACTCGCGCGCATCAAGGTTGCATGATACCTGAATAATAAGCTCATCTTTCGTGAACGTGTGACAGAAGTATTTCTACGGTCCTAGAGCTCTCTCTAGCGGGCACGCTAAAAACAGAGGACCGCATTCTGGTGCAGAAGTTTTTCTACCGACACTCCAACTGCTTCTTCTAGAGGCAGGCAACGCTGTAGGCGACAGCAAACCCCGCTAGGAGCACTGACGTACATATACGAACAAAACCACGCGCGCAGATGAATTGCACCACACACATCCAACTCTTTGGTGTGTGTGGCATTTTCTTTTTTTTTGTCGTCAGACTGGGTCATGAGGGTCCGCCTCTTTCGCTCTAAAAATACAAGACATCACGTCGACGCTGTTGATCAACATCAGCGTTTTTTTGTCCGAGAATTCCGTCTGAACTTTTAGTGCAAAATGAGACTCTAGACTCGAAAATCCAAGGCACAATCATGAAAGGTCATCTCTTGGATATTCACGCAGTAGTCTCCAGGTCCTCTCCTCGGTTCTCCAAACGCATCGTCATTTTCGGAGAAACTGATGTCTCGGATCTGTTAGAGTGTCGGACTTCCCGCAACGAGGTACATGTGAGAAAAGCGTCGATTCTCGAAAACGGAATCCCAGAAGCAAGCTTTTTCTCTTCTTCAAGGCACGCTGACCGCGGTGATGTTAGACTTCGAATATCATCCCTGAAGATGGTCAGTCTCAGTCACTATTTGAAGATTTAATCGAAGAGATCGAACTCCATGTCATCTTCTTCCTCCTCTGGCGGAGCTTCTTCCTTCTTCTCCTCAGCAGCTGCGGCGCCACCAGCAGCGGCAGCACCGCCAGCAGCGGCACCACCACCGCCACCACCGAAGCCCTGGAGCTTTTCCTTTCCGGCAGCGATCACCTCGTGGACGCACTTGCCTGTGGTGTGAAAAAAGATGGATTTGTTGTGATGCGCTTTGGCAACAAAGCTAGAATAAGATAATCACCAAAGTCGCATAATTAATACCAAAATCCAAGTAGACCTGGACCTTTCTCCTGAAATAGAAATCTACTGCGTCTAAATCAACTATTCCCAAATCCGTGAGGATGAGGGCCCGTGGAGGGTAATTTGCCTTCAGGAGTTGCTGATTCTAGAAGATGTCCGACGGGCTTTTGATCTAAATGAAACTTCCTAACGGTAGCAGTACTGGATCGTCTTCTAAAATTTCTAAAACCACACTATGTATAAACAAGTACCCTTCATCTCAGAGCAGAGCTTTTCAGCCAAGGCAGAGTCGAAGTCACCAACAGACTCGATGACCTTCTTGAGGTCGGCGGCAGTCGGTTCCTCCTTTCCGGCGAGGACCTCCAAGAGGTAAGCGGCAACGTACTTGAGACCCATTTTTAAGAGTGTCTAAGACTTCTTAGTCTGACGTAGTTTAAACCCGAATATGAGGGTCCAAATTGGTCCTGTGGAATCGATAGCAGAGGAGGTTATGATGGAGAATGTTGGAGTTCGGAGAGTCAAAAAAATGCTTTAGCCTTAGTGGCGATGGACAGCCTTTATCTATAAATTCTTCACAGAGCATTAGCGGACATACAGCAGCTTCAGGTCCCCCCAAACAGATCAGATTTAGGTGGTCCTTTAACTACAGATCTTGCTCGATCATACTTCAGTTTCAGATCTGATTGTGAATGCGAACTCAGGACTCATGAGGATCCTTCTTTAGAAGGGCGTTAGGAATGTTGTCCAGGATGTCCCTTACAAGATGATATTTGAACTTGAAGAGGCAGGAGAACAAGAAGAGGATCCTTCTTTCGAATTTAAAAGGCGGCCATCAATGGCTTCCACAAAGAGATCTTTTGAAAATTTAGATTTTCGAACGAATTCTTTTTTTTACAAGGGATCTTCTCGTTCTGCTAAGGTACGCTGCCCGCGGGTCAGACTACGAACGTACGATCACAATGTAGCCTCTTTCCAGGACCTAATTTTGGAACGTCGTCTCAAATTTTAGCATCGCCAAAAAATACAGTGTTTATCGTTCGAGAACCATCTCTATATGAGTCATCATGTACATCATGTCGGAAGATGCACGACATCGAAGTTGCGGTTGAAATCCGTCTTTTTCATTCACAGGTCTCTGAGCAACATGATAAAATTGCAAAACCTAACAACAGAGTGGGATAACTGACAGGAGTAAAGCTAAGCCAGACTAGTTTCCTGGGAACAATTAAAGAACGTGCATCGCACTGATTTCCTCCTATTACAGCGTTTTACTCTTCGACACACAATTTGACGACAGGCGGCTGTACACACGAAGCTATACATTTAGAGGAATCAATCACTCACCATCACCCAGCAACACTAGCAGCGGCAGCGCACATTTTCAAAAAAATTACAATTAGAAACACTTCCATGTTTTCTCACGTCCCCGCCTAGCAAAATATAAATTCTCAACCAGAATGCAATGCCATGCCACCTGACCTAAATTCATCAAGCGCCTCCACTTGGTGAGTCTCCTTTTGATTAATCAAAACAGGATTATTTAGTTGCCACCCTCCCCGAGAAAATCCCCAAAGCTCTTTCGCGCTGTCTTAATCGGCGTAACCACGGCAGCTTGCGCTATCTGAGTCACCCTGTTATGATGTGATACGAGTGCGCCAAAAGCAATCCCAGAACAGACGAATCAGATATAATAGATGAAAAAATTAAAAACGCCACCCCTGTGCGAACAATATAGGCTTGCTTGTAGCGGACCAAGATTCTCTCGCGTAGCCCTAAACCTTAGGCGCTAACCCTTACGCCAACTCAACAGAAGACACAACCTCCAGACATAAGTTGCCACCTGCTCTTGTTGCCCACAAGTACTAGCGGATCCGCCAGAGTCGTTGTCGAGAAACCATTTTTGGTCGAGTCGGTCAATTGTGCCGTCGGCCCGTAACATGGTGACGATGTAACGACCGATGGCGGACACTAGCAAGAAATACATCGGTTTCTCCGAGGAGTAAAGTCCCAGTAACTCAGGAGAGTCGACTTTAAGGCCCAGTACCCTTCAGCACGATCAACATTTCCGTATCCACCTCGTAGCAAATTGATTCAGTCAACGCCCACGACGTCACATTCTGAGAAATTCACTCGCGAATGAGGCTCAGAACTAAAGGCGCTAAATAAGCGGTAGGTTGCAGGAAGTGTAGACTGCAAGCAGAGGAACCTCGTGCCGCCGCCAGGCCCAGCGCTTCGTCATATAGAACCCCAGCGCACTTCCCACTCCGAAGAAGACCAGCTACCATTTCAGAATGAGTAACACTCTCCCGACGGGAAACAAGATCTCAATCACGGCCACTAGATTTGCGGTCATACAGGTATTCCAGTCCTCGAAAATCCAAATTCAGTACATAGTTGGAAGTTTGGTACCGTCCGGGGTAAAAGTATCCATCATCGCCAAACGTATTTGTGGGTGGAATGCACGGAATATGCTGGGCATAGCGGACCTTTTTAGGGCACATACGGAGTGTGACTATTTGATATCCCTGTAGCTTTTGATAACAGCCGGTGCTGACTCGGGCAGACTAAGGATCGCAGCGAGAGCAGCAGTATATTAAGCCGTGCCGAAAATAAATGAGAAAAAGCCAAAGCCGAATAGGACAGGCCATGAAAGGGGCTAGTGCTACTACCACCTTGGAACTAATGGCCCGATGATCGATGGCGATTGCAAAAAACAGGTCTCTTACGTCGCCTCATCTAACCGATGTAACACCATATTATTCAGGATCTATTTCAAGCAGAAATCAGACTAGCAAAAGCAAAACCCGAAGTAGTTTTCCGGCGTAAGTACATTTGTTGAACTCGCTCCGCGTGGGGCGCTTTTCTCGCTAAACCAGCTAACCTGCATCAAAGACACGCTTGGTTCCCTGAAAAACTAGTTCAAAAAATGACGCTCCTTTCTCCTCTTTCGAAAACAGTTGTTGTTTAGGCGTTGATTCACCGGCCACCAATCTTCATAAGACATGATGAACCACCAAGCCAATCCCCTCGTCGAGGTAGGGCGTTGTCCACCGGAGCCCAGTGCCACATCGCGGACTCGTATGCAAATGTGCGGCCCAGATAAATTCGGCAGCATCGTCTTCAAGCAGCAGTTTCTTGACACTGGACTTTTTTTGACACGTAAAATTATGAGGACTGCGGTACAGTAAGTATACTGCAGTTCTGGCCCATTCACAAACTTGAGTCCTGCTCCTACATTCGGTGGAAGCGTTGTATTTCAAAAGCGTCTGATTGCTATAAGCAGCGCCAGCGCCTTCAGTACTATTAGCAGCTTCACCTCCTGTTCCACCACTTGCGATCATGCTCGCGACTCTGTCATATTTATACGCGACTCTTTCATGTTTGTATGCACAAGTTCCGCGCACGCTCGCGCCTCTTCTGCCGATTTAGGTTAGGTTAGGTGTTGGTCCACTAGATAAACCAGCAGACTTCAGTGGCTACTGAAGAGCCAAAAGGACCATCTATGAAAGAAGCTGCTGCACTTGCAGCTCTTGCACAGAGTAATTCAGGAATAGTAGGAAGTATCTGCGAGAGGAATGCGCTTGTACGAGCGGATTCAGGAATAGTAGGAAGTATCTGCGAGAGGACATCTTTATTCATTGAGGTAGTCGGGCTAAAGGGCCGCTATTTCCGTTTGCCAAAGTGAGACGAACAATTTCGCAGCAACGTGTACTTCGATTTTGACTTTTTTCTCCTAACCTTTCTCCGTTCTGCTTTGATTTACTACTGGTTTCTAGCAGTAATTTTGAGTCTCGAACCGATGCTACCTTACAGAAGAGCCTTGTTACCTTGCTTTTCTCGTTACCTCTGCAGGGTACCGATCGAGGTGACCGAAAGATGGGTAGATTCTGCATGAAGAGGGCGCTTTCCATAAGCTGCTGAGGGGGTGACGTCTTAGTCTTAAGTATGGCGACTTGCCCTTTTTAATGGGAAGATTTTGGATATCATGAGAAACGGGGAATGGGAAAAATCATATGCGTTGTGTGAGTTGTCCGTAGTATTATGCCTTCCTTATGAAATAAGCGGTTCATAGTTTCAATGTTGCGCACAAGAAGAGGTCACAGTTTCATTCCTTTCGCACAACAAACACGTCATCCATCGTGGTTTCTCTTCCACGCTTTTCATCCCTGGTAGGTCAGGTGCGGCACATCATGCCCCTGAACAGATGAGCGGATCAAGCTTTTGATGCTTATTTTTTGTCTAAGCTCTCCTTTCATCTACTTATTTGCGGTCGTGCAGCTCAGTGTCTCTAGCACTACTTATGAGTCGCGTCCTCACACCCCCTATCCCTACTATCCGCTGACCCTCGCCCCCAAGTACAAGCGCGCTTGATTCTGGATGTCTGGTGGCAGCATGTTGAACTGCTCCGGTGTCAACCGGCTGATTCGCTCCAACAGCTTCGCCCTTTGCTCCTGCGTAATGCTGGCTCCGGCAGCTGCTGCTGGCGCTGCACTATAGGCTGGTCGACCTCCAGCTCCGAGGCTAAGACCTCCGCCTGATCCTCCATAGCCGCCTGAAGATGATCCACCTCCATACATCGAACCACCTCCATAGGCAGATGAACTAGCACTGCTGCCATAACCTCCTAAAGACCCACCACCACCGCCATAGCCGCCACCCCCACCACCGTAACTACCTCCATAGCCTCCTCCTCCGCCATTGCTTCCGCTATAATAGCTTGCCATAGAGCCGTAGCCACCTCCTGCTCCTTTGGATGAACCGTAACCGCCGTAACCTCTGCTGCTGGAGACAGGGCCATAACCACCTTTATTCAAGCCTGGCATTTGCGGCATGGGAAAATTCAAGCCGCCGCCGACTCCTGAAGGACCTCAGTACAGAGTAGGAGGTTCTTGACGTTGATGACATTCTTGTAAACTAACTCGTTCTCCTGGTCGTCAATTTAAGCATGAATAAATAGACTTGTTTCTTCATCTTGTAGTTTGAAAAAAAAATATGATTCTTTCTGATGTAAAAAAAACTACACGGTAGAAGCAATACCCATCCCCGGACTGGGCATTCTGTTTGCGTTTGGTCTCGGTCCTACATTCGACGTGGTCCAAAACCGATACTTCGCAAGCTTGTCTTGAATTTCTTTTGACTTTGTCTTGGCCAACTCTATTTCCTCATTTGATAAAGGCAAAAAGTTCATCCGCTCCGGCAATATTCCGACTACTGCTTGCGCATGCAGCAAGGCGATGCACATCTCGCCGTTTTGAGTGAGCAAGGACATCGCGAAGTCAGGAGCTTTGGCGATCTGGTGTCGTTGTGGGGGGTAGGAAATGGAAAAGATAGAAGGAACTCGATATGAAAATGATAATGAACTCTACTCTCGTCGTGTTCATCTGTTCTCGTAAAACTGATCACATTGTTCTTGATTGCTACTAGTTCTAGTACAAGGGCTTTTTCCCTACTATATATTAAGTTGTAGCCCTTAAGTAAGGCTAAGGGTGTAGACTCAGTACGTCTCAGTGAAGATGTGGAAACTTGTACGAGAGATGATTGAGTTGGTGGAGGTAAAAATACCACTTTCCTAACATGTCGCAATAATTGCTGCAGTTCGTTGACTGAGACATTCTCCACTGGTTCGAACTTCCGCTTTTTCAAGTCGGGGCCATGGGCGTGGTCGGGAGAACTCCTGTCACGTTTCCCTGGAGGCGCTGCTAAAACGTCCATTTTGTTGCCACGACGTGGAAGAAGAAAATTAAAACACTACTGCTGGAATAGATGATACACGACAAAAAGTGGAGGGAAAATAAATCAGCCACAAGAAAAATCGAAAGTAGAACTTCAATCACACCTTCTTGATTAAGATTGGCTTCGCGAGTCGACCCGGGAAACCCCTCTCCTCGTCCTCTTCTCCAGCTTAAAGACCTATCAAACCTTCAAGTCGAACAAAACAAATAGGAGTGCCACTCTAACACTGCCGCAGCCTGGTTGGTGTAGTTTTGAAGTTGGATTATGGACTTGTGTTTGTGAGTGTACAACAAGGAGTTAGTTGTAGAAGAACATGTATTGAGTTTTGTCTTTCATGTCTATCTTCATACACTGGTCATGATCAGTTTCCTGTGTAAAGATATCGAGATATCAACTGCCTCCGATGTGTGTAGCGATAGTGGTTTCTTCGGTGCAAGCGCAAGTCCATGAACGAGTCTTCCACCAAATCCTTTGTTATCAAGCCCCACGACGTCGCATCATCGTGGCACTTCCTCTCCGCGCTACGACAGTTGAAGCGCAACTAGCCGCCCCTGGCAAGAAAATATTAACGACTACCGCGTTGTATCTCTGCCAAAGTGAGTACTTACTACTTCTTGAAAGATGATCCTGATCTTGATTTCCCGTGTTGATCCGCCACTTCTGCATTTTTTACCGTAGTATTCCGCTACCGCCTCGCTCTTCCGCCACACCTCACTGTCACCGACTCCACTGCCGCCAGCCCTTGCAGCTCCTTCCAACCCCTCTAGTACATTTAGCCCTTGTAAGCGCGAACAGCGGTGATCAGACCAGCGTCATTGAATTGGATGATGTCCGTCACCTTGAGGGTCTCCGAGTCCGACACCTTGACCAAGATCTCACAGGCAGCGGCTGGACCAAGATCCGACTTCGATTCAAAAATGTTCAGAACCTCGATCTTAATCGCAGGAACGGCTTTGAAGATGTTACCTGCGGAGGCTATAGTATCTATCTGGTCTCCACATCACTTCTTATGTAGAGTTCTGCTAGCGACAGTCTCCACACTTCTTATGTAGAGTTCTGCTAGCCGCGACAGACCATTGTGCTATAGACTGCGCAGGTAACATCTTCAAAGCCGTTCCTGCGATTAAGATCGAGGTTCTGAACATTTTTGAATCCCTCGATCTTAATCGCAGGAACGGCTTTGAAGATGTTACCTGCTGCGGAGGCTATTATACAATCAGCTCCTGTCGCTAGCATAAACCATACAGAAGTGATGTGGAGACCAGATAGATAGATAGATAGATAGATGTACCCACTACCACAAGTGTTATGACAATGACGAGTAAGAAGACCACAGGTGTTATAACGTAGCAGCAGATCATGATGATTCCTTGTAAATATTTCCGTGGGTGAATTTAGGCACAAGAAAACCATTAGCTTCCACAACTTTGCTCTTTCCTTCAGCGGCTATATCCCAATCGCGAAGTGTGACCTTTTCATCCAACGTCTCGCCCAAGACGCCAAGATCCTGGCTGTTCCAGGCCTCGAAGTACTTACGGGCAAGAGCGTCAGTCGCTGGCATCTTCTTGGGTAGCAGTTAGAGACGAGATCCGAGGATTCTTCTGTGGTAGAGGTTAACGGACGTTCTTTTGAAGTTGGTTGGTTCTTGAACTGTTGTCGTTTCTCGTTGTGCCAGAGCAGGAGCTCTACTACAATTACGGCGTTGACCTTGGTTTGTCAAAGAATCAAACTATAATTTCTCATAATTGATATTCTCAAACGCAGCAGTCGAAGCTCCACCAGAGTTGAGTACGATTTTTTCGCAAAGCGCAACGGCGTAGTCAGTACGGGTAGCCAAGAACGACAGCAAGATTAACCCCGAGAGGAAAACCAAATTTCTGATGAAGACTGAAATAGAGAACCCCTCTTTAATGTTGTCTGATGAATTCTTAGAAGTGGTCTTTGATGTAGTTGGAGACATGATTCCAGATTCAAATTGCACGTCGTAGAAGAAGACAGTCGCAGCAGTAAGCAGTTCTTGATAATGTAGATATTACACCAACACTTGGAATAAAGCTGATTGATACACCAGACGCTTTTTCAGATTTCTTTGCGTCAGGGATCAAGGCAGAGATCTTTCATTTGTTTTAGAAACGCACAAGGGATCTCCTGCTTCAAAAGTGCAGAAAAATCTTCATCCAAGGGCATAGTTGCAACAAACCGACTGGTCCAGCACAAAGCACCTATACTGATGGACAAGGACATTGGCAATGCGTTGGGAATAGCCGTCTTCGCATACGCATTAGACACAAGAAACTCGAAATTCCAGAACACGAAGTTATAATTCAATGCAAGCAGTTCACGCAAAAACGTCCTTTGCGGATATGTTGACGATCATAAGCCATGTAGTTCATTGGAGGCGTTTTAAAATTTCATTTTCACGTAAGCGAGGTGGAGTTTCATCCCCAACATGGCGCAGTTGTATGTGAGTCACTATGTAAAAGGTCGTGTTAGAGCACAGCAATGTTGATCATCGTGTTGGTCACCATAGAATTCCCATATGTGTTGTTACGCAGCGACCACCACCCTAAGTCAGTGATTCAGTTGCTCCTTCAACATTGGCCGTTGGCCCAAGGCAATAGTTACAACTCCATCAACTACCTTCCTGCCTCGGAGCAAAAATCATAGTTTTCTGAGAAGTTGTCGCAATAATATGCCTCACCGAAGGTTCATCAGGATCAGCGCTGGCGCAACTAGACCAAAATAAAAATTTCAATGCTCATATGTCGGAATAACCTCGACGTCAACCTACCAAACGCAAGCAAAAAAGGACCACAACGAAACACGGCAGTCTTATGATGACAAACAAGCTGTCGACATCGTGCTGGTAAACTTTTTTGCTTGCCATAGTAGATAAAGCAGTAGAGTTCAATACTATGGGGGTACTTCCTATCACTCACTAGTGCAAGGGAAAAACTGGAGTGGTCACCAAACTTTTAGATGAAGAGGATGAAGTAGTTCTACTTCATCTAGTTGCACAAGTTGTACTTCTAAACACCTTCTGCACCAAACTGTTTGAGACGATCACGAAGTTGTCAACAGTGTCAGTCGTGTCAGCTTCCCCACGGCGTGTAATTGTAGAAAGGATGCTCGCCCATCTCTAGCCTCCATCCTGCGAGCAAGAGCATTGCCGGCACTGGCAAGGAAACATGCCACAGTGTGTGCCAATAGAGGTAGGCGTTGAAGTGTTTCTCTACCAGAAGTTTCTGTATCGTTAGCTGACTATAACCACTACCAGAACCAGATTTTTCGCCAACATCTCCAGAATCTCCCGAGCATGATCCTGTACCAGCTGAACATGATGTTGAGGTCATCTCCATCTGTTGTATGCTATCTGAAGAGGACGTCTTGTAATTTGAGGAAGAGGATGCCACAGAACTAGAGGCACAGGAACTACTAGTTGTGCTCCCTCCTGTGCAAGATGACAAGCTAGGACTTGTTGAGAGACCGACTCCTGGTTTGTCTTCGCGGCTCCTTGCTCCCTCAGTCGCTTCATGTACTGAGTCAGGAGATGATGGCGCATCCTGGTTTGGATCCTTCGGTTGCTGATGTGCTGCTGCTGCGATCACTCCCACTGAGGATGGTAATGTTGAGTCATTCATCTTACCATTACTACCTGCCACGTTGTTCGACGCCTGTTGAAGTTCGACAACTTGCACTTCCGTCCTCGTATCGCCACCTAATGCACCAGCGTCGTCCTCACTGCTACGATTTAACTCGTATTCTGCAGCGTTTCCTGCGGCTGATAAAAGATCGCCGAAGTGTGACGAGCCGATGAAGAATATCACCAATGAGGAGCACACTGCGCTGGCGAAGAGCAGATGAGAAAGGAGGTCCATGGGCAGCAAAAACACCTTTAAAGCTTGCAGCAGAAACATCATCGTGGCACAACAGCGATCGACCTGTCAACATGTCGTGATAACAAAAACAAAAACGTTAGAACAAACAAAGGAGATAAAGTCCAATTTTTCGATTTCCAAAACTCTTGAACTTTCAATTTCAAAATTTCGAAATCTGAAATGTAACAAAACTCTAGAGACTCTCGTGTTCGACGACGTCTGAAAATCAAGAGCTATAAATCAAATACCGTGCTCGCAATTTTGTCCAGCCCGAAGCAATAAACGTCGTTCCAATAGCTTATTGGGCCTTGTATGACTAGCGCCGCAGCTTCAATATACCACCACCCACCGAAGTCTGGGACTGTTGTTTGTTGATTAAGGAGAAGATCATGACCCACCGGAGCCTGGGACTGTTGTTTGTTGATTAAGGAGAAGATCATGACCCACCGGAGCCTGAATATTAAAAAATCTTGCTATTTTCACCCGCCTGCTTCTTTGGTAAAACACTGAAAGAATTCCAAAAGAAAAAAGTAAAGTACATTTCTTCCTCATGACTTCAGCCGTCAAGAAGAGGTAGAGACCGGCGAGTGAGTAGAGGAACGAAGACGATAGGAACCACCAACAATTATGGGCCATGTGGCAGTAGCCTTCTCTTCTAAGGAAATCGTCTGACAGTCCATTTCCGTCTTCGCGCTCTGTAGGAGTAGTTGATGGTGGATTCATGTGGTTTGACATGGAAAAAAGCTGATAGTAGATAGTTCTTCTTGTTGAAGATAGATTATGGATTTGGATAGCACATTAGTTTTAGTATTCAAGAATAGGAGCGAGTTGTTTTCCTTCCTCAAAAAAAACTCTAATTATCGCCCGTACACCGAGCAAAAAATCAATTTTCTAAATCAGAACTACTCAATCTCCTCAATTGGCCGTCCAAAAAATCAATTTTCTAAATCAGAACTACTCAATCTCCTCAATTGGCCGTCCAAAAACGCCATTGTTTGGAGTTTTCGTAGCTCTATCGCGTTTCGTATTATCTGCCATGGGGGCTGCTGGCTGGGAGACGTTCGGCCTTTTCGTGGCGTGGAAGAGGAGCTGGAGAACGACATCTTGAGAGTCTGCGTAAGCGTAGTAGAACTCTCGGGTAGAGTTGGGGATGCTAATCCTTGAGGGGATGAATGACCGAGTTGTAGCTATGAATCGGTATGTCTCGGAGTAGGGTGTAGAAGTTCGTGATGTAGTTCGTTCGCAGGAGTGGATGTGAGGATCTTCCTTATGTTCCGTCAGAAGATGTGCTGATTGGCGTAGTCGCTTCGTGGTACCAGGAATGCGCTAGTAGAATCAAGATCCAAGTGGCCTTGGCCTTGGGCGGATGATAGATCTTCACTCAAGGCAGTTCGTTCGTATGATGATCAGGATGACGAACTGCCTGTTGAGAGTTGCGACAGGTCGGCGTCTGCGGCTGTAAGAATCGCTCCTATTCGTGTCTTGTTCAAGTCGCTGTCGTAGCACGTCGTTCGATCGTACTAGGGAACCATCATGAACTTGTGTCGGCGTTGACTTTATGCACAGGAAATCAATCGTTGGAAGATTGGGATTCATACCGACTTCACCAACGTTTAACACTAAGGGGTAATTGTTTGTCACGCACCTGCTACAGAAAACAGGTTTTGTCACTCAGCGAATCTACTAAGCGCTGAGGTATCAAAAGAATTTCAAATTTCCCAAAAAACCAAGAACGCTTTTTTATAGGTCACGGAGAATTAATACAGTTTCCGTTTCTTCACACTACTACGACATATGCTGCGCGCCTGCTGCATCAAAGGTAGATTGTAACTGAAAGCCTTGTCCTATGCACGTTCTTACTTGTCCCAAGCCATCCACTACATGTACAATGACTATGTTATAAATAATGTGGATGTTCCTGCGCCATGAGATACAATGATTTCCCTAAAATAGCCCAAACACAATTATAGATAAGTACACTCTCCAAAGAAAAGAAACAACCAGCTCGACAATGGGGAGAAAGAAATGGCGGTGAACTTGGGGGTAAAAGAAGATCTTCTGAATCTGAAAAGCTCTGAAATGAAAAAATGAAGATCTTGTGGCTAGATGGGAGGATCATCAACATTTTCCAGGTCATGATCGTCAACAATTTAATACTCACGTTACGTAAGAACCAATTCATACTCATGTCACGTCATCTTCATACTGTCACGTTACGTAAGAACCAATAATTTCAGGACGTTAATCTCTCAGAAAAATCAGTAGACACTCGCCAGACACTTCCTCCAAGACAGCAACACCAGAAACTCGTTTTCTTCCCAGATTCGTCTTGTTTTTAGCACAAGAGTAGACAATCTCTCGTCACACCTACACACCACCTAGAAGACAGTTGTCCAGCAACATCTTTACTACCGGCTCCGGCAAGGCGTAGCAGATGCGCCAGTCACTAACAAGAAGTGCTGTAGATAACATAAACATTTTATATAACAGAAGCATCGGGAAACAGAATTGTCATTTCTCTCTTAGCTCTCAGGTAACACTGTTACAGTAAAAAGCTTCGTACACAAGTCCTTACTGACAATTTGCGAAAACGAAGTGCGTTGTGTGCGCCTTATGCGTCAGTCCAAAAATCATCAGAAGTATTCAGAGGTGCTTAGAAGTGATCCAGAATCTGAGGTTGGTGCTTCGAAGTGAAAACATAAATTCGATTTGAACGATCATGGCCTAGACTCTAGAGCTGTAGGGATGATATGACATTCATTATCAGCTTACCGTTACCCGTGAATGGCGTTATGATAACTTCTATTGCGAGGATTCATGACACGAGTAGATCGCTGAAAAGTCACGACACAACCAGGTTGTATTGCGACAATTCTTCATGACACGATTAGATCGCTAAAGTCACGACACAACCAGGTTGTTGCTCTTAAAATCTTGTAATGTAACATTGAATCGGATGAGGACTTCCACACTATCTTCCGCACGTAGCTGCGCTTTGCTCTTATTCGGAGTCGAAACATAAAGCTGTTCATGCTGCTCATCCACAAACTCAGGTACTTCTGCTAGAAGCTGCTGCCTGAGGACGTCTTCGACTGGCCGCCAACACTGTACGATCAGCTCATGCCCGCCGGGTCGCGTTCCGGTTAGAAGATTCAGCTTGATGAGTGTCATTGGAGACTAAGAATAATGATTGAAACCGAAGAAGACCAAGATCTTTGAATTCTCTCAAACAAAAGGTATGTCAATAGAGCCAGAACTCTAGCCTTTATCCGCGACGGCTTAGATGTCACGTGAGTGACAAGAAGAGACGAGAGGGCATTTGTTGTTTTTTGTTTCCTATGAAAAAATTTTGTAGCAGTTCTAGTATCCCAACAAAAACAATTAGAGGAGCAAATTAATCCCAAAAAAAATTATAGGTATAGGTTATAGACCTTAAGTACCTCTATTGCCCCAAGTAGAAGCTTTACTGAACCGCTCATAATGGAACCAGAACTTGTCCGTATCCTGCTACTTGGTTGCGGCCGTCGCCGTCCTTGCCACGGACTATAACCTCCAATCTGGGCCATCCTTCTAGGGAAAGCGCCCTGATCGTGGATATGGAAGCTATGTTGATTTTGGGAGTATTTTTTAGACAAAAAAAGATGGCCGTAGCGGTAGCTGCTCCTATAATCGCTCAACTATAAGTAGAGAAGACGATAGTACGCAAAATGCGCGTCGAACGGATGATTCCACACGCACATGCCGTTATGCCCGTCGCTGATGAACGTTTCACCTCTCTCGTCGCCAGCAAGTAGCCACCAGTTCGCACGGATGTACCTGAAAGTTCAGAAGCTATCGTCACTACCTGGCTGTGTGTTCCTTCATCTGATCAACTTGAGGGTCAGAAAGCAAAAGGTTCAGCCCCTTTTTAGTGGTTGACCTTAAACACTTGATGAATGTATCACGTGTAGCGAGTAGAACATTGTAGTTACTCAATATGTATGTATGTATGTATGTAAGGAGACTAGAAACACGCTGGGTCTTACATACGAAGATGCGGCAAAGCAAGCAGCCCAGTGCGACGAAGGGGTCTTATACATTTGCTTTTGCGGCGCTTCAGTGGGCCCGTGTTGAGTCACCAGGGGAACTCAAGGCCGGGTAGGGGCCATGCCGTCACGCGCGCGCGTGTTCCAGAGGGCGGAAAAGAAGAACTCTAGCGCAAGCTGACGAGAATACGGTGGATCCCGACTGGAATACGAATATTTTAGCACCTACTTAGCGGGCGATCTTAATAAACACTTGAATGCATATGCATATGCATCGCGGAATACTCCCCAGCACTACCCCAATAAATATCAGTTTGCTCTATTGGGGGTAACTTTGTTAACAATAATAATAATGTTTTGAACCGATGAAGACCAAGATCTTTCTATTTCTTTAAACAAAAAAATATGTTAGCCTTAATAGCACCTGAATCGAAAGCTGCAGTAGAGTTGTGTCATACCAGTCGCACATATACCCGCACACTCCACCTCCCCATTCACGTAGACCTGCGGTCTGCATTGCGGCAATTTCCTAGGCGCACTAGGATCCCTAGCCGAGGCAGCCGTTGGCCTCGTCGACGAAAACATTTTTAGTTCTTCGGATTAGATAGTAACATCTTGTTGTTCTTAAAATAGTAGTGTTAGTTGTTTTACTTGATTTTCCGCTCATCGGGAAGGAACGAAGCGCATGCTAAGTCTCTCTAGCTGCTCATGTCAAACAACTCGCACTTGTAGTTGTCTTCATTGACTCTCGCGAGTTGTAGTGCACATGATAATCAAAAGCAATCTTGTCTCTCTCTCTCCCTCTCAAGTATTCTCTCCTCGGGGTAACTATTCTTCTCGCTCTGGGAAAGCTCCTGACTTGCTCACGACAACATTCGCCGGACTTGTTGCGCTTCATGTCTTTACAGCCATAAAAGCAAGCTGGTACTGGTACAGTCTCTGATACAAGAAGATTGTTGAAAGAAAATTTGGAGCATGCTGGGTACTACGGAGTAATGATGTAATTCATGACAGTCGGGTTGGGCACATATATTTGTTGATGTTGTAGTGCGTCTGTTTATAGTTACACGTTGCTGATGCCAGCTGATGATTTGAATCTATTCGGCGGGCTGCCTAAGATTTCCCAGACGAGTTCTACCCGCTAGTCTATTCTGGGATAATAATCTAGAAACTTCTACTTTGCATGGAAGCCAGAACCAAGTCTTACAACAGGACTTCCTCCCACCCTTTATGAGCAAAAACTTTCGACGTAGACGTGTCACAACTCTTCAGTCACTGAAGAGTCCTCCCGCATCCTCCTCAGGCTCTTCATCTACCTTCCGCTTCTTCTTTTCTGGCATGGTTTCGAAAATATCCGTCTTTTGCATCGTGGTCTTAGCAAGACGCTTGAAGTTGTCGGTTGTGCTGGTTGATGCGCTAGTTGTACCCTTCTGTGCAGGTAGTCCACCTTGTTCCTTGCCCTTTATGCTGGTACCCTTTTTTCCTTCTTTACCGGGAAAATTCTTGGACCCCTTACCATTCATCGATGACAAAGAGCTAGATGTTGGCCCACCAGTTTTCCCCAATGTATTTGCAGCTCCTTTTCCTTTCAACATGTGTGCAGAAGTAGAGGACGATGTCGAAGAAGCAGATGCTCCTCCATATTTTCCACCTTGTTTCATGTTCCTCATCATAGAAGAGCCTGAAGCTGATGAAGATGAGGACGCTCCTGCTCCTGGTGCTGTTCGAGATGAACTGGAAGATAGTCCTCCCAGAGCGCCCGCTATGAAAGAAAAAAGTGCACTCACACTCAAAAAAAGTGGCTATTTTCCTACATATTAGATCATAGCCGATTCCTTGAGTGTGAGTGCACTTTTTCGTTTCATACCCGTCGATCCCGTTCTAGTAGTTCCACTGGGAAGAGTCACTTCGTCAGCATCGTCGTCCTCATCCTCGTTATCTATCAGACTCGCCAATGCGGCAAGCTGGGGATCCTCCGAAGCGAGGAGTTTCTTCACCTTTGCCCCTAGTCTATGACTTCTGCGTGGGTTATTCTCGTCGAACTCGTCCCCTTCTTCACTCGATTCCCCCCCTTCGTCATCTTCCTCGTCATCTTCCTCTTCCTCGCTATCCTCGTCGTCGTCGTCGCTTTCTTCAGCTAAGGAGGCTAGTGGAACCGCTATGACACCACCGTTTCCGTCGGCAATGATGGGGAGATTAGAGGGATCACAAGAACTCGTAGCTCTAGTTCTAGCAAGTTGTTGATAGAAATTTTTTCACATGTTAACGGACAGTAGATGTCTGTTGGTTCTTTGTTCTCTAGATAATCCATTATCAATCTAATTCCAATACTGGGGTTTTCCAATCATAACTTGTTGATCTGCTCCGTCCTCGTCCTCGTCATCTCCTTCCCCTGACGGGACAGCGTTTTTGACACTCACTTCTTTCAGAAACATGACGTCATCCCCGTCTTTGATTTGTGTTCCTGGCACATCCATTGCTGCCCTTCGCAACTGAGGCAAGGCTAAGTAGTCTCGCAATACCCACCCGCGTTTCTTCGAGTCCTGGCAACTCTCGACCTCTGCCCAATCGGTGTTGCCATCTTTGGCACACTCCTGACGAACGCGAACCATCTCTAATTGGCTCAGAGACGGTTGTTGGGGAGCAGAAGACGATGAGGAGGCTGTCGTGGTCGTGCTTTTGCTTGGCGCTTTTTGCAAAATGGTATTGTGACTGCCATCATGCCGAAAGTGCACGAAAGCAGGCTGGTCGGAGAGCGAGGGCATTTTTCTTGTTCCAATAGAGGATGCCATGAAGAACAAATGATGAAGAAAAAGATGAAGGTAGTTCGTTGTAAAAAACCAGTACGAGATGAACCTCATCTAACGACGAGGATATAAGGAAAGTAATCCTATTTGTGCTTAATCTTAGCTCTATCTTCTCCCACTGTGCTTTTCACGTCAAGATGAAGAATCATCATCATGTTGAGTCGTCTTTATCAAGTTGCTTAGAAGATATCTTGTTGTTCTCAGATCTATAGCTCTTCGCAGAAAGAAGAAAAACCTTTACAACAAAGTGGATTAGAGACAGATGCTAGCCTGACTAGAATCATTCAGCTTCGATCTTCTTAGTTGTGGCAGCGTTCAACATTCGAGCTGAACACCAAGGGTGTGCGTGTGACCTTGGTCAAGATGCTTATTTCCTCGCATGCCTGGAAGATGCTCATCCTCTTCGCATGCTTGTCTTTTTCTCTAGTATGCTTCTTTAGAGAAGATCTTCATCCTTTGCCGCTTGCGGTTCATTCTGTGATTTATCATTCTGTAGATTCTAGTCTGTGATCACTGTGCAAAATAAACTTCTTTTAGTGTGCTCCTGCTAGTGCTAAGGAAACTTGAAAACTCGACGAACTCTCTGAAATAGGATCTTTATGTGTGCTAGCGTCTGCTGTAGAATCAGCTTTCATTGCCTGATGTGCCTGGTGTACTTTCAAATATTTTTGTCCCTGCTCTGATTAATAGGTTCTCCAACAAAACTTCTCCCACGTCATGATCTACTGCAGCGATAGCGAACTACATCGTAGTCAAAAATTTAGTCGACCAGCACCTCGAAGATCATCATCTTCAAAAGGTGAAGACAAAGAATCCCGCAAAGAGACACGCCATTATCCCTAGCCCTAACATCATCATCTTGCCCACGTAAACGAAGTCCATTCCTGCTTTCTCATCATCAGCCGCTTTCTCTGCTGGTGCTGGTGTCGTAGTACTTGTCGTCGTTTGACGGGAAGTTAGATCATGTGTCATGTTTAGGTATAGCAAATGAATTCATCTGGTCGGAAATCATTTCAAGGCAAAAAGGGAACAATATACTTAACTACAAGGCAAAAGTGTATGGATTGGGAATTCACTACTCTACTACAAATCCACCTGTCGTTGTATTAAGGCAAAAAATAATCACACATCAGTAACAGTAGACACTGACTCCTAGACATTTTTTCAAGTAACTTTGTCACGACATGCTCATGCACTTTATCTACATCTTTCTAAGTAATGTCATAAAACGAAGATGTAGCTCCATGGGAATGCATATCTGGCAGTACCCAACTCCATATCCAAGACCTTCGTGTGCATGGCTTTCACTGTTTCACAATCTTCTACTTCTGCCATCTTAGAAGAGGTCTTCAGGTTGGGTGATGGATCCTTCACATCGAGCTCCGCCGGCACCTACTCGATGACGACATATTAAAAGCTCTTACTTTCTTCGAGTACATGAAGGGGAATAACTACGTCTTCTATCTTTAATTGGTAACAATTGAAGTACGCAACTAGTCTAGTTCTTCTACAACTAGAAGAAGAGCATCTAGATTGACTACTTCATCAAATAAATTGAGATTCAATTTCAATTTCTTCAAGCAGCGACTCTCACTCTTCAAGAAACAGGAAGCAGGTAAGTAGCGACTCTCATTCTTGAAGTAGCGAATCGTCTTTCAAAACCGTGGACATCTATCAAAAGCTATGAGTCTCTTCTTTCAAAACCGTTCCTAGCCAGTGTGCTTTCCCTGCCTTTCCAACTCGAGTCCGTGAACCAGCAGTGGCAGTAGTAACGAGTCTGAGCATCTTTATGGTCCGCTGCGTCAGTGCGATGTGTCTTGTTCGTTTCTAGAAAGACTGAGGATGATCCATCCGATCATTAGAGGTTCGTGTTTCTAGAAGGTGAATCTGGAGAAAGGTGGAGGATGAACATGAACGAAAGCACTCCTTTAAAAGTCCTTTTCCTTCATGAATAGTAATCAAAAGTTGCTCCCCGCTTGTTCCCTCATGAAAGATCAACAGTTGATATTTGAGACTGATTCACGTAGCTATCAATATTATCGAGGGACAGGGGCAATGTGAGTCTTAAGATGAAGGAGCCTCTGTAGTAGTTGTTTTGTTCTCGAACTCGCGCGATTGTTCCATGTACAGCGCACCCTTACAATGATCTACGCATTTGGACGTGAGTTAGAGCGCGAGGTTGTAAGGGGATTACGCTTCGGGGTCCGTCGCGCGGTTGTAAGGTGAAAGCACCTCGTCCTCGAAGTTGCTTAGTGGCCTGCTTCGGGTTTAGGTTACTAGTTTCCTCTCTGAATTGAAAGAAAGTTACTTCTTTAGATTACTTTGAAAAGTAAGGGTTTAGGTTACTAGTTTCCTCATGGTTATTAAGGTCCCGCTTTGAATTGAAAGAAAGTTACTTCTCTGAAGGAGATCATAAGGTCCTAGCAATGAAGATCATCTGGAAAAGTGTGAGGAAGCTGCAATCAGCCTCCTGCAATTATGGGGGCGATGATGAGAATTCACCTACTAAGGAATCACACATCTTAAATTTCAACCAACTTGTCTCCTTCTGCTGCGTCAGCATCTCTCAGGAGGAGAGGAGGGATTAGCAGTGAGGAAGGCAGTTCGGAAACCCTTAATAAGAGGCTAAGTATCTTGTTACGAAGATCATTACAGAGGCTAAGATGGCACTCGCTCGTTAGGCTGTCGCTTCCACTTATGGAGAATGTCGATGGGGCAATGGCGTTTGGCGGTCCACCTTTGCAATCTTACTTAGGTGGAACATTCTCAATCAGAAGTGGCATGATCATACACAATCTTCATACAATCATCTCTACTTCTAGTACTACCCCTTTGAATGAACATAAGTCTTCTTCCCAATTGGTTGCCGGCTTGAAGCACTTCGTGGTTTTATAAAGCCACAAGTCCTCCTTTTTAAGTGATAGTACTGGCCATTTACCCTCTTTTTCGTCGTCGTTCCGCCCGTTATTGTTGTCCTTTTCTACGACATGTTCTTGTTCTTCCTGTTGTTGTAGTACCTCTACCTTTTCTCCCTTGTTCTTCGCTTGTCTCTGTTGACTGTGCTCTGCCACCCGATTTGAATCTTCTGGCAGATGTTCTTCTTGGAGTATCTTGTTTCCTTGTTGAGTACTACTTTCTTCTACTACGAGGTTGTTCTCCTGTTTCCCCAACGTCTTGGAGGTCTTCCTATGTTGATCTTGAAGAAAAAAAAGACTATCATTAGAGCTCGAAGCAAGTCACTTCTTCCCTTTATTTCTTCAGAACCCCACGGAGCAAACAGAAGAAAAAGGCCCTGGGAAATGAATTGTATCGAGCCTTAATACTGGATGAAGAACTGCTGGAAGCGTCTTTGCTGATTTCTAGTTTGTTCGTGACCGTTGCGCCATCCCCAAAAATCCAATCTGTACACTCTGCCTTCATCTTCACAGGAATTAAAGGTGGTTTCTCTGCAAATCTACTCGTTGTTCAACGTGAGTAGTACCCATTCTTGATTCACTGGAACCATGAAGCAACTACAACCGTTGCTGGCTTTTGATGACTTCTTAGAATAATGAAAAATCAACTCCAAGGATCTTCTATCTGCGTAAAAAAGATGCAGTCCACATCGCTGGTTGACCGAGTGATTCCCCATGCGGTTTTGCGGAATCTATGAGCTTACATTCGCTAAGATCCGCTTCTTCGTCTGGAAGATCAAAATAAGCAAAGCGCTGGACAGTAAAGTCAACATTAGACGAAGAGATCATCCCTAAGTAGATCATCCCTAAGTAGATCATCCCTGCAGGCTAGATATAGTTCCCTGGTTATAGTATGTATGTTGAAAGAGTGCTCCAATGTAGTCCTTATAACTCTAACAGATATATATTTGACCTTAAAGAGAAGCTTGATAATTCTAGTAACTAAGTAGATATAATCCCATTACAACATCATGATGGTATCCGCCTCACGCTAACTAGTTAGCTGTTTAATAGCTAGTAGGTCCTCGAAGAATTTTCATATCCCACCAGAACAAGGAAGAGTTCATCACTACCAGTGGTTGAAGTTGTGAAATGCGAGTTTATATTGTCGCTCCGTAACGTACATTGACTTTTCCTCGATTGCGCTTGTGGCTTTCGTCCCGTACATATCCACGAAAAAACAATGAAAGAGAAGAAGGATGAGAAGCAAAGAATCAAGTTCGTAGTGACGTTGACGCAACACCAGCAGGGATATGATGTGCACCACCAGCTGTAGTACTTGATGTAGGACTTGATTTCATGTTTGTGTTCCTGTCGCAGTTCATATTTCATTGTTGTTGTACCTCTATCTACTACACGCCCGGAACATCTAATCATATATTGAGCGAGAAACCGGGGGTAAGACGCCGGCACAAGCTACAAGTACTGAAATGAGATGAGACGCCGAACCCATGAACAACTTCTAACATAACCAGCTACTTAAGAGACATTATTGCATAGAAGTGAATGGTGTATGAGGATCATGTTCTCATCAAATCATTTTTTCTAAATTTTCTAGGAAAATCTAAAGCATAACAGCACTTGCTTCTGTCGTCGCATTCTCTCAGCGCATGATCCAGCCACGTAGGATCGTAGGGTTTGCTTAGAGTCACTGTCACGCCACGAAGTGATAGACGAGCCTGCTAATATGCCCAATCTACTATAATGAGGCTCGCAAGTGAACACCCTCAGCTCATGTCTTAAGAGGAGCGATAAAGAGGGAGCTCATGTTTGAAGAGGGAGCCTGTTCAGCCGGCTCGGGTGCTGCAATCTCAAGAAGGGCCGCTCGAGGTCGCATGATCCACAGGGGGCGCCACCTGGGCAAACTCGCACCCAAGGCCTCAGGGCCAGGGGCCGGCTTTGTGGCCTGGAGGGGAGCCCTCCGCACTAGTGCCGGCAGGTCCGGGCCAGTGGACCGCCCTCCCCAGATCGGGGAGGTTTCTCTTTCTCTCTCTCTCTGTCGCTGTTTTGTGGCTGAGGGCTTCGAGCTTGTTCCTCCGGTCTAATGATATGGCCGGCGACTTGTCATGAGGCTCGCAAGTGAACACCCTCAACTCACGTTTTAAGAGGAGCGATAGAAGAAGACCAGATCTAGAACAACAGGTCGATGCAATATTCTCATAATCCAATTTCTCCAGCACCTGGGTCCACCGGTCCCATCGTTGCGCCGCTCCCCGAAGAAGTAGGATCGGTTACGGGTCTTGGCGGCCACTTATTGTTATTCTCTTCTCCGTCCTCATCGAATTAGAAGGAGAGCAGGTGCCAAGGATAACCGACCTATCTTCTTCATTTGATGATGGAACCAACGAACACACAGATCTGTCTTTATCAATAAACTTCCTCGTTGTAAAATTCTTCCTCGAGTACAAAATACTTCCTTGTTGTAAAATAAAATGCCTGGGGGAGTTCCTTTCTACTTGTTCACAACAATAGTGGAGGCCTTAATTCCATCTATTGTTATCGACGTCGCCACAATGTGGGACCAAGTGATTACTCAGCAGTCCGAACTGGTTCTTCATTTTGTCGTCGCTCTTGCTCTTCTTTTCTAGTTGTGCTTGTGATCCTTGTGATGTTTGAGGAATATGTAGATGAGATGTTGAGGAAGATGTAGATGATGAATTCCTCGAAGATACCACTTGGGCATGTTGAGCCTCTACTTGATGGAGAATTTCTTTCTGATTTTCTTCCACGACGACCTGGTGTAATTGTCGTGTATCACCCTCCTCTTGTGTTCCTCTTGTAGTAGAAGATGGGGAAGATGATACAACTGATGAAGAAACTAGACTCGAATCGCGTGAATGATGATCGTGAACACGAAGATGCTCATCTAGATCGTCTTGATTTTCACCTGCTCTTTTTTTCGGGATGCTTCTCAACATCTCCTCTGCATCTTCATGGAGGTCGCCATGTGCATCAACCTGCCTAGTCCGCTCTTCTCGGATTAACCTGTTGTGATTCTGGCGTCGGTCACTATTCTGCAAAGCGGCGACTACGACGAGACTTGTCCCAGCTGCTAGGGCAGTCCTGCTGCGAGATAGGAGAATACCCTTCCGAGGAGGACGCTTCCTTGGCCTCGATTGTGACGTCATGGTCATGGAATTCCTGTCAGCCAAATTCGGACTGCAAAGGGAAGTAGCAGCTTCAGTGTTTGAAATTAGCTAATTTTCGTCTTCTTTGGTCGTCAACAGCACCTGCGAACAGGAGTGGCGAATTTTTGTTTTTCTTGCCTGTTTTATTTGAAAACCGGAATGTTTTTGTGATAGTACGCTTCGCTTTTGCTCACGCTCTATATTTGCACTTTTCGATGCGCAAGACCTTGTGCATCTACAGGGACCTTTTTGCTTCCCAACCAAGGTGAGAGAGGTTTCTAACTGCGCATTTGGCGTTTTCCGCGGCTGCTACTTGGCATCTTTCTCGTCTTCGATGAATAGTTTGTCTCTAAAACTACGGAGGAAGGAGCGAACCGTTTTTATCTAGCAAAAATATCTTCCGGGTCTACCTGTTCTTTTCATCTTTTCTCAAATGATAAAGGTCTTGTCATCTATACAAAAACACCGAAAATTCAAATCATGAGCGTCATGGTCGATCGAAACTAGCTAGGCTTTAGCGAACCGTAGCCAGCTGTAGATGCAGTTGGTTATCTACATTAAAATCAGACTCCATTACCTTAAATGGTGCGTAAGAGAGAAGTGGTCTAAAAATACTGTGCAAATAACACTTGATCCGCGTCTTGTGTCTGTTAGTGCTCCTGTTATTATCAACATCTTCACCAGTTTCGCAAGCTAGTATCAACAGTTTGAAAAATAGTACAACATGGTCACAAGCTATTTCATGTTCTCGATATTTAAAAAGACTACTTAACCATCTCGCAGATGATCACCATACTCAGTAGTTCAAGAATTCTTCAAACTACTCGCACTATAAGGCTTAATCTACTCTTCTTGCCCTTCATCATGGTGGCCGTTATTCTTCTTCCCCCTCGTCATGGTCGCCGCCCTCGGCTTCACCGAGCAAGGCTTTGTAGATGCTGTGCTGGATTAGCTCGGTATCCGGTTGTCGATGCAACAAAAAGCCTGGTGATTAGAAGAGGAAGCTGCACTTGGGTTGTCCCCGTTGCCATCGTTCGTGATGACCGTAGAGACGTGGGCTGACAGTATTTCTATGATCCTGGCAGCTCTCGACAAACCTTGAGGTAAGCAAAAGTGCAGGGAGCTACTTCTACGAGAGCAAAACTCATGTAGGGAGCTGCAGTTGGTTTAGTTTCATCATGGGTGTTCATCACACGTCTCGGGTGCTCATCTTCTACCACTGCCCATCTTCACAGTGTGCGGATGAAGATTCTAGCATCTCTTTATTGTACAGAGAACGATAAAGATAGTTTGTAGTTAGTACGCAACTTCTATCTGATAAATTTATACACCACCTTTCTTCACCATAATCTTTGTTCAACAGCGCCTTCATCGAATTCCAATTGACGAATTCGTGCGAGATCTGCGTTCCCTCAGCACTAATGCACGCAATCGAAAAGGCGACGTAGAGGTTGAACATCAACGTTGTCTGCACGAACCACACCACTGAAGCGAAAAGAAGCCCGCTACCGAAAGAGCCGAGTAGCTTGTCGAAGGGATCCGGCCATGGTTGTTGGTACGACATTTCGTGGATTAGGTCGGGAAAGGCGTTGTCAAAAAACGTACACAGCAAGGTGAAGACACCCATGCCCACGTCGTTAAAATTCAGAGCTCTATTAGGGGTTGAAAGTTGGCATCTCTAGCTCGCATATCTGTGGCTTTCCTACTTGAAGAAGACAACATAGAGACGCGCATAGAGATGTCAACTCCCAAGCCTTAACTCTATGTGCAGGATAGTAGTCTGGGTTTCGCGCAAGGTCATCTGCACTAGACCCACCTAAGAGGCCACCCCAGAAGGACTGCCCAACCACTGCGAAGAATAGGAGACAAACGAAGAGCAGACAGATGATCTCCTGACAGGCAAGCACCATACGCGTTACGGAGGTGAGGAGGTCCTGTGACGTCGTGGTGGAGGGAAGCAGATGGAGGATTGAAGGAAGACGTGCAGTCGTGGTGGAAGAGGAAGGAAGAAATGAAACACTCGCATTCCCTCAGAAAGGTATTCATCCCTCACAGTATGACATTTAGGCCGCATCAAACAAAACACACCCAACTAGCGCTAACAAGTGTATTTACCTTGAACCCCTTCGTCCTTGCCAGAATCCGCAACAATCGTAGTAATCGAATCATATTGAACGATCGCACTAGGACACCCGCTTTGATACCCAGTTCTTGGAACACAGAGACCGCAAACAACCCCACACTGGTACAAAAATCGAACTGATTACTTCGATTACGCTTCGGAGGTTAGAGATTTTGGGGTGTTATTCTTGAAATCCAAAGCATGGTGAAGATGATCAAGGTCCAGAGGAGGGCTCAATCCTTATGAACGACTAGAAAAGGATAAAGACAGCCTCATTCTTTCTTACACGTGTTACACGTTACACCTAGGTAGTTCATAACAATAAGACTCCCAGCTCATGACGCTTACTTTGGCGCAAACTTCTAGCACGTATGCAATTGAGAAGAGGAATTCGATAGTCTTGCCGTGCAGCTCGATCCAGAGCAACACAGAGGTTCCCTGAAAGTAGCTTTGCACTAAGCCATCGAAGATCATGTACACCAAGTTGAGAAGGAGCACGGTCGAGACTAACTGGTAGAAGGGAGAAAGAGGATGGTGGAAATCAACTGAAGATCTTTACGTGGTTGGGAGATCATGGTGAAGTGGTAAAAGTGCGACCGTCTGCTCCAGTGTTGGTTTGTTCTCCTGGTGAGATTTTTCACTAATTGAAATTACAAACAAAATCTGTAAGACCCCAGTGAAACTTGTACCTGAGCAACTCCTGTCCCCTCATCGAGTGCAGATCGCAAAAAATCGAAAACACAAATAGTACCTGATCAACTGTCCCCTCATCCACGGCTGATCGCAAGAGCACTAGGTATCTGTAGATCCTCCTCCCCTGCTGCGATTGGTCCTTCTCGTATTTTTGTATCAACTTGGAGTCTTTCTTCGTTGTCCATATGTTCATATGAACCGCCGCAAACATCGACAAAAACTCTTCCCTCCCCAGTCTCCGGTTTCTACTTCCATCCAAGAGCTCAAACATGAGGGGCAACACGTCTTGTGGTATCTTCTTCTCGTCTGGCATGCTGTTCATGGCATCCACTAGGATACGGAGATCGCCTAAAGAGCAGCCTTCGTAATCTCCACACAACTCCTGGATTTCCACGAAGGCTTTTTCTAGACCCTTGTTGCGGTTTCCACTGGTGACGAGGTAGTCTTCTTGCATTAGAGGGGGAGAGGGAAACGGGTCGAGCTGATTCTGATTACGGCATGCAAGCATGCAAGCAAGAAGAACAAGAGATGATCATCAGATAACAAGTCTTCTATGTGGCGCTCTAAGCGCCTTCAGCTTTCAACATTTATCAACATTCTCTGCTGCTAACTTATCCACATTCATTGTTAAAGCTTCTTCTAAAATCCACCAGCCTTGTCTTCAACTTCATCCAGCTGTAGCAGCCATAGCTTTATATGCGTCTCGTATTCGCTGTAGACCGTCGCCAAGACCAGGTTTGTAAAGATCAAAGCTGAGATAAACATGAAAACAAGGAAGAAAATTCCCGTCCATCGTTGATCGGCCATTACTGGAAGCATTTGATCCGGAAAATTTGCCGTCGTACCCATCAAAAAAAAACTCTCCACTGAAGCGGAAAAAGTAGCAAACGTTGGTGGCGGGACGAAAACGGTCGTGGTCGTGGTGGTTGTGGTGGGGGGATTAGAAGGTGGGTAGCTTTTTTGTTTCGGACATTGAGGGAATGCGATGATGAAGATGACATTGACGAGAGATTCGTTCTTGGTGTGGCAGCATCTTCATGATGTAGAAGGATGAATGTACTTTCACGATCCGACCGTCACATAATGTCCACACTAGCCAGCAAAGAAGATGCTTCTGCGGTACTAATAGCGTCCATTCTATTGTAGGCATGAGCACTATTCTCCACTGAGTCTCGTATCCTGTTCAGTTGCAGCAAATTGCTTGTACTTGTTCTTGTCGCTCCTGCTAAGGTTCTCAACAGGCTACTTCCAGCGGGCAACACTGCTCTACTAATTTCGGGCAATGAGGATGCTTGTAGTATTCTTTTTGGGTCAAACGTCGAAGTACTAGAGTTAGAGCTCACCCTAATCCATCCTGAAGATCATCGTAGGCGCTTTTTCACCTTGAAAAGCTTCCCTAGGATGATGCTTCACGAGATGGATTTTTAGGGGAAGCCTTAATAGAGGGTGTTGCTTCTATTAACTCGACACTACTTGCGTCTCCAGATGTTGAGGCCCCTGGTAGCTGTAGAGGGTGTTGGAAGAGCTGCACTGCAGCCCAAGCGAAGAAGAAAATCACGACTAAGAAGAGCGTCAAAATATTGCTCCACCTGGGCACAGTTCGTAGCACCGCAAGCACGACAGTGGACATAAAGGGCACGGCGCTTAGAGCAGGAAGATGATCATGTAATTGGAAGATGATGTAATTAAATTAGGATTTATTGATCGTGTAATTCTAATTATAGAGTATCTATTGGTAAATTGTAGTCTACGGCAGGCTGCGAGTAGAATCATAATATTAGTACTTACACGTCTAGCTGTCTGGAAAGTAAAAACTCTAAGTTGTAACCCTAAGTCGCCCTAAGTTGTAACCCTAGCTGTCTGGAAAGTAAAAACTCTACAATCTAAGTAGCTCAAGTACAAAATGTAGGCTACTCTAAGTAACTCTTACTCTAGTATCTAAGTAACTAACTCTTACTCAAGTACAACTTAATGTACTCTACAATCTAAGTAACTCACTCTTACTCACGTACAACTTAATGTGAGAATGAGTCCGGTTGCCGCGAAGGTGATGAGCACGTGGGGCATGGTGCGCAAAACGTAACTCGAGAAGATCACTATCTGGGGATTAATGTCAGGCACTTCGCGCACGAAGAAGGCGAGAGGGAGATTAGCGGAAAAGATGATGATGATTCTATTTCTAGTAGTTCTAGTTCTTCAAATAAGGATCTATTTCTACTTCTAGTCCTTGAAATGATCTGTCTAATAACTCTATTTCTACTTCTAGTTCTACTAGAAATGAAAATGAATCTGTCTAATAACTCTATTTCTACTTCTAGTTCTTGATGAAATAAGTATCTGGTGTCTAATAAGTTCTTGAAATGATCTGTCTAATAATGGTGGTGTATGAAATAGATTGTAGGTTTTTCAATTTTACTACTAGTTCTAATAACTCTATTTCTACTTCTAGTTCTTGATGAAATAAGTATCTGGTGTCTAATAAGTAACTCGTCAGCATGATGATGACCATGAAGTGAGTGATCTATTACTTCATAGCATAATCGCAACAATGCTCAGTGTCAATCCCACCAGCGTGCAGAGTCGTTCGAAAATCGGGAGTGTGCTCTGCATGCAGTCCTTTCTGTACCTTTTGTCTATGTATTTTAGCCCTCACAACATATATTCATCTTTAAGTGCATCGATCTTTGACGTGTTCTCCCCTTAGCAAAAGCAAAGGGCTCCTTAAATTCTGCTTTTTCAGATGAATCGTTGTGAGCCTTAAGTTTTTCATGTACTCGTCCTCTTGGGAGATTTTACATCTGAAGAACCAGAACGCGATGCACTTCAACAGACTGGTGATCAGAGGATTCAGTGTCGGCATGTGGCTCAAATACAAGCCTTGCGGGCAAATCTCCGGATCGCTGGTGTCGACGAAAACCCCGAGGGAACTTCTATTAGAAGAAGGGGGGCAAGGTAAAAATCAACTGTGAGAAGAAGCGGTGGTAGTGATAGGAGGTGGGTACGTAACGGTAAAAACCATTAGACTAGATGAATTACGGACTACAACTACAAGTGGAACTGGAAACGAGGAGCCTTTGCCATATTAATACTCCTTTCCTGTTTCTCTTTTCTCGCCTGTTGTACCTTCATTTGCTCGACAAAACTTTCATCAAGTTCGCCACTTGCTCCAGTACTAGAGCTGGCGTTTGTTGTTCCCAGTAGGTCTTCCTGTGCGCTTGAAGATTTCGGGTGTGCTGCGTGTGCAGCGGGTAGGTGGGCGTCTGGTGGTATCTGCTGCCACAATGTGTTTGGATCCCGCAGACAGAAGGTAGGGACTTCTGTGAAAGCGGCCAAGAGTAGAAAAATGAGGATCCTTCGCGTTGCCATGTTCCACCACAGAAATTTTCTTTAGATCTCCCCCATCCCCTCCCTATCCCTATAAGGTCATGATCCTTGGCCTCTTGTTCGTTTTTCCCTTCAAATGTATGTAAAGAGAGCTTCAAGACCACATCTAGGAACCCCTGATCTTGATCGCAGATGAATTAAGTACTCAGAAGGGTTGCTTAAGGGGCCAAGGGACGACTAGCATCCTCTTGCGGATGCTTCAGCCTTAATTTTTGAATTCTCGCCAACATTCAAGGCCAGCCGGATACTCAGCCACGAAAGTCCCTCTGCCGGCATCAGTGATGCGCCATGCGATGGTCTCGAGAGAGGATTAGAACTACTGCTAGAGCTTGACGATTAAGTGTTTTTTTACTATCGGCGAGGAGACGGAGAGGTGACAGGAGGGATTGGTAAGGTAGTACCTAGTAGAACAAGTAGTAATCTAAATCTTATTATAGTTTACTTGTGTTTCGGAGCTACATTATTCTACCCTTGGAACCACCTACTCCAAAGAACAAGAATTCAAACCGCGTTCATAAGTGATATATCTTTTCCCATGTTTTGCTGCAAGTCTTTTTGCCTCTTCCTCTGAATCTTCTCCCTCAGATGAGGAAGTAAAGTCCGAAGTATCAACAGCTTGGGACCTCACATCATCAGCCTCCACACTGAGACAGCCGCGGGTCTCTCGCCGGGATTAGAGGGAGATAGAGAACAAAGGGATAGCTTGATATTTGGTTTTTGTGTCCTTTTTGGTTTAGTTTATGAGTCGTTTAGTTTATCGTTTTGTGCCAGCTCCTCTCTACTTCTACAACAAGACATGTGACCCATAACTATTAGCATCGCCCAACTCTTCATCTTCCTCCTGTACGGGCGGAAGCCTTTGCCTGCTTTTTTTCACCTCCCGTCGCTTCTCAAGACCCGGTATAAAAGCAACGGAGGAAAGACGTCCGGACGCAAAAACCTGGATAAGAAAGGCAAAGGTTGTAGAAGTTATTTACCCGCTTTCATATTTTTTACGCTGCTACGTCTATCAACGATAAATATGTAAGTACGTAAATATACCATCGTTGGAAAAGAGGTTAGGCAAAGTCAATGGGTAATAAGCGGTTATTAGGTACTTAATAGCCTCTTCCTAGAAGTATGCTGAATGAAAATTACAGTCACAAAGAGGTCAAACTTATACTCCTGGTTTTCTTCTTCTCTCCTGATATATTTCGCGCAAGAATAGACCGCTTCCGCTCTCGCTGGCATCGCGGTCGTGTATAGATTTCCGCAAAAAAGGCGGTCGCCATCTCCCTACCCTTGGCTTGTCGATGTTCATTCGAGAATGTCTAAGTAAGTATTTTCAACATTTATTCCAGAGGTTTACTTTATTCACCATAAATCGAATTTTGCCTCGAGTAAAGGAAAGTATCACAGTGTACAAAAAGTTCGCAAAGAGAAGCGAGCACCATGTTGAGGTTACTACTTGCCTATGAAGGTACTGCCGCACTAACAAGCTCAGTGATAATATTCACACTCAAGAAGATCAGTCAAGGAGGGCCTGATATCACATAGGACACCGCAGTCGATGTTGATTCGAGAATGTCTAAGTATTTTCATTTTGTGGTCCAGAGGTTTACTATGTTGACATCACAAGGGTGCAACCGCTACTGGTTCGACCTCACTGTATGATCAAGAGCTAGTGATGTTCCTTATGCTGAGGTCCCGAGGTACACCTCCGCGTCCGCATAAAGCACCAACCTCTAATATGATGAAAAAAGAAAAACCTCCGATCCTTAAATCCAATTCCTCTTTGTCCAATAGCGAACGTTTGAGCGTGTCCAAGTACTGCTCTTCGGTGATCTCCTCAAATGCCATCGTCATCTTTTTGACTGGAGGTTTTGTCTACTAACGTCGCCTTCTCATGCTGCTCTCGCTCCTCTCTGGGAGCGGTTGCGTCTTCGTGCAGTGCTAGTGGGACATGATCCCACCTACCTGCTTTATAGTAGAAGAAGCGCTTGCAGCGGTTTTCGCGCTAGTGCACTAGCGCTCGTGAGACATAGTAATTGCTGATTTTTCTACTGTCTTTGTCATTAACTTCGTGCTCGTCCAGTCATTATGTGACCACCATAATAGTGCCTCCCTTCAAGATCAATCGACTGTTTTTGAGACCCTTGGGCTACGAGGAAGTCGTCCGATTTCACGACTTTTCAAGCTCTCCATTTTCCTCCTGGAGTTTTCAGCCAATTTCTGTCTTTTTCTTTTACTTTTTTCATCATGGGAAGAGGTGTAGCACCGTCCGACAGTCAGTTGTCTCCTCGCAAAAATATGGTGGTCAGTTACAGACGTAGCTGATGTGAAAAAGTTGAAAAGAGGAGAAGATTTCAAATGGCACAATGCCCTCGTTATTTGTGAAAAAGTGAAAGTTATATTCCCTGGGACTGGGAGGCATGAAAACCATCTTCATACGGTGACGCCGTCATGTCGTGTCATGATACCTCATGGTCCATCATATCAAATGGTTTCTGATCACTTCAACTTTACACCTTTTGATATGATGGACCAGGAGGTAACATGACAAATGTCATGACCTGCTGCTTGGTGTTGTATCGTCCCCCGTCAGCCTACATTCATTAACAAGCAGATTGGTCTATCTCCACCTTGTACTAGGTTGTCAGAGTTCTTTTGAAGAAATCGTGCTGTCCGCTGTTGATCACATGACCTCTCCCATTCAAAACTGCAGGCTCAAAGTGGTAGTTGAAACCTCATGGTCCATCATATCAAATGGTGTTGAGGTCTTTTTCAGTGTAGTACTAAACAACGGTCTGGAAGGGTCGCCTTCTCCTCCAACGACCCTTCCGTCCCGCCCCACAGTAGGTCTATGTGCAGCCCCAGTCCCCGTTCAATCTTCTCTTATTAGAGGTAGGTTTTTGGCGTTCGTTTATCCCGCTTGTTATGGCTGTCCCCACCTAAGGGAGAGAGCCATAACAAACGGTAACAAAAGCACCTTTAACCTACCCTTAATCTTACAAGACCGTTTCCGCCGAGGAAAAATGTTCGGACGTTGAACCATCAGCCGGATCTCGAAATGCTAGCGCCTCCTCTAGAGCGGAGAGTTTACTCGCGTCGAGCTCCTCCCTACTCGGCACAGCTGGAGCAGAAGTGATAGGCGTTCTAGTACTCGGTCCACCGGCAGGAGTCGTAGAAGACAACCGAGTTTTGAGGCCACTACGTGACATATCATCATCAGGAGACGGGAGAAGGAATTCTTCGTCAGGATCTAGGAGATCCTCGTCTAGGACATGATTATGTTCCTCTTGAAGCCGAAATTCTTCGAAAGCTGATCTTGTCGACTTCCCATCTTCAACACTGGTTTTTTTGCTTCTCTTAACCACTGCTACGTTGACCTTATTACCTGGGAGTGGCTCGGCAGAATCCGCAAGAATTCTAGTTGGCTGTACCCGATCAGTTGTACTAGTTGAAACTACAACATCTTCCCCTGCGCTACTGGTTTTCGAGTCGCGAAAGCTCTTGTTTGTCTTGATAACCGACTTGCGTGGACTCAACCATCCTCGTGCTTTTGGTAGCCATCTCCGCATGAGACCTGGTTTGGGGGTGTCCTTAGCTTCACCTTCTCGCTGCGGGTGTCTGATAGAAGCGAGAAAGTTGCTATCTGACGTGATCTGGTCTACTGCTTCATTGTTCTCTTCGTCCTCTCTCGGACTGAGCATACAGCCTTCTTCGCCTCTCGGTGTGCCACCAGAGTCCCCTTTAGGACGGCTAACACGCGAAGAACCTATGGCATTAATGCCAGAGTCGGCACTAGTTGTCCGCGCAGAGGAGGAACTACGAGGACTATTCGAAGACATCGACCTCGAATTCGTCGAAGTTGATGTCCTTACTTTAAAGCCCAGCATTCATTGGTCACTGACTCGGAACGGAAGAGACCCCCTCCAAAGCTCTCCCCTTTCCCTTCGTTTTCCCCTGTTCTCTCAAGGGGTCGCCTCTTCGATCTCAGTGACCGACCCCAATAACCATTGAAAGTTGAGCCTTAATTACTGTTTTCATTGGAAAACTTGCTTCTTGAAGATTGACGTCATCCACAGCATGCTCGCCACCGGAGGTTCTGGAGGTTCTTCCTCCTCCCTTTCTAATTCTAATTCTATTGCTGTTTTTGGTCCTCACAAAAGCTATAGGCGACTCATCCATAGCAGTGCCAGATTCGCCAGGAGAAGGCAGGCCTCGTCTTGTCCGGGTACTGGCTATTTGCATCCTCGCAGAAGACACGCTGGACCTGGATAGTGAACTTGTACCAAGATTGCCCCACGAGGCGGCTATTTGAGGGATTTTCTGGCTCCCAGAACTAGGAACAGAGTTCTGACTCACTAGGCTGTGGCCACTTGCAAGACTCTGAAAGGAGGACGTGACGCTGATCATACTAGAAGTGTTATGCCCGAGTCCGCCATTTATACTATGACTACTGCGAGTAGTAGTTCCTGCTGCTAAAGAGCCTAGTAGTTTCTTCTGCATTAAAGTGGAAGAACTGGATGAGGCCGTTGGTGGAGTCGACGTGCTTTCCAACACCGCCATGTTTTTGTTGATCATGTCTTTAGTACTAGGACTCATAAAAGACTTCGGTACGGTGCTGCCAGCAAGGTAATTAGATGACGATGCTGTTGTACTAGAAGTTGTAGTAGTGGGCGGTCCTACTCCTAGGAGAGAAGCCCGTGTCCGCAGGGGGTCTACTGGCGATGCCTTATTGTTACGGCGAGCACGACCATTGGCCGCGAAAGAGTCTGAGCTACGACCACCCCATACGAATAGCGGCTTTTTGCCTTTCCTCGTACGCTGATCCGAGGACTTCTCAGGTGCTCTGTCTTTCTTATCTTCTACCACATTTCTTGTTATACTCGTTGTCGTGGTCAACATACTGGAAGTCGTACTATTTGTACGTATTCTACTGGCTGTGGTCCCGTGATTTTTGATGGCCATTGTTGTATTCTCATCATTGTCGGAAGGAGAATAGCACGCACTTTTTTTACTTTCTGAACCGTTTACCTGGTGACTTGGAGAATATATTTCATGACCACCAGCATCTGCTGTACTAGTTTCATTTTCGATTCCAGTAGTACAACTGCTCTTCCTATGCTCTTCGTGAGCAGCAACCTCCCTTCCATTATTGTCTCCTGATAAATTCTTAGGCTCCACCTGATCTATGAGTGCGCTTAGCTCCTGTGCTCCGGTTATGGTACTGCCACGTCTCGAAATGGTTGAGGTGTCGACATCGTCAGTGCCCTTTTTTAGCGCTAGTTTATCCCTATCCCTGGCTCAGTGAGATGCCGCGCGTCCCCCTTAGAATCCCCTTAGAATGCCCCCTGCGTCCCCATTAGTTCCCCTTTTCAAATCAAGGCGGACTCCACTCCGGTCAGCATGCTCCACAGGGGATAGTGACAACCTAGCGACCTTAACTTTTGGATCTTCGTAGAGGATGCTGCGCGACTCGTTGATGTCCTCTTCGTCATGCTCTTGATCATACTCATGCTCATCTTGGGACTACTACCAGACTTCTGAAAATCGTACCAAACTGCAGGCGGCAGCTCGTCATCCTCGTCAGAAGAGGCGCCTCCGGTTTCTTCAGCACTAGAGGAATGTGGATGATACTCGTCTGGTAACGCGAACCTGATGTCCTTAGGATCGATCGCGAGGTCGGGAGAGAGCAAAGCCGCATTCGCATGCTCGTCATATAATTCTTCCAGGTTTTCACCTCCTTCCTCTCCTCCTTTTTGCGGTTCCTGAGTTGGACTTCCTTTACGTTCGGAAAAATCCACCTCCTCACTTTCTTAGAGCTTCCCCCAGTTCGTCCCTCCAGGGATACCGCAAGAGTATGCGTGGTTAGCATCCGTTGCGGGCCTTGCATTGGGAGGCATACGGTTGTGGGATCTCTATGGAGATGGATCAGGGGATGAAGCCTTAACTTTCTGCCCCAAAAAAGCCGTCGTGTCCTTGGATGTGAACTGCGAGCGAATGCAGGTTCTTGCGTCTAGGTGGGGAGAGCTGCTTGCCTGAGTGGATCGGTCTGGGCACCTCAAAGTCGTGATCTGGTCCGCTAAATGGTGTAGGAGAAACGACACCGCTCACAGATTTGCGGATCCGTAATGGTGTTACTTTTTCATTCGCAGTAGTTGCTATTGTTCTTGAACGGTGTTGCTCTTGCCGAGTCGTGGAACCATTCGCCAAGTGAATATGTTCTTGTTTATCCTGTGCAGGACCAGGATTTCGTTCTTCTTGTTGTCCCTGAGCTTCCTCCTCGTCAGAGAAGGCCTGTTGTTCAAGAGGGTTATCATCTTCCTGTCCTGTTATCATCTTCGCCCCGTTATCATCTTCGTGTCCTGCTGTTCCCTTACCCTCCTGCTTACTAGAATAAGTACCTGTAGTAGAAGTACATCCACTTCTGCTACTTCGCGTACTCCTGAGTACGAGTCGAAAATCCGCGAACGTGGGAATCGCTACAGGGTCGAAGACGTAGTCCGGCAACTTGAAAAAATGCAGCATCGGTTCAATGAAGAGCCGTGAATCAAGATTATAGCCAAGAGGCAAGTGCTCTTAGTTTGAGAAGGGGTACTGCGCTTGAGAAGTTAAATCAACACGTTAAAGGCCATGCGGAAGGAAGAGGGATTTTTCTCAAGAAAAAGTAGACATACACGGCGACATGAAAGAATGTGGATAAAAAAAAAATCCACAACAATCCAGTTGTACGTGGAAATACTTGTTACAGCACTCACTTGATGATCATGATCATCTACTAAATTAAGAGAACCAACGTCAAGGTCACTTGATCATATGCTTAAGAGAACAAGGCGGTGTTGTGTGCCATCGTTTCAGGCTTTACCAATTGCTTTCGCCTACTTGCACACACTTGGTACAACAGCTCGCCATTATCGGGATGGACGACCCGATCTTGAACGCCGTGAATAATGAGACAGTCAGCGAAAACCCTGCGGATCCTAGCCGCATTGTCCAGAAACGAAGCGTCGGTTACGTAACCTATAAAAATTTGCATTTGCTGTTTGTATTTTTTGATAAAGAAGAAACTGTGCTTGAGTCGCTGCACGGGTGCCGCATCCTCATCCTCTATTCCGTCTAGCTACTTAATATTGAATAACAACTTAAATAATATGCTTCCATCATCAGAAATTCCTCTTGCAGCCATCATTTGAAACCTTCTTCTTACATCTATCATCAAAACTACGGATTACCTGCCATCCACGCTCCCACCCTTTCTTTCACTACACGAATAAGGCTGGCGAACGGGGAGATCAAACACAACCCGCCTACTCCCGGATACTGACTCGCCAATTCCAATGCCGAAAAGCATCCTATGCTTCTCCCTACCAACAATACGCTGTCTTAGTTAGAGGAAGTTTTTCAAAATATAGCTCCACTCAGGTTTCTCCAGCTGCACTAAGTGGGATGGTCCTCGTGCTCGTGTATCTCATATATCCTCCACTACAACTATGTAGTATGTCTTAAATCACAGTACTCCCTGTGTTGTCTTTGATGAATGTATGATGAAAACAGCTGTGTTGTCTTTGACCTCTATCCTTGTGTTGTCTTTGATGAATGTATGATGAAAACCGCTGTGTTGTCTTTGACCTCTATCCTTGTGTTGTCTTTGATGAATGTATGATGAAAACCGCTGTGTTGTCTTTGACCTCTATCCTTGTGTTGTCTTTGACCTCTATCCTTAACCAAGGGCCACTGCAGATGATGCAAGACGAAGTCGAGGGAGGAGATAGCGTGGAGGACCAGACTCTCTTCTCCTGGTGCCAGTTTTGGAGTGGCCAATCCGTAAGACGGCATCTCTGGTGCTAACACGTGGCACTGGAAACAGGTTCGTAGGTTGCGACAAAAGTCGCGACTTGTACCGAGATCAGTGTTAGAGAGAGCCTAGTGGAGTGTACTTGTTTATGTGACCTCTATCATGGAGCAGTTGTTCTATGAAGATCATGATGGATCAAAAGAGTATTTTTCTTGTTCGTGGTTCATCCGTTTCGCGTTAGATTCATTCTCGTCCGGGAGTCAATCACAATTAACCTACTTATCTAGCATCTACAATTAACTGACCAACCTATCCCGCCAGTCTTCATAACTTCCGCATTACCATGAAAGAAGATGATGCAATATCTTGAAAAGACGTTGGACCTCAGCCAAAGACATGGAATCCTTTGGCCTCTGGATCGAGGAGAGCGGACACTGGGCACCCAAATCAAATCTCCATCGTCGCATCGGTAATTTCCGACACTCGGTCGGGGAAAAAGGAGTCGATGTAGAAGTGCTTGCGCCATGGTTTCTTTCGTGAGTGATCTATGAAGACGGGAGGTGTTTCTTTCGTGAATGATGCATGAAGACTTTCGTTATATATCTGTGTGTGTGCTGAGCTGTACTCAAACAGTCAGCTGCACACGGCCTACATCGATCTTATAGTTGTATCTGTCAAGAAAGAACCTCCTTGTCCTCTTTGTGATGCTGTGGGATAAGATTTCTGAGCAGAGGAACGTTGTTGAGTATCAAAACCATCATCACCATTTTCGTACTTTTGACGGACTGCAACAACAGCAGTTACTTTCCTAGTACCAGCTTGAAACAAGTACACTGTCATTTTCCAGCTCACCTGACATTCCACTTCGCAACTGGAGCAATAATCACAACTTCCCTCTCACTCTCACTAGAAATCCTCACTCATCTACCTCCTCACTCGTCTACATCTTCACTCATCGTCCTCCCCACTCAAACATTATCTTGTGGTCTAAACGCAGCCGTAGCTTTTTCCATCTTCCCAATCATCTATCTCTATGATGCAATCATGAAGGGAAGGCAAAAAATTTCTACGAATGAATTGTAGATGTAGTACTCTTCATTTCCACCTGACTTTGTTCTTCATAGTTCTGGTTTGTAAGAAAGTACCAGTACGTTGCTTCCTATAAAATGTGAGACCGCAAATTAATTGATACAACTACTAGTTTGTTCGAAAAAACATTTTTGCGCTTTGGAATAGGGAAAATGCGTACTCTGCTTCGCGTGGGACAGTTCTTGCTTTCGCAAGAAAAAGTTCACAGTGTAATAAGTGTGCAGCTATATGAGAACTGGGTAGTAGAGGCTGATTGGTGTTTGAAGGTTGATTGTTTTGAAAGACAGCCCACAATATGAGCACCAAAACCGTGATCAAGTCGTCGGCTTCGAGGCGTGGCGGCTTAGACGTAGCAGCTGCTGGTGTGGTCTTTGTCTTCTTAGATATCAAACTACGAGTGAGTTGTTTTTCATCATCTTGAAAAGGCAGTAGCAATAGTGTACCCAATCGTGCGTGGTAGGGTATGAAAGGCAAGAAAACTACTTCTTCTTATACAAGAAGTGTAGCAGTAGTGATAAAAAACTCTTTTTCTTCTTAACCTTATCCTGCAACAGAAGGACGCGCGCAATCCATTTTGGTAACCGATGTTGGACTATTGCGAGAAAAACCTCGAGCTTCGTCACCGGTTCGGTGGAACGGTTCAACTTCCCGCACAGAATGGAAGCCCCTTTCTTGGCTAGCATTTCGACACGATTTAAAGAGGAACCTCCTGTGCTGTTCTTAGAAGCGGCAGAATAAACGAACCAGAAGAAGTTGTAGAAGATAGTATTCATTAGTACATACATTGTTCTTCGATACACTCAAGCCCTGTCCTTAACAGCTTTCTGAGTCTTCGCACATCGAAGGATTTTCCATGATGTGCCTGATGCAGAAGAAGCCAAGTTTTCAACGAGATCGATGAACCGTGGAAAGCGCTTGGTCACCACCTGTTGACACGGGTATATGAAAGAGAAGCAGGGTAGTCGAACTTCTAGTTCTAGCACTAGCTGTGTATGACTCATTATAGTAAAGGTTCAGTCATTCATTCATTTACATAGCACGAGGTACTGTAGCGTCAAGACTTAATTAGGATGCAGTGGCAAGATAGTTGTCAAAAGAGACGAAAGGAAACAAGATGGAGACTTGTTGAGGATCTTCCAGTCATTCATAACTTGCTCCGCAGCCAACGTGCTTCGCATCAAACACGGAAAGAGAAAGCCGTTGACTAACGTGTAAACGGTTCGAGCGATCGCATCGTGAACGTGGTCTAGAGTGAAGCTTTTTACGCGTAGATGTTCCCGTACCAACAACTCGGGATGCAGGATCAAGGCAGCTTCATGTTCTTCTTGACGTTCTCTATCATGCTGTTGAGGATCTTCCAGTAGCACTCTTGGAATGAAAAAACGCTCAGAGCGCTCCGTCAACATAAGCGGAGGAGTAGCAGTAGCTGTCCCAGCAGCTGGTTCTGCTTGCTGATGCTGTCGAGTCGTTGCAGTAGCTACGTCCTGTGTTAGTTGTCCTTCTTGCTCGAGCCGGCTCAGCTGCTTGTAGATTTGCGCAGCCGCACTTGCGATGACAGCATCTATCCGGTCGAAAGTAGCTGTGTCACGTCCCTGTATATGGATCAGACCCGTGCGTAGCGCTTCCACTTCGTCGAACACTTGCTTTTCGATACCAGGGAACAGCACCAAATAATCAGGATTGTTTTCTGGTGAGGCAAGGATCTCCTTTTCCAATGCTTCGGTTGCAGCGATGCGCCTCTTGTAGATCTCTTCTTGCTTCCTTTTGTCGGATACTTCTACCTGTTAGAGTTCTTATACAGAGCATTTTTGAACAGAAATTAGAATTTCTAGCAGACAGGTAGTAATTGAAAACCTGACTCTGACATGGAGAGTACCTTGATGAAATTGAGTCTGAAAAATGTTGTTTCTTTCCCCTGAACCTAAAAGAAAAGAACTAGCCTTAATCTTGCGCTTGACCAACACGAGGAGACGGACTTTGCTTGTGGTTACCAGGCGGAGAGTTTGGGGGTAGCGGAGGTGGTGGCGGACGAGATGCACGTAGCTGGTCCTCAAAGCTGCTGCTTTGGTGCTCACTTTCTACCTGTAAGCATCCGTCTAGAACCAGAATTTGAATACTTCGGGTCCCATCGAAGTAATTTTCTTCAGCCAGGATTTTCCTAGTACAAGACCTTTGCCTCTTTTCGACTGGTCGTGGTGTATTAGCAAAATAAGTAAATCGACTTTTTTATTGTTCGAATGCTGGCTCTAAGTATACACCCCTCATCTTTCCAGTGGTCACGACAACTTCCTCCTTGAATGACTACTTGTACTTATCATATTCTTGTTAATCAACAAACTGAAACTTTCTATGAGTGTGCTCACGGCATAACATCTTTTTCTCTTTTTCGAAACAGCTCGACTCGTTCTGACCCCACAGCCACTTGCTCGCCGAATAAGTTCAAAAACCAAGTCTTTCTAGATGAACTAGAGTCGGACTCTCGTTCCCTTTGGGATTTGGAGTGGTCGTGGCTTTCTTCCTGCCTAGACAAATCGCTATCCTGCAAGAAGTCGTAGGAAATCGGAAACAGGCTCAGTGGTTGTAGAATGTGCGCTTCGAGAGACGGCAATGTTCTTGAAGAATCTTCAAGAAAAACGGGCACCAAGACGACCGCTTTCTCAGGCAATTTCTCCAAGATGCTGTTACTGCGCAGTCTCTGAAAAAACGCTGTTTCAAAGAAATCGATACTAGCGCTCTCATCATGTGGGGGCACAACCATCGTCGTCGAGTTTATCAACAGCAGTCAGACTGCGTAGGTACATTGGCTCCATAAGACTAGTCTTCGACATCAGAATTTCAACAGGAGTCAGTAGTCTTCGACAGGGACAGACCGGGCATTTTCCGCCATAAGAAGAGCCTTCGCTGTTGTCGGGATGAGGGCCACACGATAGCTGCCGGTGTATTTCGGGGCTCGGCTCCTGTCGATATTGAGACAGCACCCTAGATGAGAAAGAACGCAACGTTGTCGAGAACCAGTGAGAACATTTCTTTTTCTACATGTTGTCATTGAAACACAAAAATAGCGATATGGGGAGGTGGCGCGGGATACCACGATATCGATATGGAGATGTTAAGATCAATGATAAAAAATGATGATGAGAAAGAGAAGACTAGATTGATTGTACTACTAGGTCATTTTTAAGTTTAAGTTATTTACAAACCTCCCCTGCACTAGTTCTTTCAAGAAATATAAAGGTCGCGGTAATGGCGCTCGTGGTGCGTCGATCGATTTTGAGATTGCTCTTTCCAACATGAGACAGGTTTCCCGATTCATTAGCTGCACGTCACGAAATGACGAGGAGAAGTGGTGTCAGGCTCTTCTGTTACACTTGCTTCTGGGCAGAATAAACACACAGGTAGACCTTAGACAAGAAAGAACTTGAACTTGAACTTCTATCCCGTAACCTAGACAGTACAACTATGGCAGCTAGTAGTACGTTGCAAATGTAGATGATCATTCATCGTTGTACGGATTCACGCGTCTGTCTGTGAGTGTGTAAGCAAGAAAACCAAAGTACATCTTGTTCTCGAAAAGGACATCTTGTTCTATGTTCATGTTCTTTTTCATCTCTTTCTAGTTAAGATGAGTACTATCGAATACTCGAACTGTTTGTAAACCATATTAATTATCAATTTTTGATGCGTTATGCTCATCCTTGTCCTCAATTTAATTCTCATTTAACGACTTTTTTCCTCATCATTGTTTCTGGACAAATCCTCCCACATCACACCTACGTGATGAGAGGTCCATCGCAGTTACGTAATCATACATAAGTCAATTGCAGAAGCTACGTGATCACCCAAGGCAGATGATGGACCTAGAGATTGATACATTTTCTAGTGCTCTTCCTTACGAAGTTCCATCACACGAAACTTTCGATCTATCACTACACGAGTTTAGATCCATCACACGAGTTGTTGTTCCTACACGAGAAGGAGAAGGAACCAACGGCACAACATGAAATTTAGCGACCACAGCATCCCTCATCCTTCTTCTGAGAGGAGGCAAAAAGTCCGTGTACATGTTCCACACCGGCTGCCTGAGTTCCTGCGCAGCAATTGTCTCTGACGGCCGTACCGACTGCGAACCCAGCATCTGCGACTTGTCCTTCCCGCATGGGGATATTAGAAGATACATACATCGCGTCTCAGATGACCATATTCTGTATAGAGCTAGTTGAGATTACACTTCTATAGTGGGAATATATTCAGTCATCGGTTGTATAGAGCTAGTTGAGATTACACTTCTATTTAGTGACAGAATAGGTAATATCATTAGAGATAGAGCTTTTTATCTAAAATTCTCATGCAGTATTTGGAGATAGTACATCCTGTAGGTGGGTGTCTTTTCTCCCATCTTGAGATAGTCCATCTATGCATCATCATCATGATCATCCATCTTGAGATATGTAAATGTATCGTGCATCTATGTATTAAGATGGTCAGTATGCCTTATCCATCTTCTTGAGATAGTAGAAGTACATCCTGGAGTCAGGGTGTCTCTGCATGGACTAAGGGTAGTAATAAGCCTTAAGAATAGACTGAAAATTTTGCGGGTCGGCGGCCATCACCACATTAAAGACGTCACTTACTTGCCCACGCATCTTAGATTCCGGAATGACCTTCCCCGGCGCAGGCGTCCCACGGTCCTTTGCGCAAATCTCGTTTTAGAGTGGTACAACTCACGAGGAGGACCGACAAAAGTATACTCTATAAGTAACCTAATCTATTTTCATGCATATGGTAATCAACCGGTTGGGCGAGTCTAGTTCTCATGCGGTCACTTCTTGTTGAGATCATATTGGATGTTTTCTTTTTTACGAGAAGGGGCGACGATTATCCACAGACCTACAGACGGCCCACAGGCGGAGGCCGAAGCACGGCGACGCGCTAGGCAAAAGCAGGAGAGTCCTAACAAAAGGCGCGGCCGCGGCCCGGGTGCGTTTGCCAGTGCCGTCATGGTGAAACAGAGGCCACGAAGGAGAGCCCGGGCCAACACTGAAAAAGGGTAAGCAGGCGCAGCGGTAAAAGTAGCAGGCAAAACGTCATCAATCATGTTGGATGTTGCTACAAAGAAAAGACTTGTTAAGGACTAAGAAGCCAAGTTAAGGACTAAGAGCCTACAAAAGTCTTGTTTGGATTTGAATGCTTCACACCAGAATGTGACGAACATGCTGAACAAGATCCTCATGATCTTTCTAACTGTCATGCAGACAAACAGTAAAATCTGCGAGAAGCGCTTGTTCTACTTGTTCCTGGATGCTCATGTTTCTTATATGGCTGGGTTAGGTTAGGTCAGGCTTCGTTTGCTTAGGATATGGATCCTGCACATAGAGCATCGCAGGCACCAACTCTACTCAAGAACATCGATCAGCATAATTAAAAGACAGCTTTCTGTTCTTATAATATATGTGGTGGAGCCGACCTAACTAGAAAAAAGACAGACCAGAGGAAGATATAGAAGAGAAAAGGGTAACTTATTGATTCTTATAATATAGTAAATCAAATAGTGAAGGTAAACAAAAGCCTTAATGTTCGAACGTCAATGGAAGCTGGTTCATGTCAGCAGTCGGTGGCTCGCGTGCAAAGTTTCGCAAGAAAATCTGGATTTTCTTTTTATCCGAGTCCGTTCCTCCACTCGCAGCCCCAGCTTTTAATTTATTGACAACTGCACTGAGCTTAGAGCCACCTCTTTTTGTAGGTGATCCAGTTCCCCTGTTCTGCAAATGATAGAAATAAGAAGATGAAGAAGATGAGCACGATGATCCTAGTACTTTCATGAATATGAAGATCATCAACAGCATGAACATGATGGAAATCATTGCAATCCCATAGTGACAAAGATCACACCACTGGAGTACCATGCTAATGATGTGGATCCTTATCGTGATACTTATGAACAAGAAGGTCCACACATTTGACAACTTTGCAACCGCATGAGAATCATGCAAAACCTTCTTTCACAATTTGCACAACTGAAACAGGCCGGGAATTATATAAGAAACGCATCACCATAAGGGTGAAAATAAGCAGTCCTAGTGTTCACAAACAGTGAGTTATTAGCCTTTTATACGCGCACTAGAATAATTTTTTTTGACTTAGAACCCACCAAGTTTTTGACTTTTTTGGTCTAGTATTTTTTTGGTTTTTTAGGTTAGAAAAATTTGGCGTTTTCGTTCCTGTACGCAGTGGTAGTCCCGATTCAGTCGGATTTTGGCCCCACGCGTTTCTCCAGGCGGCATTGTTCTTCGATACGTCGAAAACGATCCCGTCGACCCTAGAGCAGACTCAGCATCTGCTTCACAAAAATAAACCAACTTTAGCCCAGTGGCGGGGCAACTAAAACAAAACAGAAAAGGCACCAAGCTCCCGACTTAGTCGGCAGCAGCCATAAACAAAAGTCTGTAGCTGTTCGGGTGTGGCTCCTCGACAGTAATTCAGATTAGCTTTGGTTACGACCTCAGCTATACAAGAAAGAAAAAGTCTCACGGCACGACCGGAGACAGGGCAAAGCCGTCGCCACGGCCCACCTAAAGACCCTCGGACTGAGTCCGACGGCACCTAAGAAAGAGAAAAACAAGCTTTCGCGAAACGCGACTGCTTCAAAAGTAAAAACCTGCGCTCGCCCAGGCGACCGCAACCCCACAAAAAGACGCGTCCTTCTTCGTTTGGCGGAGAAGTTCGTGCGCCCGAAACCCCGGAAGGGGCGATATCGCGACACACGGCTGCGCGTCCATCTAACACCTTGTCTTTTTTCGGCAGATTTTGTTATTTGACCTTTGACGTGAGTCGGATCCCGTGCAAAGTCTCCCCATAAAGAGGCTTGCACAGTGGGAAAGCTAGCGGCAATTTGCCAAGGCGCGATATCTCGGGTGCTTCGGTGGTGATCAGGATCCCACCCCACTGAAATAAAATGGCCCCAGCCATGAAAATTTACGCTGCGCGCGTGAAGCGCTTGGAGCAGTATGTCATCAGTGGAATGGCGTTTGTCTACATTGAGCCAGAATACTACAATGCCGAAAGAAAAGGCAGCATCAAGTACAGGCGCGGCGTCATCAACGTCGACGGCTCACCTGACTACGAAGATGCCGAAGTAGACTGCTACCCCTCGGAAGCACACGGCGGCGGCAGATTCGTCTACTGCAAAATCAAGAGGGAAGACTGGCCTGAGGGTGCTAAACCTCTGAAAGAGGGAGACCCACTCTGGGAAGAGCGAGTTCTGAAATCGCAAATTGATGCTTGCCTCCAGGAGATAAATACTCTCAAAGAGGACAACGAAGTCGGTGAAATCTACAGTAGCCTAATCGACAACCATACGGACTTCGCCAAATCGGACGAAGAGGAGGACCCCTCGCAAACGGGTGAGGAAACCCCTCCACCGGCGGAGGAGGATGAAGACAAAACACCGTGGAAAACGGTGGAGTCGCGCCGCAGGATAAAGGTCGAGCAAAACATAGTGCCACTCAAAAAGATTGAGGAGCACGATATGTGGCTCAAGAAGCTCGCAAAGTTTCGCGCGACGTATGAGCGTCATCTCGATTTGGATGATCTCGTCTATCGCGTCGAACAGTCCATCAAGATCGGACAAGAATGCGCCGACCACCTTGCGACGAAAACCTTCGCAACCGTCGAGGAACTGCTGGAAGAACTAGAGCGGTGGATAAATCCCCGTCAACAGCAGAAAATCTGGGATGACTTTTGGCAGCTCATCGAGTTCCAAGCATCCTCAAAAAACGTTGTCAGCGCGGAGCGAGATTTCCGCATCATATATGCCAAAGTCAAGGGCATGACGATGGAGCAGGTTGCAGGAATGTGCTACCTCAAAGGCATCGGGAGTGACATCCCTTCGCAAGAAATGCAGGGAATCCAAAGAGACCTCAGAGGCGACTTCGAGTTGGAGAATGTTGTCAAGGAAACAAAATACTCCTTGCATAACAAAGTCAACTTGGACGGGCGCGCTGCTACACGCACGCCGGGCGCTGAGGAAGTCTTTCAAGTCACGGACCCACCTGCAACATTCAAACAGCACAAAGCTGGCACGTGCTACAACTGTGGCTCTTCGGCGCACACGATGTGGCAATGCACCAAACCAATCTCCGAACAGGCAAAGAAGATACTCTCCAGGCAGGCTCAAAAGAAGACAGAGGTCAGTGGAAAAGGTAAAGGTAAAGGTAAGGGCAAAGGAAAAGGTAAAGGAGGAAAATATGGAGGATCGCAAAACAAGGATCAGCCTAAGGGCATGACTACCAATCCATCCGGGTCAGGCAAGAAGAGGGACGGCATCGCCTCGCACATCACAGTGCTCGGCGGCGCTGTGCCGCCGTTGTGACTCAACAGCGAATCTCAAAAGAGAAGGATGGAAAACCTTGGGACGGGATTAGTATCGTACTCGGTCCCCGTGCCCAAGGTAAGAAGATCCAGTGGCGGGTGGCGTCCACCTGGATCAGAAAGCCTCCATGGGATGCATGGAGCAAAGGAACGAAGTGTACACAGGATCGATTTCCTTCGTGAGAAAGGAGATGATCTCGTCAATGCTATTGACAAAGACAGTCTGGCGCCGCGGCAACCTCCGTCGTGTGCGTGCAGGCAAGACTCGCAAAAGGATGGGTGTCCCATCTGCGAGCCAGTCGTCAGCGAGGGCGACCAAAAACAACTTCTCGACACGTCGCAGCATCAGTCCGCGACGGGACAGAAAGAAGGAACTCGGCAGCCCTTGGATCAGGCGAGCATGCGCACGGTTCAAGAATTCGAAAGCATCCTTCTGCACACTGTCAGCGATGAGATCGAAACTGAGTGGATCTTAGACAGTCCAGTGGAGCCACAATATTTTGTGTCAAAGACTCCAACATGATCCGTGCTCCGACCAAAGACGGCGGGAAAATCCAACAAGCGGATGGATCGCATGTTAATGGCGGCTACATGGCATCACTACGGACACTAACGGCAGACAACGGGCATAAGTTGGCCCTTCGCCGTGCGTACTATAATCCGAAAATGGCGCGAAATATCGCCAGTCTCAGAATGCTCTTGGACGCAGGTTTTACCGTCACAGAAAATTTCGACGGACTGCGAACACCTAGCGGGACGCTGATCCCAATCACAAAGAGGGGAGGACTATACTTCCTCCGCCTCAGCTACAGGCCTGACCTGGACTCGGGAGAGCTCAACGTGACCCAAGAGGTCATCCACAACAGGATGGGGCATTCAACCTACATGCCGTCCTGTGAGGCTTGCCGACTGAATAAGGCTCGCCGGAAACCGTTCAGCAAAGAAACGCACGAACGACTCCTCCCGACCGAAGCTGGGCACACAATCAGCGTGGACCTCTGCGGGCCGCTACCTGAATCGATAGGCGGCAACCGCTACTGGGCCATCATCGTGGATAGATATGACTCGTGGGTAGAAGTCTTCCCAATTGCGCGCAAAAGCGACGCACACACCGGACTCCAGAAATGGATGGACATGTTTGGAGTGCCGAAAGTCTGCCGCTCGGACAACGGAAAAGAATTCGACGGCGACTTCCTCAAACTGTTGAGAAAGCACGGCATCAGGCCGCGCAAGACATCACCGTACTCACCGGCGCAAAATGGTAGCGCGGAAGTTCATAGTCGTCTCGTCATGCAGGGGATGAAGTGTCTCCTAGATACAGCGCGACTCCCGGACACCTATTGGGGTTTCGCAGCACAGGCATTCTGCTAAGCATTAAACAGGTCGCCACGCGCGATACTCGGGAGCGTGAGCTCCTACGAAAAGCGTAACGGGGTTAAGCCCGGCGCGCAGCATATGCGGACCTTCGGGACGCCTTGCCGATACAAAAACTTCGTGAAAACGAAGATGGAGCGCGCGTATCTTCCGGGTATTTTTGTAGGATACTCGCACCTATCGCCAGACTATTTAGTCTGGGACGAGCAGAAGAAAAAGGTCATCAGGACCAGGGAAGTAGACTTTGGCGCGGAGCCAACATACAGGGGGGATTCATCCCGCCCGTCCATCGCTCCCGAAGCGAAACCGGACAAAAGTGGAGACAGTGGACAACCAGAAAAGGCTGACGCCGCACAGTCGGGGTCCGTAGTCCGTCTCACGCGTGATATGTTGGAGAAGCTCCAAGTCCCAAAGAATCTGAGTCGGTATCAACTCTTCAGCTGTGGAGACAAAACCCCCGCCAAGCTCAAGCGCCTCGGCGCGGCTGTTCTCCGAGTCAATAAATATTTTCCAGCTGATCCAGCTAGGTACATTCCAAACAGCACAGGCCTCTGTGCTGAAGTGTCTGACGGTATCAAGACACATGAGAACTACTCGCAATTCCTCAGCGATGCGACCAAACTTCTCAAAAAGAGCGGAAAGCTCGCGCTCCAGTGCTCGAAAGGTCGCCATAGATCAGTGGCACTCGCGGAAGCGCTCCGTGAGGAAATGGGCTTAGAGAGTCGGCCTGTACACCTTAACCTGCAGCGAGAACTGGAGAGACGCAGTAAGCACAAGGAAGAAGAGACCTTGCTTCCCAGTGGACACACTGCGGCAGTCACATTCATCGAGGACCTGTCCCCTCAGAATGTCGACTTAATAGCCAACATCATCGAGAATCAATCAGAAATCGAGATTGGCGACACTACGGACGCTCTGACCCACGATGAGTATGTCCTCCTGCTAAGGACCTTGACGCGAAAACAGGCACTCGCAGAGGATCCAGGAGGCTGGGCCGCCGCGCTGGCGTCAGAGCTAAACTCGATCAAGGGACGAGACGTATTCGATGAAATATCGGTCAGCGACCTGCCCCCAGGAGCGAAGGCTGTGCCGATACGAGTACTATACAATGTCAAAGAGTGTGGGCGACTCAAATGTCGCGCCGTCGTGCTCGGAAACCGAGTAGAATACCAAGAGAGCATCTACTCGCCCGTCCCTCGGATCCCAAATATTCGGCTCATGTTCAAGATAGCCAAGGCGCTAGACTTTGATCTCGAGCAATATGATGTCAAGACAGCTTTCCTATATGCAGACATAGTCGGCGAGGACGTCTACTGCATACCACCCCCCGAATGGCGCAAAGGAAAGGAGAATGTCCGATGGAAACTCAAGAAAGCCCTGTATGGATTGAAAAGTGCTCCAGCTCTCTGGGCTAAGACGTTCGCAAGACACGCCACCAGCTCCGGTTGGAAACAAAGCTTAAACGAACCGTCCATGTTTTTTCACGGCGAGCGCCGTGTGTGCATGCTCGCATACGTGGATGACATAGTCTTTCTAGGTCGGAAAGAGGACATAGCCGCGGTTCGAGGCTCGATCCTCGACAGGTTCGAGCACAATACGTGTGAACCGCAAAAGCTCGAGGACGGCGGACTACTGTATAAGTTTCTAGGCATCAACGTTCTCAAGAAGAGACGCAGACTGGCCTTGAGTCAAGAAAATCTGGTCGATAAGATTCTGCAGGACTTTGACCCAGATAAAACTCTGAAAGAGTGCGATACTCCAACAACACGGGCGGAGATAGATCGTTTCGAAAAAGAGCTTTCTGAGAAATCTCGCCCGAAAATCGCTACACGCGTACAAAAATCGACCTACCGGAAGTTTGTCGGTGCGGTCATGTACCTATGTACATCAACACGGTATGACATTGCGTATGTCGTTCAATACCTATCCACATGTCTAGAGGAGCCCACGCCAGTGGCCCTGCGAGTGTGTGATCGATTATTAGGATATCTTCGCAAGACGCGGAGCTTCGCCTTAGACATTGATGGCCGCGACGGTGACTTAACTCCAAAAGCCTGGTCAGATGCTGACTGGGGAACATGTAAAAAGACCCGTAGATCGGTCAGTGGAGGTCTCGTCGAATTAGGCCAAACCAAATGCACGCCTATCGCGTGGCGAAGTAAAAAGCAGCCTGTCGTAGCACTATCAACGACAGAAGCGGAGCTTATAGCCGCGACTGAAATCGCGCGGGAGGCAGTTTACCTCCGGAGACTACTTCAAGAATCTCTTGAAAATCTAGGCAATAGCCGACAATCAAAATCGACGGATCCACATGGCCGTTTGAAAAAGTCTCTAGCTCCAATTCCTTTAATGATCGATAACCGAAGCGCGAAAGCGGTCGGCGAATCGCCAGAAGTTCGTCGGGTCAAGCATATGGATCTTAAATTACTCTGGATCCGCCAAGTTGTCGGAGAAGGGAAATTAGATCTACACTTCTGTCCCACTGACGAGCAAAAGGCAGACATCTTCACAAAGGCACTTAATAAGCCGACATTTGTGAGTCTATGCCATAAAATCGCAGGAACAAAACCCAAAAAGTAAACTTAATTTTTTTTCTACTCATCGAGGTTCGTTGTCGGATCTCGTGTGTATTGATGCTTGCATCTGTTAAGTTCGTTAAACGTTATCGGATTTTCATGCATATTCTTGTTTACTGTTTCGAAATTTGTTTTTCGTCGATTTCTAGCTGGGTTCTAGTCATAAATATTTAGTGCGCGTATAGTATTTCTTCAATAGTTTACCGCTGTATTTTGTAATTATCTAACAATATAGATTAAGATTACAACTACCCAAAACAAAAACAAAATGTCGGGCTTCGCGAGAGTAATCGTTCCGAAGGAGCCTCAACGACTACAAGGGACGGAAGCTTGGCGTCAATCTTTGATGTCAGCAATCCGAGGTAACGAGGTGTCACTTGCTACAAGACCCCCTTCGCCTGCTTTTCCAGCTGATCTCGGAGTAAAGAGTCACATCTTCTACGAGATCACTGAGCGACACGTCGCAACTTTGAAAGGATGTAGGTCGGACGGCGACTACGCAAAAGCATTCCAACTATGCTTATCGTGCATGCTTGTCCAAGAGGAGAATGTTTGGAAGGAGTGGATAATCAACCACGGCCCGAACATGAATTCTCACTACAGTCGACAGTGCTCGGATATGGGTCTTGCTCTGCAGACTGAGTATTGGGACCTGGCAAGGAAAATGAGGAAAGAAGGAAGCGCATTCTTCCACAATTGCATTCTCCGTTTAATTTACGCTCGGGAGACGGTGAGTAACCTGGAAGCCGTTGGATCCATGGGAGTTATGGAGAATACAATCAACCTCGTTCAAGCCTGTCCAACGTCGACACGGGTGTCCCACAAAATGGCACCTGCGAAGCAAACTCCTTCTTCTTCTAGTAGTTCCAGTAGTCGCAGTAGTTCGGCGACGAAGAACAGCAGCAGCTACCACAAAGGAAAGGGGAAGCAAGCGGAGCAGCAGCCGCACAAAGGAGACAAAAGCAAAGGCAAAAAGGGGAAAGGTAAACAAGAAGACGGTGGAGCAAAAGGGCCGCCGCTGAAGAAAGCCAGAAAAAAGGAAGAAGCAGCACCAGCAGAGGCAGCACCGGCGGAAGCAGCCGCTGCCCCTGAGGAAAACGGAGAAGAACAAAACAACACTGAGAATGTTGCTGAAGAAGACTTCGGAGAAGAGCTCTAAGTCTTATACTCGGCTACGTAGAAATAGCCTATGTTTCTAATATTGTGCAACAAATATCATCCATCTTCGATCATAACATGCATCATGTTTTTTCCGTATTGTATTCATTCGCTGGAATACAGTCGAACTTGCAACCACTATTATTATTGTAGTCTACACGTCATTCATGGGATGGAGTATAGATTAAGGAGGGATATGATCCAGTTCCCCTGTTCTGCAAATGATAGAAATAAGAAGATGAAGAAGATGAGCACGATGATCCTAGTACTTTCATGAGTATGAAGATCATCAACAGCATGAACATGATGGAAATCATTGCAGTCCCATAGTGACAAAGATCACACCACTGGAGTACCATGCTAATGATGTGGATCCTTATCGTGATACTTATGAACAAGAAGGTCCACACATTTGACAACTTTGCAACCGCATGAGAATCATGCAAAACCTTCACAATTTGCACAACTGAAACAGGCCGGGAATTATATAAAAAACGCATCACCATAAGGGTGAAAATAAGCAGTCCTAGTGTTCACAAACAGTAGGATAGGATAGGATAGGAAAAGATAGGATCGAATAGCATAGGATAGGATAGGATCGAATAGGATAACATAGGATAGACTCGAATCGAATAGGATAGGATAGGGTAGGATCGAATAGCATAGGATAGGATAGGATCGAATAGGATAACATAGGATAGACTCGAATCGAATAGGATAGGATAGGGTAGGATCGAATAGCATAGGATAGGATAGGACCGAATAGGATAACATAGGATAGACTCGAATCGAATAGGATAGGATAGGGTAGGATCGAATAGCATAGGATAGGATAGGATCGAAATCGAATAGGATCGAAATCGAATAGGATCGAAATCGAATAGGATCGCAATCGAATAGGATAGGACCGAATAGGATAGCATAGGACAGACTCAGATAGGATATGATAGGATAGGATCGAATAGGATAGGATAGCTCATTTTTGAGTAACGACTGAGTTGAGATTGGGAGTGGACTGACAACTGCATGGAGATTAGGAGTAGATAGGATAGTGCATTTTTATGTAAGTACGTCTTCTGGAGGAAAAATGTGAGTGAAAAAGAACGAAGATTGAACAAGTACGGGAACGAACAGGTACGTACGGTTCTTTCAGAATTGGAAATATGGATGCAGACCTTAGAAGTTCAAGAAATACTTCAAGAAATGCTGTGAGGTTGCAAAGATGAAAGATGTCTGTGGTCTATTACAAAGATTACTAGCCCGGGAAAGGGCATCTATAATGTATCATCTAGATTATTTAGCATCACTTAATATTCGCGGCCATAACAACCTTTTTGAAGAGGTCACCACAGGTCTCCTCTCCCGTCTTACGCTTTAACATCGTCGTCGCCATGCAGGATGTGGCGAACAGCTGAAGCCCCAACAATGCAGTTTTCTTACGAGCTCCTAAGAGAGTCATTCTTGCTGCAATGGTGGAAATGGTATTCCGATTTGTCTGTATTCTAAACCGTAAAAACGGTATTCCTATGTATTTATCTGTATTCTGAGCACTAACGGCACTCCTATTTGTTTGTAGTACTCCAAAGGGTAAAAACGGTCGTGAATTATTTGTTTTATTTCATCAGATTTCTGAACAGGAACCAGTGGCTTTTCTAGTCTGATTGGGGAGATATGGATTCCTAAAAATCCTAAAATCGATGCGTTTGAATGAGTGAGTGAGTGTGCCGGCCGAAAGGTTTAATTGAACTTGGCTAGGAGATGAATGCGAGTAAAACTCAAAGTAGACCGTTTCGCTGTAAGAATGAGAAACACAATCATAGAACTTGAAATTCATCAGAGAAAGAAGGTGAGTCAGGGATATTAGACATCCAGGGTCTTTCTATTCCTTCCTTATAAACAGAATATCATCTCTCGGACAGAGTCTCAGCTCTCGGACAGAGTTGCATCTTTCGGACAGAGTCTCAGCTCTCGGACAGAGTCATCTCTCGGACAGGGTCGCATCTCTCGGACAGAGTCTCAGCTCTCGGACAGGGTCGTATCTCTCGGACAGAGTCTCAGCTCTCGGACAGAGTCTCAGCTCTCGGACAGGGTCGCATCTCTCGGACAGAGACTCAGCTCTCGGACAGAGTCTCAGCTCTCGGACAGGGTCGTATCTCTCGGACAGGGTCGTATCTCTCGGACAGAGACTCATCTCTCGGACAGACACAGAGACTCAGAAGCTGAACCAGATACAAGTAAACACTGTCTCAAGAACGGACGCCTGCGTTATCTTTGTTTGGACACAGCTCTAAAAGCTTCACGTCGGTGATGAACTCCACTGTCCGATGATCTCCACGTGATGATCTCACAGATCCACGTCGGTGATGTCTCCACTGTGATGATCTCACAGATTTATTCGGAACATTTCCGTAAAGAACGCCGATTCTTATCCTGTGTCTCAATTTTCTTCAATACGGTTGCGCGATCTTCTAATTCTTTTCCCTTGCTTGTTCCCTTTGGTTTGCGCCTTCTACGGCAGTGCATATTGTCTGCCCCAAGTGAATATTTCTGGTAACGCTTGACGTCTGATGGAGCAAATTTCTCTATTCATAACCATTTTCCATCTTGACACTGCTTCTCAACATTTCAGGTCAATAAACATAACGACCTTGCTCACTACACTGATGAACATTGCGACTTGATTTTGGCGCTGAATAGCGAGAAATAGCGCGGCTCCAGAACATATTAACACATATTCCATTTTTTCACACGTCAAAAAACGAAAACATTCATTGATTATTTGAAAACATAAGTAAGCAATTCTACTATCAGATCTCTACAAAACAAAGGTAATTTCGTTTCTACCTGTCCTGTCATGCTAGCTGCGTTGTTGAGTGTTTAGTTTCAGTTTGCGTGTGCCAATGATGCCTTCACATCGCAAGGACAATGGTAGTAGTCAGTCTCCCCGAGACAAAGTCAAACAATGGTCATACTCAGTCCCCGCAACGCATGGGGTGTATAACCATTAGGAAAATTCTGACTGGAAAATAATCATAAACAGGGAACAATATAGTCTCTATTTTTCGTTTCAATTAAAGACAGGAATTCCACATACTACTTCAGTTTTACCAAGGGCCTCCAGTAGTATTCTGTTCGGAAAAGGCACTATGGATCTTGATCTTAGACGGATATCATGTGGAACACAATTCTATCTGAGTTTTTTGACATCATGATATTTTGAATCTGAAAAAATACTCTGCACGACATTTCGAAACTCCTACTTGCTTCCAGTAGAAGTAGGTCCAATGCTTGGTGTCGTCTAGAAAATAATAACACAACTCGCAACAAATCGATCGCTTTCACTTTGCTGCTGCTCCAATCTCTTTAGTACCTGAATATGGGGTTGTGGTGTCTCAGAGAAAGAAAAGTATACGTTTTTACGTACCGAGACGAAAGAATTACTCTATTGACACCCAAACTTGAAATATAATCACCATCAACGAAGGCAGAGATATTTGACAAATATTCTCTTCCTTTTCAAGATCTGAGACTAGCAGCGTTACTAGTTTGTACCAGCATCCTGGCTTCTTTTGCATGCCTTCCCATTTTTTCAGCACCACATCCTGTGCTTTCCCATTGTTTTAGCACCACACCCTGTGCTTTCCCCTTTTTTTTGCGCCACATCCTGTTCTTTCCCTTTTTTTACAGCACCACATCCTGTACTTTCCTATTTTTTCAGCACCACATCCTGTGCTTTCCCATTTTTTCAGCACCACATCCTGTGCTTATCTTCCATTCAAATACATAATAGCAGATTCTGTGCCTTTCATCTCCTCTAGAGCCATCCCGCACTTTTAGCAGCATCCTCCACTCGCACCAGCAGCAGCAGTGTTCGCACCAGCAGCAGCAGTGTTCGCACCAGCAGCACCAGCAGTGTTCGCACCAGCAGCAGCAGTGTTCGCCCCAGCAGCAGCAGCAGTGTTCGCACCAGCAGCAGCAGCAGCAGTGTTCGCACCAGCAGCAGCAGCGGCACTCGTGCTGCCACCTGCACGCGCGCCAGAGTTGGCTGGGGCACCATTGGTTGTACAGCAGGCGTTGCGAAACTTCTCGCCATTTTCTTTGCCCCACTTTTGCACGGCGTCCATGCCAGCGGCCTGTGCCTTCTTTACGAAGTTCCGCAGCATTTCACTAGCCACCTCGGGGTTGCTTTGATACTTAGTGATAATACCTGCCAGTTGAGGAACCTGAGCGGCTGCATGAGCGAGCGGAATCATAAACGTAGGATTCGCAGGCTTGGCGCCGCACACGTCCTGAAATTAGAACCGGCCACCTCCACCTTTCATCTCTCCCCATCTTGGTCGAAGCAAGACAAGTATCCTTAATATCGGCCTTGTTGTATTCTCCAGTAGTACTTCTATAGTGGTGGAACCAGCCTAGCTAGAAAAAGACACCAAGAACAAAAAGAGAGCTCCAAAAGCTTTTTCTAGTTAGGCTGGCTCCACCACTATTACGTTGCAAAAAGTCTTCTGATGTAGGAAATAAAAGGCACGACCAAGATGCTCAAAGAGATAAAGAAAAGCGAACCGTAATGGAGGGTCATATCCGAAGAAGGGCGTTCAGGCTGCAAAAATGACATATAAGCTTGTGACACAACGCTCTGGAACGCTCTGGGGCTTTTGCTAATCGCTAGCGAGAAGGCGTCCTGGGTAATCTCCCACATTTCTTCGCAGCTCACGTGTGTCGGTACTGAGTTTAGTTTAGTATGTTGCATTAGAAGGAAGGCGCGCACGAATGATTCTTCTTGATCACTCAGTGCGACGTGTGACTCATGAAGATCGAAGTACGAAGTTGTAAGCATCTCTTCTTAGCACCCGAAGCGAACGAGAACGTCATCTGAAACAATTATAATAAAAGAAGAAAACCTTCCCACCAATATTAGTATTCATTAGACCGTGATTAGAGAGAAGCCCTACCAAGGAAAAAACAACAACAACAAGATCACGATTCTTATCATAAAATGAATCTGCTCAACCAAAAAATAATGTCAGTATTCACTTTCGTCCTCGTCCTCCATTAAACAATCTTTTCATCATAAGAAGTGCTCCTTCACTTTCAGGTGGGATAGCTGTAAACCCCAGGCCAAGGTCGTCAGCAGAGCCGCCATCGAAATTTTCAGTAGTCTCGGCGCCATCTTTTCCTTTAGGATGGGATAGGATAGGGCAGGATGTAACAGTGGAAGTAGCTAACCGAATAGCAACAAGCTCGACGAGTAGTAGTCCAGTGTAGACGATTTGCTGCAAGTCTAATGAGAAGTAGAATGCTAGGAATGCTTGAGTTGTCTTGTTACTGAGACAATTTCTACCAACGAAATTTCCAGGCAGGAATCGAAATGGACAAGTCAACAGTCTTTAAAAAAACTACACTGTAAAAAGACCGTAAGGGTGAAGTTGGATGTTCGAAAATTTTCAGAATCAGATGTTCCTGTTCTATGACGAACAACATCTTACAGAAATCGAGTCGCAGATGAACTTTACAAACATAAGGAGAAGATAATCAGAACTTGGGAAGTAAAACGAAAGGACAGAAACACTTCTCCATATGACGGAGAAATTCTTCACGCATTCTCACAAGGGACACCAGATCAGAAAGATTTTCTTCCTCCGACCTTCTGACGGACAGAAAGATTTTCTTCACTCTCTCTGAAGGACATAGAGATTTTCTTCACTCTCTCTGAAGGACAGAAAGGCTTTCTTCACTCTCTCTGAAGGACATAGAGATTTTCTCCACTCTCTCTGAAGGACAGAAAGGCTTTCTTCACTCTCTCTGAAGGACATAGAGATTTTCTTCACTCTCTCTGAAGGACAGAAGGGCTTTCGCTCTCTCGCTAGACGAGGGCGCAAAGGCTTTCGCTCCTTTCTCTATGCAAAGGACAGAGCTACTTTCTTCCCTCTCTCTTTGCAAAGGACACGAATACTCTCTTCCCTTTCTCTTTGCAAAGGACCAGTTCAGAAACTGCAGGTGAATCCTTCTTCGATAGATTTTCTCACATGTGGAAATGCTGAATTTTCGGACCTGTTCAGGTTTGGTTTCCGTTCTTTGACATATAATGACATCTTTTTTGAGAAGGGCGGCTTAGGGTTTGCGTTTGCTCTATTCAATATTCTGTTTTTGTTAAGTAACGTACGTAATTCAACATCTTTTCATTCAATACACGAATACAAAACTACAAGAACAATCACACATCAATGAATACGAAACAACATCAATAATAAAAGTTAGACTAACGATCATCATGCTTATGACATAGGCTTATGCACCATAAATAGCGACATGCATGCTCTTCTTGAGTACGATTTTTCATTAGTCTTCTTTTCATAACAACTGCGCATCTTCTTCGAAACTTAATGCGAAAGTCACAGAGTATGAGGAGACGATGGCCTAGTTGGCATTTGCCTATCCTTATGCTTCTAGAAGTACTATGATTGTGTATATCATGACGACCATGTAATTAGGCTAATTAGGCTATGCTATGAAGATGAGAATGACGAAGCCCCCGCGGCCGCGCCTCTCGAAAAAAATAAATTTGTCGATAATTACCACTGTAGGCTAGTATTAATCAGATTACTAGCAGAGGAAGAGGAAACAAGCATATAGATACAGCAAACTTATTGCTCACGTTCACCTACTTCGATAAAATCAAAAAATCTGATGAATTTTAAGAGTTATGGGCCATAGTGGTCTTCTAGTATGTCAAGCACGTGGAGAAGCTACAGAGATCAATCAAATCCATTTTCATACTCATCAACATCGACAGAAACGCAATCTTTCTTCTCAAACCGTAGTGCGTATATGCTCAACCGAAGAATTATCGAGAGAACATCCTGAAAGGCACCACACACCAGTCTGCTTCCCAGCAAAGCCTGAAGTTAGAAATTGAAGGAAGTGGCTGCTTGCAAGTTGTCGCGATAATCTTGGTGTTTGGAATAGCTTGTAGGTTATTTAACTTCACTCACCTCGCAGTTAGATAAGCTAATCAGCGATAATATTTCAGTGGTTACCATTCATCTACTGGATAGAGGCACTGACGAAGAGATCCTGGGTTTTGTTCATACTTTGACCACTATATTAACAGAAGTAGATATTGCTGCAGCGAACAGAGTCTAGCTGTGGCCATCAAATCAACTAAGGAGGATGTGTAGACTTAATATCAATAGTACGCGAGGCTTCCTCTTCCTGTAGTCTTCTCGTTCCCGGCTTTATTTCGCAATGGGTCAACTCAGCTGGCTCGCACACGGTGGAGAATTTTTGCAAATCATCAAACCGCATATCAAGTGCAACCTGGCAGAAGGTGAAGGACAGAACAGTGATAAGTGCACGCATAGCCTCTTACAATCTTCGGATTGATGTTTGATGTATTGCTTGGCTGTATTAAAGGAGGTGATAGTTTGTAAATGAATTAGCTACGAGTACGAATACAGTGACGGAGGTGAGGGACTTCTTTGCTTTTCTATTCATTTGTCCTTGTCTTTCTCGACTGTAATACTACGACAGGACACTGAAGATGAAGATGAAGATGGCGTGACTACCTCCTCTCCTAACTTTCTGTTGTTTTTTTTTCACTTCCGCTGCTTGCTCAGTTCCCCACCTTATAATGAATCTCCGCTCTCCTCCATGGTTCTTACTAACTACTACTTAATCATACTTTTGACTTTGTGCGTTGCTGTTGGTCTGCTTCTAAATCTAAAATTCTGTGTACTCTCATCTTTCTCGCCTTGAAGATGTTGCTCTTCTACAGTACGTGCCTACTTCTAGCTCACTACTTCCTACTTCTTTCTATATTTTCAACATCAGCATGGTGCTTTCCTTCTCCTAGTCCTAGAGTAGCTATCTCCAGCTCTATTAGACCTCTTCCGGGGAAGAAGATGCCAAAGTCTCGACAATATCGCAGACGTTGCACCCCGGTGGTTTATTGAAGAAAATCGAAGCCGTTTCTTCCTTGTCAACCAGAGAATCTCCGAGGAAAAACCCGGAATGGCACCACACACCAGTCTGCTTCCCAACAAAGCCTGAGTTTGAATATTGCAGATGGAAGTAATCGCTATCGTCCCATCGAGATAAAGATAATACTTCGTTGATTAACATTCCTCGATTGTTGTAGAGGGCTAATCATTTCCTGGGTTCTTTTGTCCATTACAAAATGACTTCACAAACACAACATTACAATATGAGTTCACAAACACAATGCAAAAAAATATATCAGAGAATCAGAAGGAGAAGGACCTATAACAGAAAAAATTGCTGCGCCAGAGATCAGGATCTTCTATTTGTATTCGTAATCATCATGATCACCCAACCAAGTAAGAATAGATATATAAAAATGTCAGTAGTTGTACACGAGAATCCGTTCTGTTTTCCAGGTCTTTTTCCGCACTGGGGCGACTCAGCTGGCTTGCACTCGGTGGACAACTTCTGCAAATATTCCCCAAACTGCATATCAGGCACTGGCACAGGTGGCAACCTGGCACATGGACAGAATTTCATGACGAGTGCACGCCTGTTACAAACTTGAGATAGATTGTCTGACTTGGTATCTTCAAAGTAGAATCGTAAATGGATTGCCTACGAGTGAAATGACGGAGAGGGACTTAGACTTTGTAGTTTTTGTTCTATGCATTTATTCTCTCAAAACTCCAACACGATGATAGTATCTATACGTGTAGGAATTCGGAGACGCGGCAGACCCGTAGTTGATGTGCGCCTGTTCTTTCTTGAAGGAGATGGACTTGGCGGGCGCGCAGCCTTGCTCTTTGTTGGTTTTATGAGTTTTACCGCCGCTTCTGCGGCAAATGATGCGCAGGAACTTCCACAGAAAGAAGATGCAGAAAGCCAGGAAAGCGCCGTAGAACAACGCGATCGGGTCGCTAAACGCAAGCTGATGCGATCGCGTGGACCCAGGGCTAGATGACGACACGCTGGCGCTGGACTGGAGAAGCGAAGTTGCAGCAGGTACTGGTTGCACGTGTTGAGCTTTGAAATCATCCTCTCTTCTTCTTGCGTCTTTCAATATGCTTCTCAAGTTGTCTAGCTCCTGTCTCTCTACCGTGCCGACGTGTCCAAAGAAACGGACCTTGAGCGCTTCTCCACCTCTCGGAGTCATCTTGCCGGCGATGCTGTCGATTTTTCTCCTGAAGAGTAGCAAGCTCTCGTAATATTTAGTTCTAGCGGAAAGGTAAAGTCCGTAAACCTTGAGTGATTCCTTCCACGCGTTGGGGATGAGTAGTTCCTTGCGATACTCCAACTCGTTTCTCTTGAGATGAGATCTGTCCCGAGTCCGAAGTTCCTCGTAGAAGTTATTCTCTTCATCGTTCTTCTTTTTTGCGTCTAAATAGTTACATTTGTTCCTACTAAAAAACCAATTCCAGCTAGTGTTGCGCAGTGCCTCCACGAAAACAGGGTTGAAGACTTGTGTGTGGCTCAATGGGTCATTCGTGGTTTTCAAAAAGGTGTCCCTCAGACATTGAGTACTAATCATCTTTTTTACGGCGGCATCGCAATCATCTTGGTTCGGCGTGTCTCGGCAGTCCTCTACAACATCACGAGACTGAGTGGCCCCCATCTTGATCTTGTCCTTGGTTCTGTAGATGTTGGTCACGACCTATTCGAAGTCTTTAAGTTCTCTGCCTACGTACTGCTCAGTGGATTTCTTCGTCAATACGCTTGTCTCCTTTTGAGACTAGAAAAGCATGATCCGCCTTTCCCTAGTATGAGGTACGAAAAATTGATTCTTGTGAAGTGAAAAAGCTGAGAACATCAAGTAAATTACGCAACTGAAAGACCAACATTAATATGAAGAGGTTAACTAAGCAATTTCCATAAAAGTAAAAAATAGAACTATAGCCCGAACCCTAGCTACTTTAATTAGCTAGTTAACAAGCGTCTGAGGCAGCCCTGCTGGCAGCCTCCACCTCCAGCGCGATCTCGGAGCCCTGCAGCTGGCGACTGTGGGGTAGCCACAAGGGAGACGCTGGCCTTCGGGTGCAGCTGAAAAGGAGCTGCTCTACCCTGGAAAAAGGGCTCGCTTTCGCCTGACCTCGCGCGGGGTCATGCCTCAGAGAGTCCTTTCTCCAGGCTGGAGTAGGTCCTTTTCAGCTGCATCGGAAGGCCATTGTCTACTTCGTGGCCGCGCTCCAGGCACCGGCTGCAGGGATCCAGAACCGCGCCTCCAAGTGGAGGCCGCCAGCAGGACTGCCTCAGACGCTTGTTAACTAGCTAGTTAAAATATCTAGGGTTCGGGCTATAATTTTATTTTTTACTTACGTATTTGGAAATTGCTTAGTTAACCTCTTCATAATTAATAGCGAGTATGTATATGACTATTAATATATGTGGAAACGCATCGAAGTCTGGCAGTATCTTCACAGAACGACAGAGCGAAATCCAGCTTCATCGACTTTGCGTCAAAGTCCAAATTTGTTAATATATACGAAATGTCTTCGCTCGTATCGAAACAAGTCTTATCATTCGAGCGACAAAAGTGAGCGCAATGTGGGGCGAACTCTCGTTAATAGCGATTCCAATTCGACCGGATAAACGTGTAAAAGTCCCTCGATCAGTGAGTGCCTAATTATCTGTCAATTTTGCACTTTCAGCGATCGCGAACACAAGGCTGACCTCCTGTCGCCAATTTTCAGGCTTTGTTGTTAGAAGGCCGCAAGTATCGGCTTCAACTTATGCAGTAACAGTATAAATATACTCTCACGACAAAGTGTGCCTGTGTTTCACCCACCTTCAAAGCCTCCCGCTCCCTTGCTCGTATCTTGAGCCCTGGGAAGTCGTCATGAGTAGCAGGATGACACTCGTCAACAATTAGTCAGTCCTTTCCTAAGATGCTCGACCGTCTACTTAGATGAGTGCCTACCATGTACGTCACTCGTCTTGTTTGATCTGACCTTGCTACAAAACAATCTCGCTCCACCACTCGCTGATCGTTGTACTACAACAAAAGACATTACTTCGTCTCCCCCTCGTCAACAAACTCACGATCAACAGGGACAACCTTTCTGGAAACAAACGAACACTCGTGCGACGACTACCACGACACGACCAGACAAGGCAGAAAGAAAGACTCACCCGACGCTTCGCCACGGTTTGATACTAACGCACAAGATTCGACATATCGCATACGCTATCCCAGATGGTGACTCCCGAACAAATCTGCCCGCTTTGCACGAGAGTGGCGATTTCTTTTGACCCTGGGGACGGACTCCAAAGAAACGGACCTCCGACGTTGGCTATTTATTTTACGAATATGGCGACGCATGTAGACAAAGACGGCAGATGAAGGAACAAAACAAGAACCACGCCAATACAGCTGCCCAGCGTCTTTTTTCAATTTTCTCAGTATTCTCCTCCATCGGTACCGCAACAACAAGTAAGGACTTGCCTTTCTTCGCAAAAGTAGAAGAAAACTGCTGATAAGTTGACAACAAAGAAACTCAAACTCTTTTCGCTACATATGAAATACCGAGACCAGCACAGTGGGCTCGTGGCCGATACATGAGCCGGCGACAGTCTTGGGCCCGGCCCCGCCTCTGTCACTGTCCCGCCTATGGTCTTTACTCATCGCGCGACCCGAAGCGACTGACCACGAGGGCGGGGCGCCCCTTTGGGTTCGCTCTCTTCTTTCGGGATGAGGTCGGCAATATCAGAGGAGCCAGGCGACAGGCGCTGCGGGTCTCGCCTCTGCTCCGTATGTGTTTCACCATACAAAGAGCCAGCCTCAATAAAAAAACTTACACGACGACTACATCGACGCGCGTCGGATCGTCATGAGCATAGCGGCGGCCTGTTCAACTTCACGGCAGCCACTAGTGCCCTTGCAGTGCTAAGAGTTTCCAAGACTGCTGCTGCTAGTCCTTGCTTTCTAGTTCTTCCAACCCCGCTCTGCGGCTGCTGGTACCGCCCAGCTTTCCTGCGTCAGCTTTTCTCGCTTTCTCTGGTCTCTCCATGGTCACGCCAGTCGCTCGTCTGCTCGATGTTGTCCTCCTCCTGGATGCTGGTGCTGGGTTTGTCCTCGTAGTTCTGGCGGTTTAGCGCACGGCAATTTTTCCGAGGAGATGGCCCATCTCAGTCCTTCGCATCCTCGTCGCCCTCATTCCATAGCCGTCCCATTATCGGTCGCGTTTTTAGTTCGTTTGCCCTTGAGTACGTTCCAACGGGATGCCGCTCGTTCTTGGGATGGATTTCGGGAAAATTAGCTCGGCGATCTGGAAGCCTGGAGAAACCAGGCGCGTGACTCTTTTGCTCCTCTTCTGCTGTGCCGCGAGGGAGAAGCTTTCTCAGCTTCGCCGCGTCTTGTTCTGGGCAGCCTTGTGGTCCGTCGGTCAGTGCCAGACTTTTATCAGTATTAAAATGCTGCGCGAGTGGTCCCCTGTCGTCAATCACCATGAAGCCCCTGCAAAATTTTCGGAATTCGACGAAATTCCGAATCTCCAAGCGTCGACGGCCGAGCGTGGTGCTGTCGGTTTCGCCACACAAAGCGGATAAAGAGATCTGAGATCTTTCATGAAAGAACTCAAACAGCCAGAGCCTTCGCACCAGTCGAGTACGCCAAGACGTAGCAAAGACAAACTGCGGCTTTCTTGTCCTCGACGGGGATTCCGGTCGGTTAGCCTGGAAGCCCAAAGCTTCGCCATCGCCATTGTTCATCCCTACGCCTATCTCATCAGCTTCGTAGTGTGCTCTTGGCAGTGTTTGTATTGAATTCGTGCCCGGTATAGTTTGCGTCAGACTCATGGGCAGCCTACTCCTAGCGGAAGACGAAGATCCAATATTACCGAGCCACAGCTCCGCCCACCTCCCTCAAGACGCCAGCGAGTCGCCCAGCATGTTCTTCCGATAGCGTGAGCGCAAATCCCCCTAACGCATTGCGTACGCCGTCAAGGTCAGCACCCAAAAGTATTAAGTAAGATAGACCGAAGAAAGCCAAAAGGTTGACGCTCTTTCTCCAACAAATGAGAACACAGTCTGGGCCCAGAGCTCCGGGGTTTCAACTGCCGCTGTCTGCTTGACTGTTGTGAACTACGACAGGCCCCCCTCATTTTTTGCCTGTTCCTTCTCCTAAGGGTGGCGCTAAAAGATGACTTTCCTACAAGTGTCTGACCGTGAGAGGGTAAGACTGGACTTCTTACGTATTCAAAATATAAGTTAGACTAATACGCGCGCTAAGGCTACTACTGCACACGAGGCCCATCTTCCGAGGAGGAAGATGGTGCCCGCGGCAGGTTTCCTATGTGTTGCTCCTTGTCCCCAATCATGGGTGTCGACTCACTAGAGACAAGACGAGAAGGGCTGCACGCTGCCAAAAACCATGACACTGAAGCCGTAGCATTCTACTCAAACAATTCCCTTAGCATTCCCTTGGCATCTGTGTGATGGCCACGATGCTGGACTTTTCTAATTCTGGCACGCAAGGAAGTACTGCCCACGACAGCGGAGCAGCTTCCAGGCTACCTCTATCCATTCGCCCCTCTCGACCGGCGTCACGATGTGCGCCCCCGAGGCCTCTTCTTTCATCCCTAAGGCCTTCAATTCCTTCACAGAAAGCCTCTGCAGTCGTGCTCCAGCCGCTTCAGCGCGTCCCCGCTTCTCTCTCCACATCCGAAATTCGTCGAGCCACCGCCCCCTCCTTCTGCGCGAAAATCTTCGCTGATGTTTTTCAGTATGGGCCTCCACAGACCAGAAAGGCCCTGGGTGGGACGCGTGAGATGCGAAAACCAAAGCGAAGCCAAATGCCCAACAGATGGCGACACACTGGCAAAGGACTATCCACTCTATACGCATACTCCAAAAGATGCTCTAACTCTACTCATAAGCGTGCTCTTCATTATATCAAGAACCACGAGCGGCACTCTCCTAGTACTGATAACACGCAGTGTACGTTATTGCCTCAAAGCAGCACGATGAAGGGGGAAAGCGCCCGGCCCTTAGCCCGCAATGAATGAGAGAAATACCAGAACGGTCGAAAGCTGTTGGAGCAGGGACACTACTGGCGGCCATAATTCTCAGTAGGGGCTCTATCGTCCACCACCTCGGCCTCCGCCTGTGCCTTTGCCTCTTCCTTTTCTACGTGTCCGCGGAGCAATAGGCCCCCCGGCCCGTGTGCAGCCTGATGTCCGTAAATATTTCGCATAGGGTTGCGCAACTTGTCACATCCTCACGCCACGCGTCACGTCTCTGCTGTACGGGTTGCCACGACATGACACGCAGGAGATGAGAAGCCGGGGACGGTGGAGTTGCCCACGATGGAGAAACGGCGATAGATGAGAGCCAGACGAAGAGAGAAGAAGGCGCGCACTTTTTTGAGCAGGTAGCATAAGTGACCCCGAGCATTTGCTTTTAGATGGAGTAGATCAGCGGCGTGACGTTGAGAAGTGAGCACTAGACCAATGCCTTCCTTTCCTTTCATCCATCACAAGCATCAACGCCAAGCAAAATGCTACGCCGTTACCTCGTGGGTCATCGTATCCAGTGAATTGCTGTCGCGCGCGTGTGTCTCCAGGTCCAGTATTGAATCTGTTCACCCCAGTCGCTGCGCCAGGGCAGGCGCTCCTGCCACCATCCGGGTTCCAGCTCTCCTCCCACGTCCACCCATTTACTTCGGCACATTCGTAGACCCAATTAAGGAGAGGCATGCTGTCTCTGACCTCTCGCACTCGAAGCTGCAAGACAGGCACCCACAAGAGAGCAGGAAGTAGAGTAGGACACATTAGTATAAGGCTGACGTGAGTAGACTCTAGACCTAAGTAGCTCCGTTGGCGGAGAATCATCCTCAGAACAGCAGAGCTAAAAAAATAACGAGGCCGCTTCCGCTCACGTCGGGCGATGCTTGTCTTTACAATAAGACGCCGACCGCCTTGCAAATGTGGCCAGTTTTAAGCGTAAAAGCCATAATGATAAAAGTGCAGCCGTTAACACTAATAGCTTTGGATATGAGTCAGGGCCTACCCCTCAGGCGATGCTGGTGTAGCTCACAAGCAGGCGAGCTTCTAACTTCTGTCGCGCTTTATTGCCATAGCGGAGGGAGCGGAGGCAGATCACCGTGATCCATCAGCCACAGAAACGCGAAAGCGCTCGGATCTGTTTGACATTGCACGCGCTCCGATTTGTTTCCCCTGAGCAGAGCCGAGTCCGAGTGTAGACGTACGCCAACAGCGGAGGTATGTAGATACTGACACACGCGCAGAGGTAATAAACTGCCACCCTGTACCAGTTGACCGCCAACCAATCTGGTCCCAGCTGCATGCTGCGCACGAGTGCGACTCACTACTTTAACAGAAAAGTAAAAGAATCCCACTCCACTCGCGTTCCCAAATGCCCCTCCTCATTACAGTTACGCCAAAACCAGCACAGTCGTCGGACAGCTCTCACCTTTTTCCGGTAATATAGTGCGAGTGCCGAAGCATATCGATCACCGACCACCCCCTTCTTCGCTGCTTTTTGTTTTTTGTGCTATAAAGCGCGACTTAATGACGTGACTTGGTGAAGCGGCTCTGCGATTATTTTTGTGGTGGAGCCGACCTAACTAGAAAAAAGAAAGACCAGAGGAAGACACGAAAGAGAACAGAGTAAGCATCAACAAATGTCCTAAAGTATCCAGCTAACTGCTGAAACTAACTAAGCGCCGGCGCTATCGTCGTCCTGTCAACCCCATAGGCCTCACCTTCAAAGGCAGGCCGGAACCCTGTGCAACGCCTCCGGTGAGTGCTCAGCCCTCTGGTTGTGTGCACCGGTGTATTCGCTATGGGGTACCGGCTCACCAAATAAACCCACAACCAGAGAGAAGGGCCCCCGCTACTTTATAGCTACTGCGAACCTTAAAAAAAATTCTCACACAGAAGCCGCAGCAGAATACCCAAAGCCAACACTGGCGCCAGCCTTGTATAGCCATAGGTCTGCCGCGGATTCTTTACGCCATGGCTTATGCCTAGGGTCTATCATGGAATCCGCGACCCGACAGATACTACCAAACTACGGCCATGGATATACGCCGAACTTCACCGCAGCGCCCCTACGTCCACGCAACTTATGAAGCTGCAGCCCCCCTCGCTTCCCAATGGTGTGGCCGCGGTCGTTTTCTATGCTAAAAAAGGAACCAGATGACACACAAAAACTAGATGCGTGGGCTCTACCCTACGCCTTGAGTTAGGGGGAGGCTGACGTCGAGAGGCGGGACCTCCGATGGGCGAGAAGTACCGCCGGGGAACTCCTACGATCCCCAGGCACGCACTTACTACCAGAGCCATCAATAATATTTGCTACCATTGGCGAAAGGGCTGCCTTTACGTTGTTGCTTTTCAGACGGTCAGAAGTCACGCGCTGCGATTCTATCATCTACGCGCACCTTGGGGCTGTGAGTTGTAGTCTGTGGAGGTCTATGCCTTCTGGTTCTGTCTCTATCAGGTCCCTCCATGTAGTTTTCTCAGACAGTCAGACTTCGAGATCGAGGCGCAGGCCCTTCATGTCAGCCCCTGACTGCACTCGACCGAATGTGGAAAAGTTAGCAAGTGGGCGGCAAGGAGCAAAAGCCCACGCTTCCCCATGGAGTTCACGCGGGGGCGGCTGCCTGCGGCGTTTTTGCATGCCATCAAGTAAAACCATCGGCGTCGAATACAGACACACCATCGCCGATCTCCTCAGCAAAGCTGAGAAATTGAATCGCTCACGCACTGGCCTGAGTGATCTCCAAAAGCCATGCCCTATGATAGAGTAGTGGCACTGTGTGTATTGTTTCCGACGCATTCACATGCATGGCGAGGCCGTCAAGCACCAGCTTCCACATGGTGCAATCGGCTTGAAATGTTCGAAATTCTCAGCCCCGACCAATGCCTCCAACTTCTCCGCTGACGATAGGGGAGGCGCTCCTCTTGGATCGCTGATACCGACTAGAGCGCTCCATGGGCAGTTCGCTATCACTTCCGTGATATCTCCCGCAAGCGGGTCCACTGAATCTAAAGTAGCCGCCTGCTGCGATTTCAGTGGAAACGACACAGCTAGAGCTACAGGCCTACCCTCTAGATCTTCGCCAAAATTCTGCATCGTCGTGATTCTTTCTTTTTGCTTGTCAGTCTTCTACTTTTCCCGTCAATGATTTCCCCGGCAAGAAGATTGATAGACTCCCTTTTGTCCTCGGACCGGCGACGTCTCTTGTGCTCCTTCTTGCGCCAGTTTTACTTGACAAGTCGGCTGCAAGGTTTTCGCTATCCTTGCTTCCTTCGACTAGTTCTGGCAGCCAGTCTGCGCGTTTGGTAGCATCAGCGGAGTATCGTTCAGCTGTGGACCCCACGCCGGTGCTTCCAAAGTCAGCACTCGACACCACGGGAGTGCTGCACTGGTCAGCGTCAAAATCCTGGATGTAGAAAAATGGCCAGCCTCCACTTGGTGCCGCTTGCTCAGGCTTTTTTGTCTTCTCAGCCTGACGCCGTCGCCCGGACTTTGTTGACTTCTTTGCCGCAAGAACAGCGCTGACGCCACTGCTGTAGTCTATCGAGGAAGGGCCTTTAGTCTCTTCGTCCGTGTGCTAGATTATTAGACTCCAGCAATGTCCCAGGCAACTGCCTAGCAGGGGACGACAGACGCCGCGCTTCTGTTCTGCTGGAATCAGGCAGCTCAGAAGGTCGCCTGGCCGGACCTTGTTCAGCAAAGGCATGCGCGACCTGTTCGCTGAGAAGTTTTGGGCTCTCACTCTGCAGGAGTAAGCCATGACTCGAGCCTTGCTGGTATCTCTTGACGAAGCTCCTGCTGGTTCGTGTTCATCATTTGGCCAGCATCTAAATCTACATCATTCACCATCAAGGCGCTCGCTTCCTCGGAGTAATCCAGACAGATTCTCCAGCGGTCGTAGAAATTTATGCTCTTCACCCCGACTTCGTAGGCAGGGGCAAGAGTAAAGCGGTTGACATGTCTAAGAATTCTCGCGGTTCCGTCATCACCGAGGGAGGCCTTGAAGGCGAGGACGGTGGCCCTATCCGGGTCCGTGGCAAGGTAACATAGGCGACTGGGTCAGCTTTGCACACTCCGTTACGCGCCACTGCATCTGGAAGGCCACAGCTGCCTTCGCTCTCAAATGTTGCCACAACATGCGTCAGTAGTCTTCTGCGCGCCCGCAGTGTCACGGCCCTCGATTGCACGCTATTCAAGTCTGGCAGCGGCTTGGCATACAATGAGGGCCAAGAGTAGTCGCGCGCTGCAAGTTGCTGGGGTCTTCTTTTTTGAAGAGCAACGGTCTCAATAGCCCGACTATTTTGCGAAGTGCATTAGGCAAGCACTCGGCTCTTGTGCCGACTCCGATGAAGACGGAGGCCGACCCATCAAGGAAAAAAGTCCACCGCGTCGCATGCTTGCGCTCTCGCGTCTTGAAGTCTGCCCCCGCCCACGTTGCAGCCCGCAGGCGATTATCTGTTTTACAAAGTCACGCGCTGAGGCATGTGGGTGAAGGGCTCTGAGGTGTTTCGAATTTCTGTTCGATACCGCCGGAGTTCGTTCCAGCAGTGTTTTCGATAGTTGTAGGGCGAGACTGCCTGGACCTAGCGGTCGCGTCGCCAGCGTCTCTAATTTTGCCGCTCTATCCTCCACGAAGGCGAGCACTGAAGTAGGCAGAAGCCACGCGAGTACCTCGCGCAGTACCGTAATGGCCAGCGCGTCCCTGTCCGCCTTGCTTTATCAGCGTCCGCTTTCCCCGGTTTTCCAAGTTCTTCATAGCTAGAGGCGAAGATGAACCAGAAGGCCGAGGAGGTCCCCCAAAAACTACAAGGCTGCCTAAATAATCGAGGGCATTCTGCCCCCCTACAGTCGTCCCCGCTGCAACAAGAGTCGTCAGAGCCTCACTAGGCACAAGAACAAGCCGTCGCCGCAAGCAGGAGCTAACTACACCGGTCCAGGTTCCTCGTGGGCAGGATGTTGAGGCCGCTCTTGCATCCTCAACGGATTCCCGGCCTTGTTCTCCAGGAATCGGCAGGAGGCGCCGCAGTTCAGAGGGCTGGCGTCCTCCGTCGCTAGAGGTGGAATCTGTTGAGATAAGAACGCGTGGCAGTGCTGGCGCAACACGTGCAAACGGAGGCGGAGCAGTAAAGCCTTCCTCTAGCAGTACTAGAAGAAGCAAGGGCGTCCGCGTCCTCGACGCGGAAACAAGGAGCGCGCTTTTTCGAAACAGAAGCGCTCTCTACTCTTCCCTCTCTCTTTGCAAAGGGCAGAAAGACTTTTCGCCCGCAACTCTAAGCGACAGAATGCGCTCTCGCTCTCTCTCTAAGTAAAGGGCTACGCCCTGAACTTCCAAGCTCGTGGCTCTACTTGGGTGAATATGTTAACAATGTCCACCGACTGAGATACCGACCAGCTGACCACACTGAAACCACTACCACACGCATGCAAGTCAGGGAAATCACTCGGGTCCGTCACTATTACCAGCCTGCGGGTGAGAAAGGTGACACAGCTACCACTAGCATACTGATGAAGATGGTGACTACTACTAGGCTGGTGGCGATGATGGTTCTGGTGCTCATGATTCTGGTGGAACGTTGTCGGGATCTCTATGCATGGGAGGAACGAGGAACGAGGCCGAGCGAGTTGATTGAAATCAGAACCAAGGACGAGGATCGAACTGGATCGAACTGGATCAGGATCCTCGTGCTGATTCGTCACGGGTTGGCGATCTTTACCTTTATGATCTTGTGCCTGCAGAATAATCACAACGAAGAGCGTTGCAATTTGGGCCCAGGGCTCAGCTGCCCTCCGAGAGCCGTAATAGATTCCCCTTGAATCTAGTCGCACTCCTAGTGAGTCACTACCAACGAAATCTAGTGAGTCTAGTACTAGGAGATGGCAGCACTTGCGCCGTGGCTCCTACACTTTCGCCGCCTTGGCTCCTGCACTTTTGTCCCGCCAGTTCCATCGCCGTTCCCCGGTTGCGGATACTGGCTTCCACTCGAACCGATTTTGCAATATCGACGCACGCCCTTCGCCTGGTCCTCCAGCTCCATCCCGCGACCCATCTCGGACCTATAACCGCGCTCGTCCGCTTCCGCAATCGGCAAAAATTAACCAAGAAGAAAAACAGAAACCGGCGGGCTTACATACTCCAACCAAAGAGCGGGCCCAAGTGGTCGCACCGAGCTCCTCCTTTGGAAGTGTCATGAGATGCATGGTCCCGGCAATGCAGCTCAGACGGTCAGAGAGTCCCGCTATATTTTGACGCTATTCAAATTCCACGCCTCCCAGTCCCACGAGGCCTCTTTATCAAGTAAGAACCTCTACAGGAATTCGAGCTCATTCATTCGGATCGGGTGCAGCGTCAGCAGATCAGTAGAGACCGCAAGTCTCGAACACGAATCGCAATGATTTAAGTAAGCCCTGTAGCGGAGAACTCAGAAGCGCGGGAATTTGTACTACAATGTCAATCATCTAGTAGCCACGGAAATCCTCTAACATCTTGAACTTGACTACAATGAGTGGCCAAAGAGGTTGTAAGTCATCTAGTAGCGTACTCACATCTTCCGGAAGCAGATGAATCTTACAACGAGCGAATGCCTACGCGTCTGGTATAAGTATACTCAATAGCGATCTTCAAAAAGTGTCTGCTTCGTGATGTTTCGTAAAAATGTGAAGTGCCGCAGGTCTAGCATAACCAAGGAAGCTGGCGAAGTGTCGGTAATATAATAATTTGCGTGTTCGACAGGTGGGCCAACTTCACTCCCCCCCTTTTATTGCGCTCCTTTTCTACGCATGAGGTAGGGCGTTCCTGGCGATCTTCATTATAGAGGTAACGCACAATAACACTGCTGGATAATCAGTGCAGGAAACTTGATTATGAAGAAATCTTGTGATTATATATATGATCCAGGGCGCGTGGGGGGGTACCGGCAGCCCCGGACCCCTTTGAGAGGCGCCTGCCAGGGGTGGAAGGCCTCAAAAGGGGGCCAAGTGGGCGCCTTCGCTCCCTTCCAGGTGCTTGGCTCTCCCTAGAGGCCTCCAACATAAGGAGGCGGCAGGCCTCTGAAGGCGGCAAAAGCCGAGGGGCTGGACGCCCTGAGCCGTGCAGCTTGTTCCCTCCGGGCCCTTGGTCATTGGCTTGCTTGCTCTTGCGACCGTGGCCGCCCTCGGCGGCCTTTTACCCCGGAGGCCTCCCGCCTGCGAGGGTCAGCAAAGGCCAGGAGGTCCCGGAGGACCCGGATGAGAGGCCCAAGGGGAGACCCGCGCCAAGTTTGGACGCCTTCCCCCACTAGATTCCGCGCCGAAATGCGCGCGGAAAAGCGCGCGCGCGCGCCACCACAGACCAGACCACAGGGGGGGGAGGGGGGGTACCGTCCAGCCCTAAATCATATATGATCGATAACAGCTACTATCTCAGATCGATCCTTTCCAGAGAAAAACTACGAACTTTCTCGATGCCCCAGCCACCTGTTCTAGTTGGTGGAAAGAAGAGGGCTTTACACGAGTTACACTTCAGAAGTCATCTTCCTTCCATGGTGTATGGAGACCATGATCATCTTGACGCCAACATGCTGTCAATTCATTGAGAGTGTTACACGAAGATCCCTTCTAGTACCCTTTTAACGAATTCATGCTCCTTTGCGCGGTGTCTACGGCGTTCACGCAGGTAGTCGAGGCAATGGACCAATTGTTTTTTTGGCCAGTGAAATCTTGCGAAGATCGGCACCAAAACCTGTAGGAAGCTCTCCGTTGCAGCCACGTTTTCGGTATCCACAATCGAGGAACCGTAGAGACCCAAGACACGGATGTTAGAGTAAGAAAGCAGAATTCAAAAAAAAACCAAGTATCTATATGGCACGATCAATTATTAAGATCTTCGTTTTGCTGCATAGTTTGTTAGACACTGTACCTAAAAACAGAACAATTAAATTCATCTATAAACGTTTTCGCGATATTTAACGGCATTCCATTCCATGAAGTCTACTTCTATCACTGGATTCCATTCCATGCCTTAACTATAGCGATTCTGGAGAGCAGAGTGGTCTTGGCTTCAGGTGCGGAGACGAGAGCCAGTGCACGAAAGAGCACTCCAAGTTGAGCTTCTTGTATGCGTTTCAATGCCGACTGACGTGTCCCTGAAGCTCTCGACGACACCTGAGCTGAGACAACAACAGTTTGAAGGGTACTTTGAACGTTCGTACTTGTCGTCGTTGTGCTTCCCTTTCCTGTTGTTTTTGAAGGTCCTGCTGTAGTGGTAGAAGACAGGAGTGTTGTTGAAGAGGTCGTGTTGTTGAAGTTGATGATGTTGCCACCAGATGATCCAGATGTCGTTGTTCCACTAATACTGGCACTGACGAAACAAGCCAGCGCTGTCTGTAGAACAACCATCTTTGGTAGGACAAGAGTGGCATGGTATCGCGACAATTTGGTGGAAAACCACAAAAATTCGTCCACGATCAACTCCTCTGTCACTGTGGAATAGGCAGGCGTGAGGTACTTGGAAAAAAGTCCCACGATGTTTGCAACCAGTTTCTCTTCGTCTCCTGTAAACGTCGCTGTGAGCTTGCAGAATTCATCGATCACAGGACCATCATCGGCTGTTCCTGTAGATGGACTCTGATCGTCCTGGGCCACCAAAGAGGAAGCTGCATTCGTCCCATTCGTCTCTGGTCCCGGCTGATTTGCACAGCACAGAGCTGCAAAGGCTGCTCGGAAGACAGATACTTTCTTGTTCGTGCTTGAGGAAGAGGGCATCAAGGTTGTTGAGCAGCCTCTACTAGTAGAAGTATTAGTGCCACGAACGTTTGACGTAGTAGATATAGAGGATCCTGTTTTACTAGATGCAGGCCCATGAGATCCAGAGCATGGCATCTTCGCGATGAGAAGTTTCTCACTCTGGTCGCGCTCCCTCTGCAAGGCCACTGACAGTCGCGCAACGTCACCCATTTGAGCGAAAAACAAAAGCTGTTGCAGCACCGCACTATTGGACGAAGACGACGTCGTACTACTTGTTGTTGAGCCACTGGTTGTACAACAAGACGAGACAATGTCATTCCAAACGTCGCGATACTTCTTCCAGTTGTAGATGGCATTTGTAGAAGTAGAACTACAAGTTGCTTCATTTAATATTTTGCCCCCTGCCGCTACCTGCTGGTGGTCGATAATCATCCTCGAACTCTCTTGTTCGAAACTAACATTCGTCAAGCCAGCTATCTTTCCCCCGACTGCGCTGCCAACTCCACGACTCATCATCGACGTTCCCCTTTCTTGACCTTGCAGTGTGCCGCCACTAGCAAAACTACTTACTCCTCTTCCTCCACCTCCATGCGATGTTGTTGAACTACCATTCCATCTAGTCGTGCCTCTGTTCCCGCCATTTGACAAAGTTAGAGGCTTCCTCGACATTGCATTCTTCAGATCATCCCACGACTTGACCCCTTTCCTATATTAACGGAAAACAAGTCAAGGAGGGCAGTTGATGAGATAGCTATCATGATTCTTCTAAGACGCTTCTTAACAAAGAGTTTGCTCGCAAATACAGGCCTCGTGGAGCTTGTTGAGACCGCAGAAACTTGATCAGTTTCGTCGCCATCGTCACCCGGTGATTTGCACTTCGAGCTAGCTCATGAGCTGAATTAGAGTCTTTACGAGCTGTTACTTATAAATATTCATCTTGATTGAAACAAAAGCCCTTTTCGCGTGTTTTCTTTCCCTCGAAGAAAACAAGGGAACCAAACAAGATGCTTCTCGATAAGATGAATTAGACTGGAAGCCTTAACAGATGAAGATGAAGTTTTCCCGCTTTTTCCAGTAGTCCCTGAAGATCGGTGTCGGACATAGTTCAGAATACTTCGCAACACGCCATCAAAAAGCTCTCGATTGCACAGTCCCTTCACCGATTTCAACAATTTGCACACGAAGTCTGGACGTGTTTTCAAAACTGGCAGGAGTTTCTCCACATGTGCGTGCTGCAAGGAACCAGAAAAATTGGACGACGCAGAGGAGGAGGACCGAATGCCGTAGTTGTGAGACGATGTGGTGGCGGCACTCTTGTACAACTTCTCGTTCCCACCTCCTGCACTCGCACCAGCTGTGGATGACGTAGGGCGTACGAGGTTGTAGTTCTCGACCTCTGAAAGGCGTGAGCAGTAGGACCCTATGCGTCCTAGGATTGGCATCGTTTGGTCTAATTGCAGACTGCTGCGGTCGATTAAGAGAGTGGCGTGCTTCGCCAAAGACTGCGGCGCCAACCGACTCAGCAAGTCCAAAAACCCAACAGCTCTCTCCGGTGCAACACCTGAAAAGTCGACCATGGTACAGTCAGACTGTCCTCCGCTGCCTAGGAATAGAAGGAGATCGCGCAATATGATTGAGCCAGTAGCAGAACCAGAAGCAGAAAAACCTCCATTTATTGTCGTTGCTGTTGCAGTACTGCAGCTATTGGCCTTCATCCATGTAGTCGATGAGCTAGAAGATGAAGTCGCTCCCGGAGGTCCAGACCCTCGTCCAATCTGCTGAAGAACAACGTTCATATTTGTTGAACTAGACCTGTCGTTTCTATTCTTGACAATTTTTTGATGCGCCCCACCAGCACCACCTGCGCCATCAGCAATAGCGAAAAAGCGTTCGAATAGGCTTTGCGCATCAACCTTTTTGTCCTCCACATCGACTTTATTCAGATGATCAGCTTCAGCGTCCTCGTCCATATCGACGTCCTCATCTCCAGCGACGTCCTTTGGTGCTCCTAAAGGATCTTCCCCCTCCGGATCTAGAGCTGCTGCAGCGAGTAGATTTTTCATTCCTCCACCTTTGCTCCCCAGTTGTGCAGCCCTAAGAAAGACGCTTTTCTCGCCAAAGCTGTTGGCTCCACAAGCGCGTTCCATGACACGTAAAAAAGCTGTCATTTTCTTCTCGCTGTTTTTTGATGCCAACGTTTTTGCTCGTTTCGAAGATGCAGTTGATGTTGTAGCAGGTGCAGCTACTAATGCCGTATGGTCATCGTGTTCTTCGTGGCATTCTTCAGGTAGAAGACCTTCTAAAGGTAGTTGTCGTTGTTCTCTGATACCGGTTGTAGATCCACTCATTATTGGAGCATTGTTCGACGTCGCAGACGCAGAAGCACTACTAGAATTTGAATTTGTTCCATGACTAGCCCATCGTTGCACACAAGCAACGAAGACTGCCTCCACTTGCTCGTGAAAGCTGGAGCTACGGCTTACACTTTCCCAGCTTTGACGGCCAGCGAGACAGTCTTGACACGTGCCAACCAGAGGCTGCATGGAGCAGCCAGCGGGACCAAGGAATTGCGATAAGGCTTTAAACGTTTCTCGATGGTACGTTTGCCGCATGTATTCGGCTGTCATGAGTGGGATGAGTCGTTGGTTACGTGACTGTGTGATAAATCTCATAGATAAGCATCTTCGACTCCGATGATGTTGCTAAGTTTCTTATCTATCACAAAAATGTGTGATGCCAACTATTCACAACTATCCTTGACCGTAAAAGAAACAAAGAATCTGAAAATTGTACTCCGTCGCCTCTCCTCCACGCACCATCCGTCTTTCTCCAAGTTGGTCAAAACATGAGCTACCTCATCTCGAAAGTGTTTTTTCCGTTTCCAGTACGCGACAAACCCATCCAAGCTTGACAATTGCAAGAACCCAGGGAGCAAAAATGCTAAGGCGTTCGGACAGGTTTCGACATCCAGTAATAGGCGGTCCACTTCAGGTAATTCACTGCTGTCACGCATGTGCACAAATAGGCTGAAACAGTTCTCGAGGAAAAGTGTGCGCAAAGAAGCAGGCAACAAGCGCGACTTGAGAAGAGCGTGGGCAAAGTGGAGACCGAGCTTCCGCACCGGCCGTTTCTTATCCATCAAGCGATTGAGGCAACGACGTAGAACTAAGACAGGGATCGTATCAAGCAGAACCGCGCCACCTAACCGGAAGCGTTCCCGATCAAGAAGCTTCTGACAATACGTCTGCTGGGTTGAAGAAGATGCCGAGGAAGCTACTGCCGTTGTGGAGGAAGTGGAGGAAGGTATTGCACTGGCATTATCCAGTAGGTAATCCAAAAACGGATTTCGATGTTGCCCAGTGTTCTTCTCTCCATTACCGTCTCCATCAGCACTTCTAGCATGTGTTCTCGATGTAGTAACCGTCGCAGATGCACTATTAACCTTTGCCGGCCTTTTCCCTGAGCTTCTGTGTTTCATCTTAGTCAGTCCTAGTACACCACCACCAACTCCTCCACAACCACCAAAGCCTAGCCGAGCATTGTGGTCTTCCTCCATCTGGTCCATAGCGGCTAAGGCTTCTACTTCAAAATCGTCGACTCTTTCTGCGATTCCGGTGACGCAGGCTAGCAACTGTTGTAGACCTGCGATTCGTAGAGTATCACTGTTATCACACAATAAACCATGCATGCGCTCCCACACCAACTTGTCCAGGGTCTTTGTCTTATGCTCGTTCTGGTTACTGCTTGTGGTAATGGTAGAAGACTTCTGATGATCCTGGAGGTTAATCTTGGTACTGCTTGATGCAGTTTGTCCAATGAGTCCCATCGCGGCACCTAGCTGAGCAAGATGGGAAGAGGAAGCATGGTGGTTCGAAGTAGATGAAGAACTGCCTCCGTACTGTGTAGTGCCGGCACCAGGTAATATAGGAAGACTCCCCTTAATATTACCGTTGCCAATGGTCCCTTTGGCCTTTACAACAACAAAGTCTTTCACTACAGGATAGAATGGCGTCAAAACTAGTTTCGGTAAAAAACTTGCAGCTCGAATAGCGATTTTTCCGTCTTCTATATCAGTCCATGCAGCAGCATCAAAGAGTAGTTTGGCCATGGTGAGGAACAGATGCCTCGTCCTCTCTGCTGCAGCTCTCCTAGAGGAAGAAGAATGGCCAGTAATGGTTGTGCTCCTCTTGTTCCCATCTGCTTCTTGAACTTGCCCAGCACGAAATGGTTTTTCATCAGACGACACAGGGAAATTTTTCCCATCCGAAGACAGCATCATACCTCCAAAAAAGGCTGAAGAAGATGTAGCGGCTCCATGATCATTGTTCTTTCTTTTCTTCCTTTGTGGTGCTAGCAAAGGATCCTCTTCACCCAAGAGGTCTTCTCCAGCTAGTAGCCCACCTGGTTCATCTCCTAGGAGATTCTTCTTGCCTCCGATCTTCTCCCCCACGTGCATTTCATCTTCATCTTCATCTACGCTTCTCCAGTTATCTGCCTGCGTCTCCCCAAAAACCAGCATTAAGTTTCCGATCATATCTAGTGCTAATCCGCGTTGCTCTAGGTCTAGCTCTAGTGTGGAGGTAGGGCCTGTACTAGTACTACGTGATGTGGTGGAACTAGTTGTAGAAGAATAGCCACTATTCGAAGAATGCGGGGTCCTTCCAGTAGTGACCATATCCACTAATGCAGGTAGCGCGAGTTCAGCTAAAGGTTGACACAGCTTCAGGCACTCCATAGCGAGAAGGGAGTAGACACAAACGCCGTCTTCTACGGTGAACAGCTCTGAATGTTAGAGATTGGATGATGATGTGGGGACATCCCAGGAGAAGAACTAGTATATCACCAGCTACTAGAACGGCAACAGCAAGAAAACGATGTAGCTTGCTCTGGGGTCCAGAAAATGTAGCTTGTTTGCTCCAGAAAAAGAAATTATAATACAACTAGTCGACGATTGAAAACCACCTTTGTTTCGCAAAAACCCATAACTCAACAACAACTCCGCCAAATAGCGCACGACATGAGACCGTTCGTCCAACTTGCTCAATATCTCCGACGAAACCACCCGTGTTGTGTCATCCACTAGCCCAAACACCACCCTTTCTAAAACGGTCGAGAAAAATACATTCTCACCCCAAGAAGTTTTCCCCTCTTTCGAAGCTAAGTCCGGTAGCACTCTTTCAGCTAGTAAGGAATGCAGAATTCGACATTGGTGCTCTTGGCTCACTTGTAAAGACATAAAGTCGGCACGTGAGACCTGAAGATTGTGGGGGCCTTCTCCATGTTGGTCCATGGCGGCAAAAAAGCACAGTTCGAGCCATCGCTCTAGGAAAAACGCGGCGGATGTGAAAGATGAAAAACCGCTACTTGTAGTCCTTGAAGACCCGCGGCTTTTGTTGTTGTCAAAGAATTGTCCTAGTTTCTGCACCAAGTGAAGGTTCGCAACTGAGCCGTACTTTTCGAGCACGTAGAGAAAAAACGCGAAAATTTCGTCCAAAACTGCAGCATTTACTGCTTCTGCTGCTGCTGGAGTGCTTAGCCACTGTTTCAGCGCAGTGTACAATCGCAATTGCTTCAGCTTGATGCTCAACGCTTGAAGTTGATGTTGTTCTTGTTGTTCCGAAGCTGGTGTACCACTAGTAGGATCAGCAGTACTTCGTTTTGTCTCAAACGTCGGTAAAAAAGACAACACATCCTCAACGTACACTTGCTCTTGTTCTCCATCTTCATTTAATATGACCTCCTTTTCAGTGTCTGCAACCATCCGAGCTCTATCGAGCAAGGTCTTGCTGATGCAATTTCCGAAGCGTGCGACATTGACCAAAGAAGAAGTAGTACTACTGCTCTCATGTAGTTGCAGTGGCACAGGAAGGACAGCTGCACTACGCTTAGCACGAACGAGCTCGTAACGCGGCAAAGTCGATGTCTGAGCGCCAGGTTCTAGCATCGTCAACAGCTTTCCGTGCTCGTCGCAGGGTTCTTTAGAGGACGTGGTTGGACTCGAACAGAGCACGACTCTACTAGACAATCCTGATTACACGAGAAATTCAAGTTTTTCTTATTTGAATTATTACTTATATTGTTGCACGGGATAAGTCTACTATTGTGATCGAGGTGAAAACTAACCGGTTGCTTTACTGAGTGCTTTGAGCGCCGCAGGGCCTAAACCTTCACCAAAGGGTGAAAGCCAATCAAGATTTGCAGCACACCTCGAAAAGGGAACAAAGGGGTATATATTCCATTTATTTCCGTCTTTTTATCGAGGTTAAAGAGTTGTTGTACCTGTAAATATTTCTCTACCTCCTAAGCACTTACAGTTATATCGTCTCCATAACTTTTACACCTCTCGCCCTACTCGCGATCCCTCTTAGCCCACTCCGTGCCGCACTTTGTGCTCGCGGTCCTAGCACTGAATCGTCCTCGAAAATCTGTCCGTAGCAGCTATCCCGTTTCTGAGAGAGTTGAGACAACAACCCACCTCGAGACTCAACATGCATTTTTGCTACGGAAGCTGACACTCCACTTTGAAGGTTGAAGCAATTCATTTCTTGCCTCCATCTTCTCACCTTCTTGAGGAGGAAACACTGAAAAATGACTTCTAGAAATGAAATGTTTCAACCCAACATAACCACTATTCCGCGTGCTCTGCATCATTATATCATGGTCTCCAGGCCCTCTTTCGGATTTCGGAGTCGGCAGCGCCTCGAAGTTTAGTTTGCGGCAGACGTCTCCATCAAGGTCATCTAAATCGCTATCTTCGTCATCGTCAATTAGCTCTAAAACTCCCGGATTCAGTGAAGGCGCAGCTTGCATTCCAGGATCTTGACAAGTTGTCGGTCTCGGTCCAGGAGAGGGGACGGCCTCTAATACACCATTCTGATGGCCACGCTGAGCGGCGGCTACCTGAGATTATATAGGGATTAGGGAAGTGAGGGGGATAATGAGGTGGACCGTGGAAGACCAAAGGACGCAATATCTTCTCAAACGAACAAAATCTTTCTGAGCCTAGAACTCCGAACTTGTTACTGCAGTAGTAATACTGCTATCGCAAGGGTACGAGTATAGTATTCACTATACAAGAGAATCGTCATTTTCAAATACAATCATTCTAATATTACGCGTAGGTATACCTGAGATTATATAGGGATCGGCTACGTGAGATTATATAGGGATTAGGGAAGTAAGTGTAAAATATATAAAACATTCATAAGTACACGAAACTCAAACTTATCTAAAGCTACTTACCTCATCCTCCAACTTTTTGATCGCTCCTGCTAGTGCTGAGCGTATTTCTTCAGAAATCTTCGATCCGCAACAGTCGCCAATCGTCAAACATAGCAAGTCTCCTAGTCGTGCCGCCACTTGAATTGCCTCCATATCACACGGTGACGGTACAGTGGTTGTCGTCGACGCAAGATTCTCACTCTCTGATGTTATCATGAGCGTCTCCATAATCGCAGTAGGACACTTCGAAAACAACTCACCGAAAGGAACAGGCTCTAGTAGAGCAGGATCTCCTTCCAGTACGTTGTTGTCTCCTCCACCGCCACGCTGCAGTTGTTCTACTTCTCCTCCTGCCCGATCAACAGGATCTCGATCGACAGGATCTCGCCGTGCACCCGGCCCAACGCTCTCCGCGAAGTCGGCGCCTAACGCGAAGCCTCTCCTCAGTATCTTGCCCTGACCGTCTTGGACCTCCATGTCTCCACATTTTGCAGATGGTGGCGTACTGAACACTGAAGGACTGAACACCTTGAGCAAAGAAGCTTTTGCTTCTGAGGCAACTTTGGCTCGCGCTGATGTCGACGATGAACTACCACCAAATTGCTCCTGAACAATAAAAGAGCCTGCTGGAGGTGCTCCTCCAGCTCTGCCACGATCGTAGTTCTTTCCACTAAGTGGCTGTGGTGGTGGAACAACAACGCCTCCAACTCCTGTGTTGTTGCTGCGATCGTTAGATTTGCTCGTTGTACCATGATTGCCTTGATGTTTAGTCCTCCTCGCATGATCCGCTCTAGCGACTTTCGACAAACTACCTTCTACCCGAAAACGGCTCTCCGCCTTGGCCAGCACGTCTAGAGCTCCTGCATAGTTTTTACTAGTAGAGGAAGAAGACTCTCCCTGGTGGCTCCGTCCCTGCTCTCCTTCTCCCTCTTGTTCGTTGTCCTTCTTCGGAATCGGAGGTACCAAGAAAAGGGCTCGGCCATTGTCACGCAGTAGGCGTAACGCTATGCCATGAAAGACGAAGCCTGCAGCATGGTTACCGAACTCAGGACCATACTCGCTGATGCTATCCACGTTCTGGATCTCGGTGAAGAAAGTCTCCGAACTTATGCCGCTTGCGCCTTCAAGCTGGTCGTGGTCGAAGGATAACATTTTTCTGTCAGTCCTCTTGAGGATTTACGGGTTGGCCATGTGGGTGTCGAAGATGACGCTCTTATATATTTATGAGTATTCATGCATCATAATGTAATTGTGCGCTTTTTCGTTAGATTTCTCACTTGCGCGCAGGAATATCGAAGGTCATAAGTGGATATTAAGTTTGGTAAAGCGCAATTCGTTCTAGAAAAATCCAAGATAGCTTTCATCTGGTCATCGGACATCTTGACCACGAGCCGAAATATTCATACTTTTGTAGTCAGAGTACCAAGTCTAGCTTGCATCCAAAGAACAAGCCTGCCCAAGTTCGACATGTACAACTAGAAACATCGATGATGTTTACACAAGTAGAAACAACCATGAGTACCGAGAGAGAGAGAGAGAGAGCGAACAAAACGAGTCGAGGGGTGCGCTTTGCGCGAGGTGCCAAGCGGCAGTGCGCTTCTTGAACGACAGCGACCACAATGCGCTTCGTGGACGACAGTATGCATATGCTGTCGCTGTGCACCACCAATCTTTATCATGCAATAACATCCGACAGCCACGATGTGACAACTGTAACATATCTAAATTGAGGTTTGCCTTTGCTTCTTTATCGTCAGATCATGTTGTGTAAGTGTGTGCGTATCTATGAAGAGCTCGTTGTATCGCCTTTGGGTTTCGCAGACACGAACTTTCGTTAGTATTAATGCGTGAAACCAGAGCGAGATGCAGGTGCACGAACTAAAGCCAATCTATTTCTATACGACTACACTTACAAATTTCACAATGCTGAGAGAAGAAGTTTTTCTCGATAATATAGTTGAGCTATTACCGTTTGATATTCCAGTAGTTCCAGCGGTTGACCTATCGGTCAACTTTGGAAGGGAGGCAGAGGAATCGTCCAAGGGGAAGACTGTACTAAACGGTGTAATACACTGTACGTAGGTGTATTTTCAGGGAGGGGGATGGGTGGTAATATCAAACAACTATTGCATGTGGTCTTGTGGTGAACTCTGATATGCGGAAAATTCGTTCGGACACCTTTTTTACACTCAAACATCGTCGATCCAATTGAATCTATCTAGGTACCTCAAGCCTAAATTTTCAAAATATGATCAGCACTCACCAACACCGTATTAGGTCAGCTTCCTTTGCCTCACGTAGTCCACGCTACGTCAGCATCCTCTGCCTCACGTAATCCACTGTGCGGTCCCATTCTCTAAGGATCGGAGATGGGCGCATGTTTCTACGCAGGGAAACGTAGCGGTTCAACAATGCGCTGAGGATGGCTTTGTCTCGGGTCATCAACAGAGGAAACGTGGAACTCGAAGTCCATCTTGGTTCTGAAGGGGAACTAGAAGTCCATCTTGGTGGTGCTTGTGATACAACATCTACAGGGGTCGTGGTGAATGATGTTCTTGATGCTGGAGGATGCGATTCTTCCAGAGATGTCGCGGTATGAGAGGAAGACGTCGATGATGATGCTGTATTTTCCACTTGCACTTGTGGGATCAATAGTTTATCTGCTTCTTCCTCTCTAGCTTCGTCTTTCTCTCTAGCTTCATCTCCTCTCTCCTCCACAAGGACATCCACATTCTGCGCACCATTCTCGAATAACACCGTGACGCAAGCTCTCAGGAGGAAAAAATAAGCACGAGAGTAGAGTTAGGGGTTGAAAGTTGCCGTCTCTAGCTCGCATATCTATGGCTTTCCTACTTGAAGAAGCCATAGAGATGCTCTTAGATGATAGGTCAACTTCCAACACTTAATAGAGAGAGAAGTCTGATTCTCCACCTGCGCAAGTTGTAAGTTGTCGTTGCACCACCAGATTCAACGACTGCCAAATTCGAGTTGGCGCTGCTTCTTGCTGCTTGCTTTTCTTCTTACTCGGCGATCGCCTCCTACAACTAGACGAAGCGTCAGAAGTACCTGTAGACGTTTTTTTAGTCTTACTACCAGATCGGGAAGAAGAAGATGTTGATGATGTTGGCACTGTTCTTGTCGTTGTGTTGTTTTCATCTGCCTTGTCAACATCATGATCACGATTAGTCCTACTAGTGGTCTCATTCGCGCCTACGGGAACGATAGTACCTTCCTCAGGAGGACTGTCAATCGGAGCTAAAAGTGGTTCAGCTCCTCTACGACTGGGTGTCTTCGAAGAACTCGGACTCGGAGGTGGACTGTTGGTAGGCGAACAAGGAAAAGAAGATGTGGGAGACGCGGTGGAGCATGGACTAGCTTCTGCGGAAATCTGCTTTTCAAGCTTTAGCTTCTCCATTGTAGCTTCGTCGAGGTCAATGGTAGGACAATTCACCGCTTCATCTTGAGGGTAGTGTGGTCCTGATTTCCCGACTGGGGCTTGCTTCTGCTTTGATGATTTTCGCGAACTTGTAGCGGTAACCTCGTCTTTGATCAGACCTAATACTGGTGTTCCGAGAACCAGAAGAGGAGTTTTAGTAGCTGTAGCAGTAGCACTACCACTTTCATCTGTACAACTTCTTGCTACTTGACTTTCCTCCAAGCTCATCTTTTTCTCCGCATCAATCTGCTTGTTATTGTTTTGTCCGATCATTGATTCCAACAATGCTGTAAAAGCTCTCCTCGCTTGTTTACTCGCCGACTTCCCTACCCTTTGTAGGGGTTTCAAGCACGACGTCGAAACCGCATCTCCAGCCTCCGCCACATCCGCCATTTCTACACCGTCAGGCAGGAAAGCAGCAAAACAAGACTCACAATTGCCTAGATTCGCTGCGTCAGCGCGTTTTTGGAGGTCTTTCCACTCAGCTAGGCATTTCTTATGACACCAGTGGCCACAGGCCTGACACCAGCTGCCGCAAGCGACCCAGTTGCAGCCAGGAGTCCAGAGGTCAAGCGCAGGGGTCGTGGTGGGATCGGAGAATGAAAGCAAGGTGTTGAAATCAAGCACTAGCTAGAAGGATCACACGACAAGTCCTGGTTTTCAGAAATAACAACTCTACTTCTATGCTGCACATTTGAAAATACATATGGATATTAACCTATAACTTGTTCTACAACTGCTAATACACAGCGGTCGTCGTCGTCCACTTCAATTTCTACTACAAGCTCAGTCCAATCATCATAAGCACGTCCCCGCCCACAATTCCGCCGCCTCCTTGCACGCTGCAGCACAGTCGGTACAACAGGGACAAACAGGTCTCTCCTTCAAGTCATCGATAGCGCGATTAATGCTGTCTGTGACCAGAAAACCACTCTTCGTTAAAGGTTGAAACACTTCATTTTTAACGTTATAGCTACTAGCAAGGTTATTATATTAAGAAAGGGAGAATGAGAAAAGCACGTAGATGAAATGAAATGTTTCAAACACTACCCTTAAGTTCGCATTCTCTGCTACGAACAGAAACAAATCCTCAAAATCGATGGCGGCTGGAGATAAGACACTGCGACCGGCAAAGAGCTGTGCAGGTGCGAAGAAACGTTCGAGGAGGACAGATACCAGAGCGAAAGGCGACGTGGTACTTTTTTTCCAAGACGCATTAGCAGGATGCTTTGCCACTTGTAGTGCATTTCGTTGTAGTTCTGTATCTCGTATATTGACACTTCCACCAGACAAATTCAGTGGCACAACCTCTGCTGCTGCTGCTGCTGCTGGGTCTCTAGCACTAGCGGCTATCTCGAGCTCTGGTAGTTGAGTTGCAGCTGCTGCTGCTGGGTCTCTAGCACTAGCGGCTATCTCGAGCTCTGGTAGTTGAGTTGCAGCTGCTGCTGCTGGGTTTCTAGCACTAGCGGCTATCTCGAGCTCTTGTGCTACCTGTAGCACTGCGTCATGGCCCAGGCGATGCGAAGTCGTCGCTTTCCTCAATGCGCGGAAGAGGAGAGGTGGCGTAGGCACAAAAGACACTTCTTTCCCATCCGACGTTGAGATCCATATTACTTTCACGTCCACCGCCACCCGCTTCGGTCCACTGCTCGGCAAGGAACTTCGACTCGCAGAGCGCGGCACGAAATCGCTAAAATTCCTTTTCCTCCGCGACCGCAAACTCCCTAAAGGAGATGCTATGCCGACAGTGCCAGCTCTGCCGTGGTGTGAAAGTGGTTGTGAAACTGGCGGTGGGGCAGTACTATGCGGACCTGCGCTAGTGCTGAACATGGATGCTGCAGAAGAACCAGAACGTTGAAGATATCCTTGTTGTTCTCCGTATTCATCCACATAGCGTCTTTCTGGTCTCAACGCTCGTGGAACGTCAAGCCATAGTATCATCTCCTGTACATAGGGCTTAGGATTCCTCGGCCCAGCATGCTGGATGAACTGTTTCGTATTCCCTCTATGAGGATGCAAAGCGCTCGGGGCAAACCCAATTTTTTCACCCGCTGCCTTGTGAGGTAGCTCGAACTCAACACCGAGTTGCGCCAACGCACCAAAGAGATTTTCTCCATCGTGATTTAATGTGTGACACACGCTATCGCTGAGGGAAACGCAAAGGTCGGGGAGTTAGAGAAAAGAGGGTTTAGCGAAACTTTTGCTGCAAAGCACTGCAATCTGCAAGGATTTTCATGCCGCAAACATTGAGGGCTAAACTACTCTACTAAAAGATTTTTGCTTGGAAATTAAACTAAAAAATAAGCGAGTACTAACTAGACTTTTTAAAATAAGCGAGATACTGAAAGAAAAGGTAAAAGAGCGCACAGTGCTCTGTTATTTCAGTTGGCTACTCTGTTATTTTGAGTTTTCGATACTCATAAATGTCATTCTCCCCGAACTGGGTTCCTACGGTGGCCTGGTCGATAGCAGATCGAACGGATGACACTGTGTTTCTTGGTCCCAGTCTGAGTTCGATCGCAGAGCTCCGTGCCTTCGTAGTCTTTTCCTTTTGAATCAGAGAGCGAAGAATGTGATCTTCTTCTGCCAACACTGTTGGAGAACCTCTTGTTGATGTTGACTGTTCTACATGAGTAGAACCGCTGACTGTCTTTGTTCTTGACTCGTCTACGTCTGCATGTTGAGGACCTGCTGGTGATGCTGCCAAATGATGAAGATGCTGCACGCCTAATGATGGTGATGCTGCCAAACCAGAAGTCGATGTTATCGCACCACAAAACGTAAAGATAAGCAGCAGGCGCAGCCGCGTAAAGAGAACGTTCTTTTCCATGTGCAAAACAGAGGAAAACATCCTTAGAAATCGTTTTCCATCCAACTTGTACCTTGTGATGGACAACATGATTTCTCTCGAAAATGCGAAAGACGACTATTAGAATCGAGTCTTTGCAGAAGATTAGGATAGAGTCTTTGCGAAAAGACTTGGAGTTCTTTCGCATAGTGCAGAAATATACTGATCGATGTTTTGACCACACACAGACGGAGTTGTCAAGTACAAGTAGCACAGCCACAGCTCAACACGCAGCCAGCAGAACAACTATATCTTTAATATGGATCCAGGATGCCATGAACAAGCTCTATCGTCTCGGAGATCTTCATGCACTTGTTATGCTCGTCTTCGTCAGTAATGGAAAAACAAGAGTTGCATATTGGAAATGGAGAAAGGATCAAACTACAAAAAGCGGAAACATAGGGCAGTTATGCAAGCGATTCGTATATCAGTAAGTGAAGAACGTGTAAAAGAAAAGTGTTGAGTAAGAGAAAGGAGTGCAAGGTCAAATCACGCAAAGTAAAATTTAGGTCAAATAAACGGTAATTGTCGTTCTTTCATTAGATTTGTGGTACGGAAAAGCGGTTCAACTAATCAAATCAATCTTTTTTAGAAAAAAGCCATGGTTTCACCACAAGCTTCCCATCCCCCTAGCTAGCGATGCTCTGGCTGTAGCACTAGCGCGACGACCAGGTTCCAAACTGGTGCTCACTCTTGCGGAGCTGTCTCTTCCACGTGTTATGCTGCTTCGCTTCGCAATATCGCTAGTTGTACCGAAATTAGGAGTTGTACTGTTGCGCTGAGTATTAGTACTAGAATTGGTACTAGTTTGGCGAACGATGCTACGAGAAGGTCTTTTCACCATCATAGATGAGTTAGTAGAGTTTCTATTTGCAGCATTTGTTGACGAAGCTGTTGCGATCCCACCTCCACTTCTTTGCCGCGAAGGTCTTGCCGACGAAGCCTCATCTTCTGACAAAGTAGAAGAAGAAACAGACCGCGAAGTGTAGCTGCTACCTGAAGATGTCCGACTCGAAGGTCTGCTAGCTCTCGAAGAGGCTCTACTTGAAGGTGCCGCCCCACCGCGTCTCGTGTCCTGAAAGTCCCTGCTTCTTGAGGTCAGGATGCTCCCTCTCGCAGGCATATCGGCGGGTCCTCGCTGCTGTGAAGATATAGTCCTACGTAGATCATCAGAGCGATCGAACACCTGAGAATTTCGTCTGCCCATGTTCATCTGTCTACCTCCATCTATGCTACTGCTCCGAGAAATTATACCTTTGTTACTCAAACTCGGTCTATGCCCTCCTCTGTCTCTGCTACTGCTTCTTGAAGCAGTTGAGCGACTCATCAATGTCGAAGATCTGTTGTTCAAAATCCGCGAGTTTCGTCCAGGCGACCTCCCTTGCTCAGCCGGTGAAGATTGTGCTGAGGTACTCTCGACTGATGAAGGCCCTCTATTAAGTTGTTGTAGTAGGTTTGTCTTGGAATTTCCCTGTTTGGGCAACATGTGCTTTGACGATATCGACGGGTTCTTGAGTAACAAATCTCTATCACCGCTGTAGTCCATAGCAATCGACGATCTTCTTGACGAGAATGGTATCGCTGTTTCCCTACCCGTCTGAGGCGTCGCCGTACTTCTTCCGGCTGATTTCCTTGTTGAAGACATTGACATTGATGTGTCACCCAATGATCCACCGCCTAGTGTATTTTGATCATTTTCTACGTTCTTGATATTATTGCCAGTCGCGGCAGCAGCTGCTGCCATCGTTTTCCGATCATTTTCCGCTTGTAAAAACGTCCCATATCTCGCCATCGCCCTCGCTTGTTTCGCTTGCTTCTTCTCACAAATGCCCATGCGCTGTTTTACTCCTTGCAACACGTAGAGCAGGATCTCTAGGACCACGAGGTAGACGAAATAGATCAAGAAAGCAGCCATAATATAGCCATCCATGAAAATCTTTCGATTGTTGAAAATATCGTTCGCTCCCATTCTCTCACGCAAACTGCCGAATTTCAAACGCGCATAAATTGTCACGCAAAACCCTAGAGAGCCCATGACGATGGCGATCACTAGCAGAATTCTGAGGCGATTCAAGTGTGCGGAACTGTACTTCATCTCCTTTGCAGAGGTTCCTGAACTGCCCATTTCTCTACTGCCATCTCCTCCACGAACTCCATATTAGAGCTTGCCCTTGTCCATCTTGAGATTTCTACATCCTGGGACTCTTTTCCCCTTGAAAAGCCTCCTCGCTAAGATGCTTCACGAGATGGATTAGGAGAGGCCTTAAGGATACGGATCCCCGGTCAAAACGCTACTCATCATGTTCATTCGACTGGGTAAGCCTCCTTTCCTAGGCTCAAGACTGGCTCGCAACTTGTCCAAAAGACTTCTGTCTCCCTTTTGTCCGAACATGGGAGAGGAGTCGCCTCCCGCTTCGAGATCAGCTTCGGGGTAGTTGCTTCTTCTGTTCCTCGACCCTGAACGAGACCTCGTTCCACTCCGATCTCTGCTGTGAGTACCTAGTCCTCGTCCATGCATTTTTTTACCTTTACTAGCTTCATCACCCTGCTCAACATCTAGCTCAACATCCCGCAATATAATCGCCGAAGAATATTTATCCATATCCTCTATTCCACCGCCAATTGGTATTTCTCCCTTCCGACCACGCCCTCCACTCCAAATCAGCCAGTGTGTTGCCAAGAACAAAAGCATTGTGCTCACACTGGCGCAAAATTCCAACAAACTCGGTGGCGCCAAATCAGGCAGCCACTGTCCCCATTGTAAACGCCTTCGCTCGATTTCCACAAACGCACTCACACTGGACGCCCCCGTTAAGTGCCACTGGTGTGGTAGACAAATCGGAAAAACTATAGTCGCAATCGCGAGGACTAAGCGTAGCAAGCCTTTTTATGAATGATATCTTTCCCATCTATGCAGCCCGAGCCTAGGCTCCCCCCGTCCCCACCTATATATGCATACAGCTTGAAGGACAAAAAAGGGGCAGCTTAGAAGAGGGTCTGAGAGGTGGAAAAAAACATCATCCATACTGTTTCCCTCTCGCATTCGCGTCGAGTTCTAGCTAATTCCCTACCTTCCTTGGCAAAAGCAAACCCTGCGTCGTCCTCCGTTTTGAAGATAGGTTAGCGAAGAGAAAAACCCCACCTTACGCCAGCAACCCAGTATGGGTTCCCCTTGTGTAAAAGGGGAATGAGAAGAATGGGCTGTGTAAAGGGTTGGGTTTTTCTGTGCCTTAAATAGGGAGATGATCTGACGAACTGGAGTTGTCCTCTTCTAGCGGTGTTTGTGGAGAAGATGACTCCATCCTTCGACTAGTATATCCCTCCTCAGCAGAGGCAGAAACAACCGACTGAGAGCGCGAACGGCTCTTCGAAGGTCGTCTCGAGCCTGGCATCTTCGTGGTCTGCGTCAGCTTCTTTGACCAGGTTCATGCACTATGACGCGCGTCATCATTTATAACTTTAAACAGCTTCTTAATATCCTTGTTGTTCCCGCACATAATTTAAGAAACAGTGTACTCATCAGACTACTTCTAGCACGTTGTATCATGTATGATGCAGGAACTACACTTGTAACAAGGAGGGAGCAGCAGAATGAGTATTCAATCTAGTACCTGGATCACTTCAATCAGTAGTAACACACACCGAACGCTCTGAGTATCTACTCTCCGTCTCACCTCAATCCATCAGTGACTCACATCTCATCACTCGCACCTTGAGAATCGCTACTCTCCCAACCTCACCCTCCTCCATAATTAATGACCTTCAGCCATGCATCACTCAGGAGTACCACGCTTCACGACAACACTTATGTAGTTGTAGGATTATCTATCGGAAGATACAACTTATCAGGAGAAACATCATCATGCTTGTAGTGGACATTTGCATCAATGAGAATGATGGTCTTGTTATCATCAAGAATGTGGTCATGCTCATGCAGGTGGTAGGGCGGTTTGAAATCATGAACATGATAATTCATTGTCCATGTCCTCGAACAATAAGAAACTCTATGATCTCCCACCTCCTCGTGACGAAGTGCAAAACTTCCATACACAGAGACCCGCGAATGCCACAATTGCTGCACCTGCGATAGCGTATTGCGTCTTCTGAAGCTTTTGGAAAGCCATGTCTACGAGATCGCTTTGCTCTTCGTCTTCTCTACCGTCTGATGAAGGTGCTGGGGTGTTCTTATCTGTGGTGGCAGCTCCTGAGTGTTTATCTGTGCTAGAGGAAGGCGAAGAGGTGGACGATGATGACCGTTGTGGTGCAGTTCTGGTTTTACTGGCGCTCGAATTTCTCGTTGAGCTATCTGGAGAGAGAGCGTCATCAGTGCAACTGCCACCGGTGCCAGTAGATAAGGAGGATGTGGACTTAGAGTCCTTCTTGCCATGAAGATCCTTTTTTAGCGCGCTAGAAGACGCAGCCACAGCACTTCCGACTTGTTTCACCACTTCCCTCGACAAAGGTACAACTTTGTTGATGTATTTGCGTTGGTTGCCTTCGATTTCACCTACTTCTGCAAAAACACTACCGTCAGTCTTGTTGATTTTGGCAAGCTGACCACATGCAGCACTGATGTCACGACCGTGCGGACGCCTGTGGAGTGAATCAGGTGATTGTGATGTTGTTTTGTCCTCTTGGAAATCGATTAGAACAACCACTAACTGCTAAACACTAACACTATATCATAGTTGGCTAAAAACGAAAAAAAAAACTGTACCTTTCAAAAGCTAGCTTTACGACTGCATTATAGTTTGTTAGCCAAACACTGAAAATTTTTACAACGAAGTACCTTTCAAAAGCCTTAATTCCATGTTCTTCTATGGTTTTGCAGAACCACACGATCTGCTCTGGCTTGGACGGTCTATAATGCTCAGCCGGGTGCCGTCTTTTCGACGGCGCTTTCCCAGCTGGCTGATTCGCATAAGGATCAAATTGGTTAAAAGGAATCAAGTTTACCAAAACCTGACGTCCCTTTAACAGTTCGCAAAGTTGGTAACAGTGTTCGGCAGTGTCGTTGACGCCGTCGATCATGATCTGTCATTTTCAGATTGATTGTAATGTACTTCTAGATGAGAAACTATGTGTGTAAGTATACTTATACAATATACATATAGCTACTTAGAAGTAGAGCAATAATCAACATTTTCACTTTTCAAAACACTGTGAGAAAAAAAAAGAATTGCTTACCCAAACTACATTGGTCTCCCTTACAATATGTTGAAGACTTTACTGATTCTACATCTATACCCAGAACAAAGCGAAGATAAGAGCGAAGTGTAACAAGGGTAAGTACGTATGATATCATGACGAGCCCTTTGCGCTTTCCGTCTGTCGCATGTCTACTCGCGTATTCGTCTAAGGCTGACATCAATTCCGGCAATGGGTATTTCTTCGACACTGGGACTATCACATTCCGCAGCTCTTGATTCGGTGCATGTAGGGACAATGCCAGTTTCACATTTGGCAATTCGAGAAACAGCTGTCGCATTTGCGGAACAATGCCGACCGTGGAAATCGTGACGTTTCGTTGACCAAGTCCGAAGCGTTGCTGAGAGCACATGCCTTTCAGAGAGCTGACGACATTGTCGTAGTTCTCCAGTGGTTCTCCCATGCCCATGAAGACGATATTCGAAATGAAAGAACCGAAATAAGAATGCCGTTCTTTTTGGATGCGGTCTAGGAGAGTAGCTTTCTTGCTGGCGCCTGCGGTTGTGTTGTTGTTCATCGCCACTTCTGTACTGTTCTTAGAAGAACTAGCATCTTCCTCTGCATGATCAGTCGTGTCTTCTCCCCTGGGGGCACCCCCACTAGAGGACATCAACGTCATCTGATTTCCTGTCAACACGCTCAGGGCATGGTCAGCCAACAGCAATTGTTCCATGATTTCTCCACTGGTCAAGCTCCTTTCCAATTTCATGGTGCCAGTGGCACAGAAGGTACAACCAAGCTTACACCCAATCTGGGAACTGACGCAGAGAGTCTTACGCATCTCGATTCGAGGTCTTTTGGCGTCGAGGAGTCCGCGATCCAGGTAGGAGTCAGCTGCTGTCTTCTTCTTCGTCTTGGTACTATTCGTATTCTTGGTAGTATGAGTTGTGGAAGAACTACTAGAAGAACAAGAAGATCCTGCACCCGTTTCTTCTGGAACTGGTGCAGGAGCAGCCATTTCAGCCTCCACATTTGCAGTACACAGACTCGAATTCATGTCCTCGCCAGTGTGATTGATGATCACTGCTTCTACCTCAGAGCCGTTCGATAGCCGGATTAGCAACTTGATCGTCCCATCTAGAGCTGATTGCTCGAGGTCTGAAACACTGCTAGTGCAGTACGCAAACTCTTGTTTCAACAAAGGTACTAGTCGAGTTGCCGGAAAGGTGCCTTCTTGATACAGCGCGTCCCAATCGCCGCCTGTGCGAAGCAAGACGCGCCAAATGGTCGGCATTTGGGACTGCTTGGCACCGACATTGTCCAGAAATTCTTTGAGAAGTTTTTCGTCAAAGATGGACTTTTTACTCGGGTCAGTCTCCACCGCAGCGGCGCCAGGTACATCGTTCTTATTGCGTGTCATCATTGTCGTCTTGGAAGATGTAGAAGCACGACCCTTGTTGTCTGCTCCTCGTGGAGAGGTAGGGGGGAACTCGACAATGGAGGTAGCTGCTTGTGGCATCTTGTCTGAGAAATTCTAGTGTGGTTTGCTTATGTTGACTTTATCCTCTGTGTCAAAAGAACTTTCTAGGATCGCGCCGCTTGTAGTTATGGTTGTACAACTCTACTTCTCGGTGGTGATAATTTATCGTATGCCCGCGGGCCAAAGCCACGACCGCCTGAAAGATTAGGATCAAAATGGGAAATTCCAGCAAAGAAAATGGTGACTGATCCATGATCTTCGGTCGTGGTCGCCGTGATCCAAATTTGTCATCTATTTCTATGGAGGATCTTATTTCATGCACAAACTTGCTTTGCCGAGTGATCCTTCGTCCAAGTATTTGTCTTCTCACTTGAGGGAAAGGATAACTTCTATGGTGCATTTTCACTTGTTCAGGAAGACTTGAGGTGTGCAGAAACTGAATCCGATCTGCTCACAAGTAGCCTGTCATCAAGAGCCAAGAAAAGAAACAACTCTTGCTCAATATTTTTGTAGATGCTTTGTAATTCTAATTTGTGAGGAAACTACTTTCTCGTCCATCAACTGAGTGATTAGCTGAGTACAACTTGGGATGAAACCTAAGCAGATTTACTCCTACGAGAGACACTGACTCCAAACTCCAGCCACATCACACTTAATGTCCGCCTAATATGAGCCTTAATCCAACGCGGACGGGAGACAGCGTATCAGTCGGTGGTGGACTGTATCAATCTATTCGGCAATTTGGTGCCTAAGATTTGTTTCCTGCCGTCAGTTTCGGATGCTGTTTTTGTAAATTGAACATGCTTCAACTGATTTATCACCAGAATGATCAAAGGACACTGTTTGCCTTTACTAAAATGAGATCAACAAGAAAATGAACATGTGAGCTTCGAAGTTTACCGATCTGAGGAAAACTGAAAGTAGTACACAAACACCTAGACAAATCTGCTTTTGCCGGTTGTCGCATGCTTCCCCACATTTTTATGAGGTTATTTTCCTCACACTTCATGATCCTTGCGAGCCTTTCCATTTCTTCACCAACATATGATGCAATCACAATTTTGCTACAGGATTGTTCTGACGTACTATGCAGAACTGCATACGCCTATAAATCCAAGTAGTTTCAAATACATAAATGTGTTATAATACAACGTATAATGCATGGGTAGTATTGAATTTGAATCTTTCTCCCTTACTGATCGAACTACCCTCTAATATGAGTATGGTTTGAAAACGTCATGATAAATAACGTGGAAATTAAGTGGAATGAATTTGAACAAGATAAATGTGTATAAGTTTGGTTTATTGGATCGTCATCAAATTAACAATAGTCAAACGTGTTCGTGAGCTGAAAACTCAAGCTTCTAGGAAAATTCTATCCTACTCCATGATAAAAATCCGATTTTCTGTGCAGCCTTCTTGGCACAGTTGGTTGGTTTTCGATGGCTTCCATTCTCGCATCTATATTCTCTCCCGCACAGAAGCTAGGTTGCTGAATGGAACTACGCCTCTTAGGCGAATCTCGGATCCACCCAGTACCCTGGAGCGACTGTCGTCTTGGAGGTCTCGTTGTGGGCGGACGGGTGTTAGAAGAGGTTACTTGTTCCTGGTACGTAGTACTAGTTATGATGTAGACGTTGACTGTAGATGAAGTGTAAGTTATGAAAAATCACGTCATACTAATGCTCCTATTGCAATTGCAATCCTACTTGGCTGCTGAAGAAGTCGACGTGCACAAGTGTATATATTGCTGCATGGGACGATAAGCCTAAGTTTTAGAGGTAAAAACTAACCGGTTGTTTTTTTAGTGCTTTGAGCGTCGCTGGACCTAAACCTTCGCCGTTTTACGGGCAAAAGCCAATCAAGATTTGCAGCACATTCATCCTCGTACTTTAGGAAATAAATTTAGGGAATTCATAACATTCCCTGCCTCTCTTTGTCGGCGATGCTCTTTTTGTCGTCTTGGCTGCAATTCCGAACTAGCCCAAAGCTCTTCATCCCGTATCGCTCGCATCACTCGCAGTTTTTCTTGAGGCTCTAACGAAGAGACTTCGCGGAGAGAATCGTATATCTGGTGTTGTAGGATGCGTTGTTGATAAATGTAAATGTATGAAGAAATATGGGTTCTTGTAGTTTCAAAAGTCTCAGAAGTACGACATTTGCTCTAAATTATCGCAGCTTCATACTAAGTGGACAAAAATTTAACTATAGTACAAGAACTAGGCTACGAACAAATTACTACTGTTCAATGAAAGACATCTTCGTAACTTAATGTCAGTACCCTCCTACTATTCAGCGGATGCTTATCTCTGGCAGCGAACTTCGCGTGCGCACGACTTGCATTGAATTCAGCATTTTCATCGGTCCCGGCTAATTTCATGCTGCTAGATTGAAAATGGCTGGCGAATGCTGGTCCTCCATGTTTTCTTGGCGGTGGCTGAAACGCGGAAGCCCTCTCTGGATCAGTCGGCACCAATCCATACCGTTCCGGATCGCTATGGAGATTCTTCACCCTCTCCCTTTGTCTTCGTCGGCCTGCGTCCTTACTCTCCCAATAAGGCTGTCCTCCCAATAAGGCTGAGGAAGAGCCACTACAAGAACTTGAAGCAGAAGATGCACCACTACTATTATTTTTCGCTGCTCGTGCTTTCGCTAGTCGCACATGCACCCAAGGTGGCACTTCTCCTCCAAGTTTGTAATTGGGTTTTTGATCTGCATTTTGATTGATCTTCACCCAATTGGTACCATAGAACCTTAGAGCTCACCTTATAATGATCTCCCATTATAATTCTCATTGGCCTTAGAATTCAAGAAACTTACTCCCCCAAGACGTACAAATAATAATAATATAGTAAATGTCTATTGAAGATGGAAGATTATTTAGGGGCCCAGCCGTAAGGATAGGACGTCGCCAGTGCCCTGACGTGCAGGAGCTCGTGGAAACAGCTTCTTGTGTGCGATTCCATCGATCGTGCCGAACTCCCCTCTAATCTTTTTCCGCAATCCTTTCCTAGACCCACGCACCAGTTTGTTCTGAAGGTACTGAGTCTGGTCTGCGTCGAGGCCGGAAGCGTAAGCAGAGGAAGAACTCGCGTCGGTTTCTTCCTGGTCGGATTTGAATTCGGAGGTGGTTGTGTAAGAAGTTAACAACTAGAATTATTTCATCTGCAGTATAATCTCAACTCAGAAATTCAAACTCCTACAACAAGAAAGAAAAACCAAACTCCAGAGTAAGGTAGTTACACAAAACATCATACCCTTCCCAGTTGCCTATCCGTAAAAGCTCCTCGTGACGCATATTGGAAGGCTCTCGCTCCTTTGCTTAGACCGGATTTGATAACGAAAGCGGTGCTTAACCCAGCATGGGTCTCGTCCGGACAGTTGGGGACAAGTCGTCGCCTTGACCAATTTTCGACACAATCTTGAGGAATCAGGACCATTTTTTGTTTTTCTTGATGTTTATGGGTCTTGGAGAATGACGAGGACGACCATGCTTCCTTTTTCTTGTATGTAGTGAATGGTACGTAGTTATTTTTTGGCTACATTACGTACTGTAGGGTGTAGTGAAATGAAGAGTGGAAAAAAGGTCAAAGAACACGAACTCTTTGGCTACGAGGATTCACAACATTATAGCAGCCTTTATGACTAGTATCTAGTATGTGGAATTATTCTTGGGAAAGAGCTCTATCTTGGGATGCTCTGCTAGCGAGTACTAATCGCTACATCCAAAACAGACTGATTCGTAATGGTCACCGACTTGTCCAACAATGATTCACACCGACTGACAGAGGATACACCGACTGACCAACGTCATTCTCTTCAAATTCGCACCGATTGCAGATGACAGACTGACATACTTAAATTGCTTAGTTACGACAAATGCCACAGATCCGATAAGCCGATCGTACACTCTGACACGAGTTGAACACTGTATCAAATTGACAACATTGCAATCCCAATTGGCAACATTGCTACCAGGAAGAAAGAGAATTTCTTTTTCCTTAATCCATGCGCATCACCTGTAAAATCGTCGAAACGTTGTTGTTGAAATAACCGTGTATCATTTTTCGACGCCAACATCATCGTGGCGGTCTTACCCCAATTTGCAAATTGCAGTCTCGAAAGACACCATTGTAAAAAAGTGTCAACTGCACGTGATCACCTGCCTTCTTCGTCTCCAACCTGCGGATGAAGTCTGCGCCGCTTTGCTTAGACGAGTTGATTACTCCTCTATCGTGCATACAAAAAGACTTTTTAGACTTGTTTTCTATAGTACCGAAAAAAATCGTTACAACGACCACAATCAGTCTCATCATAACTGTTATCACTTCTCCATCAATCTTGTGTATCAAGTCGCCTACTGCGAGTTGAAAGCCCACTCTTTTGAAAGGCCGCAGACAACTCTGAGCTGCCGGACTATCTGTCTCCGTTCTAAGGATAAACACGCCAGGAACACGCGTCTCGAACTTCTCCACCCAATCATCCGGCGCACAGACTATCCCTAACCAAGACCGTCTTTGGTTCCACCTCCTGCCTCTACTATCATCTCCATTGGGAGATGACAAAAGTTCTTGTTGGGATATCAATCTGCGCATTTCGTCTACGGGAATGGCAAAGCCTAAGTTTGAGCAAACGCCAGCAGCACTTGCCACAACCATAGTGGTCATGCCGATCAAATCGCCGTGACGATTCAACAACGGCCCACCGCTGTTTCCGGGATTGATCGCTGCATCGGTTTGAATGAGGTTGCGGATTTTCACGCCATGCGCACCGCGAATTTCGCGGGACAGACCGGAAACGACGCCCTGAGTTAGTGTCTGCTCGAAACCGAAGAACGCTTAGAGGAGGGGCAGAGGCAGGACCGTAGACTAGGAATAGATACTTATTAAGCACGACGTGTACTAGTGCAGTTGCACATCTTGACTCAAGTAAACGGATGACATCTTCATTTTGAAGAAGTTGCAGATGATGAGCATCCTCTTTCTCACTTTTGAGTAAAAAACTTCATGCCATAAGGATTCCCAATCGCGATCACCTTGTTCCCCACTTGCAAATCGTCACTTCTGCCCAGTTGTATACCTCTGCGAGGGTGCGGGAGTCTCAGAACCGCCAAGTCACTGTGCTCGTCTTCGCCCACGATCTTGGTCTGGATAGGTTCTACACTATCAGGAAACATCACGTACACGGTTTTGCAACCCTTGATCACGTGGAGGATATGAATGGAGGGGGGTTGGTGGACGCAGTTTAGGGTCCGTTTAGGGTTTAGGGTTGGTGGACGTTGTGGAGATACAATACAATTTACAATTAATCTCGCACAAAGTTCAGTGCAGACACAATTTAAGGTCATGCCATGCCATGCCATGGATGCTTATGAATAGTGATGTAAACAGCGGCCTAGGAACACTACGACACTAAAAATGGTCGACGAAGACCCCGCTGAAAAATATCCTTCGCCAGCAGCCATACAAGTTCGTGACCACATGCATCGAATCTTCCCATACGAAGCCGGAAGCCGTGCCCTTCTCTATCTCGATTGGATCGAAATTCAAGCCTGTTATTCTACTACCAAGATCAAAGCTCCTGCTAGCTCGCACCTGGCAGACACTAGGACAGGCAGACTTGAAAACGCGGACTGTGTCTGCTTCGTCCGGTGAGAGGTCACGGTTGCTTCTTCTTCTTCTGGGTGGTGTCGGATTTGTGGACGCGGAGAGGACAGGAGTTTGGTCCTGATCATCATGCGAGGACCTATCGTCTTTCGTTGAAGACGCAGTGTCGTTGCCCCCGCTGTAGTTCTCGGTGAAGATATCACCAGAATTACTAGTAGATGATGAAGGAGTAGATGAGGTCCTTAATGTTGTATCAAGATCATCTTCTGCTCGTGGAATTAGCCTTGTCGCATCTTCTGCATCAGTGAGGTTAACGTCCTTGAGCCCGTCCACATTTTTCTGTCGAGAGAGTTCCTCGGCAAGAACGCGCCCGCCCTGAAAAAACAACGATCGTAAGCTCCTAATCGTCCTATCAGCATGCGACGATTTTGGTATCCTCCTCGTCTTCGGGGCCGTTTTATTGAGACTCCTCCAAAAAGAGGAGTCCAGCTCCTTTTGTATTCCCGTTTTATGGAGACTCCTCCAAAAAGAGGAGTCCAGCTCCTTCTGTATTCCCATCTTCGTTGTCAACCAGGACAGAGCAGCAACAGCCGCTAGGGACTCGAGAACGTAAATTGGGCTGGCTGTGGTGAACGAGGCATGCATTGTTCTTTAAACGCCATGTTGGTCAGCTAACTAGAAGTTCCTCGCATTTCTCATTATTAAGATCCTCGCGAGCGATGGTGTTCACTGTCTGTTGTAACTACACTATCCTCGGGTTTACTTCAAGAAGTGATCCATTCCAAACTCGTCTTGGCAGACCCAATACATAGCCAATATCTTTGTACTTACGTAACTATAGCCAGTCTTTGTAGTACAATACAATACAATTAATCTTTTTTTTTTGTATCGCGAGCGAGTTCCGATAAATCGAAGTTCAGTGCAGACTGCCTTAAGGGCACAACTCTATGTGGTACTATAGGTCAAGGCGCATATCATCTGTTATGAATTACGAGAGTGGGATAGCTTCGCTTGAGTGAATGCGCACGGTCCACCCTGTGGATGAAAAAATGGGCATTCAGTAACCCTAACCGAGTCCTAAACGGCCCTTTATTGGCAGTCCATGCTTCGTGAGCGGAGATCTGCAGCAGCGCTTTTTAGAGTTTCTGATGTGTTGTTGTCTACTTTGTCTTTGATACTAATCTTTCTCCTGCTCGAAGAGCAGCAACTGAACGAAAGATATGCAAGAAGAAATTCATTGAAAAAGTTCTACTTGCTTCGCACAGAAAAGTTAGTAGTATACATAAAAAATGTAGACCTTAGACAAGAAAAGAATTGCACTTCTCTAGAGCAACATAAAAAATGTAGGATGATGGTCATTCATTTTCCTATGCATGAATGTTGATTCCCGATCACAGGGACTCGGTCGCTTTTTTCGGTAGCCTCCTTGTTCCCGGTACATACTACTAAGACTAACTATGTTATAAAATATTCAAAATATTCTGATAGAGGTAGGACTTTAGATAAAAAAATAATTTTTCTAGAGGACGTCATTATGGAATTCGAATTTCTTGAAAATCATAAGATGCGATGATCCATGTTTTTTCATTTCAGCTGTCGTGCGTTTCTGCAAGAGACTATATCATATAATGCGCTGTTTTCCCTATGGATGGTTGTTTAGGAATTGATTGTGCTAGGAGACGGTTGGTCTGTCTATGATCGAAGAATGAATGTCAAGAGATAAGAACAGTGGAAGTAATGTAGGATTATGTTAAAAAAGTATGTTTTTGGAATCTAAATTCCTCTATGTATATTTATCCCACTCAGTCATGTCAACCACGCAGCAATGTACGTTAAAAAGTCAAATGCCTATCTGGATCTGGATGATGTTCTTCAATAAACATTGGATGTTCATCTTCATTTTGGTTTCTCATTTAGCCTTTCCATCTTCCCCTCCATCAACTGTCCCTTTCGAACTCGTCTTCCTCCCCTCCCATGCTGGTGAGTCCGGTGTTGTCAAACCTCCAGTAGCTTAGAGACTGCCTTGGCAGTTCCTCATCTTGGCAGTTCCTTTGTTCCCATTCAACGCATTCTTCTATGGGGACAACAGAAGGATACCAAGTAGAGCGAGATGGTGAGAAAGATGTTGAGCACTCTAGATTCTGTTTCTGGCCATAACTAAAATGAGGATTGCGAAAACTAGCTGGACCCTCCACCTGCATCTCATATTTTCCACTATTGTCGCGCTGCAGTCTATCAGGTGACCCAACGTGGCGAGGAAGGGGACGCAATTAGACATGGACGTACTCTGTGGAGTCCTCCACCTTGGTCTTTGATAGGGGACGCAATCAGACATGGACGTACTCTGTGGAGTCCTCCACGACCTTGTTTGTTGATACAATTTACTAGAGATGAGAGACCATGGTGTCAGTGTCAGATCAAAGTATCAGACTGAACCAACGGTCCGTCGTGTAAAAAAACCCAAGAAGTGTTGTAAAAATATTTGTCTGGTCCTGTCGATCTATGTTATAGTTGTTGTGTGCATTTATAATATAGTACTTACTACGTAGTACCCTGATTCTTTGTCAACAATGATTAGAACTAGAAGACCTTTCTTGTCTCTTCATAAAGATACGGTGTCTTCTTTGACTTGTCTCCGTCCGACGCTGATCCTTTTGACGCAAGAGAAACCGGTTTCTTGGAGTCTGCGTCTGGAGAATCTGCATCTTTTGTTAGAAGGACCTTATGAACAAGGAGATCATCTCCATCTAGATCGTCATAAGTACTAGGTGGAAGCTATGTACTGGGAAGCTATATCTATGCAAAAGAGCACTGACGATTAATAGCGTGTTAAGCGTGAGATATTAAGTGCCAGGTGAGAGAACAAAGAGATAGAGGAGAGGAGAAGCGAACAGAGAAGCCTACATGAGATGAGTCGTAGATTATTAGATTGAGAGTTGTAATGATCTATCAACCTGTAGTCACATACTGAGAATAGGAACCTAGATGATCTATTTACAAATACAAATCGAAATTCTATTCCTGCTGAACTCATAACTCTGGTGTTTCCGCTGCTGCACTTCCTTCCGACCTTGGCTTCTTCCCGTGACGCTGTAGTATTGAGAATAATTTGCCAGAATATTGAAAGTATGAGTCCCGTTTTTTAGGACTTGCTTTTTCGGAATTCTTTCTCTCTCAAGAACGACAACGAAGTAGTATTTCTCTTTTGAAGTGTGTGTCTCTCTTTCTCGTCGCTCGTCGCTCACACATCGCTCTTTCAGTATTCATGAATGAAGTTCTTGTGTATGACGTTGTTTCTTCTCACCAACTTTATCTCAATAAAGCTGCATCAACAACGTCGTGCGTCACCCTAGTAAGTATGGCTATGGTGGAACACTCGTGACGACTATCATCGAGACAGCCAAAACGATCTCGCTCGCCCGTCGGAGTCAACTCTGTATGTGGTATCCCAGGGGTGTGAATCTTTGCCCACCCATTGCGCCTTTGCTTCATTCCAAAGTCCAAACAATGTCGTTTTCACCTACTTGCGTTAATACTAGAACTAAGTCGTGCATCATGTAAGAAAAGGAGCATTCTTGCCCCCACTTTTTGTTCGCTAGATTTAGTTCTTTAAGACCCACTTTGATTGGAGGGTGGTGGTCGTGGTGCCTAAGATTCAGTATTCATTCTTGTAAGTATTCATTCTTGTCGCAGCCGTAGCCGTACCTAACTATCAATAGCGTAAAAGAATTGTCGTACATTTCAGTAAGCTGGCTGTGGGGTTTGGTGCGAAACCCATCTACTTCAAAGATGATTTAAGCGTATTCTACTAAACTACGTATCTATAATAAATTGCCTATGACATAAACAACATGATCCTTCTTCTATGTATAAAAACAGATGCATGTCTAAAAGAGGACTTCTACTTATAAATGTTGTTCATGCTCCAATAGCAGCATCTTTAACTTGTTCAGCTACCTGCTTGGTTCCTTTGCTCGCTGTATTGCTCGAAGATGCCGCAACTTCGCTAACCACTACTTCTTCCGCAAACCCAGCGCCAATCTTCAGCTTGCCTCCACCAGCTGCAATTCGCTGCTCTAGCCTGCCTTCGCCGCATGACGCCAGGATGAAGGCCAGAAAGGTTGCCGCCGGTCGATGTTGTCGGGACTTGAATTCCGGATGGAATTGCACGCCGCAATAGTAGGGGTGTCCCTTCAATTCGCAGATCTCCATACGCACACCTCGTTCGTCTTGACCACTAAAAACAAAGCCTGCGTTTTCTAGGGCTTGCTTGTACTGGGTGTTTACCTCGTAGCGGTGCCGATGTCGCTCGAAGACAACGGGTTCGCCACAGTAGATCTTGCTCGCCAAAGAGGTTTGATCTTTGATGATGGTGCAGCGAGCGCCGAGGCGCATGGTTCCGCCCATGATGGTGGCGGAATGCTCTGGCATGAACATGACAACGGGATGCGGCGTGGATTCGTCAAATTCAGTGGAGTTGGCACCCTCTAGGCCGAGGACGTTGCGGCAGAATTCGATAGTAGCGACTTGCAGACCGACACAGATACCTGTGGAGTTTCCGGGAGTTTATATCAACAGTTGAGAGCCTCCATGTTGTATACGTCTTATTTAATAGACAAGGTAACACGTCGTAGCAAATTCGAGAGTACAATTCACAATGAACAAAAAAAACGATCTATTTAGTACCAAAGTATGGAATCTGGTTTTCTCTGCAGTATTTTGCTGCCAAGATTTTCCCCTCAATTCCTCTGTTTCCGAATGCGCCTGGCACTAAAATGCCCTTACAGCTCTTCAAAATCGCCCATGACTCTTCATACTTCTTCGGGTCTGAGTTGCAGGTGTTCAGCTCCAGATTCGTGCTTTCGATCCATTGCAGATCAAGCAACACGCCAGCCTCAATGCATGCATGCTGCAGGGATTTCACGACTGACATGTAACTGTCGGTCAGCCCAGTGTATTTGCCGACCATACCAATGCGGAGGGGAGTGGAAAGCTGGTCGACACGGCCAGCAAGACCAGCCCAGTCGCCGAGACGAGTGATCAGGGGGTCGTCTGTGTGTGTGTGTATGATAGTGTGTGATTGTGATAAAAAAATTGATGACAAAAAAGAAAGATTTTAAAATTTTTTAGGACGTAAAGTAGTCAAACCACGAATACGAACGAGTGAATAATACCTCCTCCATTGTAATTCACGCCGCCGAGAACCGCTTGCTTAATCTCTGTTCTGTCCGTAAGTCCAAGTTTCTTGCAGATCTGTATTGTTTGTGCAAGTTAAAAGTCAGGAGTATTCTTTCTTGTTGGTTCCGCTTACATGAGAAAATTTCACTTTGTAGAGTTTGAGTTCTTCAAATTTTGAAAGGAACAATTATAGTCATGTGTAAGTAAAAGAACTAAAATAAATCGCTTCTTACCAGTGTTCCGACATTCTGCTCCGCCAACAATAATGGCACCCGAAAGATATTGCTCACGTCGTGTAATGAGACCACCTCTTCCGCCTTGACTTGGCAAAACAAGCTTAACTTCTTTCTGATATCTGGCAATATCGCCTCCTTGCTTCGGCAAATGAGCAAATCTGGTTTCAGACCGGCTTCTCGCATCACCTTGACTGAGTGCTGGCATGGTTTCGTCTTCTGTTCCCCCGTAGCGTTCTGGTAGGGGACCCATCCGAGATGGACGGAAAGGAAATTCTCGGCGCCCATCTTGAACTGAAATTGCTGCAATGCTTCGAGGTATACGGCGGATTCAATATCACCGACAGTGCCACCAAGTTCTATGAGGCAGACATCGGGCTTTTCGCCGGACTTGTCGGTAGGCATAGAGGCAACTTCTTGGATCCAGTCCTGTGAGAAAAAGGTGCAAATAAACGGATTCATGTCGTGTGCCGTGTACTTGTGATTGTGGCATACTGAAGAGTCATCTCAACATCGTCATCGATAGAAAAAGAAAAGCTATAATAAACTGTTATTTCATCTTCCTAGGACCGACGCTGATTCGAGACTGAAAACAAAGACAAAGTTGTATATAATCCCCTCACCTACTTAAATGAAATCTGTCCGTAAGTTATATAACTACTTAAAATAATACCTGAATCTCATCCGTGACATGCGGGACCATCTGCACTGTCTTTCCCAAGAAGTCGCCTGCACGCTCTCTCTTCAGGACCTTCTGATAGATCTTTCCCGTGGTCAAGCTGTGGACTGACTCCAAAGTCAAGTCTAGGAATCTCTCGTAGTTTCCGAGATCAAGATCCGCCTCACCTCCATCATCCAGAACGAAAACTTCTCCGTGCTCGAAGGGGGACATGGTACCTAGTAAACGAATAGTTATTTAACTACTTAAAATAATACCTGAATCTCATCAGTTATTTAACTACTCAAAATAATACCTGAATCTCATCCGTTATAAAGTTGTCCCCCAGATGTAAGATAAATATTCTGATATGGTCTGTTGTCCATCCGCGAGGCCAACTCTTCTAGTAAAGAATGAGATTGATTGTTGTTGCCCTTGTCGTTACTTAATATTGATAGAGTGAGTTTCTTGTGCTGAGTGACACCATACTGATTTTCGAATTTATTCGGATATTTTAAAAATAGAAGATGAACCACCTCCTATAAATGTAATTTATTCTCGTCAACTACTCCATCTCAAAAAAAGTGAACATCGCCCTACCTGCATCCACATTCAAGTATGGGTCGATCTTCATGGCTGTGACGTGGAGACCGTGAGACTTGAGCACCACACCCAATGAGGAAATTGCTGTTCCCTTTCCGAGACCGGAAACTGTACCACCAGTGACGATCAAATATTTCGTTTGCTTCCCCTCCCCGTTGAAACGGGCTGCCGTAGACGGAGAAGATGTCGACATGGCTTCTTTCCTATTGGTTTCCTTGAGTGATATCAAAATCAAAAAGTTCTTCTTCTTCGTTCTTTGTTCTGGGAAATCGAAATCAAATTTCTAACCACCTAATAAATCAGAACTAAGTTGTTGTGTACTGAAACTGAATCAGGGTACTTCCTACTCTTAATCAAATGCAAGTTATATGGATTGATCAAAAAATGCACACATCAAGTAGACCTAGAAAATGTGGGTTGAAATATACAAACTGAAGCTACAAGTACAACCACCAACTACTAAGACGACGTAGACACATGCGGCCTGGTTTTCTCGTGTAATGTACATAAGTGGAAGATTTTGGATTTGGATCCTCGTCATTAGACTGTGCGAGAACTCATAGGAACTCGTTCATTTCGTGTAGGTACCTAAAACGAAAAGAGCCTGTTGTGGTAGGAAGATCTTCTCTCAGAATGATCGTTCATTTCTGGATCTTCTTCATTAAGCATCGAGACAGGATCTCTTTGCAGGCACTCATTGAAGATTTCGATTCTCGTGAATCTGTATGTATCAGCTCGAGATCAGTGGTCTCATGTTGCCTGCATGTTGTTCATTTCAAAAAGTCTGTAGTATGTCTTGTTTTAAGGGAGCTCCTCATATTGTGTTCATGGATAGAGGTTCGAAAGTGTACAAAGTGAGTGAACTGACATAAACTGGGTCGCTCGATCGAAAATATATCATCATGTGGGCCACTATGGAAAAAAGGAAGAATCTTCCTACAAGCAGTGTACCCATGATTCAAGAGGGAGATTAACATTCGCGTAAGTCTTAGAATTGGTTAGATAGATTAACATTTAGCCTTGGAAGAACAGGGGTAGATTAACATTTACAATGATCTGCTCGTACGCCTTAGAAACGATTCTTCTAAAACCATTCACATCAAGAAAAGTTCTAACATTCATCATCCATGGGGTACATGTACAAAAAAGTGTAACATAAACATTCACAATGGTGCCAGTGACTGAAAGCGTCAATATTGTCGTGTGCTTCTACTAGGAAGAAACACACTAAATAAAAGGCGATGTAAAAAGAAGAGACTGATAAAAACGATCTAAGTTAGGCTTCAGTATTGGAAAAAGCAACTACAAGATGAGAGTTTGTTCTACAAGAAAGAGAAAGTCAGAGTTCTTGATGATTAACATTCACGATGTTGACAGTGAAGACCTCTTCTATACACATTCGATTCTTGCCTGACAATGAATTTCGTAGCGTACATTTTCAAAAATTCTGTTCTTCACTGAGCATTTCATGGCATTTCCCGACCCTCGTTGTCGCCATCTTCTTGCTCTCTGGAGTCCGTAATACTGTCGGCATTCCCATTTATGAGTTGTATGTGAACCGTTTTTAATAGGCCCCGAGAAGCGACATCTTCCAGCGCTCGCGCAGAGCCATCTTCTTGCCCTCTGGAGTCCGTAATACTATCAGCATTCCCATTCTGCTCGCCCACTCTCCCCCTCGTTGTGCTATTGTCATTATTCTCTTCATTTTCATCGTTGATGCCCACGAGCAATTTCCTCTGTAGTTTGCTCCAATATCGTAGCTCTTCCTGCTCTGCTTGATATTAGAGCGCAAAAATATGTCTAAGTATTTCTTACATGTATAAGTTTGTTTGTTTGTTTTGATGGGCTCCGGGCGACGCGTACGATCCCGCCGGATTTCTTTTTGCTCTGTGTGTGTTGTGCTATGGTCGTCATTGCGATCGACTATGATATGTCTGGTCGCCACAGTTCATTTTCTCAGAAGTTTGTTCAAGAAGGAAAATACGAAAAATATAACCAGACTTAGGTTCATTTTCTCACAGGGAAATGAAAATGATGGTGATGATGAGGATTTGTATCAAGGAAGCCTTAATGATAAGCTCTCTTCGCTTCTACTCGCCTTTCTCCCTTATTCTTAGACCTACTTATCTCCCTGATCTCCTTTTTTTTCTTCTTTCCTCCTCTTGTGCCTCCTGAAACAGGGCTACAACATGCTGCAGCTGCTCTTGTTTCAAAAATACTTGCATTCTTAATACTAGCTTCTCCTTCATGATCAACACCGTTCAAATTCTTGGAGCTTTTTTTTTGGTTTTGTTTTTTTAGAACTTGCAATTTTCTCTGCTCCTGCCCCATCAGCTCCTCTTGCGTTTGTTCGGAAGGTTTATTTCTTCTATCATGTTGAGAAGGTAAAAATCGTGTCGCGAGTTCTACTTCCCTCAAGTTTTGCAATCTTGCAATTTCCAATACTTCGACACTACTGAAAAGTTCTTCATCTTGTTGTGCTGGAAGGTTCTCCTTCACGCGTCGCCTTTCTACATCACTGTTCCAGTGAGCAAACATTCTGAGCCTTGAAGCCATCGCTTTTTAGAGGTTCTTATACGTAATTACATTCCTCAGAACATCCCCGGCCTCCTTTCCACTAGGAAAAGACCTTGGGATGGCAGTGCAGGATGTAATTCGGAAACGACCCTTAAGCTACGGTCTTCTTCCTCCCACCGTTTTGTTTTATTTGATTCAAGAGATTCGGGTAAAGCAAAAGCTTGTGAGTATCATTAGACCTTTCGGGAATCTCCCACTTTAAAAGTCAAATCTTGGACCCGTTTCCACATTACACGGGAGGTCCAAGATGCTTCTCAAAATGGGAGATTTCCGGAAGTTTGAATAAGAGTAGATGTCGCACTGGAACTGGGGTCGTCCGTTGCTGTCATACGAGGGATCCGCTGATGCGCATACCGCACTTTTTTCGCAGGTCCACTTGAAAAGCGCGAAAAAGAAGAAAAATGGGAAGGATGCACATGATCAATCCCCGGTTGTACTGGTGCAACTACGGGTCGTGCGAGGAGTGCAGGTTGATTATATGCCACGGGACTTGTACTTGTTGCTAGTACAGGATGAGTGCTGATACTAGAAGAAGCATATCCACCTCGTCCACCTCTTGCTGGGTAAGCCGTCGTGGAAGCATATCCACCTCTTGCTGGGTAAGCCGTCGTGGAAGCATATCCACCTCTTGCTGGGTAAGCCGTCGTGGAAGCATATCCACCTCTTGCTGGGTAAGCCGTCGTGGAAGCATATCCACCTCTTGCTGGGTAAGCCGTCGTGGAGGCGTATGATCCACTACATCCAACTAACATATATCCAGGAGGCGGAACATGGTTGCCGTGGTACGGATGAACAGCGGAAGTCGTTACTGGAGGGGGCACGACTCCTGCAGAAGCAGCTCTTGGAGCTTGTACAACTACGTCGACGTCGTGATGTTGATGCAGTAGTAGTTCTTGTTCTCCCATGTAATACGCTCCATGTTGCGACGGGGCTGCCGTCATCACGAAAGCAGAACTACATTGTTCTGCTTCGGCCCAATAAGGTGGCTCTTCAGTATCCCAATAAGATGGCTCCCCTGCTCCGGTCATCTCCATAGCAGCACCAGCCTGACGTATAGACTCGTCCCAGATGAAGCTCTCGCCTCCGGTTGTATTAGTAGGCGCTCTCTTCGTAGTTGCTGTGGTATATCTCCTTTCGTAGCTGCCATGGCCGTGTGCTGCTTCGACGAAGGTGCACTTGCCGAAGCGCTTCCTTTCATAGTCCTCTTGTTCTGTTTCGAGAAAGATACACTTGCCGAAGATGAGGCGCTGCCATTTTGTGTTCTGGTGGTGTATTTTTCTGTACTAGTAGCAGGTCAAATACTACTAGCGTTCTGTCTCCATCCTTATCCAAAATGAGATGAATATTGTTCGTTGTGCAAAATGAGATGAGTATTCGTCAATGTCAGTTGAAATAGACTTCCACGTATGATAGAGTGACCCAGAATAGTGGTCTTTCGTCAAGAAGTCCCCTGTCCTACATTAGATAGTTGGAGAAGAATGAAGCCTTGCTGTGATGGGAGAAGATGAGCTTAATACGCTCATTTCACAACTAGAATCAAATTCATCAGCTCCCCAATGGGGCTGAGTGCTGTGCCCATCGTCGCAGTTGTTCCAGAGACACGACATACCGGTTCGCGAGGAAGGCACTGATTATCATCTGTACCTTCGTTACTCACATCACTCAGTTTCTTGCACAACACTGAAACGGAATTCGAGCCGTGATGCCGCGATGATTTTTCTGCTATTCTGAGGTCATCCCTTCTCTCTTCATCTTCACATAATGCCACCATGTCAGTTGTTGCATCTGTTAGGGATCTGGATGCCAGGATGAAGCTCAACAGTAAGGCCAGCACGAAGACCACGACGCCAACGCTCAAGATCAAGAGCAGGAAGAAACGACCACCATCGCCCATGTTTGTGCCTTCCGGTTTGTCGTCGCCGCTGACGACTAGGCTCATCAATCACGCCGCTAAGGCTATCACGCAGTTGGGCGGTGTTCGTAGTCTAGTGCACTTACATTCGATGACAAACCTTGAGCAAGCCTTGAATGTGTGCCAACCTCTGCAAAAAAAAAATGACTCCTGCTCGTGAAAATTATGCATGTAGAAAGCAAAAACAGATGTAAATGTCATGTCATGCGTCTCCGATCTGATTTGTCAAATCAGCATTGAGACCAGGCCCAAAGGGAAAACCCAATTAGCATAAAGTAACGTGCTAAGCCGGAAAGAGCATAATCCACCACTACAGACCGAGCGTGGAAAATACTACTGAATGTGTGCCTCTCGAAGTCATTCCACCCGTATTCACGAAACCCCATCCGGTCGCAAAAAGAAACTATCGTCCTTAGCTAGCAGTTCCAATGGGAGAGTGACAGCAAAAAAAAATCGAAATCAGTCCTATTTCATAGGGTTTTTTATAGTCTGTCTTGAAATCTTCATCAACTACTGGTATTTTTCAGTCTTGCCTAATCCTGTGGAAAATTGTACTGGTCCTCGTCCGTGATTTTTTACTTGGTATATTCGATGTCCTCGTAATTTCCCTCTACGCGTAAACCATCTTCATTCTTGGAAGTTTCAGTTATTCGCTCATTGATATATCTTCTATGATCACTTCTTCTTGGATGGAGGGGCTAACCTAGGATACCTATGGCCACTAATATATCAATCTGTGCACCATGAAAATAGAAACCTTTCCTCACTTCGAAACAGATGAAACTAGAACTACTTATACTAATACTTACTAATTTTTGTCCCTTCATCTAAGTACTTCCAGAGTACGAGTCGTGTTCCCACAATTCCCTCAGCTACTTCCAGAGTACGAGGCGTGTTCCCACAATTCGCATAGGCGATCGCGTGCCTCTTTCGGGAGCGCGTTCTGCACGTTGCACACCTTATTTTAGAGCTCACCCCGATCCATCTTGAGATTCATACGTTTTTTTGCAGTTATGGAACAGTGCCAAGATGCGTTCATTTCTTCAGAGTTCCGCGAAGTGAGGAAAAGAATCTGTGGAAACGTTTTTTCCCTTTTGGAACAGTCCCAAGATGCTTCTGGAGATCCCCTAGCGTTCTTTTCTTCAGATTCCCAAGAAGGAAACTGAGGAAAAGAGCCTGCATTTCCCCCAATTTCCCCCCAAAGGAACAGGCGAGAAATGACTGGTAGAAATGAATTAAAGAATCAAAATTACTGTATTGCGCAAGAAATCAACTGAACTATTGAACTACTTATTGAGCTATCGATAGCTAGTTCAATGAATTATAGAAACTGTTGAGAGAATCAAAATTACTGTATTGCGCCTTAAATATAATTAGCGTGGTAACTGCTGCAGCGCCCTGTCCCCTCGTCCGTATATCCCGACTCCGGATAGCAGACGATGGTAAGCAGCCATCCGAGACTGTAGGAGATCAGAGCGACTGCCCCAATCAGATACACATCGTGCAGGCTCACGTGGAAGGTCCTATCTTCATTAGAGGAACTAGCCACCACAAATCCATCTATCGGGGGCTTCAACTTGGTCCGATTTTCAAAAAAACGAGACAACCAAGATGCAGCTGGGGAAGATGAATTTCTTGTAAGTAGCCTCAACATTAGCTGCTTTGGAAGATGCACTGGGGTCGACGTGCGCCGATGATGTCGCGTTTGCTCCCTCAGTCGGAGTTCGACGCGTGCAGCATTTTCGGTACCAGTCCACCTTGACCCAGGGCACCTCTAGCATGCTCTGACGCAAGCAGCCACGCGCCGGTAACGGCGCCGCGCCCTCGCAGGGTTTTGGCAGGCTCCCGTATGAAAACTAGGGAATCAAAGTTCTGAAGTGCTCTTCATCAAACATATGAAAAATAGGTGATCAATTGAGTAAGTTCTGAAGTGCTCTTCATCAAACATATGAAAACTAGGGGATCAATTGAGTAAGTTCTGAAGTGCTCTTCATCAAACAAAGTTTCCTACGACGCATAACCAAATTAGGGAGCCACCCGGCGTGCCTAGACGTCTCAAAGAGTCAAAGACGCTATCCTGCGGTTGCGCATGCAAGCGCCGCTGATGGGAGACCACAGCCATGTCGACAGAAAAAGCAACCACGAAAGCGACGAGGACACTGCTGAGTGGAAGCCCTGCGCCACAGCTAAACTGCATCCCGGTGCCAGCAACTGGATCAACAAACACTGCAGACCGACACCAATGCTACGAATGAAAGGCGATGGTTGATGGAAACGGAAAGATGATAGATTGATGGTACTATTTCTAATCCGAGAAGGTAGAGGCTAGAACATAGAACAATTGCGATTGACGGGCTAGGTAGGGCCATCGCCTAGATAGAAGTGGATGCTATAATTCTTCGATGGGACATCAACTGCCTTACAATATAATTCGGATCCTCGTCATAAAAGAGAGCAGCTGCGATCGGTAGATACGAGTGCAGATATCGAGACGCAAGCTGAATATGATAGTGCTTGCCCACTATCGCGTAACCGTCAAGGAAAGCGGTCGTCGGTTGTGCGATTTGACGAGTGAAGGTGTCTCGAGCAATTCTAGCCGCTTGCACGCCGCGAACTTCGACTGCGGTGCCGAGCTTCTCTCCCATTACAGTGCTAAGCCGTGACCCACTGGCTTTCGACCTCCGCGAACTGCGGTCCGCAGAGGTCGTGCTACTCGTCGCAAGCGAAGCGCGCGCCTCTAAGGCAGACACCGAACCCACTGCAGAAGGTGTAGCCGCTTCGGTTCCGCGAGAGATGAATGTTCAAAAATAAAGCCCTTTTTATCAGTGTCTCATCGAAGAGCGACACAACGGACCCTGTCGTGCATATTTTGCCTGATTGGACGCGCACCTAGTATAGTATCCCGTGCTCGTCTTCATAACTTGGCTAGGTTTATCCCCTTGCTCCATCTGCTCAGTTGCGTTTTGCTGCTCAGCTTTTTCATCGAGTTCCTTCTGTTTCCTTGCCAAAGACCACTTGGCAAAGAATCCCTCGACGATGAGTCCGCGCTCGAGGACGTCGATGGTGAAGGTGACTGCAGCTACCATAAAATATGCCGAAAAGTCTATCTGCAGTACGTCTTGGTCAAAGCGACGAGCGAAGAGTGAAAATGCGCCCTCCCTCGGTGCATCGCTGCTAAAATACTCTGCCGAACCTAGATCGCCATCGCTGCTGCGACGGATGCCGACGTTAGAGCACTGAAGAACTTGAAGTTGATGCTAGTTCCAACATATTCACAAAATAGCTCTCACTTCACTAAGTGGCCTAATATATCGACAGCACCAAAGGCTATGAGTGGGGTACTTCTACCATGACATGTTGAACATCCAACCTTGATCACTCACATTCGCAACGAACTCGCCCTATTGATGGGTCCAGCCTCCTTGAGTCCGATAACAAAAAACGCGGCGAGGGACATGCTGTCAGCCAGGCAGTTGGATACGACCAACATATTTGCGACGGCGCTTCGGTCTAACTGCAACCCAACAGCTGCCAGCGTGGATTCAGCGTACATAATCGCGTAACGCAGCGCCAGACGCAGGCCACTCTTGCCAAGGGTGAACGGCAAAAAGCGGAGATCCACGTTCAGCGGTGACGGCCAGTTGGAGGTCAGATTAGACTGATACACCTCATTCAAAACAATGCATTTGTTCCTCGGTTCATTTCTTCACATTTTCAAGGAGGAAACAGAAGGCAATGCCCCTTGGAAATGATGATCCTGAGCAACATTTAGACGGGCTATAGATCAACTGGAAATGAATCATTTTGAGCCTCAATCAGATCCCAGAGTTTTCTCGGAAGAGCCAAGCGGTTGATCACACTTGCGACGATCAAGGGAGCTGAGGCAAACGTTAAAAACGTTAGCCACGCTGCACGGAAGAGAAGCGTCAACTGACGCCGCGTCAGTGATGTCGGTGCGTGGAATCGTACAACACTGCTCACAGAAGACCGACTCGATCTGGTCGACGTTTTGCTTACCCTTTCTGCTTTAGTACTGCGACTGCCCTGTTCATCAGAAGTAGGAAGGTCTTCAAGGTTCATATCGTCCCTTTCCTCCTCCACGCTAGTGCTTTTCCACAGCATTTCCTTTATTGCACCCACCGATGATCGACGACCTGCTGAGCGAACAGCGAAACGAGGCTCATCCCCCACACTGGTGGTGGTAGTCCGCACGACCTCCATTGAGCCCTGGTGCATCTCGGGGTCACCTGAAGATTGCGGCTTCTCTGTAGGCTCCGACGATACCTCCGTGAGAGCAGACGCTACCCGCTCGCGCCTCCGCAGCGCACGACGCTGGACGCCATTGAGTCGCCGCCATACAACGAAGAAGGTTACGACATAGCAAAGACCAGCCATGAACCACTGCCGCAAAAGCACCCAACCTAGAATTTCCGCAGATAAAGCAAAGGCAGAGAGCGTGAAAAAAAAGTACTTGCCGACGATCTAGAATTAGAAGTGAGTCTAAGTAAGTGGGTACAACTTGAAATCTAGATGCACTCACATATGTAAGAACGAACTTCATGTGCTATCTATAATGAAATGAATTAGAGATGAAGGAAATAGATGATTGCTTAAATAATTTAATGAACAAGCTGCTTGTATAATTTGAATATGTCTTCCGTCCTTAAAAGAAAAGCTTGGGGCTTTCTTGCTCTCGTGTGAGCTTCTCGATCAGTTGCGCTGCCTCTGCATCATCCGCTGGTGGCTCTCCGTCATCTGCCTTTATCGACGAGGACACGCCGATTTCTACGTGGTCTTGTGTCGATTTCGCTGTTTTGACGCTGTCCGGTGGATTTCCCCGAGGACCTTCTACTTCCTTTTCGTTCACAGCAAGATAGTCTTTGATTAGGAGCACGGCATTCAGATATACGCAGACGTAGGCGATCGCGGGCCCTAAAAGCGTGTACAAGCCAAGCGACTCGTTCGCGGCAGCTTCCCCCACGTTCTGCAACAAGCACAGCCCAGCTGCGATGACTAGAAAGCGCCTGGTGAAGATCGGGAACATGGTATAGCCAGCGATGCCATTCGCAAAGACGTGGAGATGATCCTTGTCTTCTTCCTCGACAGAGGATGCGCTACTGGATATCGTCGAAGTAGTCACTACCGTCGTCGTCCTCCCACGTCTTGCAGCAGTCCTCTCAGGTGACGCGGGCGGGGATGGATCGTCACCTGAGGTTGGTCACAACAGAACCAATCATGTTGAGAATGTGATGAAGCGCCAAAGAAGACTTTGACCTGAGGTTGCTCACAACAGAACCAATCATGTTGAGAATGTGTTGCTGCTGTGCGACTATGAAATCCCATGCTGCCAAACACCGGTTGGCTGAAGCGCCAAAGAAGACTTTGCTCCAACGACCTTACACCTTGAACATCGAACTCGAATTCTTGCTTACTAAGTCATGCGGTTTTCTATATTCCCATCTATGGCATCTACTAGTCCAGCTATTCTCTAAGACAAAAAATATTCAGTACCGCCTTCCTTTGACGTTGCTTTCTTGGAAAGCTGCTGCTGTGCGCCATGTCCATTCTCGACCAGAAGTGAGGGAAGAACCCTCGCTGTTGCATTTTTAGCACTGCCTGTTACTGCCGGGATAATGCTACCAAATGTGCTACTTGAAGAAGGCCTCGAACTGCCAGCACCTCCTCCTCCTCCGTCATGCTGAGTTCGAGAGCCACTCCCCGTTGCCGGTGTCGCCCACATTCTTGGACTCAATCTTGTTGGAAGTTGAAGAGCATGATCACCTTCCAGTCCTCCTGGTTCACACGTACAATGGCTCAGCGGCGTCTCGATTTTGATGCATAGTACCTGCTTGATAGTACTACTTTTGCCTTATGCTAGAGTCGCTCAGTCTGGATGTGAGTGCTCGTGTCTGCGTGCTTTCTGCTTTGCCACGAGAAGAACAATATTTGCACTGCAATTTCTATTTTACCCAGGTTAGGTTAGGCGTGGGCCCACTAGAAAAACTAGCGGACGTAATTGGCTACTGAAGAGCCAACAAACAAGACTATTACCCACCTTGCACAGCAATGAGTTTTGTTTCGAAGATGCAAATCCGTTGTTTAGACATTAAAACCACCATAAGGAGCCACGCAGGGGCCGCTTGGTCACAAGATCATAGCTTGTTCCTGCTTGCATTCTATAATCTCCATGCATTCTTATGTTGTTCTTGACAGTCACGATAGAAATCAGACTATTTAGTTACACTTCCTTGGATGAGTATTTTGAAAAGGACTATGCACAAAACTAAAAGTACCAAAATATTTGATATTGTTCAGACATGTAGTTCTGATGAAAAAATGGACACTATAATTTTGCAATCAACATACATGATGATTCTGTCCAATGTCTTTGCATACTCTATCTAATGCTCATGCTCTTCGACAAAACCAGTTCGATTTAACTAAACAACGAATTTCCCTTTCATTCGCGTCTAGAAAACTTAAAATTTCAATTTCGACCGTTTTCAACCGTTCACCACTAATTGACACAGTGACAGAAGAAGCATAAACGTTCATTCTTATGAGTGTATCACTCTTCTTGTTCAACATCTAGTTGATTGCTTGAGTACTAAAACTAATCTGCAAAATGTGAATGTTTATATATGTCCCCGGGTCCAGAGTCACGCCCCCCCCGGAAGGCGGGGGGGCGGGGAGCCCCGGACCCCTTTTGGCCTAGTCTCTGGGGGGTGGAAGGCCTCAAAAGGGAGTCAAGGGGGATGTCTGCATGTACCCGACACGCTTACGATGTGCTGGCCCCTCTCCGCGGCAGTGTGCCGGGGAGGAAGGCCCCCGAAGGCAGCAAAGAGAGCAAGGCTTGGCCCCCTTAGCCGTGTGGCCTGTACCCAACAGAACCCAGCCGGGCAACCGTCCCGACTTTCCCGGACCCTCCTGGCCCTTGGTGTTCAGCCTGCTGGCCCTCACCGCGCATTTGATGAACGCAACCCAGCAAAAGGGACCAGGCCTCGAGACCGTGGCCGCCTTCGGCGGCCTTCTACCCCGGCGACCACCTCCCTGCTAGGGCCGGCAGAGGACGCGACGCCTGTAGGGTACATTCAGAGAGGCACAAGGGGGCCCCAGCTCCAATATTTGACGCGTCTTACCCCGAGAATCCGCAAGAAACCGAGCGGAAAAGTGAGCGCAAGCGCCACCGCAGGGCCATCCACAGGGGGGGAGGGGGGCGGTGCGTCCCTGCGTCTTACCCCGAGACTCCGCAAAAAACCGAGCGGAAAAGTGCGCGCAAGCGCCACCGCAGGGCCACCCACAGGGGGGGAGGGGGGCTGTGCGTCCCTGCATCATATATAAGTGTTCTTTTGTTCATTGTTGACTATAAACGAGAATGTGCGAGCATGCACGTCAACATGGAAATAACATGTGTACTGCAATATACCTTCACTGGTACTTCTATCGGCAATACATAGGTTCATTGGTTGCATGAAAATCAGAAACTCAAATGAAGAAATATCAGAAGTTCTTACGCTATCGTCTTCTTCTAAATCGGACACATTGCTCTAGGCCATCTGTTTCCCCTCAACATCAAATCAGTCTTCCGGTGGAAACAATTCGTTTTTTGAGGGCACCTTGACCACAGCCGCAGGTTGTGTCCCTGTAGTTTTGCTGTCTTCCCTCTTCGGATTCGGCGTGCTCGCTACCCGATGTGTAGGTGACGACCCCACACTGCGGTCCCTCAACTGCTCTCCACTACTTCGACTACTAGACCATCCACCTTGTTTGGACCCACCACGACTGCTGCCGCTTTTATTGCTTCTATTCAATGCTTTCACGACAGCGTCTTGCTCTACAACATGATGCTGTTGTTGTTGTGCCTGGATCTTCCCATATTGTATTCTATCCCGTAGTGAACTAGGATCAGAATATCCAGGCTGAGCCATTTGCTGTCGTGTTATCTGTGGTGCAGCAGTATCATCCTCACCTACATCATGTCCTACATCATGTTCAGGGGGCACGTTGCTATGATGAAACGAGCTTCCAAGCGAGGGCAGCATTGGATCATCTGTCGTGAAATTTATCTGGTCCACTGCGACTCCTGCACGGGGCTCTTTCGACTCGGCACTGGAGGGGAGGTTAGAAATCTAGTAAATTACAGGAGAGGAGAACGAACACCAGTAGTCAAAAAACATCTTCGTCTTCTTTCGTAACCATCGTCCCTGCTCCGTCCAATCTCCGGCTAATCTCCCTGATTTGATCCTGCAAAACGCCAATGTCATCCCTTATTCTGTGTTCCATGGCGTCTCCAGAAAATCGACGAAAAGCACAAGGGTCCCTCTGAGTGGCACTCTCGAGCTCTTTCTGGCTGAAGAGACGGATCTGTGTATGCGTTGGTGTTTGTGTAACTGTGTTTGAAGTAGAGGATCTGTATGAGCATTGGTGTTTGTGTAACTGTGTTTGAAGTAGAGGATCTGTAAGAGCATTGGTGTTTGTGTAAATGTGTTTGAAGTAGACGATGTTCACGTACTTCTACCCTCGTGACGACCACACACTAGGCTATAATCAGAAGAAAAGAAAGGTTTTTGAAAACTCGTAGTTTTGCATATTTCTACAGTCAAACATCAAAAATACCAAGTCCTCAAAGCAGGTTATTTGCGTAACCCTTGCTCCTCCTTTTGACCTGACTTTTTCGCCTGAGTCAGGAGGCACTCCAGAATCAAATATTCGCAAAAGCCGTGGTCCCTCGGTCGCCATCTGACCCAAACTTGTCTTCTTCTTACTCATTTGTGCCACTAAAACCGCCGCTCTTCTAAGAGCTAATTTGCATGCGATCTTCCGTATTTGCCGTCGTTCTCTTGGGTAGCCACGTAAGATGCTGTCGAGTTGCTCCTTGCCGAGGGAGAGCAATTGCACGAACGTCAATGCCGTGGTATGCGCCACTTGCTGCAATCTTCGGTCGGCTAAGATGACGTCTTCACCCCAAACCGATCCGGGAACTAGCACTTTCCCCGCACGACCAACAGCACCTCGCTCTACTACGCAAAGCCGCACATATGGCATATTGATCTTCTCCTTCCGCGCAAACATCAGCACGTCAAAACCGTCAACGAGTTCCATCATAAACTGGGGACTACCTGTCAACGTATCAAGTTCTTGGGGTACTTAAGTTTATACGGCATTTGGCGGCAAGTAGAAAGAAATGTCCATCGTCATTGAGTGCAATTTGCCTCCTCCTAGATAGTTCAATAACGTAAAAACTATAATGATTGACCAAAATAAGGTTAGGTTTTAGGTTGTGGAAACACAAACTAAAACTCATAGGAAATAATACATCCCCTCAAGAACGACACGTCCTTGATCCACTGCGAGCTAGTGTGCATAATAAGCTCGCACTTTATTGATGGTGCCATGTCTTTCGACAGTTCCCTGCTCCGCAACAATCTGTGCAAATTCTGCGCTTCTCGCATATTTTCCCTCAACTTTCTCTGCAAAGCTGGTGGAACGTCGTTCTCCTTCATCATTTAGAGGTAGGGTCTTGGTGCTCGTGGACCCCGCTTTTTCTGCCTTTCTCCCTTAGGAAAGGCATAAAAAGCGGGAACAAAAGCACCTTTACCCTACCCTTAAATCATGCTATTCAACTGGTCCATGGCCTGTTCAAACTCCACTCGGACCGGATTCATATTCATAATCACGCTGCAAGCATTACCCATGACGTAGGCCCAGGAAAAAGAAGCGATGAACATCACGAGCACGCAGATGAGATACCTCGTTTCCGTTACTTGAGGAAAGCGGGAGGTGGGAGGTCAGGTGGTAAGGTGTGGTTAACTGATTTCGGTCCTCAGGCATTAGAGATTGACTCATTAAAGCTCCAGGTGGATAGAAAACAAATGACTGTATCAGTCACAAGCCAAGGTAGATTCCACGACGAGCTGTTGACTGAAAACAAGTACAAAAAAAAAGCAAGTACTCTTGCCACTGCGTTGGCGTGATATCCCCATATCCAATGCTCGTAATAGTCATCACCGACCAATGCAAAGCTATCAAGAAAACGACGAATTCATCACACGGGTCGTCCTTATGATAACTACGAGCATCGTCTGGGTTGTTTCCTGGCACGAACGTACTCCTAACCCATGAAGAGCCGTCCCAATCGTTGACTGTGGATGCAGTTTGGTGGTGACTGATCAAAGTCGTGTGCTTGTTTCTTACAACCAAGAACAGGCGTAATTCTTCACGATGATGATGTTAGTCGGTTCGGAATTGTCCTACGACTTCCCTCATAATCAGGTTGATTCTAGGGAGGTAGCACCAATGTGACAAAATGCGTCTCCTGAGTGAATTATGGTAAACAAGTAGATACATCGCGTCTGAGTGAATGGTAAACAAGATACATCTATCCCTATCTGGATTTGTTCCGCCTGGACCATCTCCGAAACAATTCGTCGGTCTCCCGGTAAACTCTAGGCCCGTTAGTCCCGATAATTAGAATTGTGTGCGTAAATTAAGGCCCAGCTTTCACTGGTCACTGAGGTTGTTGGTCACTGAGATCGAAGGGGATCCCTTCAGAGAACAGGGGAAAACACAGGGAGAACAACTAGAGGGGTAAAGGGCCCTTTTCTTTCAGCATCAGTGACCAATGAATGTCGACGTTATTAAGTAAAGTTCCAATTGTTTCAAAGACCAAAACACGAGTTCCTCGAAGCCATAACACAAGCAAGCGACCCAATGCGACAAGAGCAAAATCCCTAGGCCGAACTTCATCAACGCAATAGAGGCAAACGTGAGAGAAATATGATCCTGCCATCTCTTGAAAAGCCTAGAGGCCCTGAATATCCTCGCAAGCTTCATTAGTCGAAGTAACCGGAAGATGCGGAAAGTGCCGAGAGACTGATGTGGTCCGTGGTTCAGCATGATTCAGGATGATGATCATGCCGTGGGGTCGTTCAGGATGATGAAGATCGTGGTAGATTGAAGAAGTGTTTCATTGTAGAACAAGTGTTGATGGTTCATTGTGTAAACACACTTCTACAACGATGTTGATGAAGATGATCATGCTTTAGTAATTTGAAAAAAAAAACGATAGGATATTACTACGAATTTTTACAAGAAGAAGAACCTTATAAATAAACAATATTTGTATATTACCTCCCCCGACCAGCACGTGATCAAGTCATATGGTATGATCGACAGGAAGTCGATGATGAACCATCCCGTCAAGTACTTCCGGATGATAAGCCTTTGATCGCGCAGTAAAACCGTCCCTCGTCTTGATTTTTGCTCTACTTTGAGGAAAAACTGCATGATCATGTCCTTCAAAAATATGCCATCCACACACCGGTTGCATACCGCTAAAGCGGTTATGCCGCCTGTTAGAAACAAGTCACAGCTGCTCGTCTTTCTTGCTACTGAGGAATACTAGCCGTCTACAGTGGTCTCAGTGCCTCATCTTGCAGTCCGCGCAACAGATGACTCCACTGTTTAGCTTAGCTACTTACAATCAAAGAAACCTAGGTACTTATCACTGTAATAGAACTGAAACCTAAACCTAAGTACTACTTATCACTGTAATAGAACTGAAACCTCCTAAACCTTTCCTGACAATCTTCAAAGAAACCTATTATAAACTAGTTGTATAGTATCACTGTAACTAATAGAGATGAACTAGAAAAAAAGCATAAGCACGACCCGCCGCTCAACGGCAAGATGAACCCGACTTCGAACGGCGTGACGATGCAGGTGAAGAGCAACGCTGCCATCACCACTAAATCCCATATTCGCATGTTATTAGATGGGATCTAGCGGTCCGCACAGCATTGGATCGACGAGTCGAGGATCATAGAGATGTAGATAGGATAGTGCTGGTGGTGTATAGAGAGATGTAGATAGGATCATAGAGATGTAGATCTCAAGGATAGTGCTGGTAGTGGATAGTAGTCAAGGATGAGAGAGATATCTAGTGGTGATCACAGCATTGGGTAGAGACGTGTCATAGAGATTTAGTGCTGGTGGATAGTTACTGTCAAGGATGAGAGAGATGTGTAAACAGAGATGCATTATCGTCAATGTGAGATGTGTAAACAGAGATGCATCATCGTCAATGTAATAACCCGAATCGGATTGCATCAAACCGAAACATGGATTGCATCAGGAATCCCAAGATCCTCGACTCCTGTGAAGCAATGCAATGCGGGGATCCTTAATGTAACCCGCAGTCGGATCTATCAGGAACGCAAGGTTACTGCTCAACGCTTGATGAATCAACAACGCTTGATCTTGGACGCTCACCTGCTCCCATGATTCATATCCGTTTTTCTCTGCCAAGGCTTTGAGGTCGATTGTTCGCGGTTCCAGTTCGCCACCAATGCGACCAGTGATGAATTCGATTACCTCGTCGTAGTTTTCAGCAGGGATAGTTTCACAGCTTCAATGATCATGGGTAATGTTATCAATCCGAATAGCTTGCCTGAAGAAGTACCCATCAACAATGATTGTGATCAGTGGATGACAGAGGGTCACCACAATGTTGATGCGTATGCCCCTGATAGTGTCGTTCCTAACACCCGGAGAGGCGACAGGGTCTGACTCAATGATTGTGAAGAGTGGATGAATCCACAGAGGGTCACACACACCACAAACACGATGCTGATAAGGTTAGGTTAGGTTGTGAATCCTGCACATCAAAGCCCCCCGGCACCTGGCTTGATTCCGAGGATGTATAGTGATGAAAGAATGAATCCGCAGAGGGTCACACACCACAAACAGAATGTTGATTAAGAGTATCATTATCAGGAACAACTATAAATTTTAGTGTTGATCACGTCAATGATTGATAAGGTTAGGCTAGGTTGTGAATCCTGCACATCAAAGCCCCCCGGCACCTGGCTTGATTCCGAGGATGTATATTAACCATTAATTTTAGTGTTGATCACGTCAATGATTATCATTAAGTACTTACCTTCGCCTTCGTGCAGTCGAACAAACAGCATGTCTTCGCATTTCTCGGTGACGCGGGAAAGTCCCACGACATCGAACTACTCGTTTTGGATTGCTCTCTGCCGCAAAAGCGCATGATCTGCCGCACAGACCGGACTTTCGGTGAAGCATTCCGCGACACACTCGTCAACGGCGACCCCTGATGTTTGCTCAAATCCAGTATCGAAGGCGACCCCTGATGGTTTTGGTTGCTCAGCTCCGAGACGTTACTAGTACTGCGATTGTAGGCGTTCAAAAACCTGTTCGGATCGTACTTCGCTGAGGTCGAAGGAGACTTACTGCGAGACATGCTACGTCCTCCATTCTGTGACGTGGATCCAGACGAGCCTCCGATGAAGAGACTCGAGGTTATCCTGGCACCCGTTCCTGCTGGAAACAACAGATTTCGACCCCTCCCGTCCCCTGGGCCACCGGCGCTTCCGGTAACGGCGGAACCGGAGCTTTAGAGAAGAGTAGCCTGAAAAGCGACTAAGAAAAAGTACTAGTGAGTGTCCACTTGATTTAGCTACACCTTCGTCTGCTTCGTCCACTTGATTTAGCTACACCTTCGTGTAAAGTTGCAAGTGACTGCTGAGTGCAAAGCCAAGAACAAAGGGAACCACGTCCACGGAGGTCTGTATTCTAGTATAACTACATCTTTCATAACTGAAGCTACTTTCCGCAAAGCTATTTCCACCATTGTCTAGATCTTTCGACATCGGACTGAGGTATACCACATGATCTTTGTCCTTTTCCCCTTCCGCATCCGCTCTCACGCCTCGAGGACTGCATAAACTGCGTCCTCGAGCACTCGAAGGTGACGGTCCGACGTCCCGCGACCCGGCAACTGCGGCGGCAACTGCCGCCATTTCATTTCATGGTAGTAATGTATGCTTGTTGTGATTGTGCGCGCTAGAAATTCAACTTTTTCCTTCTCGACGATGAGTGATGTTCTATTTTCTTGAGTATCCTATATCAGTGTATCGGGGGATAATGCTGCCGAAAATGAATAAAACGGACTCTCAGCTATAATCCTGGGGCGTTTACACCATTCTGGCTTTGCCTTTTCGCATTTGTCGCACTTTTTGCTCTGGTACTAGTTTTCATTTTCGTTTCAAAAAGACTCCTTTTTCGGCGCGTGTGCAGGGATGGGTGCTCTTTCGTCTTACCTCACGACTACCAGAAGATTGAGAATTCAACTTAAGCTTTTCCCGTTATAACCTACTTCCATCAAGCTTTTCCCGTTATAACCTACTTCCATCATCGCATTGAAGAACGGCGTTTTGTATCTTCGAACTCGGATCACCTGCTTCACCGCCATCCAGGTACTTATCTACTACACGGCCTACACACGTGTGCATCCTAACATATCTGTAAATCTCTAGGAGTGAAGAAATAGCCATTTCTTGGATTGGCTTCAACAGAGAAGTCCTCAACATGTTGTTCAAAGTCCTCTGAGTTGAATAAAGGTTCAGACCAGTCGTCGGTCTTATATGTAAAAAGTTCGCAAAACATGGCACTTTTCTAACCTCTAATATGGTCTAACAACATCAACATTGGCTAAATGTTAAAACTTCGGAGATGCTCCTGCCCCCCCCGCCGTCCCTGACCACACCAATTAATCTAGTGCGTGGTCGACCAGAATACACCAGAGATGGTGACGAAGTCGCACGATCCTATCTCCAGAACGCAACATGTTCATCTAGTACACCCTCAACACAGGTGCTAGAAGATGCTCTGGAAAGGTTTTTTCTTCTAGATGAAGAGGATTCACCTTGATCCCCCTTCTCTCACGCCGCTTTCTAGATGAAGAGGATTCACCTCTCTCACGCCGCTTTCCCCCTTCTCTTTTTCCTAGCTGCACCGCCATCTCCCGGAGACAACACTGGCGAACCTTTCTTGTTCTTCTTCGATATTTCCCGCTCCTCCTCCAGCAGTAAGGTTTGCAAGGCGCGCTCCCGTTCTTTCTCCCGTCTTTCGATTTCTTTTCGCAGAGGCTTAGAGACATGAGCGCACATCAACATAGCTTGTTCTTGTGGAGACTTGGTCACATTCTTGATGACATCATCTATCATGATTTTTAGAAAATAACAAAACATTTTTACACTTATTTCATCGTTCAAAAACTTACTGCAACAGCAGTATAATTCCATAATCTTTACTTCCTGCTGCGCTTGCTTTTGACGCAGCTGAGCCAGACGGCGCTTCTTCTCGTCTAATTCCTGTTCTAGATCACGGGCTTGTTTCTCTTGTTCTCTGGCACGACGATATTCAGCCAAAACTTCTCGAAAGAAAGGCGCACCTTGACCTGTGCGTAGTCGTGGGTGTTTTCTTTTGGAAAAAATGGTGATCATGTTTCCAAGTTGTATGACGAAGATCAAGTATTCATCCTGACCAGGAATTCCAAGTCGGATGATTAACAAGTTGTAGTTACAAATAACTATAGATGAACTTATAGTGTTAGGATTCACAACCTAACCTGATCCTAAAACTTGTAAATAGCTACAGTACCCGCTTTTATCCTATCCACCTCATCCTGCAAGTCTTTGATTTCTTGTCCTACTTCTTCCTCACAAGCCTTCAAGGATTCCCAGAAGTCTTCGGAGACAAGCTTAGATTTCCACAATCGGAAATATCCGGGTCGATCCTTTTGCAATTTAGCCATATTCTCGATGCTCTGCCGCATCACGGGACGAAGGCCGTTGACGAGAACGAGACCTGAGGTCAGATTTGGGTGTGTACTGATGTTCACGAGAACGAGACCTGAGGTGGGAGGTGGAGGTGGCTTTTTGAAGAAGGGCTCCTCGTGTATTTGTGTGAATCTCCAGGTAGCAAGAAGATCTATGCATACGCTTTTTCTGGTGATTCGACATTACTGCGATGGGCAAAAATTCAAAAGAAAGTACTAAGTATAGTACGTTCTTTGTCGTCTAGTCTTCTCATAAATATAGCTTCTGCTGCTTTTTTCCTCTTCGACTCTTCCGACTCTTCGCCACCTCCTGCACCTGCTTTTTCATCTCCCTTATTAAGAGCGTCATCTACCACAGCGTCCTCGTCCAGAGGTCCTTTCTTCTCTCTCAGTCTAGACTTCAACAATTCATAGGCGGCTCTTTCTTTGTCGGGAAATTGGAGCACATATTCGGTTTCCACGGCTTCCCGGAAGAAATTTAGCGCTACCCTCAAACCAACCCGTAAACGAATCCCGTTAAAGTACTGGAGCCAGAACGGGACTCAGGAGTACAGCCCGAGCCAGAACGGGACTCAGTACTGGAGCCAGAACGGCGCTCAGCCAATCACTACCAGCGCAGTACTTCAACGGGATCCACGTCAAGCCGGGTTCTGTTGAGCCTTAAGAAATCGGAGGACTGTTCTCTGCTGTTCAGAAAGCGAACCACAAGTCGGGCGATAAGCACAAAGCTGCAGAACGCACCGAGGTAAAGAGCGAACCAGAACATTTTTTCTGGAGATTGTTTAAGTTTAGCTTTTAAGTACGAAAAATCTTAGAATGATCAGTTGTAAGATTTCTAAAGATGTTACGAACAATGTAGTGCTTCTACTCGCATAGTTGTGATAATGAACTGAGGAGTGACACCTATTTTTCTGGTGCTTCCTATGATCAGCTACCTTGGCTTCTCATTTTTGTAGTATCCACCCAGTAGGATGTTGATTTCGTGAACACATTACTTGACTTTCAACGCTGGCCTGAGCACGCGTACAGAATCTAATTATCGTTGAAAACATCAAGAACATCATGTTTCTGATTGCGCGTTGGAAAAAATTTGAGGAATGTCAGTAAGTTTCCAAAATGTAAATGTAACCCCAAAAAGTCATCCCCCCATCCTTGTCAGATCTACATGCCACACCGGTAAGAGCTGTTGTGGTGTACACTTTTCCCTACAAAGTGGACAATTTCCATTTGCTGTTACCTGTTGCACTGCACATTCCCAACAGAAGACATGGCCACAGGGCATAGAAGTTGCCGTCTGCGGTGAGGACTTCGTTACCAGTGTCTCCGAACAGATAACACAAGCTGGATTCTTGTTGTAGTTATCATCCTGCTCCTGTTCAGTTGAGAGTGGTGAGATGAAAGGACGATATTCAACACTTCTTTCACTGGGTGAGAAAACACCTCCTCCACCTCCGAGAACACTTGTGCCGCTAATTCCTAGATTGTCTTGCTGCAGATCGTGGTCATAGAAAAGACTGTCTGTGGGAGAGCAATTTGGTCTCCTTCTCCTCCTAGGCTGCTTCCGTGTTGTGGCGATTTTTTCTGCGAAGGTTAATTCATTTCCTGCTGTAGTTCTTGTTCCTATATCTTCGTTCTGCCGGCCAAGGCTAATCATGCTCGTTATATTTCTTCTGTTTAAGGGGGGACGAGATAGCTCTTCTGGCAATCCACAATTATTGTGGTGCGTCGAGGAGGCTGCTCCGACGTGAAATACATGTTCCTTAGGTCCTATTCTTGTAGTACCATCTACAACTTCATCTTCTTGGAGTCCCACTTGTTGTAAGATGAATTTTCGAAGCTTCAGTATCCTCTGCAAAGCGACCAATGTTCCAAGAGCACGGAAAACTAGTCGTAAAGTTCTTGTAGCATCTGGTTCTTCTTCTTGTTGTTTAGCTGCGTTTCTTCTATTTTTTGATTGTAGTTGTTCTCTAGAACTGAAGTTGTTGCCCATCATCTCCTCCACTTTCCATCCGGGCTGTTCTTCTCGCAAGCTGCCCAGCTTCCAACCCCACAAGCGCTGTGCTAGATCTTGAGGCCCTCCAGTAAAGAAGAACAGACTCTGGCCTATGTCGCCGGCTGTTGCGAGTGCTTCTGCGAGTAGTTCCACCGAAAAAGCCAAGTGCGAAGTCGTTGAAAACAGTCCACCAGGTCGTCTTCGGGCCAAGCAGTAAGGCAGGACACGGGAAAACAAGGCTCGAAACACGAAGAAGCGCAGTCGTGCTGTACGAGTCTGACTTGTACTTGTAGAGGTTGGTGCAGATGTACCGCTTGCTGTGGTTGTAGTAGACCCCTCTACTTGTCCTGCTTCTCCGTTGACAGCAAAATAGGGAACCAAATCGCTCAGTTCCTCCCCAGGCGTTCTTCTTCCACAAAGTAGTATGAAATCTGCGAATATCCCTGAAATCAACTCGACTAGAGGACGATGGCGTTGGCAAGTGTACGAGTCATAGGCCTCGAAAGCTGCAGCACCGCGAAAAGTTAGGGCAGCTCGGACTTCGTTGTCTTTCTGATCAGCAAGAAGCACGTCCTGTTGAGAACCATCCTCGAGGAACATTTTTTAGACATGTCATTGAAGAACGAATAAGTTTACATGTCATTGAAGAATGAGACTACATTTCTTCAGGTACACACTCAATCTCAAGCGAAGGAATTTTGAAAGTCAAAAGAACACTGTGCGATGAAAATGAGTCTAGACAACTTCTCCTGCTATTACTAACTACACTGTACGACTTTTGGACGTACAATTACGTGGGATTTTGCAAGACCAATCTTGGACACTTTTTTCTCGTTCCTCGTCAACGTCAGAACCTCTTCGCTCTTATACGTGATCATCAGGAAGCAACCGCTTCACCAAAGACAGCATCAGAAAACACACACCACACAGACCACACCGTCGAGAAACTGTGAACGAGAAATAACTCTTGCTCGTATTTATTTTATTGATACAGTGAAACTTATAATACGAGAAGTAGAGTAGAGGTCTTGGGATACAATCTTGTGGTATAATCACTTGGGATGATATCTATGTGTCCGCCGATGGAAAATGTTGTTCCTCGTGTTGTTGGGATACTTGATAGAGGACTGTTGAGGACCACTGAAACAAGTGTGCGTGTGCCTGTGCGTCACCATGTGTCAAACCAAAAACTATTTCTGCCATACAAGAGAGCGATGCACGGCTCGCTGCTGTTTCAAATCCTAGAAGATGAAAGCAATTTCAATTACTGTCCCATCGGAGGGCCTCCACCTGGGCCGCCTTTTCCCGGAAAGCCCCCTTTTTGTTGCATCATCTGCATCATATTCATCATGCCTTGACCTCCCATTCCTGGTGGACCTCCTGGCATTCCGCCTGCTCCATGCATACCTGGCATTCCTGGCATTGGCGGCATTCCTGGCATACCACCTGGCATACCACCTGGTGCGGTCGGCATACCTGGGAAGCCTCCTGGCATGCCTCCTGGCATACCCGGGAAGCCTCCTGGCATGCCACCTGGCATTCCCGGCATACCACCTGGCATTCCCGGCATGCCTCCCGGCATACCACCTGGCATACCCCCTGGTGCTCCTGGCATACCTGGCATTCCTCCGGGTGCTCCCATGCCTCCCATAGACGCCATAGGCGGTGGGCCTCCTGGAGCTCCAGCAGGTAAGGCGCCTGGCATTACTGATTTTGACTTGCCCTGCTGCATCAATAGCATTTGCTGTTGCATCAAAGCCTGTTGTCCCACGGGACCGGCGGCAGTTGAGAGGGCTGTTGTGTTCAAGAGTTCGAATGGTTTGAAGTCACCAATGACTGTTTGCGATGAGAGCACAAAATCTTCTTAATACCCTAATCGAAAGAATGCTATTGAGCAAGCCCAAATAAGATGAAGCAGCTTAGCACAGACACAGTTCCACCTATGGAGAAAAAAAAAATCTACCAGCTCCCGCTTTTGCTGTGGGTGCTTTCTGTTGTTGCTTCTTTTTCGCTGCGGCGGCGGCTGCTTTTGCCGGGTCAACTTCCTTTTTGTTCTTGACAGCTGCTGATTTTACATAGACAATGCGTTCTGCCTGTTGCTCTTGTGGTGTCACTGTCACCACCTCACAACCTCGAAGCACTATGAGGCCTATCACTCGCTTCACCTCCTTCAAACTCGATTCGCCTTTCACTTTGTAACTGTTGTGGAAAAAGAAAGCAAGTTGTAATGTTGAGCTTAGTTGACAGAAGAAAAAAAAAATGAATGATGATGCTTTTCTTTGAGAAACGAAAAGAATATTTCTGAAAGAGAACAAGTACAGCAGAGAACAAGTAGATCCAGGTTTAGGGAAACAATAAGTAGTCTTCTTACTATCTCGTCTCATCGGCTTTGTGCAAGACTAGGTTCAAGTGTCTGTCGATGCCCATCAATATCCCTGTCCAAATCCGGTCCACGCACTCAACTTTGACCCTCCAGTTAAAGTACTGCGCGAGCTTCCTTCGCGTCGGACGTGTCTTACCCATTTTTTGTGATTTCTGAGGAAGAAAATATTAAACTAAGTAAGTATTTAGTAAGTATGATCATGTGAGAGTGAGTTTGAGTTTGACTTTGGGTTGTTTCTGCTTCTGGTCGTAAGAAATTTACGAATTCAACAAAGTGATGCCATCAAACAAGAAACAATAACAATCTAGCAAAATGATCTTCAGCCCAACAGGAAAAGCAACAGCTATTACTTGTGCACTACTGCAACCAGCACTTCTAGCTGTAGTACAACGAAACCACAGTCGTGGCACCTGTTTTCATAGAGCAGAGATTTCAAGATCGTGGCAATGCTGTTCGTGTCAAAAGACATGCACAACATGGTTCCTGTCGTCAATGACAGACCTGGACAAGAAGATCATCGCCATACCGCAAGACAAGAGGATCGCTGTTTGAAGACGAGAACCGACTTGTTTTTCGCATGATTCAAGAGATGCCACGTGGAGATTCAACACCGCGGCCTGCCGGCAAGAACCTACTAGAAGCTAGAATCAATCTCTGAAGATGAAGTTCATTTGCTGTAGACCCGATTTGAACAACATCGAACGAGAACCAAGACACAAGGAGCCAGCTTAGAAGCGCACGACCCTCTGCGTAGATTTCCATTCCCAAAGAGATATTGTACATCTGTAGATTCGTGTTGCTTACGTTGCTGATTCCATTCATTTGCAGAAGTACTTAGTTGTTCCTGACATGTTTATTCCGATTCTGAGATCTACTTCTAGTTCTTCTAGATCCGAATTTTGATGTCGAAGGGTGATGTGATGATTCGTCCATACTTAGTGATAGAGAAGGGGTCCAAGAATTTGCTCAACCTAGTAGAGGTCCAATATTTGAATTTGTCGTAACTGTTTGCTGTAGTAAGATGTTTCCGAAGTGTAACATTGTGATTTTGGTCTGCGTTCTACTAGTTTCGTTTGAATTCATTAACTAGACTTTCATTAACATTGCATGTATCTTCGTCGATAGAGCCAAGTGTAGATTTACATTTTTCTTACAATGCTTGTACATTTCGATCCCTGCTTTAACCTTTGGCTTTGTTTTTGTCAACGTTTTTCAATAGAATTAGTCTCCTATGAATTTTCGTGATTCTATAATGAACCAACGCTTTCTGAGGAAAAAAGTTCACTCATACATCAGATTTCTCTGTACATCTTAAAATCAATCGTACAGAGATAAAAAGTTTTCACTGAGAAGTGCCAATCATGATTAGGCATGCCTGCGTGCGTCCCTATTGCTGTCTTTCCTGATAGCCATAGAGACAAGTTCTGAAAGTGCGAGTGGTTACGCCGTTTCTTCACTACTGCTTACTTCTTCTTCGACCAAATCTCCTGCTACCATTTGTTGAATAACTTCCCCAGGGCCAAACATCTGTCGTTTTCCCTGCGCTATCTGCTTCGGCTTGATACCAGAACCAGAGGTCACATCGGACAGACGGCCGATTACTAGATTTTGGCTTCTGCTTTGAAGGTAGTTAGAACGAGATGAAGCAGTTGGCGCACCCCACAATCCTCCAGGGACGCCTGTAGAGGTTGCTCCTTGGGTTGTAAAAAGGTGAACAGGTCTCTGCTGAATACCTCTATTGCTTCCCCACAAGGCGCTCGTTGGCGCCGCTGATGTTGAAGAGAAAGTACTAACATTCGTGTTTGCTACACTTCCATCTTGTGCTGGCACATGACTACTACGTGAAGTCGTTTGACTACGTGAGGAATTCAGCCTAGACGCCTGCTTTAGCTTCTCAACTTTCTGCAAAACACGCGGATCGCTACGCGCTGGCACTTTATGTGGTGGGCACACGTTTGCATCTGAATCCGAAGTTGGAACGAAATTTTTGAAAATCGGAGCAGCACGCGGGCGCAAAGAACTACTAAACAGAGTCTGTTGTTTCGTGTTTTGTTGCTTCATCTTGTTTTGTTGGGGTAATCGTTCATCTTCACGACCGTCGATCCCCGAACGACTGAAGTGCAATTGTTGAGAGTCCACCTCTACTTCTGGTTCCACATATTCCATAGTGTTGATCTCTTCAGCCGCATCAAACATAGCGCTAACACGCATCTTATGCAGCCTCGAAGACAAACTCTTCATCTGCTCTGACCCCAGCTTCATAGAAGACAAGCCCCCTTTCATCTGTTGTAGCTCAGAGGCGGATCGTGCCGAACAAGAACTCTCATCACATGGTTCTGAGAAATAGAGGGTTTGCTGTCGAGCTGGAGCCCCCTTGTTCGCAGCTGTATCTGCTGCTCCCGCTGCTGTGGTGGAAGTTACCTTGGCTGCCTGAGCAACCTTTGCGGTGGCAGCAGTAAGTTGGGCCTTAGCAGCAGAAGTAGTAGCTGCTTTGTTAGCTGCCGTCGAAGATGAAGCTGATGCTTCCTTACTTGCAGACTTGTTCCTGGCTGCTCGAGGGGTGGCGTTAGCTTCTTTAGACCCTGCCCTCGAACCTGCTTTTGATGTCGCTGTGGCTCCTGTAGGCGGTTCTTTGATCCCTGTGGATCTATTTGCCTGCACTGTCGCATCTCCTCCCGAAGTATCTTTAGTCCATGACGCCTCCATCTCCCCTACACCGCCAACCTTCATAGACTGGGACCTTTTAAACGGCGACTCTGGAGACCGTAGAGTCTCAGGCAAACCTACTTTGACCGACGCTCTACTATGACCAGCTAGAGGAACGTCCTGAAGATCTTTCGCGCGTACCACTTCTGGCGAAGCCGATGAGTCCCGTTTGTTCTTCTCTGCAGCGATCCGAGCGTTGTCCTTAGCTAGGATGTCAGCTACTGAGACACGCCTGGCTTGAGAGGAGTCTCTCAACCTTGCTTGCATATCCTCCATGTCCGCAGAGAGTAAAGAAGCAGCACTAGAATACCCTTTTGCAGCTATAGCATCTGCAGTGGCTGCTCTTGCACCAGCACCAACAGCAGCAGCAGTGTCCGTATTCGCACCACCCGAGTCAGTGTTAAGAGACGTTCCAGTGGCCGACAAACGAGCTTGGATCAAACGATTCACAATACCGTCAGCATCCAAATGTCTTGCTTCCAGAGTCTGGAGTCTTTCCTCGATCTTCTGACGGTCGCGTTCTCTAGATGCTCGTCTTTCTTCTCGCTTCTTAGTGGCCTTTTGCTTTGTTACTTTGCCGTTCACAGATTCGTATAAGTTGTCCGCAGACTGGAGAGCTAAGACTTCATCCATCATATCGTGAAGTTTGCGCATATCAGCGTTTAGTTGTTCCCAACTGTCGTTTTCCTCCTCGTCTGTTTGGACGCCATGCCGCAATTTTTCCTCTTCCGCGAGTTTAGAGGCTAAGCGATCCTGCAATGACGTGATGCCCTTTTTGTACTTATCCCTAGTCTTGTTGTTCTTCTCCTTGTCTGTTTCACCGTTGGAAGTAGCGGAAGAGGGGTCGATCTCTTCAAGTTTCTTGCGCTCAACTCCGTCATTTGCGAGCTGCTGAAGTTGGGCTAGCTGCTTAAACAAGGCCTCGCCTTCGGATCCGCCCACGAATTCGACGGTTTTGGTTTTCTTGACAGAGGACTTGTTATCAGCAGCAGAAGGGTCTTTTTCGCTGTCGCCTTGTGCGTCTTCAGAAGGCGCAGAGGCTCCAGCATCATCTGTCTTCGTCGCAGCTGCCGCATCTCCAACGACATCCTCTTCTACTTTGAGCTGCTCCATCAGATTTTGAGCATCTGAAGACAATCGACGCCAAACCTTCTGTGTGTCTGTAATCGGCGCAAAACCTGCTTCTTCCGAGCGTAGGTCTAAGATTTTGGCCTCTCCTGAATCTTCCATGTCCTCCACCAACTCTTCCAGGCTTCTACGTCTTTGCAAAGGAGATTTACTAGGATTCGGTGACATCCCCAGACCTTTGCGAGCTAAGATTTCCTCTAGCTTCTTCTGATCAGCCGCTAAGCGGTCTACCATGAGTGGTCGACGTCGCAATTCCTCCGGAACGTTGTCTTTATTAGTCGCCATGGCACTCACTCTCCGCCAATGCCTGCAGATCCAGCGAACAGAACGTTGGATGCGTTTTTCCTTTTCGTATCTGTCAACTGCTGCTGCCTGCCTGCGGATATCCTCGAAATCTAGGACGCTAAGCCAGTTGACGGGAGACCCACCCCAATGCGTGAGGTCTACTTGCTTTTTATCACCAGTGATAACTGCACCTTTACTAGTGGAGGAACCAGATGATCCATCCAGAGCACCTTTGTTCTTTCCCTTACTAGAATCCGCAGAAGCATCTTCATCCTCGTCGTCAGCACCAGTCAGCGTGGTATAAAACCGTTGAAGCAAACTGCGGCGTTGGCCTTTTTGAAGTTCGATTGAGGTGCTCTTTGTTTCCTCAGCACCTGCTACCCCTGCCTTTGGAGACCCGTTCTTAGACTTTTTGTCCTTCTTCAGGCTATCTTCCTCTCCTCTAGACAATCTCTCCTTCCTCGCCACAGGATGCTCGTCCACCTCATATTCCGTCCAGCCTTCGTCCACCACAAAAGCCCCGCCAAAGCCGTCCATCTGCGATCCTTCTGCACGCGGCATCGCGAAGGGCTTCAATTCCGGAAGGTCAGGTGGCAGTTCAACATCCGGATTTGCCTTATTCGAAGCGCTCGTCTCTCCTTTTCGCAACCGCGCATTCGGTGTCACAGTGTCGTCGTGAGCGACGTCGAGACCTCTGGGCCACGTGGACTTCGCCCTCGTGTTACTATTCTCTCGTGGAGAAAGTAAAGATGCGCGATCTACTGCAGTAGACGAGCGAGTTTTAGGAACACCATCTCCGTCCTCAACTTTGTTGTTGAAAACCAAACTAGTTTGTTCATCTCCGTCCTCATTTTTGTTGTTGAAAACCAGAGTAGTTTGTTCATCTCCGTCCTCAACTTTGTTGTTGAAAACCAAACTAGTTTGTTGTCCTCGATCAGCCAGGATCGGAGGAGTCATTCCCATTCCAAGTCGTCCTTGTTCTCCCACTAAGCTTCCTTGTTCGGCTCCTAACTTCTGCTCCAGAACCGCCAAATCGAACGCGTCTCTTGGTTTCCCAACGGGCGCCGGAGCACCCTGGAAACTCCGACGGATTACGCGATCTCCTAAGCTAATCGCTCCATCCTTCTGAGGTACTTTCCCTGCCCTCAAAGGCGTCGCGCCCATCTCCATCGCCTGGAGATCTTCCGTTTCTAATCGTGCATTCACCAGTTTAGAGGCCCTTCCTCCAGGTCTCGGATCGTAGACGTCCTCTTCCTGCATATCTCCCGGAAATTCCTCGTTGAAATACCAGTGGCCAACACTTTGACGAACTTTCATGCCACCCATACCTGGAACACCAGCTACAATACCAGGGCCTCCCGGACCACTTGCTCCTCCTCCAAGAACAAGTCCGGCAGGCGCTTCATGACTTTCTTCATTTGTCATAACCCTAGTCTGTGTGTCCGCGTCTTTCTTGTTGGACTTTTGTTCCTGGATTTTGTACTGCACAAAATGCTCCGCAGCGAAATGGAGCACGCTAGGATCCCGGATGCGGTTGTCGTCGTAGCGGAAAAGCAGCTGCTCCAACTCACTGTGCGAAATGCCGGCTTCGTGCATGAGGCGGACGTCACGGATACGAGGGTCTTCGGGAATGCCTGGTAGTGGAGCAGCTTCATGGATGGTCGAGGAACAAGTAAAGAATAGTCATCAACGAGCAGCGTGAAAAACGAGAAATGGATAAATTTTGGACACAGAAGAACGCTGTAGTTATGCAGTAGGTATCTTCAATAAGTAGGGGGCGAGGATTATATATTGTTGCACGGGACAAGCCTAAGTTTGTAGGGGGCGAGGATTATATTTATATAAGACGTATATTAATTGTATTTTTTACGCAGCCACAGGCTAGAAATTAAATATATATAAGTACCTTTGCTCGATCCAGCTCCCAATCTTGCTTGTTCATCCTCCTTCTTCAACAGTTCTTCATATGCTGCGACTTTTTTTAAGAACAGCAAGTCAGCACGTTTATCGCGGTCTTCTAGCGTCTCGTCCACTTCCGGCGCACCCTCTGCCAAAGCGACTTCGAAGTTCAACTTTGGCGGTGCCCGATCCGGAAAAAGCACGGAGGCACGACGTCCACCACGAATGATGCTACGACTACGACCTGGAGCAGGGAGGGGGTCGTTGCAATCTCCAGCAGCGTTACCTTCTTCGCCTTCATCTGCGTCAATGGGGGATCCATCTTCACCTTCTGTCTGCACAATTCGGGCATTGCTTCCTCGGGCCATAGTCCTCATAGAAGCTCGCTTGCCAGCAGCACTGGGAAATATCGCATCGACTAAGCCACCGCCGCCTCCGCTTTTCAGGGTATTGCGGTTGATAGCGCTAGAAGTTCTGCTATTGCCAACGCCAGGAGGTGGCGAGGCTCCGGCAGCAGCCACAAAGTTTGCTGTCATGTTGGTCACACCAGTAGGTATGAGCAATCCGGATTCCGGATCCACCTGAGGCTGTTGCTGCGGTGGAGATCCGCCAAGACTGCTCCGCCAAGACTGCTGTGGAGAAGCAGCGCCTCCGAGTTGTCCCAATGCCTGGCTTTTCCGACTTTTTCCTGCCATTGAAGACCGCTCCATGTGAATGTTACCTAAAGAACTGTTCCGTGTTGGAGGCACGCTTGTTGCCCGAATCGCATGTTTGCTGTTCGGCACCGCAGCAGGACTCAAACCCGTGAAAATAGGGTTTCCGAGTTCTTCTGCGATAGAAAACGGCAGGTCCCCGTCAAATCGCTCTCCGAATCTGAAATTCTCGTGGATTTGAGCATCTTCCGCGTCCTTTTGTTGCTTCGCACGATATTCTCGCCAAAAGGTATTGGACGTAGCGACCATTTTCCCGTAAAAGTTCGTACCCAAATCTGGAGGCGGTCCGAAAACTTGCCTCATGCGCTTCTCCTCCGGACTCGTCTCCTTCAGAGACTGCTTGAGTGGTTTAGTTACGTGTCGAGACAACTCCTCTAAGTGTGCGGCATTGTCCTGTTCTAGAGTCTTAACTTTGGAAGACAGGCTTTCAGCTCTATCCCACACACTGTCTAGCATCTTAGACAAGGCTTCGGTGTCGCGTTCGCGTTTCAACATGGGTAAGACCTTCTTGAAGTTCATAGAAAGCAAAGACGGTCTGCGATTGCCGTTGTCGTCAATTTCGCCTGCCCTAGTAGGGTTCTTCCCCAAGGGTGCTTCTGGCGCGGCATCCAAAGCTTCTTTCAGCCTCTCAAAACCTTGAGGTAAGGCTCTGATCAACAACTTTCTCAATCGCTTTACTGGTGCTTGTCCGTCTTTGCCAACGCGAGGAACCGAAGCGGACTTCTTAGGCTTTCCGTTGGCATCGAACCCTCCATCCTCTTCCTCAGAGGTAGTGAATTTTTCTTCGTCATCCGGATTACCTCCAGACAGTCGCTTCATGTTGTCCTTGAAGGCCTTACTATGGGCTGCTCTTGCTTCCTCCCAGCCATGGGGCACCGGGTGATGCGCAGTGACTGCCAGGCTGATCCTGCCAGGACCGGTGGAGAGTAATCCACCAGGTGAAAGTTGAGCAGTCTGCTGAGAGGTACGAAATTGGCCTAATACTGGTCTACCTCCTGGAGATCCTGGAGATGGAGATTTCTGGAGAGCAATTGAGGTTTTCTTCTTGTCAGGCTGGAACATAGAAGTGGAAGGTGAAGTCACAGTATTAGGATTGTTCCCATTAGAAGCCTCCACGGATGTTCCTTGTTCCCCATTCGGACCCGGCGACCGTCCTCGCACGCTTTTACGCTCTTTTTTGCGTTCTAGAGACTTCAAAACCGCGTTCAATTCGTCTTCGGACAGGTCAGCGGCTAAGGCTCCTAATTTGTCTTTCACACTCGCCGCCTTCTTTTGCTCAGCTTCTTGTTTCGCCTTAATCGCTTTTTGTTCCGCATCCCGGTTGAAAACTGAACGACGAGAAGCAGCACTTTCTAACACCTTTTCAACAAAGTCGTCGTCAGCGACTGTGACCTTAGGAGCTTGACTTTTACGCGTCAAAGAGCCACGAGGACCAAGCAACGGGCCAGGTGGAGGGACGTTGAATTTCCCAATCGTAGGTCGCTCAGTAGGTGACTGCGATCCGTCGTTGTAGTATAGCATCACTGGGCCTCCGATACGACGGGACCCACGCGTACCTGGAGGACTCTGAAGATTTGTAGGTGATCGACCACGTGCTGGTTGCTCTTCAAATTGTTCAACAGAAGTTCCAGTTGATGTATTCTTGACCAACTTGGTCTTGTTTTTTTGCTGCTGGCCCAGACCGACCTGCTCGCTGTACCCGATGATCTGCTGCAAATAGGCGTTTACGTTCGAGGCAGAAGTGTCGGCATCCAACAAGGCCTTCATGAAGTCCTCAACGCTGTCGTGATCCACGTTGGAAGAACTGGAACTGGAACTTGTGTCGTGGTCTCCTCTGTCCAAAGTAGAGGAGTAGAAGAGCTGTGGTGACTTCTTTGAGGAGCTTGCTGAAGTGGAGTTTTTCATGTTCCTGGAAGCGGGACTTGTCTTCTTACTTCTCTTACGTGGTCCTCCATCTGCGGCCCCTTCGCCGTCAATTATTCGCACAACTTTTCCGATAGCTTCTGGCTTTCCGAGATAGAGATTCTTAGGCCGGAGAGGTGATTTTTTCTTTGCTGCTGGGCTCCTCTTGCGACCACTGGTACCACTACCATAACGGATTTTCCCTGGTTCTGTGACGTCATCACCTTGTTGAGGATTTTGACCTTTTGAGGATCGTTTCTTCTTTGACGAGAGAAGAGGAGAGCGCCGCTCTGCAGAACGGTCTCTAGAGGGCGCACGTTCTTTAGACAAAGCCCTCTCTTTGCTCCTTGCCTCTCTTTCAGCTTCTCTTTCCTGTCGTCGCTTCTCGTCCTCTCGAAATTGACGCAAGTCACCCGCTTGTCGCCTACCCTTGCTGCCTCGATACACTTTTTGGACTGACGTCGCAGCACTCGATCGTCTTGCTTTATCTTCCGACACCCGCTTTCTCGCCAGCCTACCTCTGTAGTGTTTCTGAATGTGCACGATCTGTTGGTGGCGCATTAATTGGCGTACTTCGTGTTCCTTTCTCCGGAATTCCTCCTCCGCTTTTTTATTGGTTGCGGTGAACATCATCAAAGCGAGTGCATTCGTGCTGCCCAACTCACGACGCGCTTTCCTGTTGCGGACCCATCTTTGCAACAGCGTGGCCGCGTAGTTTCTTCTAGCCTCATAGAGTTCCCGTACACGTTGTCGGGCTTCGCGACCCCGATAGGCGGCTTGGATCCAAGCGGCGACTTTATGCTTTTGCCGCACTAGTTCACGATCCCTACCACCTCTGTAAACAGACTGAAGCCGTAAAGCAGCTTCGTTGCGGTCGTCGTCGTCATAGTCGGCATTCACTCCAGGAAACCAATCATGGAATAACAACGAATCTTTGTTGTGATTCACCTTCGGAGAGCGCGTTTTCGAATGGTCCATCACAGGCTCATCTAATAACGCTTCCTTGCCTAGTCTCGTGCACAGTTTCGGGTTCAACTTTCCATACGAAGTGACATCGGACAAGATGTTGTCCTCGCTGATCTTCACTTTGCCCGCGCTGTTGAAGTGGCTACTGCGACGACTGTCCGTCGCTCCAGGGTCTCGGATGTCCACGCAAATACTAGCTGAGGCAAGACCAAGCGTTTCCTCACGTCCTAGGCGGATGGGCGAGACTTCTGCCAATTCGACTGTGGGTAGTTCGATCTTGCCTTGCTTGATAATCTTGGACGGCTTGCCCAATGCGCGGCGCGCCGCTTTGTGGACTTTGTATTCGCCTCTCAAAGCTGGCTCGGCCAAAACGGGCACCGGCATCTGCTCTTCCGACAACAAACGACGTTGCCCACCTGGCAGCAAGCTTTCGTCCACTGGTACTTTCAAGTCGCCCAATTCTAACACAGAAGACACGTCCAATTTCGGTTTGTCCAGGAATTGACCGCCCAAAGGCGCTGCCCTCAACACCGCAAAGGGAGACACACACCCCAAGGTGTTCTTCAACTCGGGTCTTACCTTGATAAGGCCGTCAACGGGATCCTTACACAGCGGTCCCTGCAAGTGATGCTTACCACCGCCTGAGGAAAAAGCGTCGGCGCCTGTATCTAGGTCCTTCTTCACGTGGAGATGGTATGCTGCTGACGCCAGTCCTAGAGAAGCTTTGTTGCCCAACCGTGGGGTCGACGCCACATTGATTTCCACTTTCGGCAGTGGTGGCGAAGGAGGCAAGATTCTACCAGCGCTTTCGTCTGCCATACGAATGTCCTGCAACGTGAGTTCTCGCCTGTCCAATCGTGGTGTAGTTAAATGTGGCGCAGCGAAAATCTCTGCAGGAAGAGGCTGACATTCCCGACCATCTTCTCGATTGCGAATAGAAAAATGCGATTTTACCAATGTCTCGTAGTCGTTTTTCTGAAAACTGAACTCAAACGGATCTGCACGACCCTTGACATAGTCCCTATTGTTCGCAGCAGCTCTGTTGCTGCCATTCCCTTGCTTGAAAGGACTGATATTCTGGGCCTGCACCAACGGTGCTTTGGGATCGAAATTTGGTGGTGCGACTAATTTTCCAGGATTTCCAGCAGCTAAAAACATGTCTCCACTATTGCTAGCAGCCGCACTGCGGTTTGGAACATTAAAAGTGCTCAGAGGTGGAGCAGTAAAGCCACCGTTCATGTAATCCCCATGAGGCAACGGCTTAGTACGAACATGCGGAACATCATCTTCTTCATCGTCATCATCTCCGTCTAAAGGTGCGACGATGCTGCTGTCAACACGTAGAGCTGTTTTACTGCCAGATTTGGAAAGAAATGTAGTCGTGGACGCGGTATCCTTCTTCGCTTTCGCAGCAGCTGCAGCTTCTGCGCTCATCGCTGGGGTAGAGGCAGCGCCATTGTAGATCTCTTGAAACATCGAGAATAATGTGCTTTCTCCTGCTTTCGGTTTCTTTCCCAAGACACGATGATGCTCTTTCTTCTGCGTAGTAGATGCTCCTGCTGCAGTAGGAGAGAGAGAAGCTCCTGTTGTGCCACCAAGAGTTCGAGTACCAACAACTGCGCCTCCAAGTATAGGAGATCCAGCATTCTTAGCGCCTCCAAGTATAGGAGATCCAGCATTCTTAGCGCCTCCAAGTATAGGAGAACCTGGCAACCTAATCGCAGAAGTTGGACTTTGTTGTCCCGCTTTTGGCGAGCCACCAAAGGGCTTACGGCCATGGAGGATGTCGTGGTCATCGTCAGCATCTGATTCTGCATGAAACCCCAAGGCGTGATCAAACCAAGCTGACCAGCTCTGGAACTTCCTTGTTTCCCCAGGCCTCGATTTCGCATTCATTCGCACGCCTTCTAGCAAGTGGATCTTTTGATCCGAAACATGCTTTGCAACAGCATTATTGAGTCCAGGCAAGGGAGCGGCCAAGCCCATGATGTTATCGCGTGCAGTAGGGTCCATTTTCAAAGGATCTTCTTTATTCTTTCTCTTATCTACTGGGTTTTCGAATATGCCACCCAATTCGAAATCCAGATCCACCGGATCAAGAGAAGCTGCAGCTTGAAGTAAGCCACTCCAAGACGGCCTTTTAGCTCCTGGAGCTGCAAGAGCTTTCTCATGCTCTTTCTGGTCCATAGCAAGGAGGTCGCGCAATTCCGGAGATTGTAGCGGATCCTCACCATCATCAGAACCATGATCATCCTCGGTGTAATCCTCAGGTGGTACTTTCACACTGGTCCGGACCTTCCGCATTCTTTCAGGATGATCGTGAGCAGCAACTTCAGGGGACGAAGCAGCTGCTCCACCAGCAACAGCATTTGCGAGAACGTCCTCCTTGATGTGTTTATGCTCGTGCTGATGGCTATCACCCAATAGCTGGAAATAATGCTCGCGCTCCCTCAGCATCTCTTCATCCAAAAAACCGTTAGACTCCTTGATGTTCTTTTTCAACAGTTTTTCGGCTTTGTGCTTGGCTTTGTGCACTTTCTTCTTGTATTCGTGGATCAATGCTTCGTGCTCATTGTTGTGCGCGCGCTTGTCTGTGATCGGCAGTTTGCTTCTCGTTTCTAAGAGGCCTTCCAATTTTTCCAGAACCTTATGGAGTGCATCACGACGCTGCAAGCTCTTCTGAGACCTTGCGATATGGGCACTAATGACTGTGTGGACTTTCTCATGATGCTTGGGCTGATCCGGGACACGGTACTTGGTTTTCTTACCATCGTCATCGTCATCGAAATCATCATCCTCGTCGCCATCTTGATCTTCGTCAGCAGAGTCATCCATTGACAAAGTAGACGCCTTTGACTGCTTGGAAGCCGCCAACTTAGCTTTGTTTTCTGCCTTCATTCTCTCCCGCTTCTGCTTCTTGGCGCGTTCTTCCGCTAGCTCTGAGTTACGCGAAATGATGTCCTTGGCCGCTTGTAAGTGCCTCAATTTGCTACTCTCGGGGACCTCAAGTTTCGGCATTTGCAAAGCTGGTTTTGGAAGACCGACATCTATAGCATAGGGATCGTCCACATCGTCGTCGTTTTCAGAAGTGTCTTGCTCGTTATTTTGCTGATGACCGGAAGCATGCACAGAATGATGCGAATGATGGCTCCCAGAATTATGACCATGTTTCGAATGATGCCCAGGGTGATGTTGATTTGCATGCTCGTAGATGACTGGGGGTTGACCGTAATCGCCACTTGCTTCCCACATAAACAATGGCTTAGGACCTCCCACAGGCACTGAGGTAGAAACGCCCGTCATTGGAGGACTTCTGCTCATGGAATTCACGACAAACATATCATCAGAGGAAAAGTCTTCGGTGCCGGAAGAGTCGCCGTCCTGTTCGTTGTGGGTGTTGGAGCAAGCTTAACTAGAAAAAATGATAGTCAAATCGAAAAAAAAGGAAATAGTTGTATCCACAAGGTAATATCACTGTACGAGTAACAGTATGAGAAAAATTTGAAGTATCACAACATCAAAACCGATCAAGTACATAGGCGAGACAGCATTGGATGAATAAATGACAAACTAACAGGCACCAGCATTGTATGAATAAATGAAATACTTTCCGCAACACCGAAGCATGAATCCTCACGGGTGCTTTTAGAATCCGCTTGGGTGCCATTTTGGGGCTCTTCTCGGCCAAGACGCGCACACGTCCGTCAGGACTCACAACGGCAAGTGGTTTTTTTTTCGACGTCGACATGGTTCTTGGTCTTGGGTTGGTGCTGGTAGATTGATTTTTGCAGAACAAGGAGTAAATTTGGATTTAGATCATGTGTAATGTCTTTCATCCGAATGAAAAGTGGATCACTAAAGGTGGATTCTATAGGAACAAAGGTCTAGTTTGATACGAGAGGAATAAATGGAGTGGGACGAGGGAAACAATTCTCAATGGCTGACGAAAAATCAAAATCATAGCTGATCAAATAAGAGTTGGAACACCGGCACTGGAATACCTCTCTCCGACAGACTTGTTCCGCCACAGAGACCACTACAGGCACAGACCACGAGAGACCACTCAAGACGACTCTACTTAATGGAAGTCCTCAAAGTTCAAGGACTTACTTCACTCTCTCTTAGACAGACAGACTACAACTTTGTCCAGATTCAGATTCAGATGGGGTCCTGCCTCAGCCAGTATATACACGCACCAGGACAGATTATCATTCTCGAGTCGTTCTCTATATTTGCTGGTTTTAGATGGTTCCAAAATTTTTTTACAGTCAGACTACACTTGAAGCTTTTGACTCAACTGCTTCTCGTGACGAATCACAGATACTTCAGGGCACTCTTACTGTCTCTTTCAATAAGTAACAGATATATTGTTATAGAGTTGTTTCCCAGTTCTCCGATGTAGTACAGATATAAGACTCTCTCTGAACAACTGCTGCTGAGACACAGAATAATTGCAAAAGATACGTGTTTCACGAAGACCTGGATCTCCTCAAAAGTACCTGTTTCTTAATCACTTTTGTAATTTGAGTGACTGAGCTGCCTGTTGTACAGAGCAATGGTAGTTGATTTTGGTGCCCTAGGTTCTGTGTAAAAGCTGCACTTGTAGTTCTTGATGTCCTACGAGGTAGAAGATACAATTGTAGTCAACAAGGTCCTCTCTTTGAGATCGTTCCTAAAAATTCAAATTTATGTCAATGATTTGAGTTAATACGGCTATTCCAAAGTGATGACAGTTGGATTGGGATATCTGTAGCCGAGACTGGGTTGAGTTTTTCAATACTGGATGTCAGTTTTACAGGTGGCATACAGAAGATGCTGTTAGTTAGATGTCAACAAGATCTTACAAATAAATAAGAATATAGACGTTCCAATAGACGTTCCAGATGTCGTGCATAATTGTCAACATTCGGTGTTTCAATGAATCAATGTGATATAACAAGTCGTGTCAATGATCAGACCAAACTCAAACTATGTATACTTGATAAGGAGAATACTCTTACTTAGCTTATTTAGTGGTTAAATTATAGTCCTTAGTCAGTACTTCTAGCCCTTCTACTAGTACTTCTACTAGTACTGCTGGTTTCTAAGACCTTGGCTTCTTCTTCTTGTCACCTTTTCCTTTTCCGTTTACCTTGTCCTTGGGGGGCGTCTTCTCGCCTGCTCCACAGCAACCAGCAACATTAGAGCCTCTAAAGCGAAATGTTGTACATTTGATGTACACATTCGCAAAGACTGAAATGACACATTGAAATGCGAATGTGCAAGATCACGGGACTAAGTACAGTACGTCAAAAACAGACTACAGAAGTGGAACCAGTCATACCGTTCTACAAGTACGCTGTGTCCAGGTGTACGATAAAAACAGACTAGAAGTAACTTCAGAACGCATGTGTGCGTCCCTGTTGTCAACTTTCCTGATGACCGTAGAGACGTATTGTTATTATTATTAAGGCGTTAAGTCAACTAAGAACTGCACAAAAACGGCCATTATTGTCGCCTCCTCGTCCTGGAAGTGCTTCGCTTGGCGACTTTTGCAACTTGCTCTCTCTTGGTTTTTCTGTCTTTTGGTTTCGTTTTATGTGATTCCCCGCGCCCCTCCAGAGTCCACCGCACCAGCCTGCAAATGTATGCTGGGGGATTCTGGAGGGGCGCGGGGATTTGGAGGGCGCCCGAGGTTCTTGGCTCGCAATTGGGTGAGGGTTTTCCAGAAGGGAGCGCAGTAGGCGGCGAGTGTTCTGCGGATTCGTATCATGCCCGAGAGGATTGAATTTTGTCCGGATTTTTGCAGTCCTTAGTTGAATTTTCTCCATTCTAACTCCACTTGTCTGTGGTCGAATTTTTCGCCATAATCGGAGAGGTTTGAGACACTCCGCCCGAGGTTCTTCGTTCGTGGGTCTTTTCATGTTGTTAAGTGTTCGACTTTTGACCACCCGGCGCCCCGAGGCTCTCGCGCCGGGTGGGGGTATTAATTAGGGAGAGCCTGCCCCCCGCTGGTGTTTTGTTTTCTGGGTGCGTGTGTGTGTGTGTGTGTGTGTGTGCCCCCTTCGATGAACGCCCGGCGCCCCTAGGCTCTCGCGCCGGGTAGGGTAACTACACAGGGAGAGCCTGCCCCCGCCGCCGCAGCCCGCGCGAGGGCGCTCGCCGCTGCACGCGCCAGGGCTTTGCTGTAAACACCCAGGGGCGCCCGCTGCCTCAAGCACAGCCAGGGGGGGCCGCACAGCCAGGGGGGACGCACAGCCAGGGGGGACGCACAGCCAGGGGGGACGCACAGCCAGGGGGGAACGCATCGTGAAGGAAGCCCGCCGACGCCGCCGCCGCCCGCATCCATGCGCAGGGGCTGCGCTGTGCACAAGGGTGCCGCATTTGTTTATGGGTGTGTTTTGTCTTTGTATTACTAGCGAAAAGAGCTGCACACTGTCAGGCAATTAAAAAAATGGAGCCGCGCGCGGGCCGGCCTGTGTCTGAGGGTGTCGCAGACCTGGGGGAGAGGCAACGCCGACGGCGTGCCGCGAATCTGCGGGAGGTTTTGAAGTCTGGTGGGTTCTTGTCGTCTGATTGTTGCCCCCTTCTCGGGGCAGATGGTTGCGCCATCTTCTTGGAGTTGTGCAACTTCATGAACCAGCCCGACACCAAGGCGGAAGAGAAAGAGACGATCATAAGGGCGCTGCCCTCAATTTCACGGGGAAAATGGGCCGCGTTTGCCTCGGTGTCTCGCCATGAGCCGGCTGACGTGAACAGCAGCAGCCCGAACAAGCGACGACGTGCGTCATCTGCTCAAGCAGTCGACCGCCGTGAGCGTGTTGCAGAAGCTTGGAAGAACCGCCCGGAGGTTGGCCGGGACAGTCGTGGGGGGTTTATATTCACGAGCCCGGCGACTGCTTTGGCCACGAATGTGGCAGCTGCTGCGGGTGTTTCTGTTTCGACTGCGATGCGGCACAGCCCTGCGAAGCGAGTGCCGAAGAGCCGGGACCTATGTGATTATTGTGAGAGGCTGAAGGCCCTCCGGGTGAGGTATATCCTGCGGGGTTCTGGGGTGGTTTCCTCTTTGGATTCCCAGCGACTAATCCGGGCAGAGGCCTTGGCATGTGAAAAGCCGGGGAAAGTGCCAGCGCAACACAAGGAGCTTTTTCAAGCTCTGGAAAAGCATGAAGCACTCGCGGCGCGCATACGGGAGGAGTTTGACGCGGCTGTGGCTTGTGCCAGCTTGACGAATGTCGTGGCCATTTTTGACTTCGCTGGTGGGGTCCGGCTTACTTCTAACCGGGGAACCAGCGCGGAATTTTTCAGCTTAGGGTCTACCCATGAGCTCCTTAGCGTGGTTATATTTTTCGGCGGAGTGGGTGTGAGCATCCCAGTGATTTCCACCGCAAAAGGCATGCGGAAGACGGGGCGCATTACGCTGCAATTTTTGGCCACGGCTTTGCAGAAGGTGCGGGAACTCTGTCCGAATATGGACTCTACTTCATTCTACAGCGATACGGCCCGGGGATTTCGTTGCTTGGAACTTGTTGGCACTATGCTATTTGACGGCCCGGGCTCTTTCTTGGGTTTTTGCTCGTCCGTATCTGTCAACTTTTTCGCCGAAAAACATGGGAAATCCGTCGCAGATGCTTTTATAGCTAGCGCGAGAGGGGTCCTGCGATGTTATGAACCGGGCACGCCACTGGAGCAGCTTGCTGCCAACTTGCCGGGTTTTGGTTTAGTCTTGGACCCCCGCGCAGAGCCTAAGAAGCGGCACACGCTTACCGTGCCACGCTTGACCGCGTTCCACACGTTCGCGCGCTATGGTGGCTGTATATATGTGGAGGGGAAGGAGATCGCTTCACCTAAGTTCTTGCTTTGTCTCATTGATGAGCCACTAGATGGCGACTCCTCTGGGGATGGGGAGGAAGTTGACGCGCCTGAAGGCTTAGAGCAGGGCCAGGGAAGTAGCCCGGGGGGCGATGTTGAGGGGGAAGATGATTCGCTGCTTTTAGAGCGTTTGGGAAAGAAGTTCCACTGGCGTGGCCAACAGGTCTAAACTAGGTTAGATAGTAATGGCCTCTACTTTTTCCAGTAGTTGCCTGAGTGCACACCGGTAGCCTCCTCAGCTCCATGAGTGTAGAACGTACTTAGACGGGCCGCGCGTGGGATTAGTTACAAGGAAGAGAGACACGCCGCCGCCTTTAAATGGTCAGACCCTTGAGGACGCGCGCCGCCGTGTGTTTGCAGATTGTCGGGGCGATTTGCTGGCGCTTTTCGCACTCTTTTGAAGTATTTCAGCGGGGAAGTTTGCGGGGGTTTCGCCGGAATTGAGTACGCCTCTCTATTGTTTGCCGCTTTCCTGCTCGCTAGGCATTTTTTGATGAAAAAACTGAAAAGATGTCTTCAGATTTTTTTCCAAAATTGGCCTTGCGAGCAGGAAAGCGGCAAGCAATAGAGAGGCTTACTCAATTTCGTGGCGTTTTTCGAGCTGGTTGCCGCTTAGTTTCTTGCATTTCGGGCTTTCTTTGTCGCTCTTCTGTTGGGTGCGTTCTAGTAGCATGCTGGTCGCCTTTTTTGTGGACTTCTGTAACCCCATGGGCGTCGCCATTTTTGCCCCTTTTTGGTAGGTGGTTCGTTTTTCTTTTTTGTCGGTTCGTTGCCAGCATGGCACCGAAGAAGAAGGAGACCATCGACGACGCCGTCGAGAGCTTCTTCGGAGGGGCTAAGAAGCATGAGGCTTCCAGCATTCTCACGCAGGGGTGCTGCGCTAAGGACGTGGTTTTCACTTGGAGCCACTCGGACAAGCCAGGCTGCTTGTCACCAATATCGAAGGAGGACACTCTTTCGCGCTTCAGAAGAGGGGTAAAGGCGTTCTTGGATGAGCGTGATAAGAAGCTGAGGGCAAAGATGTCGCCGGCTGAATTTCTGAAGAAGGTTAGTCTGGGGGTTTTTCAGGAGCCACACAAGAGTGACGAACTGCACCACCACACCTACCTTGGATTCGCTGGCCGCTCCAAACACACGGAGTGCGACATTGCTTTTTATGTTTGGGAATATCTCAAGAAGGAGGAGGGCACTGTCATGGATGCGCGACACTGCGTCATCGAAAATGTTGGGACTTTCAGCCACCGCATGCGGCTACTGAAGTACTTGATGGTTCCAAACGAGGGCAAGTTTATCATCGACTTGGAGCCGCTCCTCCTAAACATGGAGCTCCCGCGTCAGCTCTTGGATGATTAAGGCTACCGCTGGGGGGGGTCTAGGCTCGGTGAGGGCTGCCACCAAGAAAGGGCATCGAAGGTGGGTGCCCTCATAAGACCTCCAGGGCGGGGGTCAGCGTCTAAGTTTAACAGGGAAAGCAGATCTCCGGTCTCGCCCGGCGCCCCTGTAATCGGGAGGACATTTACTCTGTCGTTTCCAACCATCCACAGTTAGCGACGCTGAGTGACTTCTCCGCGTATATCGCGCAGAAGTGCGACGAGCACCAGGGCAAGGGCCTCGCCGCCATACCTTACCTGCGCATGTCTCGCTGGATCTCCAAGGAGGGCGAGCGAGCAAATGCGGAGTACAAATTACGGACAGTAGGCTCGCAGTGTATAGCTATAGTCCTTCATAGTTTCACTTCTTAGGGGAACGAAAATCAGCGGCGTTCCCTTCAGTCCGCTTAGGTCTTTTCTTGCTCTGAAGCCCTTGCTCGTTCTCGTCTTCTAATCCCCGCAATACATGACCGCGTCTTGTCGAATAACTTGCGGAAGGAGAGGATCTCCTTTCGCTTCTTTTACGAGCGAGCGGGCCAGCAGGAGTGTACCTGTGAGACGCCAGGGGAGTTGTGTGCTTCGTTAATCCAGGGCATAGATTTCCATGACGAAAAAGAGGTCTACGAAGATGGTGAAACCTCCAGGGAGAAAATTGGGCATTGGTTGAAGGCTGCGCTAGACGGCAAATTTCCAGACCGGGCGCGCGTCTTGTGTTTCTCTGGGGCGAAAGGAACTGGGAAGTCCACGATTATCAACGCCATGGAGGGACTATTCATGCCTCCGAGCAAGAGTGGGATACCGTATAACAAAGTGTTCTACTTCCGATTGAAAATCGAAGAGGACAAGTTCCCACTTGAGGGGATATCTGAGCATGCTATATTTCTAAATGCTAACGATTTCTCGACGAATATCTCCGGGATCAGCGGCGTGAGCTGGCTGAACTTAACCGAAGGCGCGAGGGACTTTCTATGTGCGCAAAAAGGGCGAACGGCTGTGATGCTCAAGCATTTACATTTGATTGGATGCTCATACAATACGATGGAAACCAATTCCCGCCATTTCACTCGGGCAAATATCGACGCATTCATGGGAAAGAAGGGGCGCTGCTTCCGCGGTGGCATATCGTGGAAGCACCCCCCCCTCCTTCGCTACCACGAGGGCGTCGGAGTCCTTGTGCCCCTTGTGCGCACATAATTTCGTAAAAAGTATGGTCGCTGGGGTTACCCCTGAGGGCGGGGAGGACAACAACAACAACAACAAGAAGCGCGAGCGCCTCTTGTCTGAAGACGATGTTGTTGATTCATATACTGAGGAGGAGGATCTGCATCTAGATGAAGACTTTTTCGACCTCGAGAACTTGTATCATGCTAATAAGAGCGCGGCAGACTCCTCCAGTAGTAACCTACTAGAGAACCCCAACGACTGGGCGAGCCAGTTCTAAGGTAATAGATGAAGTAGCTAGTCAACATGCAACCGAGGTCACCTATTTGACACAACAACCCGAACAGAAGCAAGCACGTGCCACCGTGTTGCTTTGAAGTTTGTAGCTTGACTACCTTGCCCGCGCGCGCTTTGCTAGTTGTTGCATCTGAAGAACCAGCCCACTCGGGTGAGCGAGTTGGCATGTGTTGGGAGAGCACTGCCCAGGGGAGCAGCCCGCAGCGCAACAGACGAGCCAAAGGGCGTCCCGCCTCCTCTTTTTGTTAAGTTTCGATGGTGTAGCGTGCTCGCTGCGCCTCTCGTGCTTCTGCAGGTGGCTGATTAGAATGGCGCTAAGTCAACTAAGAACTGCACAAAAACGGTCATTATTGTCGCCTCCTCGTCCTGGAAGTGCTTCGCTTAGCGACTTTTGCAACTTGCTCTCTCTTGGTTTTTCTGTCTTTTGGTTTCGTTTTATGTGATTCCCCGCGCCCCTCCAGAGTCCACCGCACCAGCCTGCAAATGTATGCTGGGGGATTCTGGAGGGGCGCGGGGATTTGGAGGGCGCCCGAGGTTCTTGGCTCGCAATTGGGTGAGGGTTTTCCAGAAGGGAGCGCAGTAGGCGGCGAGTGTTCTGCGGATTCGTATCATGCCCGAGAAGATTGAATTTTGTCCGGATTTTTGCAGTCCTTAGTTGAGTTTTCTCCTAACAATGAACTTAGTCACACAAAACAACCCGTCATAAGATCGTCCTCTAGCCTGCTTGTTCCTGCCTGCTTAGCCATATCCTGCTTGTTCCTGCTTGTTGAATAGCAACAGGTGCTAGCCACCTGCTTCCGCGCCTCGGTCATCAAATCTGCTGAACTTTCATCATGCCGTCTTGTTAGAGATTGCCCAGAGTACTCCTAGACTGCTATGGCCCTAAAACCACTCATCTCGGAACTTTTGATGGGAACGAGGTTGGCGCCGCACATGATAATAAAAAACACTTATGAACAATACATGTATCCATAAGTGTCTATTCCTTTTATGGAGAAGATCATACTCAAGGACGTACGAGACGCCTTCTTAAATTCGATTCCTTTTCGGCCTTTCTGGCTGCTTTCAGCCTTCTCTCCAGGTCTCGTTTGGCATCCGAACTGAACCCAGGTATTATCATTTCTTAGCGACATGATCGAGGAGCAGGAGCATCGTATATTTTTTTTCACTGTGTAGGACAGAAGAAGTTCTTGTACTATAGGCCGCGACCACAATAGGCCAAGAACTGGAGATCATTGTACTATTTCAGTACAATCTGCTCCTTCAAATCAGTACAACCTGAACCTGCAACACAATTCATAAGCCTTCAGGTTGTTCGTGTTCACTTTCTCCGATCCACCGCAGATGTCCTTCACCCTTAGAGTAAATTTGAGCACTTATTTCTTTTGTTCCCTACTTCTTCACCTGCTTGTTCCAAAAAAAGAGAGAACAAAGCAACAGAAAGCACAAATAAGTAAGTAACAGCTTACAAATAAGCTTCGAGTTCAAAGCAGAAAGAACAACGCAAATAAATCTTTAACAAGGGGATCCTACCACTAACCAGGTAGACCTTAGAGTTAGACAAAAAAAGAATAATTTGACTTCTCTAAAAAAACAGATGACCTTTTTTTCACTCCTGCAACGGACGATAAATCTTGTTTATTGAATCATTACAGCTGTGGTGCTTACGATCAAACTTCCGTAACAACTTGATCGTTGGAGACGACCAGGAGAGCCAGCTCTTCTCAAAAGCCCCGCATTTTACACCACTGCCGCGTAGGTAATTAGAGAGAGTAGAGAGAGAGGGAGAGGAAAAGTAGAGGGTAGTATTTGCTTCTTGTTCTCAGAACAAGTACTTTTGCCTAAACTTTCATCATCTTCTATAAGCTGGGAAGCACGTATAATTTTCTGGATCATTTTCTAGTACTATGTTGATTGAGAAGATCCGAGCTGCCTACCTAGCAAAAATCTGTACTCCATACTGCATGTAGGGATAGACCTAAGAATAGAGGGAAAACTAACTGGCTGTTTTACTCTATGTGCTTTGAGCGTCGCTATACCTAGTAAGCCCCGACCTTGTATGATGATGTGAATCTACTCGGCAGACTGCCTAAGATTTCCCAGACGAACTCTACCCGCTAGTCTAGCTTGTTGTTGGATGGTCTTGTATAATAGAAGCAAAGTATTTTTGAACACTCACTGACTCCATGGTTTGGTTTTTACCATATGAAAGGTAAAAGCCGATAAGATTCTCCCCATTTACCAGTTCCATAAGATTCTCCCCATTTACCAGGCCGTGAAGGCCAGCGAAGGCAAGCAGCAGCCGCTTCGTGATCGACTCCACCTTCCTGATGCGATACTCGTTTCTCCTCGCCATGATAAGTACTACTGAGAAGAAGTTGAAGTTGAAGTTGGTGGCTTCTATGCGCAGCCTTGAGTGAGTGAGACGTGAAAAGGTCCGTGTCCACCAGTAGCCTTGAGTAGAGGTAATTTAGTTACTTTTACATGCTTTCTTGGACAACATGCCTGCATAAATGTCCACGTCTTAGGTTCTACTATGAAGAAGTAGCCTTATATTAATACATGCCTGCATAAATGTCCACGCCTTATATCATTAATACCGAGTCACTATTCGGTACTCCACTTACGAGGAAAATTGGAGGTGATTTGGAGAGGAGAGATGTTTGGGGCAGACTGTTGAGAGGAGAGATTGACGATCCATCAGTCTCACTGTATCGGAGGTGGTGCTTCTAGTAGACAAGTCCGAAGTGCTCCTTCAACCGATGTTTACACACGAGACGTTGACAGATTCACAGCGACGTTGACACACAGAGACGTGCACACGACGTTGACACACGAGACTAAAGATTGATCGACAGATAGGATGGGATAGGATAGGATAGGATAAGATAGGAGAGGAAGTGATAGGATTTATAATAGGATTTGACTCGCCGTGGTCCAACAGCCGTAGTGTTGCCGATGAAATTTTTTCCGCACCGATGAAACGGAACTGCAAGACCTTCTTTTCCCGCCACGCTCGCTTATTTAAGCATATGAACATCTGCAGTTGACGACTTCCGTGTGGAACATCCATCGCATCCTTAGACATTAAAAAGATTAACGTCTCGACGTGTAATATTTTTTGTGATGCCTACTTTCCTGAAGTAGAATTTTTCCCAAGAAATATTAAGAGTTTCATTTGTTTCATGTAGTTAGTTGAGTTAGTCTTCGTTCTTCTTCGAAGTTGTGAAGATAAAAAGAACCTCTAGAAGTACTAAGCTAGCACCCTTAATAGGGTTCCACGTTTTCTTTCGCTGCCGCCGTTCCGACCCTTACTATCTTCTGTGGTTCAGTGTTTGTAACCCTCTGGTTCTGCTCAGCAGTATCACGGCGTCTGTGGAGCTCGTTGTACCTCTAGTTGTACCTATACTAAGCACAACACAACTACATGGTCTCGATCAGATATTAGTATTATTAACAACAGTACTATATTTACCAATTTCTTATCACATTTTCGCACTTATTTTCACTTATTTTTGTGTTAGTACTACCTATTTTCACTTATTCGTTGGTATGATAGATTCTTTATAATTACATCCGAATTTCCTATGAAGATTAAGTAAATATTGAAGAAGCTATAGTTGTAGAAAGATAGACATGATGAAAAATACGTTGCACTATGCAGAATAATAATGATCCAATGCTTGACAATCCGATTCCAGTATAAATTTTTCTGTACAGCAAGATAGACTTCTTCTACACCTCCTAGAGACGTCATTCTTATCAAAGAACTCTGCTGTCTTTCTGGACTACAAAGGATTCTAAGAGAAGAAATCATTGCCAACGATCGATGCCTCCGTGAAGATGTCCTCTATAGCCATCATCAGCGCAGCTCAGATGATCATCCTCTATCATTGGTGAGATGAACATACACTGGTGATAATATCATGTGTATTATGACCTTGTGTATTATCCTTATGCATGGTCCTCCATTCATCTAAGATATTGATAAATGTATATTAGCTGATCTTCCTTCCTAAAATTCTTCCAGTCATCTACACGACAGTGGTGTTCCGAAACAGTCGAATCAACAACTTGCATCAACAACTATAGTGTCAAAGTACTATGGGTCTCTGATCTAATTCTCTTCATAGCATCCGCAGCGACTAGTTCTGATAGTGATCATGACCCGCAAAAACTAGTTGGATCAGCAGCTGATATAGCCGCGTCAGCAACTATTACTAACTGGTAAGCGTGAGAACAAGAGAGCCGAGAATTACGAGCGTGAGTCTACCATTCTAATCCTACAGGTGATAATGAGAAGTAGCATCTTCCCGCCCTATCTAGTAGAGTCACCTTTTAGATTGCTATCTACTATGAGAGTCACCCTATAGTAACTATGAGAGTCATCTTTTCTTTCCGCAGACACCATTCCAAGGCACCACGCACAAACAGAAGAAGATCTTCACGTCCACAGGAGGCACCACAACACTGCGTCTTCTAGCAGCATGGATTAGAGCTTTTGTCACACGCCCATGCGCGACTGAAGATCTTCAGGCTGAAGACTTCGGTGCTGTACGACTGATATAGTAGAAGCAGAGTATTTTTGAACACTCACTCCATGGTTTGGTTTTTGATTTTTATCTTAGAAAAGGTCTGCACGTTGGCTACACTGCAGATGACTTCAGAAGCGTCTACTTTATGTATATGTCAGTGTAGTAGTAGTAGCAGGAGTAGTGATAGTATTAGCAGTAGAAGATGATGCTCCTTGTACAACTTCTGATCATCTCTAGGAAGCTAAAGTGACCAGTAGTACGTAGGACCTTATCTTTCTCAGTTAAATGTATCAGATACGAAGAGCATGATAGACTCGGCACTACGTTCATCCATGTACTCGCTGTACGAAGTTTTGAACTATTTTGAACTATTGAACTATTTTAATTATAGAAAGAAATGTCTTCATGATAAATTCTTGTTTTTCCTCCATAAAATCTACCGGCGACGCCTTGCAACAGACTGGTCCTGCGAGCTCTCGCACCTCGTCCAGCACAGCCTCTATGGCCAAGCATGAAAGATCGAGAGAGTGCTAACTATGTGAGTATAAAAAGAATCGAACCGATTGCACACATATTAAGGAGAAGAAAAATCGTCTCACTCTCTTTTTTCAGAATTCCACTTCATTCCTCAGCCTCCTTCATGTCCGCATAATAAAAATCGAGGCTAGGTTAGGTTAGGTTGGGTTCCAAACGGATGGTAGATCATCATCATAGTAGGTTATCATGATTGTAGAGAATAGTACTAGTAGAAGATATTGATATTTTCACTCATTTGCTCCACTCAGGCCAACACTTTCTTTGTACTACTGTCTGGACGCTAGCAACCATGGAATGTTTAACTTTAGACGCTAGCACTAAGCCTCCCCTGGGCCGCGAAGTGAGTTAATTTAGTTAAGCTAACCAGAAAGGGTACAATCGGCGGATACAACTATATGAGGGTCGATATGTTGAGGGTCGGTACCTCCTAGGAGGACGGATAGCAGCTCTAGGCTTAAGAAGGTTTCTTAACTTCTGAGAGTTCGACCCGAAGTTTTCGAACTCTTTTTACTTAAGAAACTTCTAGTTATAGTACACTAAGTTTCTTAACTCCGCACGGAGTTTCACCTCCTCTTCGGTCTTGTGTGCCTTGTTTCTGGCCGCGCGCATCTTCCACACGAGCTTCTCCTTCTCGTTCTCAGTCATACCGGGAATAGGCTGCTCTTCTTAGAAGAGAGGGGACGATCTTCGAGGTAGAAGCAGTTATAATGACGAAAGTATAAGCCACCCTGGCCTTCTATCCAGGCCATGATCTAAGTAAATGTATATAGGACGCAGGGCCGAACGCCCCCCCCCCTGTGGTCTGGTTTGTGGTGGCGCGCGCGCGCTTTTCCGCGCGGATTTTTCGCGGATTCTCGTGGTGGAAGGCCTCAAAACTTGGCGCCTTCCTCCCCTTGGGCCTCTCAGCGTGTTCCTAAGGGCCACGGTCGCAGGCAAGCCGATGACCAAGGGCCCGGAGGGTTCAAGCGGCACGGCTCAGGGGGTCCAGCCCTTCGCTTTTTGCCGTCTTCGGAGGCCTTCCGCTGCCATCTAACCCCTCAAGTCTGTAGGGTACATGCAAACGAGAAGGAGGCAGCGAGCCCCTTGGCCCCCCTTGAGGCCTTCCACCTACGTCGGTGGCCTCTGCGGGACAGCCAAGCAGCTGGGAGGAAGCGGAAGCGGCCCCCCTTGAGGCCCTCTTGAGGCCTTCCACCTACGTCCGAGGCCTCTAGGGGACCCCAAGCACCTGGAAGGGGACAGGGGGGGGTGGGGGGGGCCTTTTGAGGCCTTCCCCCCCGGCAGAGGCCTCAAAAAGGGGGGGGGCGTCGCCCCGCGCCCTGGAACATATATAGACGTCGAAAGAGCCAGGATCTAAGTAACTAATTGCGAACAAAACACTGGGAAGCTTGAGATAAGAGCCAGGAAGTACGAGAAAGAGTCTACTGTTTAGGTTCGGACAAAAAAAATAGGATCATCAACACTTTTTCTTGAACGTAGCTATAGTCAATAGCTGTAGAGAGGAAAGTGAAGTCCTGTTACACACTAAATGTATTGAGAGTGAAGACTATGATAGAGGTTACAGGGTGCAATGAGGGTGGAATAAAGTAGGATAGGATAGGATAGGATAGGATAGGATAGGATAGGATAGGATAGGATAGGATAGGATAGGGTGTCTTTGCTAAAGAGGTATCGTCTAAGAACATGCGAAACTACAATATGACAAATGAAGTCCATTTTTCACATTGTTGGCCATCCATAATTCTCAATCACCCCCGATTCTTTGACGTTCTCCTTGCCTTTGCAAATCTCGTCTCAAGTTCGAAGAGGTTACGACCTTGCGCGACATTGATTGACTCACTCACTGACTGACTGACTGACTGACTCACTGACTGACTGACTGAGTGACTGACTGACGGATTAATTGATTGACTGATTGATTGATTGATTGATTGATTGACTGATTCACTGACTGACAGATTGACTGATTCTGACTGACTGATTGATATCATGATCATACTTTTTCGAAGAGGTACTAGTAATTTTCGAAAGGTAAGATGAATAAACATGAATTGAATTTGAGAAACAGGCCATAAAAGATGAATAGTCTTCCCAGAACCTGAGAAAAAGCCTGGCAAGAATTCCTTGCACTTTACCTCAGTAACATGCTGTTTGTGACGAAGTGGATCTTTAGAAGAAGCATCAGAAATAAGGAACGAAGTATTTATCATTCAATATGAGGGAGCCCTCAAAAGTGGAACCAACAGTCAGAAGAAAAAGGAAAAGCAATAAAACCCGCCAGTCCTTCATTTAGTTCACTTACTACATTACCGACCCTTCAAACTGCTTAATCCCGTAACCCATCATTGCGTCTTCGATAGTCATTTTCTACTGTATCAGCAAGACGAGACAGTTCCTGAAACGGTCCTGAATGGTGAGGACGAGAAAGAAGCCGAAGCGTGACTATCAATCTATAACTCATCATCAAATAAACATATTGATTGAAGGGATTATTAACCTAGGATGATGAGCATAATTAACTTCCCAGTTGCTGCGTTGAGGCCCGCTACGGCCACAAAAGCTTTGAGGGTGGAAGGCGCCATTTTGATGATTCCAAAAAAGCGGAAAGCGTCGAATGAATGCGGAAAGCGTCGAATGAATTCGCCGTCTGTGGCAAAGTCTTGCTATAAAAGAAGTCTAAAAATGACGTGTTTGGCGTCTGAGTTTGATGATGGAGTTCTTTACGTAGATCTAGTTGTTGTTGTTGTTGTTGAAAACCCTTGTTGTTGTTATCTGTTGTCTCTTGTGAGTCGTGTCTTAGTGGAAGGAAGAAAAGCTATAATTTGAGTTTTAGAGGATGTGATGGGAGGTTGTTTTTTGGAAGAACTCTGTGACGATCAATGCCTGTAGGAGTAGGACCAGGCAGCCGTTTCGAACAAGTCTGTGAAATAAAACCTTGAAGACTTCTACACCATTATAATGAAGTTGAGCTATTCTACACTTCTAGATTTGTGTGAGGGACTGTGAAGATGGCAGGTGTAAAAATATTGCGAGATGAAACGATTCAGTCCAGTTCAGTGTAATATTGCGAGATGACCCAATTCAACAATTATCCTCTACTTAGATACTACGAGCAGGGAAGGCGGGGGCAGTTTGGAGTTGAGGGATGCTTGGGGATGATTCAGAGTTTGGAGCCAAGAACGTTTTGTCTTAATATTCTCTCACAAAGTATCATGTCTGGAGGCGCGACGCGGTAATTTTTCGACCGAACAAACAACTTTTCTTCATTCGTTCTCACTGAATGTAGGACGAAGAAGTCGAGAAAATTTCGCATGATTTTCAATTTTCTGTTCAATTATGATGATTTAGTTCAACGCTCAAAGTTCCCTTTTTTTCCATCATTCATTCTCCTTCTTTTCCTTTTTACATTACATGGAGTCTAACATTGGCTAGCATACCAACACCTAGACTATACGATGACACCTTGAAAACTCGAAAATTGGAAGTAACTAGGCGCAACGCTGAAAAAGATTATCAAATGGAGCTAAATATTGATTCTATTCAGACACTACTTGCACTTCCTTTTCATGCTAGCAGTAAATAGAATTCTTGGAAGTTCGTTGTCCTAGTGACAATCTCCTTGTACTAGTGGCAAATAGAACTTATGTATCTTCTTATAGCTCCAAAATACGTTGTTTACATGTGCAACACTTTATATTATGTTGTTTTATTACATCGAGATAACGATCATAGGATAGATTTATATATCGATCATAGTTGTAAGATGGTTCAAAATATATCCCCAATCGCAGTTTCAGTTTGTTATTTCGTTGTACAAATACATTAATTGAAGAGATGCCAAATATCTATTTGTTTTTTTATAACTGGCTTTCTTGTTCTCATGAATGTTGTTCAATAAATGCGAATTCTATGCAGAAGCGAGACAGACATTGACATTGTTTTCATCGCTCAAGGTAGGACTAGTACATCCATCCTCTCCTACCTTTTATGTCGTCTATTCACTATCATGTACTATCATTTAGACTATATACTATCATTTAGACTATATCTTCCTTCATCCCACTCCAAGCAACTCCAACCGCAACAACTTCTTACTACCCCATCTAGGAGGATCATGCGCCAGCAACAGCTTACGACTAGAAGTAGCTCCTCGTTTTTACTTCTGTCTTTCTTCCTCTGTAGTTCGCTTCCTGCCAAAACCATTTCCGGTACAGAGAACTGTAGAAGAGGACTCCTCACTTCTATCGATGAAGAAGGTTGTCCTATTTTTAGAGCTGCTTCCAACAGTCATTTCACTTCTTCCCTTCATTTGAAATCGCATTGAACTGGAATAACCGAGGAAAAGACGAGAATAACCGAGATACTGAACAAGGAAGTCAGCACCTTTAGAAGCTACTTTCTTACCTCCCTTATTACAGTCAAAAATAAAGCGGTTATTTATTCCAGTTTATTTTCGAGTACTTAGATAAAGTGTGGAAATATATCAGCCACAGGCGATTATTATAAAGCGTGTATAAGGTAGTTGAAGGAAGGAAAAATATTTTTGACCCATAATAACTCTAGTTCGTCTAGCAGCAGGACGACGACCCCGCAGGCCCATCAATGCCCGGTCCAGTTGGGACTTCCAGGCAACACACCTTCGCCACACCACTTTAGAGTCTGCTTTCATTCATCTCGGGGGTCCTCTACTCATCTCGGGGGTCCTCTATTTCCCATGAGAAGAATACAACAGAAAACAATGAGGTTGATGAACCGAGGAAGACCAATGAGAAGAATCGAAGGGAGAAAAGGGGTCTATCGAGATTCCGAGAATGATGGATAGCAGTAGTAGCAGTAGCAGGAGTGTGCCCAGTTTTGAGGTATAGAAGATAAGCCAACGTTAAGTATTGAGATATTGGTGCTGCCCGTTTATTCCTAAACCGTTCAGCCCACTACAGTTCTGCATATACCTGGTCTTGAGGTATAGAAGGAGCAAACTGATTAGTATGCGTAGTATTAGTAATGGTCATGAAGATGCAAGGCAAAGGGCCTGTAATTAGATTTAGAGGTGTAGAACTAATGACGCATCGTGCCCTTAGATGGACACATCTAAAAGTTGACCTTAACCACTGTCGCGCACATCCTTCAACACCATGGCTTGCTCGTGCTCGCCCTCTTCCTTTGTCTCTGCCTTCTTTCGTTTTAGAGGTGTAGCACTATAGAAGCTCACAAGTACTCATCGGCGTAGAGATGCATACCATAATTGTTTGAAAAATCAAAATAGTTCAGATTTCAGGCGGGAAGTATTTTTTTCCCTGCGATAGATACCTGTCCCCCATACACCGAACTCTTCAAAGTCAAGAACGCAGTCAGATTCAAATTCAAAATTAGTAGTTGTTTTCCCTATCAATTTACAAGAGTGAAAGAAGTCGCTTTTCGACGCAGTGAAAGATGCAACACTATTCGACAAACTGAAATAGCCGAGTAAAGTGATCTAGGAAGAGCTGCTAACGTGGAACCCTATCCCTATTCTTGAACTTACTTGCTTATGCTTATTCTTAGTTTTCGAATATTTATTAGTGACAGACACCTTCGTAACTGTTTTTTAATAGCCTGCTTCATCCTGGTCAAGAAGTCCTTCTTGTCATTCTTCGACAGTCCTTCGATCACCGCCTTCTTGTTTGCCTTGTTCACGTTCATAGCATCAGTGCAAATGGAGTCAAACATTAGCAGCTATCACGCGATGTTCACGTTATGTACCCGTTATGTTCACGCTAGGTTCATGTTATGTTCACGACATGTTTAGGATCGGATAAGTTAGGATAGGATGGGATAGGATAGGATACGATAGGATAGGATAGGTGTGGATCCACTTAGAAAAAGCAGGTGCGTGGATGGAAGCAAGCTCTTGAAAGATACTTGAATGTCCTGAAAAATAGTCCTGAATCATCTCTTTCTCAATGAAGTAAGATTGGACCTTCATTTCAGATGAAAAATAGTTTAGTGATTCTTCATGTCCTGAACAATAGTGATCGATCCAATGATCTTCCTGCCTTAACAGAGAGAGTGCTTTAGGGATCCAGTTTGACACCGCGCCAATGTTGAAAGTGTCGCAATTCAGATCCCCAGAGCTGCCGCGCAGGTGATTAGAAGAAGTAGATAGGATGGGATAGAAAAAAGATATAAAGAGGTAGATAGGATGGGATAGGAAAAAGATAAGGAAGTAGATAGGATGGGATAGAAAAAAGATAAGAAAGTAGATAGGATGGGCGTGGGATAGGAAAAAGATAAGGAAGACGTGAGGGTGAGGTTTCGGATGCCTGGCCTGTGATAACATCACAACGCGGCACCTTTGCGAGATAGCAGTAAGATTATCTATCAGTGAACTTATCCGATGAGATAATATCGTAAGTGCTAGCGTTTCTGTGTAAACAAACAATTGAAAGTATAAACTCCGAAGAGCATGTACTTCATATCATCCGCTCACTTAGAACCCTTACACAACTAACCAAGTTATCCGACGGTCCCCACTATCAAGTTGGTACGTAAAAGACGTGAGATAGAAAAAACATAATTTATAGCATCTTCGTTCGAAATCGCTTATAAAGAAAGGAACGAAGTATTATTCTTGTGTTATAGGCTCGTCAACTACTAGGTGGAGGACACGAGTAGTCGCGTCTCTACTAGTCGTGTGTCTAGCAAAACATATTCTTGCAACAACATCAGAATCAACGTCAAGCTTTTTTTCAATATTACAGGTACTTATAATATAGTCTGCGGTGTATAGCATAAATGTAGTCTGTCTGCCGGTGGCAACTTCGTTGAGGCCACCCAGGGCCACAATTTTCAGGACAGTCTTGGAGGAGAGGACCATCTTTGTGCTCGTTTTTGGCGTCGCGAGGACACTTGTGCTTGATGCTGTAAAAATGAATATGGAGAGCGTCGAAGGACACTTGCTGTGTTCTACGTACTGCTTATGTTGAAAAAGGGGACGATCTGAGAGGATCTCTTATTGTTTTACGTGAGTAAGTAAGTACGTATGATTCGTCGTTTTTGATGATGTTCGTGTCGCCTCTAGAAGTTGTTGTTGTTGTTTGTTGTTATCTACTCTTGAAAACCACTTGGTGATTTGTCTTTATATCAAGAACGGGGATCTCGTCGTCGAGAAGGAAGAAAAGCCTATAATTTTTGGAGGAATGGAAGTTTTTTTTTCGTAGCAGCTTCGTATAATGACCAGTAAATTCTAAGAGAATTGATTACATGTGTGCGAAGATTGACTGACCAACATAAGGAACGAGGATCGCTCTGTCTCACATCTCCGACGTAGTTTTGCTCATCCGATATCCACTCACACACTCAGACCAAGCGAGACGACAACGAACAACAGAATCATGGCTCTCTCTCCGATATTGACACGTACAAACGAGACTACAGAATCATCTTTCCCTCCCCGACAAATAGGGTCATAATGCGAACACGATTTAATGCAATTTTCTCTCGTTCTCACTGCTATACGACTTCGAAGCGATTTTCTCTCGTTCTCATACGACCTCTAAGCGCGATTTTCTCTCGTTCTCCTCACTATGTCAGTGCCTGATATCTTCTCTCATTCTCAGAATTTGATGCTATTAAGCCTTTCCGGACAAACATTGTATTCGCAATGACGATGGAACTGTGTCCCAATATTCGAACCTTCAGACACGATGATGGAAGCACAGTACCTAAGCACAGTACCTAAGCACGGCACCTCCTCACTAGCATGTCATGTCATGTCATGTCATGTCATGTCATGTCATGTCATGTCATGTCATGTTACCTCACGATCCATCCTACTAGCACACCTCCTACTGCATTGATTCCCAAGATTTTCGCAAATATGTTCTATACACGATCATAGATAGGCATCCAAAATAGCTGGTACATGCACGATACATGCACGATCAAACTCATATTGTTCTATGAAGATGGTCCGTCTTCTCATATACTTTTTCAAATACGCATCTTTCTGCATATTTCTATACAACATCCATCGTCGTCGTCGTCCAGGTACTTTTTCCCCCACTCGTCGTCCAGGCACTTTTTTACCCTCATTGGCAGTCCTTGCAGTCTTCCTCCAAGCTTTCGGTTAGACGAGAAGATTCAACTTCTAGTTGTGAAAATATGTCATGAATCTTCTAGACCTAGCTGGAACAAACTCCTTCTCCTAACTACAACCAGAGGAATAAAACTCAATCAAGAATCTATAGTACATAGAAGTGGTCTATAGAAGGAAAACCGTTACTCACACTCAAAATCCAAACACAAAAATTAAAGTTTCTACCTCCTGTTAAACTACATAGTTCACTAGATAGTTTAAATTAGATAGTTGGAGTTGTCTGCAGCAGTCCGGATGTGGTTCAGCTTCGAGGGAATACGCGACTTAAATCCAGCTGCCAAGCGTGGCCACAACGTGCCCACGAAGATGATTCTAGTAGAAATCTTGCCTTTATGAATGCTGCGGATCCACCTCGCGACGCGAAACCAACGTTCAGCCAAATTCCTCACTTTTGCAAAAAAATACTGCCAAACGTCGAAATTCTAACCGTTCTCATACCGAGATCAAATACCTGGAAAAGTGCAGACGAGTGTGGACATAAATTAAGGCAAGTTCTCTTATGGTTGAAATTGTTCAAGTTTTTCGATGAGGTTTGGAAAGAAGATGTAAGAAGCATGGATCTCGTTGGACAAATAGATGAAGGAACTGTGAAAATGCTAGAAGACACGAGCTCTAAGCTTCACAACAGACAGGAGGTAGTGCTAGACTCAGAGGGGCGTGCTAAGAAGAAGTGAGGGATACAAAATGGGCGAGACACCTCGCGAAATAGAGCGCTGGTCCATTGACAAATTTAAAGAACAGATAAATAATACTTTCGAAGTTCATGACTTCCCAGAGGCAGTAGCAGATGTAGCGATTTCGCCGCGAGGACTTCGATCTTCGAAAAAGAAACTGCGACCCATCCAACTGAAATCCACAAAGACAGACGTTGCAGCGTGGGTTCGTCGGATAAAGTTTACGCTGAAGAAGAAACGAGAAGCATGCCACGGCTGCATACTCGTTGGAATTGCCTCCCGCAAAAGAAAATGGCTCATGCTAGAAGTGAACAAGCACGCCCGCATTGAGGATATGGACTTGAACCAGCCAGACTTCTGGGTTTCGCAAGAATCAATTGTCAGCCATCTACTCGAATACTGGAAAAACGGCGCCACAATTTCGCCTTCTTCTGTCCCAGAATTTTCAGCAACATGCGCCAACCAACACGTTGAAGCACGTCTCCGGCAGCAGGTAATGGCAGCACTAAAAGCAACACCGTACTCATATCAGCTTGCCCAACAAGGTTTCGACGTTGTCGATGGATATCTTCGAGGGCCGAAAGGGAGTTACCTGCGATGTCAAGAGCGGGTGATGAAGTTCAAGAAGAACCGCCAGAGCGTTTCTGTTGGTCTCTACGTGAGTCTTGTCAGGTATTTCTTTACAGCCTAGCTAATGAATCAGGATAAGTCTACAAACCAGGGAGGCGCTGGCCTTCAATGAATCGCAATCACAGAAAATGATAGTACAACTCTGGACCCTACTGATAGCACCCCTGACTACTAAAAACTCTACAGCATGCCTATGGTGCCTTCTATTAGAAATATCAACCATCCTAACGCACTACCAGGAAGAGCGGCGACGGCTTCTGTCCGTCGAAAGTCGACGTGCTGCTGTTGCATGCACGTCGAAACGAAGGCCCGCAACAGCCTCTCCATGGCACGTTCTTGGTGCCAGTCCAGCTGCTGATGGAGAAGGGATTCGCGCCGGATGCTGCAGCACCCAGGTAGAGCCATCATCAAATTCTTAGCTATCCAACAACAACGAAACCAAAAAAAAAGCGGCCTACGGGTTTCAGTTCCTATTTCAACAATGGGGGCACTTCCCTGTGGTAGATATGAAGCAAAGATCATAGACCTAAAGCACCCTCATGGTTCCTCAATAAGAGCTACGACGTGACGCGAGATTTTTTCTTCTCTTACATGACAGCAAAAAATGGGTCAAGACTCTATCCGTGTACCCGCATGGGCTTCCTTACGTTAGTACGCCTAAGCCCTCGTGGATGGATCCGTTTTTCGTTTTAGCAAAAGAAGGAAAGTTTAACGACTCGAGGCTCAAATTCGTCATCGCGCTCGTGTTGGATTCTCTCCCCGCGGACCAGAAGCGACCATAAGACAGATGACTATTTATATATCAGTATGCTCGAAAGGTAGAACAAGGAGCAGATGGGTGAGCGTCGGCGCTCATGTTCAGAAATATAGCAAGCTTTTCATTCATAGAGCGATCGCATTTTTTTAAGAGTAGTCCGCCCGAGCTTTATCTGAACGGACTTAAGGCGTTGACTTCGTGATCTGTAACATTGTAAGACCCATTATAAGTGGGAGATCGCGCGAGTTTTATCAGTTCTGGTTTCATTTTGATCGACGTCAGGGTCCTTTCAGCAATAAATTGGATGTCGCGACATATCTGCTAGCTCTTGTGTTGATATATTGCGTATCTTTGAACATAGGAAAAAATCTTTGGCCGCGGCCTTTCGTTTTGAAAGAAGATGACTATTTCTAGCTCTAGCGCAACAGTTCCTAATTAGTTAGAGGCGAAGATGATTGCGCGGCTTTTTATGTTTGTGGTAACCAAGAATCCGTATACTGCAGAACCTATGCTAGCAAATCTTTCCTGGGCCATCCCCTATACAGATATGACATAGGTTGCCATCTTGCCAATCTGTGCAGCCCGGTGCCAGAGCTTTAATCTTCCGGGACAAGCAAGAAACTCGACTTCGGCGAGGCTCAGTGAAAAGCTCGCGCTCGTCGCATGACAATCATCGAGCACAGTTCTTATGACTTTCCACCTGGCGAAACTTTCTATGCTACTGCATTTAAAAGAGATCAAAGAGTATTAATGTATGTGGATCTGCTGGACAGTGTGGGACTTGTAGTTCATACTTATGCTAATCAAAATCTATAAAGCAACCCTATGGCAAGAAACTAGAAAAGAAGCTGATCCGGCTGAAAGTTGTCGGGTGGTAGCATGTGAGTCTCATCGTTGTTCCCCTCATCATCCTCACTATCATCATCTCCCTCGATATCTCGCTCCAGCGGCGTGATTTTGATATCCTGGCAGCGTCTGCAAGCTGCCTTATGTTTTTCGATTGCTCCAGGAGCCAGAACTTCCCGGATGACATCAGTTGCTTGCTCCGTACTGGCCCAGAAGCATGATGCCTGCGGCTTTCTCTCCCCTTCGACAAAGGAGACGGCGTCTGTCCATCGGATGTAGAGGCACTTCCCAGCCGATGCCGCCCTTCGTTCACTCTTATGGACATGAAAGAGGACGACGTTGCACGTGCGGCATTTACATTCCCAAAAGAAACGGCTCTGCACTCGACCTAGTCGACGGCGTGGCGCGCGATGATCTACACCAATTGGCGCACCAAGAGGAACAGCGTTGTTATCTACTCTGCGGCGTTTCCTGCGTGCAGGTTCGATGCTGCCGAAATCGTGCGCATCTCCTCGGAGCTCCTCGTCGAGGATGCGCATCACTGACTTCGTTGTGTCCTTCTCCTCGTCGACGATCCGCTGCAGAGCCCTGCGGCGATACTTCTCTGGGATCTTCGGCTGTTCTGCGAGTCGCACGCTCGTGAGCCAGTAGATCGCATGATTGAGGAGATCTTCGGGGATCGCGCTGATGCATTGTTTCATGATGTCGATGGTTGTTAGCATGTTTCCTCTGTAAGGAATGGCGCAGATGCCGTCGATAAACTGGACGCTGTTGTAGTCCATCAGAACCCAGCAGTTGACGGTGAAGCCGCACATGAGAGAGCTGACGTTGCGACGCATCCGCAGCGACAGACGCTTGGTGTCAGTGCATTGCCTCATCTTCCATCCCATGTACTTGCCACGAAGAAGATCGGTTACCCAAACCCAGAAGTCGTGCTCTGTGTCCCAGACTACTAGTGGCTTGCCCTCCTTGTTCCAATGCCTGAACCGCCAAGTATCGTCGGCTACCCCACCTAAGCGACAAGTTTTGTGGAAGTCATCTGCTTCGATGCGATCTGCGGCTTTTTTGTAGCACATTACCTCCATGGATGGCTCGTGGTAGTTCGTGCTATGAACGCACATCTCTTTGTCCTTGCTCTCGGCAACTGCCTTGCGGATGAAATCGCTCGTTTCTGCCGAGCGTTCAGCAGAGACCCGCATGTCCTCCACCTTCTTGAACAGCTGCGTCCAGGATTTTTCGGATTTTGATTTTTCCTGGAGGACTTTGAGGAACTCGCCCTCGGACTGAGATGTCTCGAGCGAGTTGCGGATGCGGTCGATGTCTGCTACTAGATGCTCATACTTATCCCCAAGCTGAGGAACGTCCTCGAATAGCACAGTACTAGATGCCCACGACAAGACTGCATAGGAAAGTTTGAATTTCCCCGCTAGCATGAGGAGCCGGCCGTCTGCTGCAGTCACCCAAGCCCACGGAGACTCTGCTTCAGAGTCACTCGTAGGCCCACTGATGATGATGTTGGTCAAGATCTTCTTCGCTTTTTCGAAATCATCCGGAAGTAGAGTCCGCATAAATTCACAGAACTCCGTTCGCTTACGAAGATCCCAAAGTCCTGGATATCGCTGTGCAAAGTCAGGCGTTAACGCACCACGAAGAACGATCGTGATCCACAAGTTGCAACACGGATCACAAAGCTCGTAGACCAAGTGCCGGGTAGCTAACGTGACATACCTCCAGACGCGTTTCATCTCATCGACGTTGTGCATTTGGTCGAAGCAGTTGTAGATGGTCGTCCGCAAGAACTGAGGGAAAATGATGGCGCAAGAGATTAAGAAGCTGTGAAAGCCCTTGTCTGTTTGAAGTTGTGGCCACTCCTTCAAGAAAGCAGCTGTTCGCGCATCTTGTTCTTCATCATACTGCTTGCCGTAGGTGACTCGGAGATGTGTCTGATGCCAAGTGAATGGCATCTCGTGGATGCTGAAGTAGTGCGCGAGGCCGTCTTCATTCTCAGTCGCTTTCTCTACTGCAGCAAGTAGTTTCTTGATCTTCTTCTTGTCAGAGCTGTCGCTGTCGTCTTCAACTACATCTCCAGCAGCTGCGTCCTGTAGTGGTTGTGCATCCGCATTCGCCGGATGGTCTAGCGCAACAGGGTCCATGTTCAAACCAAGAATCAGACCATCCGGAGCGTCTGGCGCTGGTAAAGGAGCAAGATCATCTATTTCTATGTTATCCTCCAGCGCTCCTACCTCTGCAGCATGCTGCTGCTCATCTTGGTCAATTACTCTGCGTCTCCTACCTGCATCTTCCTGGAGCATGCGCTTCAGCACATGGCGAGTGCGGTATTTGTAACGCAATGCCCAAAGCTGCACGCACATATCTCCATACCAGCGCGTTCTCACGATGGCAGTCAACGGATTACCTGGAAATGGAGGACGTCAAAGGAAGCTCCAAAACGTGTCTGTCTCAGTGTTCACGAAAACTCGACTTTATGTCTTTGAGGAATTCAACACTCTCCCAAAATGAATACTCAAACCCACTAGTTTCTGGATCAGAAGTACAGTCTGACTTGAACCCTCCAGAAGCTAGTGGTGAGTAGACCCTTAAAGTTGAACTTGATAAGATACTAGTGCTGAAAATGAATACTCAAAGATTTCAACTTCATGTAAATGCAAAACGCAGATCGTGTCTCTGTTGACCCCCCTTGACCATGTCAGAGACAAGATCAAAGGGATCCACAGGAGGCAAGACTACACAAGAAGAGAATCACCTTCGAGCAGAGCAGCAGCAACCGACTTCCCGCCCGATTCTCTTTCGATGTCAGCATCCCGCAAGTCCACGAGTGCAGCCTCTGTAGCACAGACTTGTCGCCAGTAGTGGAATCCGCCTCTCAAGGACCTTTTTGCGTAGAGGCCCCCACTGAACTCGCGCAAAGCCGCTTTCAAAGAAGCCAGCGTTGGCTCTTTATTGGCGCAGTTCCACATTCTGTGATGCATCCCCAGTCGGGGGACGCATAACATCGAGCGTGCCATCGCAAAACACGCCCTACATTCCGACTCTTCCTGGTCGGTGTCAAGGACCAGTATAGGAGGAGCGTCATCTCCTTCCCACTGGTCGCGCGACTGCTGCCAGATGCTGTCGCCAGTTAAATAGTTGAGCCGCAGAACCATCTCCTCAATCTTGGTACCCGCAGCAGCATATTTCTGACCACCCTGAACGCCAACTGCAGGTCGCTGCAGCGGCAGCGGGTGCATGAATGTCCGATATCCCAAATCCGCACGATCATAAACAAGGACATACACCTGCGACGATGGTTTGAGTTGAGAAAATGCACAACAGCGCACGAGGTGACCCTGAAGAAGGACAGCACGAAGTTGATTGCAGTTGACAACTGACGAGACCCAAGAACCAGCACAAGCGGAATCACCAGTAGAATCTAGTGGAAGCACTTGGTTACCATTGACGCCGTTTTCTTTTCCTTTCCTTTGCAACTGCCGTCCGACTGCAGGCAGATAACGCCTTGCCATTCATAGTCCTCCACTTCATGGCCTTCGACCTCAAACTGAATCCACCCAAAAAGTCGGCCGAGGAAATAAACTAAATGCAGAAGCCCCTGCAGCAGATATTTCTGGAGAGAGGATAGGAAGATGGGCATACGAGGGGGAACCAAGACGAAGTCCTACCAGAATCAAACGAAAGAAGTAGAGGAAGTTCATCTTTATGCTTGAAGATAGTTCAGAAGTCTAATAATGCTGCAGAGAAGAAGCCGCACCGAATAGATACTAGGGTGACACTCTATCAAGGTAAAAGCGACACCTTCTTAAAGTGGTCCGTAAGGTCTCCGCTCCCTTTACCAAAGAAACGATCCTCAAAAGATTGAGCGACTTGCTGCGGGCGTGCTTCCAGGTCGTCTTTGGATATTCCTCTTAAACGCCGAAACGCCAAAGCATCGAGGTGCTTTCGGCATTCCTCGCTCTTATCGTCCATCTCTAGGCACAACCTCATGGCGCACACCTTAATCGGGGATGATGTTGCTCTTCCTTCGAAACATTGCAGGAAAGACTGACGATTTTGGTGCATGGAAAACAACTACTAAAGCGCTCCGATAAAATCAGCACTACTTGGAGATCATCACAGTGAAACTAAACCAAGAACCTTAACGAGAAAAGCAGAGAGGACTTACTGCTTCTTCTCCGAATTTCGAACGTGCCACGCCCTGGTTTACATCGAGGTGCCCCGTTTCGACTAAGCCCTGCCTTAGACGAAAGCCTTCCCATTTCTTCGACAAGGAATACGCAGCAGGTTGTCGATTCCAGTTCTTCGCTCGATTCGGAGGCCAAAGTCTGCGTATATGCAGCTTGCCACCCTGTACGAATGGAGCAGCGTTGTTGCTGCTGGAGGAAGGCGCTTTCTTATGGTTCTTCTGGGTCAACTATAGTTTTTCTTTGAAGTGGTTACTTTTATGCCAGTACGTTATACAGAGAGAATCGAGCGTCGCTTTTTCGTTGTATCGATAGGGCCAGCAGTTTTTCTTCATTGTGTCGATTTTCTGTCTCTTTTCGCCTTGCACAGCCTGTTTCTCGAAAGCTCTCATAAGTCTCTCCTCGATTGCTCACTCATCGAAAAAAGGACAAAGTCGAAGAAACCCAGCACCAACGAAACGCTCGAAGCGAGTCTTAGCCTATCAAAGTGAATCAGCATGCGCCGACAATCAGACATGGTTTAAAACGTCACTGAAGGGTTTTTAGCAATTCGCGAGGAGCAGAAGCAAAGCGGTTTCTTGCAGAAGCGTAGGGAAAAGCCTGCTGCATGGTAGAAAATCACGCGGGTCGAGCTGCTAACAAATTCAGAACAGTTAAGAATATGGAAATAATTTCAAATGTGGGGCGAAGTGTAAGCCATGACCACAAAGTGAATTGGGGTAGAAAGTGCTGACGTTGATTTCATGACTGATAGGAGATGTATATAATTAAAATTTTTTCTAGTGCTCACCAGATTCATCGACAACTACTAAACTCATAGCATGAATGGAGTGAAAGGTCGTTACTGTCAAAATTGAAACTTCGAAAACGAACAAGATAACTTGAATGATGTAGATCGCTAGTTGCCATGTTTCTCAATAGATTCTCGTGGTAGTTCCATATTTCTCAAAAGTCATGCGTCGTCAAAAGTATTATAATCATGACCCAGCTGGTTCATCTTACTCTGATATAACGAACTACTTCTCCTCCTCTTTCTTCTTCACCCCTCAAGCCTTTCTCTTAGTGAGAAGCTCCGCCATCTCCTTGTTGAGGTCATCATCATCAGCCTCCTCTGCAGCAGCTTTCTTGCCGCCCTTTTTCGGAGCAGCCTTCTTTTTTTCGGTTGCTGCGGGTTGCTTACCACGCACCTTCTTGCCAGCAGTCTTGATCTCCTTTGGCGGCGAGGAGTCGACTTCCATCGGGACTGGTTCGCCCTTCGTTTTCTGCTTGGACTTGGCAGCAGCAGTCTTCTTGCCACGGCCTTTCTTCTTCTTTACATCCTCCTCTTCTTCAGCCTCTTCCATGAACTTGTCCAGGTCGTCCATGTTGGGCAGCGACTCCACCTTCGTTTCCACCTTTTCTCCATCGTCTTTCGGCTTCTCCTCCTCTTTAGCAGGCGGCGGCGGAGCCGGGATAGCAGCGGACGACGAGGGAGCAGCCGTTTCTTTCTTCGTGGTAGATGTAGTCCCATCTTCGTATGTCGTCACCAGCAGCATGCCATCCTTGTCAGCGGGGTCTGGTTTCAGCTGGTAGGACTTGACCTTCTTCTCCTCAGTCGTGGTTGCCGGAGCAGGAGGCTCCACCACGATGATGTCCGGGCTACCAGCATAGGCCTTCGCCCCAAATAGCTTAGCCTTAGCAGCTTCCATGGTGGCAGGCGATAGACTCAGACGAGCACGTTCACGGTGTTGAGAGCGGCTGCGCGGACAATCCTTCTGGGGACTCGGGGGCTTGCGCTCCTGACGCGCAGGCGCCTTCAGATCCTGTAGGGTTGTAATGATAAGAACGCTACAGAGGAAGCACTACGCTCTGCTTAAATACATCACTTCCTCACTTCTCTCAGAATTATTGTCTCTAAAATCATCCAGATCATGAGCTATCAAACGGCTTCAAACTAGATGCATCATTACGACGGAGAGAGAATGTACCGCAAAAACCGCGTCAGACTTCGGATGATTCATGATCGCCAAGTTCTTGGTCTTTCGGTTCATCATCGCACCATAGGCAGCCAGGCGAGCAGACTCTTCTTCATCAGATTCAGCTCGTTGCTCATCACGGCGCAGCTGGAGCTCGGTGCTGGCCTTGTCTAGGGCATGCTCCAAGAAATCCAACGTGTCCCACATGCTATTTCCAGTCTTGTCGCGATACACGTTCAACTCGGCCAAAACAGATTGCTCGTTCGGAGCTCCAGAATCACCAGGCGGAAGCTGGTGAGGATGTTTATATGGTGTAAGAGATTGACAAGGCAGGAGGAGCACCTAAGGTTTCGTAAAAGAATCATGAATAGAAAAACACTCACACGAAAACGAAAACAGATAGACATGCTCCTGCACTAGCTCAACAGCAACAACTCTAAGCATCCAGGTGACCAAGTAGCTTAGTACGCGGTGGGTCGCAATTCCCAGCTTTTGGCACAGCTTCAAGGCGATCTCCGGTTTGGTGATAACGCGAGCAATCTTGGCGCGATCACGTCCAGAGGATAGCGCGAGGAACTTGATGTGCTCCTGGTGGTCCAAAGCTGCCCAGCCTGCGAGGAATGGGCTATTTAAGAAACCGATATGACGAGATACAGCTGAAGACTTTCGAGATTTTCGTCCATGACTTGTTTTGCACCTCCTCCTCCAGCTTATAGCGATAAGCTCTAAAGAATCTTGACTCTAACACTGAGTTACTCGACTGAAGTCAAAAACTACGGCCAGGAGATAAAGAAGCTTTAGATCTAACGCACCGTCACGCAGGTGCTTGTTCTCATTGAACATCTTGCCGCCAAGCTTCTTCGTGGGATCATGCTCCGATTGTTCGAGCTCCTGAATAACCGCCTTCAAACCAGCACGCTTGGCTTTAGGGAGATCGCCAAGGAGTTCTTCCAATGCGTTGCAGAGATCACGCGCGATGGTAGCCCGAATATTAGGACGCTCTTTTTGGAAGTTCGTCTTTCCGTTCCACATCAAATCGCCGGGCATCTTGTCGTTAAGTAGACTAGCTAGAGTCCCTCGATCAAACTCGTTAGGTCCCTGAAGGTGCTTGCTGTTTTCAGAAGGAGGCGAAATGATGTTTGGTAAGGATGATAAGTAAGTAACTCGACTGATTCGATAAGGATGGCCACGCTCTCGATCAAGATACGAGCGAGCGACCTTCGATAGCTCTTACATTTTCGGATCTGTGGAAAGCGGAGAAGAGGATCACTCGCACGATTTGCGCAGTTTTCAAACCCATTCAGCAGCCACTACACCGAGAAGAACAGGAGTCGATGACTTCGATCGTCTTGCTTTTGCACGAGCTAGAAGAACCTTCAAGAAGATGTAGCAGAATTTATAAGCACATGGATTTTCTGGAGGAACCTAATCGATGCAACAACAACAACACCAGGACAGTGTATCCGACCTTGCCATCTTCTCTTCAAATGTACTACAATAATCGCCAGTAGGCCATAACGGTAATCCCCACGAGGGTCCAGCCGTCGCGAGGTGGATCCGCAGCACTCCAAACAGCAAGATTTCTACTAGAGTGATCTTCTTGGGCACGTTCTGGCCACGCTCAGCAGCTGGACTCTCATCTAGTTTTTCCTTGAAGCCATGCCACGCCGTGACCGCTGCAGACAACTCCAACTAGTTCTAGTTAACTATCTAGTTAGTTAACTAGTGAAGTTTATAATAAAAAATTTAATTTTTGTGTTTGGATTTTGAGTGTGAGTAATGGTTTTCCGTCTATACTCTGCTACAACCGACTTAGATGAACATCAAACTACTCTACTATCGCGAAGCGAGTATCAGTTTTCCTTTTTCTTTTCCATCTTTTCTCCGCTCTCTCTTAATTATAGTTCTATTTAGCAAGAACCCAAGCCAAGAACAGCACCTCCTCACCATAAGACTCTTGGCGCTTTCGAGGGGGTCTGATATTAGACGTAGGGCCTTGGTGTTTGCTTGCCCCGTTTGTTATGCTCTTCCCCCTTGGGAGAGTCAAAACAAACGGTAACACGAACACCTAAAAGCTACCCATAATGATAGCAGCACGCGCCAGCAGCCTTATCCCGGAATTTGTTCACGGCTATCACCGCATGACTGTATGCTGTGCGGAGAGCGTCAAAGGACATCTTGTATTAGAACAGCGGTATCAGGATAGAATCTATCACTATAATACCTAGCTTCTTGACCTACCAAGGAGGACCGCTCTTCGCGGCCACCAACTTTAGCTCTTAGATTCATTTACTAGCCACCAACTTTCATCTGTTCCCCATGGCAGAAGTTGACTAGTCGGTCTCGTCAATACGACCTTATACACCTGTTCCCCATGGCAGAAGTTGACTAGTCGGTCTCAATACATCCTTATACCATTGTAGCATGACGACCAAAGGATTGTTCTACAAGCACCACTGCCCAAAGGCAGGACAATCGTAACCCGTTGCGTATCCTTTGGCAAATTCGTCATCCCGAACTACTTGTTGTCATAATTTGGACTCAGCTTGCTCTTCGCGGCCTTCATCTGCTTGTTCATGTCCTCGTACTGTTGCACTGTAAAGTTCTGGATCACTATGTCTTAGAAGCTGAAGAACAAAAGGTGATGTATAGTCTAACTTCTACAATCCAACGCAATGAATCTCTCACAAGGATCTGCGCAGACTGCCATAGGGGAGTCTACTTAGAACAGTTACGTCATAACATGTACGCTTTTCCTGATACTATCTATCCTCACTACATAATCTCACTCCATAATTTTTCTTGCTTCCCTTGTCCACGTTGCGGTCGCCATTGCAGATGTCCTCTAGGGTGATGGGCATGGTCGTGAAAGTGCCGTGGAGAAAGTCTTCGCATTTCACGTCTTTTTTCTCGCTAAAAATCGGTTTTTGTCGCTGCGTCAGGTGCAATCGTGGGGGGTTAGAAAGTATGATGATGTCGATGAACCGAGGAAGACCAAAGACTCAATATTTCTCTAAACAAAAGGATCGCGCAAGTGGTATAATCTAGTAAAAGCAACAGCTGCGTTTGCATTCATGGGAAGTTAGAAGTCGTAATATGCTAGAAGATCGTGGTATCTACGCCGTATTTTTCCCTTCAGTAATTCATACTTGTTTGTTCTTTTTGAAGACATTCTTTTTGCCTAGCTCAATGTAGTTCCTAGAATAAACAATGATGAGCATGAGTCTCTAGAATCTAGAAGTTCAAAAGCAAGACGCCCTCTAGTCATCTGGTATAGTCTAGCCCAAGCTCGATAGATCTTCACATCCATCTCAACCAACAACTAAAATGTATTTCCCTTTCATAACAAGCGCCTCAAAGCTGCAGGCCGCGAGGGCGACGCTCATCTTCCCAAGTCGTCCCATCCTTCCTGTCCATGCCAAATTCGCCTAAACGATCAGAGAAAAAACAAGGGTTTGCACAGTGTGCCACAGAGCACGAGAGAGGCACGAAAGTTCCTGCAGTGCCAGAAAGCTGCAGAGAAGATCATGCAGCACGAGGGTTGGATTGATTGTATTTCTACAGTGTTCTTGGCCTTTTATTTTCTTGACAACACTGACTTAGAGAGCTATGATGCATGGTTGTGATGGACATCGATCATAGTTTCTTGTGGATATATGGTACCATTGCTCTACCTTGCACTTCGAAAGACGGGTATGAAACTACAGATAAATGAACAATAAGAGTAGCTAGTAGCTAAAAGTTCTTGTTCCCCTTGATGTATGAATATTGACTACTTTTGACTCTTCAAGCCATTACATCCGCTTCTGCTTTGATATGAACAATAAGAATCAAAGACGATAAGCAGCGACTACACCAAGCAAGTGCTGTGTGAGGAGTTCTTACTCGTTGACAGTTCAGAGGACAACGGAATCACACCCATAGTCCGTCGACACACCCATAGTCCGTCGACGTTATGAATCAGTTATAAGCAGTAAAGGACATATTGTTGCACGGGATAAGCCTAGATTTGGTGAGGTGATAAGCAGTAAAAGACATATAGATGTTTCACAGAACAGTGCTGACACAGCGATTAGTAGACATACTCTGTCGTGACCGATATGCTGCCACGGTGTGAACCAGCATTACCGACTTGCACAGACCACGAGAAGGTCGACTCAATGTAAGCTGGCCTTCGATACGATCATCAGAAAACCGATAATTTAAGGTATGGATGAACACCGGTGGTAGAGGGAGTGACTTCCGCCCCTAGTTTAAGCAGTTTACTGCTTTCAACACAGGCTCAATATTCATGAAGGAAATCCCACCGAACTAAAAAACACCATTCTTAGGTAGAAAATTTCAAGCTCATTCTTCGCGGTTTTGCATACTCTATTTTCTTGCGCTTTCTAGTAGTTGTTCTCGATAAAGGGTCGGTCCAAAAGGGGTTCGGACTACAGAGAGAGGCGCCACCTTCTACAACCACAACTTCTGATGTTGGTATTCTTGGTATACCAGTGGTAATCGGAACTCTAGATGCAGCACCTTCTTTTGGTGTTGTAGTTCCTGTAACTACTCTCGATATTGCTATACTTGAAACTCTAGTTGCAGCACTGGAGTGCGGAACTGGCATTTGTGTCTCTTCTATGTGTGCTCGCGAGGAGCTTCTTGTCGACGTCGTTGCCCCAGTTGCCAGAGCCTTTCCTTCAAAAGCAAGAATAGAGGACAGAGCGTTAGTGTTTGAGGAAGTTCTGGGTGAGTCTCTATAATCTCCTGCATTGGCGTGGTTAATTCTTTCTTCCGTCGCCTTGAGAATCAGTTTTGGCTTAGGTGCCAAACTAAGAGACGCTCCACGCAATATCAGCTCGAGCTGCGCTAGTTCTTCTTGACTGGATTCAGCCTCAAAATCTTCGATGGTCTCGCCTTCTTCACCTCCATGCTCTTCGTCTTCTTCTCCTTCTTTCTCTTCATCCACAAAAATTTGTTCTGCGGATGCCAAGTCGTTCGTAGTAGAGTTCTCCTGCTGTTCATCTCCACCTTTCGGCGTCAAATGTTGTGCTAAGTCTGAATTTGAGCGACGCACCATCATTCCCGGCATCTCATCGGGAATAGAGCCAAAACGTTGCTCTAGGTCTCTTGTTGCAGGAGACCCTTTTGGAGATATAGACCAAAAAGGGTTGTTACTACGTTTTCTGCACTCCTTGTCGGTGTTGACAGCAGGTTTTTGTACAGCAAAAGGATGCGCTCCTTTGTTTTTAGCCTGCACGCTAGAGATCGCTCTAGGGCCTCCCTCAAGGGCCTCACGTGGCGTCGAAAACTCTGACAACACTTCATTCGGGTCGCCCTCTCCCTTTGATGTAGACCTGCTTCCATACGCGACATTAACATCACCTCCAGTAGTATTCCCATTTCTTCTATTATCTGACGCCACGCCGCACTTGATGTTCTTATTCACGGCCCGGTCAGCATCACTTTCATCGTTTGAGGAAGTCCCTGCCGCACTTCTCGAAGTTGAAGGCGTTCGACTTCCGGAAGAGATAGGAGACCTTCCACTTGTAGGCGACAACCGTCCAGACGACCCATTGTTTCTTGCCGACCGTCTTCTACCAGAGAGCCGCTTCGTCAACTTCCTTGGTCGTATGCCACCACTAGATCTACCAGAAGCGTTAGGCAAGTACGCTCGTGGTGCGAAGAGGGGCTCGTCTAAGTCTTTAGGAGTTATTGGTGAAGGTGCGCTCATGTTGATTTGTCTAATTCTGTGTAGGTATTTATTTTATGATCCATGATCGACGCACTGTTCGAATTACAGAATCCATTTTAATGCCTTTTTATGGTAGTACGCACGAAAGACAATGATATAGGAATAATAATTGCAAACTGAGGAGGAGCAGTGCTTTGCGTGGCGCTTAAAAGAAAACTCAAAGATGAAAAAAAGAGCTTTATGCTAGATACGTTGTCGCCAACTCCAACTTTAGCAAGAATGAAGAGGGTTTCTCTGCGATAACATTTTGTGTGTGTGTGGGGAAATATATATTACGCTTCACAGAGGTATAAAACAATCTGTACCATGCCCGTGCACCTCCTCCTCCTGTGAAATATCATGAGAAAATGACACAAATAATGGAAACACCGATAAGATAAATCTCTCATCTCGTCTACAGTGGAAAGCGCTTATTACATCTCGGTTAACGGCGCAGGTCAATCATTTGTCAAGACTGAGATAACCTCCCCTACACGTTGCCGCATGCTCGTCACTCACTCGTGTATCTCGTTTCCACTTTCTCTATCTCTCCCGTAACCGAACAACATGCTGAATATACCACTACCAAATCTTGCATAAGCGCAACTCGTTTTTCCAATTCTCATAAGAACAACAACAACAACAACAGGATTTTGCTCTAATATTTTGAATCAACGGTACGCCTCTATGCTGATCTTTCGTTGATCGTTAAGTTTAACTTGCGATTCATTAGATTTCGTTTGCGACGAGGAAAAACTGAAATAGGAATTGTCTAAAAATCATCCTATTTCAGCAAAAACCCCAGAAACGATACACGATCACTTCTCTTTGTCATTGACAACTGAGTTGTTCACAAAAAGCTCATTTCTATTCTCCTCGTCCTCGCGGCTAAACGCGTAGCTGCATCTGCAGCATGCTTAGCTTGCTGAGCGAAAAAGTCTGCTCTGCGCGAAAATATATCCGCTCTCCGAAAGCTTCTTTCTGCTTGGTCAGCGTCCAACTGTGCTCTGCGAAGAATCACACTAGCTGGCCGTGGATCGTCTAGGACGTTGCCACCTGGTGTTGGCTTGGGGTTTAAGTGGTTTGATCAAGGTGAAGTGACATGGCTAATCCCAGATATGACTAGTATCTGGGATCATCCCCGTCATGGTTCTATGCTGGGATGCAATGAAGTAGATCCCACTTCCCAGACAGAGGGGTTTTAGGTACTACAGGACTGCATATTGTAGCTTATGTGGATGGTTTTTTGAGATGGGTTTCAGTGGTTGAATCTCGGAGTGATATCTACTGGATTCGCATATAGTAGAAGTTGTTTAGAAAAAGACGTAGCGTAGATCAGGATCTAATTGATATCGTGTATGAATCGCTCGTCAGGATTTAAATTGAATTAAAAGTAGATAAAATCAGCAATCTTTGGTTTCAGCCTTTTCAACTTCATAAGTTTTCAATCCTATAATTTTTGACAAGTCGATTGCTTTGATTATCATCTCTAGAATGGATTTGAATTTGATTAAAATTGGATATAACTGAAATTTTTTGGATTCAACTTAAGAAATTGAAACTCAAAATGCAATTATTTCCAAAATTCAAGAAAACACTTTCTCAACTTTCTCAATCAAAACCAGTATATACCAACAACCAGTCACCTCTATCACTATCACAACAACGAGTCAAACTCCAGCAAATGCATTTTTACTTTCGACACCTTGTTCATTCGACTAATCCAGAATACAAAACAGACACAAACTCAACATAAACTCGTAAGAAGTGCAACTTTAGGTAAAAATACCTCGTGCTCCAATATCGGTTAGAACTCTGCCATTCATCGGATACTTTTTCCTTTTGGCCATCCATTCCACGTCGTCCAAAGGAATACGCTGTGGGGCTGCAGGAATAAAAACATCCATAGGATATTTCGTAGTCTCCAGAAGCCTCAACAATCCTGTCGCCCCCTTCAGCATCTGAACCAAGGAAAAGAGCGCCATTGGTGTCGAGAGAGGAGTTAGAAGTGGGAAGGGTGAGGTGGAAGTTGCGTTGATCATGCTAGGAAAGCCAAGAGTGGGATCGCAGTAGTGAAGATATCTGAGGATATTAATTCACAATCTGTGAGTTCTTCTTCATAGCTTGACAATCTCCAAAATCGCATCGAAAAACCCCTTGATGATCTCGAAGAGTTTGCCAAAGAAGTCGGGCAAATTGGCCATCTGGTCCATGAAGGCCAGCAACGTTTTGAACGCCAACTGAACGTTCTTGATGACCTCACTTCCGGACTGAATCAAGTCCTGAATCATCTTCAAGGTATCCTTCGCAGAGGCGATAGCAGATCCGACTAAACGGACAAAGGACTTGAAGGGGATTAGAAAGGTGGGAGTACCCGACTAAGCGGACAAAGGACTTGAAGGGGATTAGAAAGGTGGGAGTTTGTAATTCTAAGGTGAAGAACAGACTTGTGTTTTCCCGACCTGCAACAGGAACGATGGATGCAATTTCCTAAAATTTGAGGAAAACAGCACCCACTGGTAAAAACGTTAGGTACTACTACTTGCTACTACGTGGACAGAGCAACAATACCACAACGCGCTTACGAATCTTCTTTTATCTTCACTTACGATGAATGTTCTTATAATTTTATGTCACTATGAGCACTTCTTGTAAGGACGTCAAGATCTCTCCAGAAGAAAATGAGGCCTTAACGTGATATCATACGCCATGACCGGTTTAGTTCCAAGCATCGTTTGCCATGGACTCCTCCAGAATGGCAGGACATTCTGTAGCCGCTTCAACTCATCCCTCGGAACCAGCTTGTGCGAGAAACGAGGACCGGCAGGATCGAAAATACTCTTCAATTCGTGCATTTCTAGCATTAGAAGAGACGAGGGAGGATGTTCCTGTGATGCAGAGATGAGTCTTTTGCCTGGGTAATCCCTCTGTGTGTTCCCCCTTATCACATCACAGCAGTGGAAGTCCTGCTCTAACTCATTTGCGTACCTTGCCTTGTTACATCAGTTGTTGCGAATAGGGACTACGAACAACCTCCGAACAATCTGGCTTGTTACATGAGTCTTAACTTCAATTTCGTGTCCAGATCGAAGAGTCCTTTGGAAAGATTTTCGCCTATTTGTTTGCCTCCTCCAAAGACCCCCTTTCCTGCGGTACTTTTCGTTATGCTCGCAGCTAGTTGGTCGCTGTGCTTAGAGGAGAAGAGTCCCTATATCCTAGAAACTTGAAGCAAACCAATGACCAGTATCCATAGGTATAGACCACGTCTCAATTCCATAAGTAAATGAATCACAATCATCTACAAAACCATTCTATAGAATCCTTAACATGCATTTTTGCGATTACAGCACCAACTTCCGCATCACTTGCTACATCCGACAGCTTGCCGCGAGTGGCGATATGTACTGAGTTTGTCACCGCATTCTTTAGGTCATCTACGCCTTTCAACCCAGCGTCCAGCGGGCTCGCCATTGACGTTCCAGCAGCAGTCAGTGCTGCTCTGACAGGACCAGCAATCGTCTCCGGTAACAGGTCGGATAGAAAGCCATAGTTTGCTTGCGTTGGAGCAATGGCTTTTGATGATGCAACACTCTGTGCCGTGCCAGACGTTGATGGTGGAGGCGCGAAATTCTCTGGAGAAGCAACAGTCAAAGGGTCGAACTCCGATAAAGCTCCTATCTCAGACAGGATGAAAGTTGTCCTCGGACTTCTTTTGATCCTCCATGTCGAAGTGCTTCTCCCATTTATTTTGTCGGTCAACAAATCAAAACCAGCAGTCTCACGACTTCGTGTATGATCGCACGAGACTTTACGCCGCTTTCTTGGAAATGCGTGGTATTCGAGAGACGCCGAGTTGTGGCCGTCCTCCTCGAACAAGACCGCGTTGTGGTCATGCTCCAGAAGTTGGCCCAAGAACATCTCGAAGAGTAAACAATCTAAATATGAAAGTCCGTAATTCTTTGTCCTATACTTTATTTTGGACATATCTTACGTTTTAAGTTGACTTACGTAAAAAAGTTACGAGCTACTTTACTATAACTCTTTTATCGCGTTGTGGTCATGCTCCAATCGAATCATATATTTTTCCCTCACGACAACAAAAGACATCTTTCCGGACACAACTGCTCGAAGCGCACGACGAGCGTATTTTCCGAACCTTCCGAGTCCGAATCCGCGTACATGGACTTCAGATAAATTCTTTCTTTACACGACGAAAGTCAAAAAGTGCAATCCTGTACAGCATAGCAACGAATCGAAAACATTCGATTACGTATTATCGACTAGCCTCTAGCCAAAACCAACGATCTGTAGCGTGTACACACTGTACAATATTCACGACCACAATTGTATTGCCTCATCCACATCTACCACAATTATGTGTCCCGCTCTTTACAACCTCGTCCGACTCCACGCCGAAAATTCCGTTGCGGTAATATTAAAAGTCTCCTTTTTCTTCACTTCCGGTTTTCGCTGCCTCGATGATGCCCAAGCTTGTAGGGATAACAACAAAATCAAGCAGAGTGTTACGCCGTAACCGGTGTAACTGGGGTAGATTTTGACTTAGTATACATAGCACTAGTAACACTAGTATAGGTGCAGCTGTCGGCAGTGGAGTTGTTCACACAAAAATAAAGTAGTACTAGAATTACTTTCACACAGTAGAAGTAAGTAGAGTTCTTATTCTAGCCTTAACAAATAATAGTCTAGTTGTGGTACAACAATGTACAGCTTTGCTAAAGCATAAAAAGAGGAAAAGGTACTAGAACAGCATCTGCGTCACTGCTCCCGGTTGATTTATGTCCCCCACTACTGTCGGCTGTCGTACTCCACTAGTGGCCAACACTGCAGTTCGTAACCCATGAGCTTTGGATTAGAAGACTATCTAATTCTAGTACGACATCTCTGGGTCTGGTAATGGACCGTAAACAGTAGACGACCACTGCACGCCCATAACTTCCTGAGCCATGCTTGAGAAACGATCGGACACTGTCGATTTCAGAGATTCCAGTGAGCGAAACGTCCCGTGGAGGCGCTTGGGGCGTATATCTTTGGTTCAAAAACCCGACCATCTCCGTACCGTCGAACGCATGGCAAAGCTGCAGGCCTAAAAATGATGAGCTCCATGAGAACAGGAGAAGGAATGCAGCGTTCGAAAAAGCGGCTTTCTTCAACATCTTGTTCGAAGAGGAAGCGGAGAAGGTCGTCGATCTGGGTCTTGTCCTAGCTGGCGAAAGACGGGGATGACGCTCCTCTCCCAGAAGTCCTGCGGTGTCAGGAAAAGGCGGTGCCAAAGCGGGTTCGATATCTGGATGTCGTTGATGCAGCCGTCATCTTCGTGGTCATCACGACTTTTCACCAGAAGTCATTTTCTACTAGCGGCAAGACGGAGCCATGAAAGACGACATCTGTTTTTTGATGACCAACTTACAAAGGCTGGGATCAGTTTACCTTTGGTGCCCTCTCATTCATAGAGATTGTCCTCCTCAACACGAGGCATTGCAAACTCAATGTACAGAAATCTTGTTGTACCTAGTGAGTAAATTCGCCTTTTTTTGTCAGCCTGTAAGAAAACTGTTTTCTGCTCCACCTACACCTTCTATTCCTCTTCGAAGACAAACTTCACAAATAGAAGCTCAGGAAGCATGCTTTGTAGCCATCCTCGCGATCATGTGTACATCCTTGTTCTCGTATGTGCGATGTAACAGTCTATCACGACCCTATAATTCTACTTCAACAAGATCAGTCTAAAAAAGAATGAGTCAGAGCATATTCTGTTAATCAATCGGATAGGATGTTGAAATGATATGAGTCTGATGTTGATAGACTCTCCCACGTCCGCTAGATAGAGCTCTGTGAATGCATCCTAGCACAAGTGGATTTTAATGAGATTCGATGATGATGTAAATCTACTCGGCAACCTGACTAAGATTTCCCTTTAATGAGATTTACCTAGGACTTTTCAAAAATTTCTCGGGAGTAATGAAATTCCTGTCAGCCCAGTTGGATTGGCCAAAGCCTCAACAACGCATTTCCACATCAGGCATATTGGCACGACAGCGCGGCGACGTCTTTGATAAGTGAACAGGCCAACGCCCAAACCACTAAGCAAACTGCGCAGTTGGCTTAGTGGTTTAGGCGTTGGCCTGTTCACTTACCAATCAAGCTACCTAGGGTTCGAGCCCCGGTAATATCAAAAAAAAGTGACAGAGTCCAAAATACGCATCGAGGCCAAAGGGTGGGAGGCGTCTGATTGAGCGCGCTCCTAGCGACAGAGATCGCGAGAAAGGCGGCCGAACCCACCCCGGCAGTCTGATTGATAAGTGAACAGGCCAACGCCTAAACCACTAAGCAAACTGCGCAGTTGGCTTAGTGGTTTAGGCGTTGGCCTGTTCGCTTATCATTCTTAAAGAAGTTACTATCTTTTGCCTGCAGGAAAAGCGGAACAAAAACCAGCAGCAGAAGCCTCTAGTACGGTAGGAACAAAGGATCAAGCCCATCGCATCTAGCTGAAACGGCGTAGCTCGCGTCTTAATAGACTCCTCTTCTCCAAGTTTTAACTTCACCCCGTGATGAGGGAACTCCGTCAAAATTCTCTCTACTTGACAAGGCAGAAGAGGTTGCAGATGGTCCTTCGAGCTTATCCAGTCGCCCCATCACGTCAAGCACTTCATTGACTTCTGACCAGTTTTGAACTTAGCATCGTTTATTCCCGCTTCATCATACTAATAATTTTCAACATTATCGCCTCCACCTCCTTTCTGATCTTCAGCCTCAGTTGTGCTTCCATTTGTGGCTTCTTTTCCGCGGGGACCTCCCCCCCCTTCTACGCAGACGTTGAGCGAGGAGAAAGTCCCACAAGTGACACTACGACAGTGACGCGGACACCGTGATGAGGAAGACTCCTGCGCAATATTTCGGCAAAGAGGTGGATTCCGGAGTCCGCATTGTGCGGACCCAAGAAGCAATCGACCGTATGAAAGTCGGCAGAGGGACCACGCGGCCGCATCATCCCTTGCAGCCATATATTGCATCTACCTTGAGAAGCAACAACGTACCCTTTTAGATTTAGATTTAGATGGGTTCCTGCTTCAGCCCTGCGCTTTGAGCGCCGGATCAGCAGAATGTTCCTTCTTCTTACTTTCTTCATCTTCATCATGCTTCTTAGTCAGGAGAGAAACATCATGAGACTCCAGACTCAGATGCAGTTGCAGATGTTGAGTTCTCCTGCTTCTGTATTTTTATCCTGTAGTACTATGAGTTCACCCGCAGCTTTTCTGGCTTTCTCTTTTTCCGTGTCTTTGTCTAATACATTGTCCACCGACACCCTTTAGGCCCTTTATTTGATGCTTCAAGGGACCTGGCACCCTACTGTCCTTTAATAACGCTGAAGAAGAACCTCGCACCTGGGAGCCAACTACAGCAATTGTGCACCGACCACACTGGCTACTTTTTCCATCGATCGCTGGTATAATAAGTATGCGTAAGAAGATCTCCAGAGCTGTCCTCGATTTCATATTCGTGCAAGAGGAGGACGCTGAGCAAGAAGGAAGGGAACTTAAGAAATCATCATAGCCTCAGTACTGCGTTTGAAAGCTCCGACTATGAACAGATCTTTTGATCTCGTCTGGTGATTACCGGAAAAGTGTGGATCACTTAGTGCCCTCACTCACGGTCAACATGGTCGCCAACGCAAGACGACTAGTGCTACGTCCTACATCTTTTGCGTCTTCCCCACAGGTTGAAAGAAGTACAAGAAGAGTTGCGCTGCATAAAGTTGAAGAAAAAGCGTATACACGTTAAAAAACAAAAAGTAAAATTCTAATGCAATAACATTGTAGGTACCTACATCACGTCGAAACTCGATCACTTATCGGTTAGCGCTGAGTGATGTTTGTTTAATTTCATTTCATGTTCAATTGCAAAAAAAAAGAGGAAGAGTGCTTTGTTGGTTCTACGTCTTTCTATGGATCATGTTCAAGATACCCACAGTAGTAGACGGTGGGAAAACTTTCTAACTTGGACTGTATGTTGTTCAAGGCATGAATTGCGATGGTGATGGCCATGCGAACAGTGATGGAAGATGTCTAAAATATGCATGGAATATTTCCAAACTTGTACTAGTTTCTCGCACTTTCGCTTGTTGATAAATAGGCTATACTTGCGTTTTTCTTACCCTGATAGTTTGTTACTTAGTTACCTCTTGTTCCCTGTTGAGCTAATTATCGTTCTCCACCTGACTAAATCGACGAGTGTTAAGACTTCATTTTCGTGAGACATATACATTTCTTGTTGGTAGTAGTGCTTCTGGCATAATATGATGTTGTATGCATGACATAGTATCCACGTGGCACCACGACTCACTTAAGAGCTTTCCACCCCAAACCATGTTTTGAATCGTGGCATCAAAACTGCTAACAGCGCTCCAGAACCTCCGAGATGGAGTGCTTTGACGTGCACACCAGCATACAATCCGCTCATAAAGCCACGCTCGGCTGTGAAGATTGGGTGATGTGACAAAAGATTACTTATGCATTTGGTTTCTTTGTTGTTGGGAAAGATGAGATCAGAAATCTTATTAAATGTTGATGGTTCAAGTACAACGTGTTGTACCACGGGTTCGAACAGATAGCATTGTAGAACCACTACCTTGTCGTAAGTACGTAAGAGAACAAGCAGTGTCGTCATATTAGTACATGCAATCTGTCCCGCTTTCGCCACAAACTCGACCGGATTCAGGTTGTTCGCCCACGTCATCACGGGTGCTTTTGGGTCGAAGGTGTTAGCAATAGCTTCCTTCTGGATGATCGTTCTGGTCACATCGGTCCAACAGTTGAGGGCCACGCCAAACATGCCTGCACCGAAACCACCTGTTTTTCAAAAATTTGAGGCGTCATGGAAGTGTGTCCACCAAAGCTACTCATGTATTATATTTACAGTAATCCTTCTCCTCCAATCTAAATAAGTAGTACCGACAACATCGCTGAAGATTCCCTTGCCCAGGACACTTTGGGCTGCGCCTGTGATGACGTCGCAACTGGCAAAAAAACCTCCTGTCCACAAAGCTTGGCGCATCTGCATGCCTGAATATCCTATGTACAGGCCTGCGCTACCCCGCGTCTTGTAGAGGTGGGAGGCGACGGAGCCCATACCTGTGCAAAAATCAAGAAATGGAGGGCAAATTGATTTTGAGTGAGGGGAGCAGAGGATCATAGACGAGAGGAAATTGATTCTGACTCTAAGAAAGCGGACCACAGCAGGAGTTGCTCATTCATTTTGTATGTCCACTTGATTCACATCAAGTTGCAGAGCTAGATGATTTCACCCTCATTGTACTAACATTTCGAACCGCCTAATTATACCATTGAATCTCTTGTCCTTGTCCAACTGTTCCGCAAGCTTGATATTCTCCAGAGGTGAAATCGTCAAAACCTCTGGCACTGTCGCGAGCATGCCTGCGAGACCCTTGGTGATTGGCGTTCCATCCTTCTGTTTCATCCCAAATGCAGCTTCATGCGCGATCGGTTGCATCCAGAATTTGACTAATCGACTAAAAGTCCCCCTACTAAGCTCTGCGAGCATGCCGAGAGTTAGACGGAGGGTGGGAGAGGAGAGAGCAGGAGGGGTTCCGTGAAAGATTGAAAAGTGTTCATGAAGAACTTGTTGTTGGTGCTCGTGTACTTGGACAAACGATTGCTTCGACCTGAAGATGAAAAACCCTACTTACACAACATTCGAGGATTCTTTCACAATTTTCCTCATCCTCTAAAACAAAACCAAATGAACAAGAACTCATTTCTTTCACAACTTTCCTCTAAAACTAAACCCTATAAACCTATGAACAAGAACTCATTCTCATAACTGTTTTGCAAATCCTGCAACTCCGTGTGTGTTTAAAAAGCCAGAAATCGCGGCTCCTGCGCCAACTCCAGGGTTGGCCATGACCAACGCTCGACAGACATCCACTGGATACATGACGAAGGCAACAGTGGCGGCGCCAGCCGTCACTGGGGCCAAACTGGCCAGGGCGCCTGACTTTTTGGGTGCCGCGGGGGCCATCCTTTTGTAGTTTCTGTTGTTCTCGTTCCGGAGATGAAGATGTCCTCTAGTGGAAGGTTTATGGAAGATGAGTTTGATGCTATTTCCTTAACTAGATGGATTGGATTAGATTAGAGTGGCTTCCGCCTCAGCCCTGCGCTTCAAGCACCGGATCAGCGAGAGCAGGGAGGGTGGGCTCTTGCTTGACGAAGCCAAAACATGCAAGTTTTTTTTCTTCTGTCTCCTGTTCAAAATCACCCCTTTTCTCTTGCAGAAACACCCGGTCAAGACCTCTCGAAAACTCTTACTCACATAATGGAGACACCGACTTTTCTTATTGAGCAAGACAGAGAGTTCGCCGGGCACCCTCAGTCAGGACTCGTGCGGTGAGAGCAATTTTCTTCTGGATAAAAAGACCCTGTGAAGAGGTGATACAGTCACTGGTGACATCACATTCATCAAAGAAAAAGCGTTTCCATCGCCTTTTTTCTCGGTCCATACCCAAATGCGTTGAAATTGCCCACTAAATGCCGCAACTGTGTAGACTGATCATGTATTTCCGTCGCATTACTTGCATTCGCCACACTCCTTGGCCCTAGCTGGATGCATTCCGTTTTAGCCTTTATCCTAAAAACTGAAGAAGTGCTTTGATTCGTCACACTCGTTCCGCCAGCAAAATTTCCACTGGTTCCTCCACTATGATTTCCTGCTTCTTCAATACCTCGATCCACGATTGCGTCCCTTTGGACCTCAGTCCACGTTCCCGCCGGTTCGGTTTCAAAGCAAACTTCACTGGGAGAGTCTAGATACACGTTGCCCCTCTTCACTCCGACACCCTGAACTAAAGCCACAGGTTGACAGGTCAACCGATTCGCACGTCGCAACTGCTCTTCCAAATAGTGCATATGTCTTGCTGGAGATTTGTTCAGAGGGTTTACGATTTTTTCGAAAAAGCCTCCCATTCCGGCTCCTAGCATAGTGAGCATTCTCAGTGGCGAAGTGGCTCCTTTAGCAGCTTTTTTCATATTTGAAGCTAATATCTTCAACATACGACTGCTCGAGACCATGGCCGTCACTAGACCAGACGTCGTTGATTTTCTGGCGTGCTTCAGTTCCGTCTTCAAAGCGTCTAGTTCGCCAGTTCTGCCACCAAACACAGCTGTCGCAAGGTTTACCTTCATCACCTGTTTGCGCGTGGAAGGTAGAGTATGCCCGACTGGACCACAACATTTGAACCAACGACGCTCCTGGGACAAGTACGTATAGCGCAAGAGGGGGCACGCCTCATCCGGTGGAAGTTTTGTGTTCTCAAGACTACGCCGGGTCCACTGGCGTCTAGCCAAGACGCAGTCAGGCGTTAAGGCCGCATCAGGGTTGCCCTCATGCGAACAGTCGAGGTAGAAGGAAGTAGCTGTCATCTCTGCTTAGTACATACTCTGATGGACCTGATGCTGCAACAAATATGGTCTTGTCACCGAGTACGCATGCTTTCATAATTGCGCCGTCCATCACTACTCCGTCAATCTTCACTACAAGGTATTAAATAAAGGAGTGAAAAAAGTGTGTTGAAAATTACAAAGTCATTTTTCAGTGGCTCTTAGAAGGGAAGTGGGAAACTGGAGCGCAAACATACCAGAGTGCGATGAGCTCAACCGATCCGCACAGCGCTAGATAAGTGCGTGGCCACGAAGCAAGAGTCAGTTCTCAACGAAATTCGATTATGAGATGCTTACCGAAAGGTCGTCAACCGATAGCAAAGGATCCCTATTCTGAGCCGTACAAGAAGAGGTCTAAGTTCTTACGCGTTTCCGACAGATGACAGACCGATCGTGCGCCCGCGGGGTATTGAATGCGCTCCTTCCTTTTGTTCGCGTCACGAACATACAACGCTATCTAATCATAGCAAAGATGATAGGAAACCTAGCAGATCATTCGTGAGCAAAAATACCTAGGCAGAAGCTGGATTCATTAAAAGGTAGTTTCTGTGTGACTTCGAGGCAAAGCTCGACCAGCATCTACGATCATCTTTGAGTTTCGCAAAATAAAAACATGCCGTTGATTTAAAAGAACGGAAACACGATATGAAGTTGAAATTCTTCCAAGTTTACTAAGGACTTCTCATTCTCACCTCCACCACCTCCCTCATGCCAAATCTTCATGAAGATCCAGGTCTTCTGCGCTAGTCGTCCAGATCGCTGCTTCAATGTAGTGGTCTGCTAAATCGTAGGCCCAAGGCGCAAACAACGGATCACGATCACCATGTCGCCAAGCGACATTCTGTGCTGCCAATTGCGCGATGCCGATCACACGTCTCGTCAAAAGGTCCTGAAACAGTCGTTCCTCTCGAGCATCCAAGGACTCTTCGGAAGTTCGCGGGTTAGAGCTATAGGATTGAATGAGATTTGCAGCAGAGAATCAACCTACCACCTAAGTACTTACATGGAAAAACTTATATGTTGGCCTTAATACTGGTCGCACGAATAGTCCGCAAGGGCTGTATCGCCTCTCTGGTACGACTTCGGGGATCCTCTTCGTCTGTGTGTCCCCCATGCTGATGTGATCCACCACTTATTTCGGCATCATCTTCGCCATCCGACTGATAAAAAGACGAATCTTCGACGTTGGTTGTGACAGTGTTACTTTCGAACAATGCTGCTGTAAGCGTAGGAGTAGCCTCTTCAGTTGGAATGGTAGACCCCTCAACACGTGCTTGAAGAACTTCATTTTCCGGTCTAGTCGTTCTTGTTGTCGAAGACGCTTCATCTTCTATCGTTACTATTCCACCCTGTACTAGATGTGCAGCTTCTACTTCTGCACCAGTATCTGACGAACCTTTAAAAATATCTGGTTTAGTTATAGCTTGAGTTGAATGTAGCCCAACGGCGCCATTGTCTGCATTACCTAGTAACGCAGGATGTGAATGTAGCCCAACGGTGCCATTGTCTGCATTACCCAGTAACGCAGCTCCAGATGCTCCGCCGCTCCATGGAGATACTTCACGACTGAGCGCGAGTCCTCCCCAATCGCTTTCTACACTCTTCTCCTCGCCATCAGTGCTAGTCATCATCGAAGGCGACCGCAGGCGACGCACCAGGTGCATCGCGATTTCTGCCTCAATGGAGCGAACCTCTGATTCTAGGAAGCTCAGGAATTCTGGATCTTTTTCGCGTAGAGATGCCACAACTTCATCGGACATGCTAACCTGTGGAGAGAAGGCGGAAGAAACGATCCACGGTATGGGACTCCTAATCGTGGTAGGAGAATACTTTCTACTAGTTCCTGCAGTTGTTGGAGCAGCACTCTCTCCTGCTTCAGCTGTCGAAACATCCTCATAAGCTCTTCCTGCGTCTCCACTTGCTGTGAAAACGCCACGCTGCCCCATTCTACGTCTAGCTTTTCTTTCCTGGTCCTCGTCTTCTCTTTGTTGGAGCCACTGCTCCATTCGGCCTTCAAAAAATCTAAGCGAGAAAGCAGGATCATGCAGAGTCTCTACACCATCGCCTAAGGGGTTTCCTGCAGCAATTGCCTCCAGTTGTCGGCTTGAGAAAGGAGACAACGATGCGGGGAAGTCGAAGTCTTGTTGGACTTGTTCTTCTGCTTCGTCGAGAAACGCAGTCGATGGAGCACTGCTTCTAGTAAAATCGGTAGTTGCACCAGTCGTGTCGTTTCCTTGTCTTCTCCAAGTGGGAGAGTGCCTCCCTCTATTGACAGCTACGTGCGCTCCCTTGTGCTCCCCTTGTGCTGCAGCTGCAGTAGGGGATAGTGTGTTGGGGTCTTCCTTAGAGTTTTCCCCTATTCACCCCTGTGGAAATCCCTCAAGCATATGCGTGAGTATCTCCCTTGATAGTATTGGGGCGCATATGTTTGAGGGATCCCTGTAGAAGAGATGGATTAGGGGAAGCCTTAACTTCAGGAGTAGCACCCACATCACCAGCAGATACGTCGCCTCCAACACTTCCTGAAGCACGAAGGCGAACAGCGTGGGCAAAAGGGATTGCCACGATGTCAAAACAGAACAAGAGGGAAAACATGTACATTTTTTTTATGCGTATGTAATTTCAAAAAAAGAATACGCAAGTAAACACACCACCCATTGTGCACGTAGTAAACGAAAATGTTGAAACATATAAGCACTACTTGTGCGTATGCTCTACTTTTGTACCAGACCCTTTCTTGACTTAGTAAGTGTACTCGAGTAATGTTGAAACTCGTTCAACTCTACTCAGAGAAGCTTACTCGCCTATCTTTAGTGTTGAGGGGAAAAAAATCATGATGAGTATCCCGATCTACATGATTTCAAACATTTTTGAGCAGACTTGGCTGGTATAATATTGGCACCGATCATTGCAATAAAACACAAGTTGTTACTCCGAGTCAGTGCGGACCAAATGCTCGACATACCCAGATGACGGTACTTCTAAGTAGCTTCAGGATGATGTTGAATTCACTTCACACAAAAAAAAAAAACAAATGTAACTGGCGTGCAGTCTGCATTCTATTCTGACGAAGCCCGTGGTGCGAGCGGTAGCTTCTGTATCGTCTTATGCGCGTAGCTTCTTCATGATTTTTATAGAAGTTTCATGTGAATCTGAATCACGACTGTGATAATCATAAAATCACGAAGCTGCACAGAGATTCTCCATAAAATCACAAAGATGTAAGAATCACTACGCTTGAGAAGCAGCAGGAAGAGCTTCTTTACTAGGACTGTTGTAACGAATTGAGTGTCGGAAAGAGCATAGAGCAGAATCACGTGTAATTCATTAGTCATAAAGATGACAGGGATTCTGCAAATACGAGTTCGTACAACTAACACGTTCTGTCAAAAAAAAAAACGCTTCACAACCATTTGTCGTTAGAGAAACGTCAGCAAACGACATGTCAGCCACTCCCACCACTTGTTGAAATTGTGCTGCCAGCATCGTCATCTGTGGTGTCCGACTCTCGTGAGCCGCCTTTCCTCTTTCCACCTCGCGCTCTTCTTCTCTCTCCACTGCTGTCATAGTCTTTCTCTACAACTGGGAGTGGTACGCTTACTGCCGAAGGCTGTGTTCTTGTTGTAGAAGTGTTATTGTCTAGCGAAGACGTTGCTGCTGTGTCTGGCTTTCCTTGTTCTCCAGCACTACTCCTATCACTTCCACTATGAGCACCAGCTACTTTTTCACTTGCAACCTCAGCTGCATCCTGCTCTGCTTCCTTTATCGTCTTTACAGCCGGTAAGTGCAATGTTGTTCCATGCAGCCAGTCTAAGAATCCTATGTTCCCGTAGTTGCCGTTAAATTTTTCGTGGTGCAAATCATGAAACTCTGGTTGGTGATCCCACGTTCCCCAGGGCCACTTGAAGCCGCAATGGTGCGTCTGTGTCCCTAGCACTGCAAATAACGTCCAGGTTAGGAAGCTATAAACGTGGCTGTTCATGACCAGAAAGCCAATGCCGAGAGGAACGAAGTCTGCAACGACTAACTCGATCGGATGGCAGTAGATGGCCGCGAAAGCGTTGGGTGCCGTGAATTCGTGGTGAATCTTGTGGATACCTGTGTAAAATAAGGAAATATCCTCCTGAGGACTTGGCTAGAATATTCTATGATCGGATCAAGCTTGTTGATGCTTGTTAAATGTTGTTTTTCAAGCGGATCTCCGGTTACTTTTCGTTATTCTAGAACACAAGAACCTCCTGTAGTACGTTTATATAGCCACTTGTTTCTGTGGAAAAGCCAGTGTCCGTAGAAAAACAACGGCTCGTTGAACAGGAACACGCCAGCCGCCGTGTGCAAAGCCCTCTCCATGTATGACGGGAGCTCCTCTTCCACTCTAAGCCCAAGCTTTGTTCGCGTTTGCAACCAGTAATACGACAAGCCGACGCATGGAACCACAAGAAAACTATTAATGGCTATGTTCCAGAAGAGCTTCCGAATTTTTGGAGGATTCAGCTTATTCGATGCTTGGATGCGCAAGGGGGCGAGCGTCTGTGTGAAGGTTTTTTGGAGTGGAAAAAGATAGGAGTAGAAGTGGAAAGGGGTAACACAAATTTACAATCAAATTTCTGTCTTGAGTGCGAACAGAGCATACCCTGGTATTCAGATGCACACAACATTCCACGCGAAGGCCAGGTTCCTACAAAGTATTTACATGATCATGTTTACTTGTACAAGTACAAAGTTGGAAGTTGAATATAAAATACCTTCGGCATCCAAAGATCCCACGCGAGCAAGAAGTTGAATATAAAATACCTTCGGCATCCAAAGATCCCACGCGAGCAAGAAGCAGCCATTCAGCCAGTAAGTTACGGTAACCATCAAAGGAACCCACAACCCGAAAAGTATTATCTGCCCTTGCAACGACTCCAATTTGAGATACGCAAACGCTTCCTGCCAGTGCCTTGGATCTAAACTTGCTACCAAATAAGCCAAAATGATGCAGACCGGACTAGGCTGTGAGGCTCCTGCGAGAAGCGCAAGATGAAAGACCCACCAACCTATGTGGTTCTTGGTCTCGAAAGAGTTGATCCACGAGGTCAGATCTTCGTTCACCGTGAGCATCGACGTTGCTTGCTTGGCGTCGCCCAAAATCCAAGGAGGAAGCTGAGGAAGCTCTAACCCTAAGCCCATTGCTGGGACAGCGCCAATACTGCGCGACGAAGAAAGTGTCGATGCCATCTCTTCTTATAATGTAAGTAGCGTGCTCTACATTCATAAAAATGACGATGTTGCGTTTATCGAGGAAGAAAATATGCATGTGTTTGTGTAGTCGCTGTAGTCCAGTCACTAGCATTTAACGCGAGGAAGGACTATGAATCTATGGTGGACGACTGGCATGCAAGAAAGGAAACTTATTTCGACTTAACGTAATTTACAGAGGATACGAAATAGCTGGCGCTGCTATGCATGCATACACGATAGAAAACGAACAGTTCAAGAAATCAAGTTTGTTGATGTCAAGGACGCGAGAATGTAGCGCAACAGGCTCACGTCTTCAGACTATGTAGTTAATGCTCCTACGATCTATTCTCTAACAAATTTGAGTCCGATCTTCACACAGGAAGAGAATGGGGGAGCACAAAGGGGAGGGTGAGTTTTCAACGCAACTAATTGGCCTGACGATGATTAACAAATGAAAATGGGTTTTTTCACTTACGTGAGACTTAGACTGAGTACTTACATGGTCGGACTTATCCTGTCCTCAACCCAACTTACCTGACGTGTATAAGTACCAGTAAGAGACCTCAACCTAGCTTTTCAGCCTCCTCTTGCTTCAAACAAGTATAGAACCTTAAAAAACGTCCTCACAAAGAAATGCTCTTCGCAACCAGACGTACGACGCTCAACCCGAACTTTCACCTGTGTCTCTTGTTTAACGCTCAAAAATCAAGAACACTCCTGTTTATAGCTTCAACAAACTAACTCGTCATCGCTCGTTCTCAGTTCTTTCAAATAAATCCTCGTGGTCCATTGCAGTTTCGTGTTCTTTTACTTGAGCAAGTAGTGCTCCGATACTAGAGAAAAAGATACCTACACAAGAACCTTCTCGTGCTAAGGCAAGTAGGTACAACACGTTAGAATTGTAGATGCTCTTCTTGGAGATAAGAGTTAAAACATTTTCATCAGATGAGAATCTTAAAACAGTTCTAGTTCTTGGGTCTCAGCCAATTCAGACATCTCCGCATCTTTTGTCTAACATAAAGAAAATTGGTAGTCCTATTTCTACTATACATCAATGCTTTGATACGTCTCATCCTGCAAAGACTACGTAATCACTCCGCCTTTTTTTTGACCTTAATAACATGAGAATGAGAATCCTCGTGCATAGGAGCAGTTTCCTATCTGAGTCAGTCTTGCTTTAGCTTCGCTAGGTATTCTTCAATGCTGAACTCTGCTTCTAAACGAGAAATCGTAGGAGGCGGATCTTTTCTGACTCGATACATCGTTCTAGAAGCTCCATTCGCATTCCTGGCAGCGAGCTCCACATATGCGCCACAGTTTACGGGTAACCTTTGGTAAAGCGGACGCAATGTCTTGGTGGTTTTCTTTTTCTGGTGTGGAACAAAGGAGGAAGAAGGAAACTCGGAAGTTTGATTGAGATTGTCTTTCTGCACAAGAGTTGGTGTGTCATCTGCACCCGTAACTTGCTGTCCGACGGCTTGTTCAACTCCTGCTTCTTCATCTCCCACAGGAGTAGCTACTGAAGTGGTTTTTCTAGTACCACCCTTAATACTACTAGTAGCGTCAGGCACGTTTTTCCTTCCCACCCCGAAAGTGTTGTCGAAGTCTAGTTTCTCCTCCAGTCTCAGCATATGTCGTACATCCGGTTCGGCTTGAACTTTGGCAGACATGCGCGGACTGCCATACCGATCACCCAGTCTTGTTGGGCCTAAGATATTCAGTTTTCTCGGACTTCTTTCCCTCGAAAACATCACACGCTGATTGTGCTTCAACCTGCTCTCATTGATCTTGTCAATCCTGTAAGGGAAATGCTTCTTCTCGCCGAGTAGGTTCGCTTCACGGACGCCCGTGATGAAAAGATAAGGCTGTTCTTCTTCACTGGAGGAAGAGGACAAAAGCTGTTGGACTTGTGCTGAAGGTTCCGCAATAAAATTCACCTCCTTATTAACGTTCTGCTGCTTGTGCTGTTTCATCTTCTTTTTCGCTTTTTTTTTCGTCGATACCAAAGCAGGTCGAAACATCACTTCTTTGGGGGACCAAGGTTGGCGCAGATAACGTTCCAAAGTCTCCCCATCACCAGCATTGTCGGCTGTCTTCTCCTCCTCCCCACCAAACAAACCCTTCTCCACACGCTTCACAACACTATCCGCCGCCTCATAGGGTAACACTACCTCAGCTTCAATTGGCTGTTGTCTCCCTGCGTGAAAACGCTTGATATTCTGCTGACGGAAAATTGGTCTTAGGCGGACTTGAGAAGTGTTCAAAGTATTGTTCCCAGACGAGCACAATGTAAGACGAGCACCTGTAAGACGTGTGGCTGGATCGGTGTCAGAGGTATCTCCTTCCTGATGATTTTTATGTCCCTCTTCTGGATCATCGTTGAATAAACTTAAGAAGACATCGGATTTAGAGGGCGCAGCCGCGCTCTGCTCTTCTCCAACAAGTTGAGGACTTCCACTTTTATGGCCTGCTACATCAGTAAAGCCTCCTGCCATAGTCTTTGACCCTCTGCCATTTCCATTTGCCGTCTTCTTATGCGCTGCCCCTCCGAATCCCTTCCCACGTCCGCGGGAAGTAATGCCCAAATGATCCTCCGTACCGGATAGATGCTCCCATTTCAAACTACAGCCCATGTGGGTGATGCGCTCGTCGAAGCGTAAGCGCTCTTCCGAGTGGACCGGAGCATGGTAGTCGTGACTGCCTCTTTTTGGAGAGAGCATTTTGTTTTCTTGGAAGTTTATATGAATGATGGATGACAGCAGACTCTCCCGAATTAAATTTATATGATTGAATAAAATCCCAAATCACTAGAGGTCGCAAGGTTGACATGAAAACAAATTTGGGTCGTTGGCTGGGTGAGGAAAAAATTCAACGAAGGTAAAGGTTTTAGAGGCTGTCAATGTGAGATGCGTGATGATCGCGCTAAAGCACACAACGAATACCGCTCCGCATCACAGAAACTGAAGTCATGCACCTCACACAGATTTGCCTGTACACGCTTCGCTGCGAACAGAATTTTCAATCTCGTCTTTCACAGATTCTAGATCCACCTTTTCGTAAGTGGTATATGATTCTATGTCTCGCTCTCTCTTGCTTTTTTTTCAATTTTGGAGAGACGCAACATTGAACCTCATGATTCGTCGATTCTAGTTGATTTGCAAAAAAAGAGTTTCAGTCTTCTTCCAGTACATGAAGTTTTTTTCGCAATTTTAGCGAGGACAAGTTGTAGTTTCATGTTTCGTTCCTTCTACCGAACGGAGTAACAAAGTACGGGAGGTATCATGGGCCAACTTCATCTAGAAGCTGATAATATTCGGGCAACCATAGTTGTACAGCTTGAAACCTACATTCGGGTAGGATGCACCAGTCTCTTCATGTCGCTGTCATACTAGTCGGATGAATGAAACGTCAATGACAGCTTCGACAACAAAACAAGCTTGTTGGATGATGTTCTCCTCCCGCCTCTATCCGCGTCCTCGACTCCTACAAGCTTGTTGGATGATGTTCTCCTCCCACCTCTATCCGCGTCCTCGACTCCTACTTCGTTCCCGAAATGGGACTGCTGCGGACGGTCCCGCGTTCCCCTGAAAGCCTGGTGGTGCGCCGTGAAAAGACCGGAATTGCGAAGGCGGACCTTGGTATCCACCACTGACGTTGAGAATTAGAGAAGGGGAGTAAGATGATAGGTCGTTGAGGCTGTACTTGTTGAGTATCGATATCATCATATTTGTGCTCCCTAATCACGCAGGCTGTAAGTGCAAAAGTCACTACTTAAGCGAGGAACCGTCTAAGTGCAAGAGTCACTATTGAAGCCAAGAGGGAAGTAAGTGCGATGTTCACTACTTAAGCGAGTCGGGTTTTAGGTGCAAAATTCAGTGCTTAGGCGAAGCGGGGCTTAAGTAAGTGCCTCAAAGAGTACTGAGCTGAGGCCCCCTTAAGTGCCTCGCGAGGCACAAAAGGGACGAATCCATTAAGCACCTGAAGCACTGCTGAGACGCGGCCTCCCTTAAGTGCCTCGCGAGGCAGGTAAGGGAGGAGTCCCTTAAGTGCCTCGCGAGACAGGTAAGGGAGGAGTCCGAGGAGTCCCTTAAGTGCCTCGCGAGACAGGTAAGGGAGGAGTCCCGTAAGTGCCTCAAGCACCCGTGATGCGAGGCACCTAAGGGACGCACACCCTAAGTGCCACGGAATTATTCACCTGACTAACTCGGACCATCACACAATCAAATCTTCTTCAGATCTATATAGAATAAGAAAATGCTAACAAATATTCACCACATGATATTTAAACTGGCTTATGGACGAAGACCTAGGCCATAAAAGCAACGGAATCTCCTTATCCTTGTCTTCGTCGAGGACCAATAACATCTCGCGAACTTGAGGTTGTCCGACTTTGTTCAGCACTACAGAAAACGACAGCAAGGAATTGACCGGAATCATCTGCCCATATAAGGAGATTAGCTTTTCCATTTCCGTTCGGTGGATGAAGACGTCGCGGCCGAAAACCTGAAAGTGCAATCGGAGGAATGCAAGTGCAATCGGAATTGTATATTGGACAAATTCCGCTCACATTCAGGAGTACTTTCACCAAATATTCCAGGAAAAAGAAAGCTGAACTTGTTCGTAAAAGCTGTACCTTATCCAATTCCTCTCCTGCCACAAAGCCAAACCCTCTTTCCGTGTTAAACGACTTCATTCTCCCCAAGTAGCGCTTGCTGTTTCGCGTATTGAGGCGCTCTAGGAATTCGGTTTGGGTGGATAACGCTGCCTGATTCGGCGCGCTCTGCACGATCTGGCGTGCCTGGTCTAGGCCGCGATATTGAGGTAAAGTCAATGGTTGGCCTCCGAGCAGCATGCCGTTAGGTCCCTGCACTAATTGCGCATGTCCGCCAGTTACTAGGGGAATGCCCGTGGCCGCTGTGGGAGAGTTTAGACACAGAGAGAATTTCGTGAATAAACCGTGTACCAAAAGGGACAGAAGAACTAGAATCGATCCTCACTCAGGAACAAACAGAAAGATGCCTCATTCACTAACAAACATCAAAGTCAAAACAAGAAAAAAATCAGAAACAATGTAACCATAAGAAGAATGGTGAGCTGCTGCTACTAGCGCCCATCGCTCCTGGTGCTCCTCCAGCTGCTCCCATCATCTGTTGTCCCATCATGCTCATCTGCATCATCAACATCATTTGCTCCAACTGCTGTTGTTCCGTTGAGCCAGTGCCTGCTCCCATCATTGCGGCCATCGGGTTGTTGGCGCCGCCCATCATAGCTGCCATGGGGTTGGCCATTGGGTTGCTTGCTCCAGCTGCAGCACCCATCATTGCGGCCATCGGGTTGTTGGCTCCGCCCATCATAGCTGCCATCGGGTTGTTGGCGCCGCCAGCCAGGGCATGAAGGGGAGGGGTTGAAGAATTGATTTTCAACAAAAAGGCGCTATCGTAGTAGAGTCATACTTCTTATAAACTCTTTAACCAAAGCAATAGAAAGCAACCTCGAATCCGCTCTTCATAAATCTGTGACATCATTTGTGCTTGCATCATTTGTGCCTGCATCATCATCATTCCTTGCATCATCTGCTCCATCTGCGCTTGTTGTGATGCCGAATTCGTACTACTAGCAGCATTTGTCCTAGCAGGAGCTGGGGCAGTAGAAGTAGTAACACCCGACGTTATCGCTCCTGGTTTATTGATACTAGTCTTGTCTATTTCTTGGCTAGTAGTTTTAGCAGGTTGCTTACTTGTTCCTGATGTAGCTGATGTTGCTGGTGGTGCAGTAGTTGTAGTATTAACTCCTCCGTTCTTGGCTTTCTCTATTGTGCCTCCATTGGCTTGCTCTACTGCCGCTTGTGTCTTAATCTCCTTTGTGGTCTCCTCTTTCCCTACAAGACCTCCAACAACTACTTCCCCATTTGCTGTTGTCCCTTCTACTAGTCCTCTACTTTCTTCTTCTGATGACGCAGGGGGAGCATCATCGGCGAAAGGATTGCCTGCAGGAGAAGGATGCGCCATTTTTGACGGTGTCCCTGTAGCTGATGGGGGCTCCTTGTTAGGGGTTGAAAGTTGGCATCTCTAGCTCGCATATCTATGGCTTTCCTACTGGAAGAAGCCATAGCGGTGCGCTTAGATGATATGTCAAGTTCCAACCCTTAACCTTGGTCGCTGGCTCCACCGACGACGTGAACGGTGATGGTGGATTGCAAGAAACTTGTTCCATGTGGTATTACAATCCGTTAGGAGCAGAAGCTTCCAGATGAGGTGCAAGAAGTGCTTGTTCCATGTGTGTCGGTATGAATCGAAGAGGTATTGATTTAGCAAATCGTTAACTACTTACTTAATCCAGTGTCTATGCAGTGCATGATACACTTAGTAGTACATGTAGCAATTCATTCTCTGACCAACAACCTACCTCACGACCACCATGGTGCCTGTCAAGAAGGGTGTAAACGAAATATGGCCTTTCCTTCGGCGTAGTACGCGGAGTAGAATAAGAAGTCGAGGTAGAAGTGGTCTTTTGTGGTTTATCTTCACATCCTGATTATTTTCGTCTCAAAAGATCATTTTCGAAGCGAGTAAAATTCTTCTCCGACGAACACGTTGGGATTTCTCTTGTTCCTTTGTTCGCAGGTGACCAGCAAATACAATTTTTCAATTGCTCCTAGAAAAACCATTATGAAGAAATCTTACGTTGCTGAAAACTGTTGATTTTTTTTCAGGAATGACGCAACCACATTCACACTCAGTTATGGGGTTATAATCGCCTCTCTGCATTTTTTCCTTATTTTGCAAATTCTGCAATCCATAATGCTCGGACTTCTTTTTCAATGGCACTCAGAGAATTTTCATGTTAGTTGAAAACCCTCCAAACTATTCACAGAAATAACCTAACATGAATAATTGTTCACTGCGTGATCGTTCATTTGTAAGCACTAGAAACGCCAGAAGACTTGTTTTTGAAATTATTTTCACGGAGGTACAGATGAAGATTCTTCAAATTCTAGACTTGTGAGTTTTCAAAATTATCGAAAGGTTCTATCATCTCAGATCGAGAACGAGAAAGGGACTGGGATAGCACGACAAAAATGAGTTTTCACCGATTTCTTCTAGCTCTTAAAATCATCGATTTCATTAGATGCTCTGCGTCTGTCGTGGTAGTTCTAAGAAAAGACGCTACTAATTTTGCTGGCTCTTGTGTGCTCGTGGTGCTTGTCCTGCTGCATGCTCTTCTTGTTCTTTTCACCGTGGCACCCCTTCTTGGCACAGTATTATTCATCCTCCGGCGTGCTTGAATGTTTTCTACGTCCAAGGAGCAGTGCTTCTGTATCGCCTCGCCTTCGTTCTCGAAGTTGTACAGATCGCGCATCTTGTCCTCCTTGCGATCTGCCTCTGCGATGTCCTAGCGCACCTCGCAGTTTTAGGCAGCTGAAGGCTTTGCGCAAGGATTCCATCGTCTTGCCCTTCTTTCGTTGACCTCCTCTGCTTTGTCCCTGTCCTACTGCATCGTCTGCAGTAACCTCATCAGGCGTCTCGAGGTCGAGACCTCTTTTAATTTTTCTTCGGTCTTAGATGAGGAAGTATTGTCGATATTTAATGTGGAGTATCAGAAACGAGTGATTGAATCTCAGAACTACAAGATTGCGACGTCCTGTCGATCGTCTTTCATCTTGACTCAAGAGAAATAATAGTTTTCCATCAACATGGCTAATTCTAGTCTACTTCTACCTAGGTGAAAAAACTCTTACCATATGACATATGACTCACTCAACAGCGTGTTCGTCCTTAATATGGTCGTCGCTGTAATGCTCTGGGTCGAAAATGTGCCGCCTTAGGTCGATCGTGTTTGGCTTGCCTTCTTGGGCGTTGTGTTCCCAGGACATGCGACCTATCCAGCTTAACGCAGCCGCAACTTCGACAAGATAAGGGTCGACGGGTTCTTCCGTATGTTCTGAGCGCTACCGCGTTCGCAGATTCCCCTCTGAGAGTAATACTACTACCCTGCGGGCCCGGTTGGCTTAGTTGCGTCAGTTTAGTTGGGCCGGCTTAGTTGGGTGCCTTTCGTTGGGCTCGTTTAGTCGGGTTAGCTCAGTTGGGTCAGTCTAGCCCTCGCGAGGTGAGTGTAGTCCGGCTGGTTTAGCTAGGTTAGCCGAGGAGGGTCGGGTTGGTTAGCTAGTTCGGTGAGCGTAGCTTAGTTGGGTTAGTTCAGTTCAGTTAATTAAGCTAGGCCAGTCTAGTTGAGCTACTTTCGCCAGGTCAGTTTAGGTGGGTCTGCTTAGCTCGGTCGGCTTAGATGGGTTAGCCTAGGCAGGTCACTTTAGTTCGGTTGGCTGGTAAAGTTGGGCCAGCTTCGTTAGGCTAGTATCGCCTGGTCGGTTTTGTTTGGTCAGGTTAGTGCAAAGCCAGGTCGGGCCAGTGAGGTTAGTGCAGTCCGGTCAGTTTCGTCGGGCCAGATTAGTCAGGCCACAGCCGGGCCCGTCGGGTCAGTTTAGTCGGGTCAGCTTCGTCGGGTCAGCTTCGTCGGGTCAGTTTCGTCGGGTCAGTTCAGTCGGGTCAGGCTAGTCGGGCCAGGCTAGTCGGGTCAGGCTAGTCGGGTCAGGTTAGTCGGGTCAGGTTAGTCGGGTCAGGTTAGTCGGGTCAGGTTAGTCGGGTCAGGTTAGTCGGGTCAGGTTGGTCGGGTCAGGTTGGTCGGGCCAGGTTGGTCGGGTCAGGTTGGTCGGGTCAGGTTGGTCGGGTCAGGTTAGTCGGGTCAGGTTAGTCGGGTCAGGTTAGTCGGGTCAGGTT